GCTCATAAGCACACTCCTTTATGTTTCATTTAAATTTTAAAGTAATAATATTAGTTTTCACACGGAAATTTTTTTTAAAAAAAACCGACACATATTTGCTTGATTCGAATAACGAAAAAAGGATTTTAAGTTTTATTTTTAATTTTACTGGAAAAAACACTAGAATTCTAGAACGTTCGTATTTTGTTTTAGGTAAAATTACTAGGCTAATTGGTTGTTATCTCTTACGAAGAAAAGAAGATTACTAATGCTTCTCGTTCTTATTTAATTTACATGGAGTGCTTTATATATCTGATGAAACATGGATTTGATGGATGCACCAAATACAATATGGTCCAAATTCAACCTAAGTCACATGCATTGCTCATGCATCATAGTTTTTTTGCAACCACCCAAACTTTTTGCATGTTCCCTAAAAACGACTAACCAAACTTAGTCGTTACCATACATTTGTAAGGTATTCAAAGTTCATCCCTGGAACAACCAGCACTCGGCTGATGCATTATAATCGTTATTGAGCAAAACAATCCATACGTCCTTCTTTTCAAAGAAAAAAATGATTAAAACAAAATATTATAAATGTTGAAATTATGAAGAAAAAAAGGTAGGGAAGATGAGGCTGCAACCAACATGTTGCTAGAAAAGATTCTTAAGATGATCTTTGAAGTTGGCTCCACTATATACTTCTCTTTCTAACACCCATGTGTGAAGGTCCCCATTACATTTTCTTTTCTTTTGTTTTGTATTTCATATTCAAGTGCTTGTCTTGGCTGTTGTTTCTTTCTCCATCATCTTCCCCTTTGCTTCAATTTCAAATATTCTATTCTATATTAACAGATATGTGTGTACATATATTATTAGAAAGAAAACGAGTATATTATATCTTCTCATCTCTTAGGTCTCATCCATATCAACAATGTTTCTATCAAATAAGGAAAATAATTATCTGAAATGATGACTCAATTAGTTGCATTACCCCCTTTTCCTTTTTGGCTCGCATACATAGTAACCTCTGTTTTCTTTCAAATATGGAAATTCTATGACGAGTCATGTACATTACAGTATATGTTTGTTAGCTTTATGTTATGGATATCGTTATTTTAAACTCGCATTGTATGGATACTTCTGTTTTTTTTTTAATATATGAATTCGAATATATTCAAACATAAGAGTCGCATACACTAAGACAACCTCTTAGTGTACACCAATGGATTACCATGTGGTGTGCTTTTTGCCTCCCCACATCGACACTCTCATGTGGGGTCACATTTGAATGCAACATACCAAAAATATTACCAAAAATATTACCAAAAAAATCACAAATTTAATCATGTTTGTTCATGGTGATATGTAAATAGTTTGCAGATGGTTCATTAATCTTAAAAATAATGATAATGACAGTAAATTCTTTTAATAACCAAGAGATTCCGTGCTTTAGATCCATACTCTTTTCAAGTCAGAGACCATAATATGTTACTGTAGTCTCCTCTTACTCATCCATGCCCGAACTACTTCATGACTTTTCTCTTTAATTTGGATGGTTAAATGATACAGAAATCTAGTAGTAACATGCAGCGTATTGTTATTGAGTTTTGACATTAAGATTTCTGATTATCAATCGTTTCCGAATAGTGATTTCATGCTTTAGACTGTAGTTTATCATGTAAATAGTTACAAAGCATGTGTGTGGAATTGATAGGTATATAAAGAAATATAAAGAGAACAAAAAAGGAAAAAGGTGAGTGTTAGCCCCAAATTCACGTTGCCCCCTCGTGGGCTTAAGGATTCCAAACCAATTCTGTGTCCTTATGGTACGATCTGTAGGTTGATAGCAACATGCCATGATGTGATCACTAGCCGGCTTTTTTTTCATCGTCTCCATTATTTTCTCCTTGAGATTTTCTCTTTCACTTAAAATTTACCAACGTCGTTTCTTTAGTTTTTTTCTTTAAACTAGATGAAGACCAGCAAAGCTGATTTTAACATTTACTATACTTATTTTTAATCCCCAAATTCACATAAAACAAGTTCGAAAAAAAAATACAAAGAATCACAAAACTCAACTCCAAATGACCAAGTCTATTCTAATATAATTCCTAAATTAAGCTTTACTGAAGTTGATATACACTTAACTATTTAAAGTTTAGTTTGTAATTTGCCGTCAGTTTGACAGCAAAACTACAAACTATTATTAGATGACACCAAAAATTATAATAGAAAAAAGGAGCTTAATTATAAAAACTGATTACCAGGAGATTAGAGAAAGAAAAACTAATGATTTTGTAGGAGGTCTTAATTGATCAGGTGGAGAACAAAATGAGAAGCTGCGTTAAATATTAGTTATCTGCGATTTCTATTTCAATATTTAATTTTAGTTTCTAGTTTTGAAAGAAAGCTTCGGAACTCTAGTCGAATCAACATTATTGTAACGTCTTCTATTTGTATATATAAATGGCCCCAAATTATAATAGTTGTTTTTCTCATGGGCCCTTCAGATTTAAAATTGAAAGGCCATAAACATCTTTTTAGTAAGACACGGGCCTGTTAGGAAAACCAATTGATCCATCGAATAATATCAATAGAAGCAAAAATTCTTTTCTTTTTGTTGTAAACTGAAACTTTGATTAATAATAACAATAACTTGGTATCAACATCATCACTATAACAAAAATCGTAAGCTTCTAAATGACAATTTGGTGAACGATGATGATCATAGTAATGCTTTTGTATCTATTTATCGATTCAAAAATTTAAATAGAAGGTTACATTCAACGTTATCACTATAAAAAACCTTTAGCCAGTTACAATTTCAATTCTTAGCTTGGACTGTTATATGTTCTTGGGAAATTTAAACTTTTATTTTGATGTGCTTGTGGACGTTGAACATACTTACAGTAAGTATTTTACATTGGAAATTGAGATATTTCTACACTAATATACTATATAAGATCTATGGGTTTGTGTATTTATTGTCACTTAGTTTTGAGTTGGAAATTCATAATTTCTGGTATGATATCAGAGCCTATAGCTGGCCAACATAAACTTTCCCAGAAAAAACAGTTTTCCAAAGTGTAAATAGCATGTTTTGTTGTGGTGTTTCTGAGATGATTGACACTGTCCCCCCTTATTTTAAAAACCTATTAAAATACTAGTATAATATCCCATATTGGAGATACTTTCACAGTAATATTTAAGATTTATGAGCCTTTTTACTCATTACCTATTAATTTTGAGATTGAGACCCATGATATCTAATGATACTTTCAAAGAAACAAGTATTTTCATATTTGCAGTTTGGAATTTTATCTGTATAGGTAAGGACGTAAGGTTGAATGAAAATTTTTGAAAGCTTTTATTTCTTCTATTGTATTTAATTGATCATATGTTTACCAAAGGAAGTAAACCGGAAAACTGTTCCAGCCAAGTTCTATGAGGATACCAGCAGACTTTGTCCTATTTCTTCTTCTTCCGATCAGATCAAAAAATTAAGAAGAGTCTAGATGCCAAGAGATGGAGGGGTAGCAAGGTTAAAATGTATAGATCTTATCAAAGATAAGAAGAGGAAGTCGTAGGTGGAGGTAGTGATGGTGGTTGATTCTTGAGAGAAGTCATAGCTCTTTTAAAGCTAGAGAGGGAGAGAAAGTGTTCAGAATGAGGAGGAAATAATCATTACACACACACACATCATTGAGCAACTTTCAGCCATTAGTCAATACTTAGAATATATAATCCACAATTTCTTGTTCCTTTATAAGTCAACACGCATTCTCTTTGACTATACTCTCTTAACAACGTTTCTAGTGGACCAGTGGTTCTCGCGCTGAATGGAATCTTCTTTAGTTTGCGTTAGTTTTCTTCTATACGCCCAATGGTTTATTTGAGAAAAACTTTATTTTTATCAATTATCACCCAAAAAAAAAAATAATTCTTCAACTTATCATAAACAACCTTTTTGTCATATGTAATGTAAGTCATTAAATAATTCGTTTTTGGAATAATTCTTATCGCTACATGACTACATGTCATCATGACATGTGTTGTAACTCTTGCAAAACATGTGTTGTGTAAAACATTAGCAAAAAGAATATTTATTCATTTTACCAAAAAAAAGGGAATGTTTTTATTCATTAGTCAATAGGCCTGAATTTTTTGGAAATTGGGACGGGAATTGACAGGTAGAGGATGAGAATGAGAATTTCGGGAATCTGAATATACTATCCAAAGTATTCCCACAAAATAACAGGAGAGGAATTTACGGGTATGGGACGGGAACGGGAAATTCGGAAATCAGCATACTTCCCATACAATCCTAAAATAAAATATAATCGGGAAAAGAACGGAAAAAAGACGGAAAAAATTTCGGATAATTCAGATAATTAGATTAAAATCACTTTTGTTTTTTAAAAAAATTATTATTTATTAATAAATTGGAAAATCATTATTTATTATAAAAAAATTTTCAAATAACCGAAATCTCTAAAATTTTACTTTATATAATTACCCAACGGGAAGTTCGGGTAATCCCATTCCCGTTTCTACCCTTTTCCTTACCCATTCAAATATTATTTTCAATCTCGAATGAGAAATTATAAATTTCCCTTTCCTAAAAAATTCGGGAATTTCGGGACGAGTACGGGACGGGGACGGATCACCCTTCCCGAAAAATTCAGACCTAAGTCAAACTATCATAATTATTTGTTTCCAAAAGAAAAAGAGATAAAAATAAATATGTTGTAAAAAAAATTGTGATTGGGTAATGTGTTGCTTAGTTGTCCAAGTCCAAATCTAACAAATATGAAGGCGTGAGAAAATATATAGAGATTTCTTACTAAATGGGGCCGAGTCCATTGACACACGTCGTACTTCACAGATATTTCCAAAATTCGAATTTGGTGATTGAATGAAATTAAAAAAGATTTGATTAACAAAGAAAAGCAGAGACTATATATATATTCGTAGTTCATCATCAAATCTTCCTACGAGTAGTCTTCTTCAATCTCTCCGCTCTTTTCCTCTTTTGCGTCTAACCTTAGGTTTTCTCTTCCTCTATATCTAATCCCTCTCTCTAAAATTCTTTGAATCTTTCTCAATTTAATTTTACCTATTCTCGATTCCTTATCCTTCAATTTCTCGATCCTCCTCCTCCTCTTGCGATCTCCGACGGTCTCGTGGGTTTCTTCTCCTCCTTTTCTAGTTTTCAAAATTTGTGTTTTTTTTTTCCGGATAATGATTTTTGCTTTATAGTCTCACTTCTGTTCCTGGAAACAAACATGGGTTTGCTCTTTTTTCATGTAAAGTCTTGAAATTTATATTCTTTTTTTTTTCTGTGGTGAAGGCACATAGAGCGAGAGTGTCGAAATTGGAAACAGAGCTTTTTGAGTATTGCGATCTGTTATTTCTGGTACTGTTTTCCTTTAAAGTGATTTGCTTTTCTTATTGTCTGTGTTTTAATGTGATCAAAGCATCTCTGTTTCGATTATGGCTTAGTTCTCTAGTCTAATCTTTCCGGAAACACATTTGCAAGTTGTTTGATTGTAATGCCAATTCGAAAATTGATGCTCTTAAGGTCACCAAGGCAAGAATATGATTTTGGTTATTTGAGTCATGTTTTGTCTTTCTGTTTAATGGCATAATTAGCACCAAATCTTCAAGATCAGTCTTTGGCATTGTGAAGGGTTAAGTATTACTAGTAAAATGTAGTATTAGCAACTGCAAAACGAATCTGTTTTCTCCTTGAATGTAAAACGCGCTTAAACACTGGATAATTGGGATTCCATATCTCTAATTTGTGATTTCTTGTTGCTTTAGACGTTAATGGAGGGAAATTCTAATTGGAAGCCTAACGAACAAGACGGAGACTCACTTGCTAATGATTGGAGATCACAGCATGAGCCTGATCTACGGAAAAAGATTCGTAACGCTATGTAAGCCTTCTTTCTACAGATTCTGTTTCAGAGTGTTTCCGTTTCTTTTGTGGATCCATTGGTTCCTATTTGATTATTGTTTCGAATTTGTGACATTCATGAAAGAGAGAAAGGTTTGAAAAAAAAGGGTCATGCGTTAGCTGTGATTCTTGTAGCTTTGCACATGATAACGATTCCTACATTGCACCAGCAAAACCCTGCAACAGTTAAAGCATAAGAGTTGTGCATAAAAGGTTTTTTTTTTTTATATAATTTCTTCTTGACGTGACAAAACCTAACTTCAACCTTTCGCGCTTTTTAAGTTTTGCCATATTCTTTTTGTTCCTTATCTATCGATTAGGCACCTTAACATTTTGTAACCTCATTAGCTGCATTTACCTTGTGATCACTTTTCATCATTTTTCCCTTACCCTCCATGTTTTAGCCAAATATTCGAAGTGTCACTGATATTTGTTCTCATGTATGTGCAGGGTGGTAAGGTTGAAGAAATGTTTTTCTAACTATGATGAAAATCAGATTAACAACGCTGCTTTTAACTTAGAGGACAAGTACTATGGCATGGCAACGAGTAAGGTAGAATATTTCAAATGGTTTCTCTCTCTATTACCTTTTAGAATCTGAGTTTCAAATGATACTTCACTGATCTTTTTTCTTTTGCACCCTTTCTATGTCTCAGGATGACTACTTTCGCAAAATCGCACAAAAGGTTAACCTCATAGAGCAAAAATTTAGACATGTACAATCTAATAATGTCCAATCTCGTTCTTCAGTCAATGGAACCGATACTTCACATCCAGGTATTCAAATTGATAAATCTTATATTGCTACATACAATTTCAGAGTTTAGCGCCTTACCATTGGTATTCTTTCTATGCTTTGATCTGAACAGCAGCTCAATTTCAGAATCAAGGCCAATCACTTCCCACATCGTTGCCATATACGCATACCTCAACAAGCCAACAATGGTTACCTCAAAACATGCAGAGCAATCTCAACAACATTCATGTCTCTTCTGGTTTGCCAGCTCAGGTCCCTACAACCGTTTCTGCGGCTCAGAACCTAAACATTCAAATGAGTGAAGGAGCTCATTCAAACCTTCTTCCCGGTTCTCAAAGACCGGTTCAGGGAAGGCAACAACTTCTTCCTCACCAGCCACAGAGTTCCAGCTACATGCTCCAGCATCAAGTGGATCAGCAGCTTCTGAAAGAGAAGATTCGTCATGGGAATTTGCGACCTCCATACATGCAGCAACAACAAAGTCTGTTAAAACAGCCTATTCAGCAGAAACCGCCTCATCAGACACCATTGTCCACTATTCATCAGTCCTTTCCTCAATCTTCTGCTCTTTCTAGTGTACCATCATCAGGCCCACAAAACTCTCAGTTCTTGCCAAGACATCAGTTTCAGACACAGCGGGTCCGTCCTAGTCATCAACAGCAGATGGCTGTGCCGTCACAGGAACAGAAACAACAAGAACAAGAGCAACTCATTGGTCAGCTGATGAATGGTCCACACACGCAGCAGAATCATCTACCATCACGGCAAAACAACGGAGAGCAACAAGGAGCTTTCAGGGTATCGTCTTCCCAGATTGCTAGCTTTCAAGCAATGGCACAAGACAATAATAATAACCTCCAGAATATGCACCAGGAAGAACGCCTTTCTTCTCACGGTAATAATGCTTCAGCCTTGCCCTCACAACAACAGCAAAATATGCCTGGCGGTCAATCTGGTAACTTTAACGTGCCCGGATCAAGTTTGTTGTGTACTCAAGGCCAAGAGGTAGGGCAATCTCAACCAATGATGTTACAACAATACCAACTGCAACATCCCATGCAGCAGCAGCAGCAGCCGCAGAATAGAATCTTACAGCAACATTTGGATGATACACAAAGATTCCAAGCAACAGGTTCCTTGCGCCAAACCCAAAACGTAGCAGACCAACAGAATCAGCCATATCAAGTACAGAGAGCTCCTCCGGCAAATCCATCTAGTATGTTTTCTTAACATATATACTAAATTAAGCAATTACTCATACTAATCAATTTGTTGTTGTGCATCTAATCTCAAGGCATTCATTGAGTCTAAGTCTTATGTGTCTTCACATATTGTTTTGTAGCATCTCAAGATTCTACAGGCAAGACGGCAAATGGCAGTTGTGGGGACTGGCAGGAAGAGACCTATCAGAAGGTGTCTTCACTCGCCTTGTTCTTCACATGTCAACATCATCACAAACCCGTAATTGTGATTTATTTTAATAGTTCAAACTCTTACATCATTCTCTTGCATGCAGATAAGAGCCCTTAGGGAGAAGCATCTACCTGTTCTAATTACAATGCTCCAAAAAGTTACCGATAAATTGCGGCAGGTACCTCAGTCATTACATAACTGTTTTTTGATACCAGGATTTTTGTCTTGATATTTCTTGTTTTCTAAAAATAAAAATAAAAGATAAACCAATTGTTTCCAGATTGATTCGCTTCCTCAACAAAATAAGCATCATGAGTCGATAGAAAAGCTAAGGGTGGGTAGAGCGTCGTTGGAACAAGTTATTGTGTTCTTGAATCTTCATAGGAGCGGTATATCAGAGAAGCACAGAGATATGTTTAGTCTGTATGAGAAAGCTGTGTTGAGGTTTACCAGGAATCAAACAGCGGCTTGGAGGCCAATGCAGCAGCAACAAGGTCAATTCCCTCCTTCTCAGATCCATCAAACACCATCACAATCCCAAAGTGGTCAAGTCCATGTGCCGCAGTCACTTGACAGCGATCAAATGAATTTACGGTTGATGTCAACTAACCAAAACGTTGCCTGCTCTTCAGTATCTGCCCTTACGGCATCACAGACAGCAATGCCTAGTTCGTTGCAAACAAGGCCTAAGATGGAAGCAAAAGATGAGAACAACATTAAACAGCACTCAAATATCAGTCCGGTTCAGTCTAGTATGTTTCAGCAGAAGCAATTTCATCCTCTCCCGATGCAACAACAGCTGTTGCAGAGAGAGCAGCAACAACAACCACCACCAACGAACAAGCAGCTTCAAATGGCGAAAAATGAGATGAGTGACGTGAGGATGAAGCAAGGGGTCAACATTAAAGCTGGCTTGCTTCAGCAGCATCTCTCATCGAGCCAGCGCCAGCTTCCAAAGCCACTGGCTTCTCCGGCCGCTCGGATGTCTAACTTTTCTCCATCAGCTTCTTCTCCTCAGATACAGAACTACTCTTCTCCTCAGTTGGTGGACCAGCAGATTCTTCCTACAACAACACAGTCTGGTGGCTCGCCTTTTGTTGCACCATCCCCTGTGACTTCCTTTGCTCCGTCTCCAGTTCCCGGGGGTCCTGAAAAGCCCATATCCGTTGAGTCTCCTGTTTCTCCTCCTAACCAATCCCAAACAGCAGCACAGGAGCATTCTCTGTTTACTCTTCCTTCCGAGCCAACTGCAGAGCGGCCTATTGACCGTCTGATCAAAGCGGTGAGTAGAAGAAGTCAATAGCTTATTCAAGTTTAGTTTCTCTATATCTGATCCAGTTTACTGATCCATTTGTCAACGTGTATGGCTTTTTCTAGTTTCAATCATCATCACCTCAGTCCTTGGCGGAATCTGTGAGTGATATCAGCTCGGTCATCAGCTTGGCTGACATGATTGCGGGTTCGTTCCACTCCAATGGAGGAGCTAGAGCTGGTTTAGCCGAGGACTTGAGTGCGAGGACAAAGTTCCGTTTGCAGCAAGGAGAAACTAACCCGACCAAGAGGTTCAAGCGCTCGATCAGCATTCAGCCTCTAGATATCGCATCACAAGCTGATAGTTATAAACAGTTCAGTAGCCTGGAATCTGAAGTTGATTCCACCGCATCATCTGGCTCGAAAGCTAACATGATTGAGGTAAAATATAGATCCTGTAAAAATTCCTTTTAACTTATTCAACAATGAAATCAAAATGCAATATCGAAATAAGGCCGTTCCTCAATCTTGCAGCCTGGTTGTGCTCTTCTGCAAGAAATCAATGAAATAAATGGGAGACTTGTAGAGACGGTGGTAAGCATATGCAACGAAGATGTAAATTATCCAAATGAAGTTACTTCAGGAACTGTTGTCACTTGTTCTTATGCCCCTGTGGCTCTTTGTGACACATTCGAAGCTCATTACAATTCAGGACATATCGTAAGTCTCTCTAAACTTCTTCTTTCACTACTTTCCAGTCTTCTTTTCTCCCTTTGCTCAGCTGTTTGTGTCTCCCATGTCTGAAGCAGTCACAGATTCAGCCGTTACGCTTGCTAGTTCCTGAGAATTATCCATATTCCCCAATCCTTATCGAGAAATCGCCCTTTGACGCCAGGTATGAAACTTTTGTAGAGATATTGATCACAAAGAGGGAACTATAAACATATTTGATCTTACGGATTTAATTTCCCCGTGTTTCAGTGTACACAAGTATGAGGATCTATCTGCGAGAGCCAGATCGAGGCTGAGTTTGTGCATGAAGGAACTTTCGGAACCGATGTCTCTTAAAGAAATAGCTCAAGCTTGGGATGTTTGTGCGAGAGCGACAATGGCTGAGTACGCAGAGCGGCACGGTGGAGGCACTTTCAGCTCCAAGTACGGTCCTTGGGAGACTGTTCTCAGACCTTGATGAGTCTCACCGCTCCTGATAAGGCCAGGAGACTTTGCACAGAGGTGAAACTTATCAGATCGAAAGCGTATAGCCCAAGTTAGGTTTATCTGCATTCCCTTGCGATAGAAGAAAAATATGTATTTTTTTTGTATTGCTCATTTCGTCTTCTTGTATACATATTTTTGCAGACATTATTATACATTTGTTTCAAATCAGATAGAATAATGAAATATCTTGAATTGTCTAAAGGCTTTTTTTATTAGAGTCAATTGTGTAAAAGATATGGGGGAGAAATTAGGTAAATGAGAAAAATAAACTTACTAAATGGCAGTAAGACGAAATCAGTATTTCATTTGACAAAGGTTTATACAATGTCACTTTTTTTGCTCAATATAATTGATCTTCTTTCCTTTATAAATTATATAAAAAGATTTTCATGGCTAGTCCCGAGTAAAAAAATAAGCCAATTTGCAGAACGTTCATGATTTTTATATTGAACAATATTTGATTGTAAATGACTCAAACTACAGGATGGAAATGAAAGACATGCTTCAACTTTTTCTTATTTATTATTAACCGAGGATCTGAAACTATCACAATACGAAATAAAACATTTCCAAACAAAATTCAATTTGTTTAGTTGTTAACGTAACATATATGACAAGGTAAATCGATTTAGCTGTGATCATGAGAGAAGAAACGGTTGAGAGAAGGCATAACTTGAGGTTGACGGGTCCTCAAATACTTGCGAAGATTGTGTTGTGCATATTTTTCTCCTTCGTCTTCATTTTCCAGAATTCCCATTTTTCTATTCGCTTTATTTATCCTACAGAATATTTTCACAAATGCAAAAACATTAATAGATATATAAATATGTATACCAAAACAATAGTATATATATCAAAATAGAAAATATAAGACTAACCTGCAGTCAGGGTTTAACAAAGCATTCCTTGTGAGTTGAAACACAACCATAGATGTAACAAATCCCATTGCTCCAAGGAGAGGGTACATCTAATTGTGTTTAGTTTAAATATAAAATAATAATAATGTTTTTGGCATTTTGCTTTTCTTATCATTAACCCAAAATATAATTGTTTGATTCTATTTTGTTGGCACGAATCGTACGATAGACATACAAATCATTTACAGTTCAAATATATACAAACACTTGATTAATATAGGGGTACTATTTTTCCATACCTCAGGTCTCACCCAACGTCCCATTTCAACTGATCCCTTTTTCTCTTACAATATAATCTTGAGGATGATAATCAAATATAAACTTGTTACTTTATGTATTTTTGTAGTGTTATGTATGAGAAATTAGAATCAATACGTAATATATAGAGTTAGAGTATAGACCTTTCACATTGTAACTACAGAAGTCTACGCCCTCAATAATTGAAAATTAAAATCCACGGAATTTGTTCCTGTGGGCTGATCTTGTTAATTTGTATGTTTATATTTTCCTCCTGCCTAATAAAGTAAGAAATCTCTTAAAAACATATACATATATACAACGTAAATCATTTAGTAGATAACCTATATATCTATTTTAATTTCTCCATGATGAAAATAATTTATCTTAGCTATTTTTGCAGTTTTGCACTTAAGTAGTTTGGTTAAAAACAAAGAACACCATATTCGTCTATAATTTTGAAAATTGTTATTTTATATTTTTAAATGGTTTCAAAGTTATTATTTTCTTACCAAACTATCTCAATTCTGTGGGTGATTCAGACTTCTCTAAGTTTCTTTTCTCTCTTTTTTTGTTTGGTGACTTTCTTTTTATTCTAAATTTGACGAGTCAATTAATCTTTCTTTAGCTTTGAAATTCTATTAACTGAGGATAAACAAAGGAAATTAACCTTGAACAACACTAAATCAGTCAATATTAAAAAGAGAAGTCATGAGAGAAAAATGCCCTACACGTAATATATACCTCCAGAAGTTTCAAGATGCGTACAAAGAATAATGTTTAGCATATAATTAGCCCATACAACTGAGGTAGCTTCATATATAATAAGTTAATAACACTCACATTAACACACTTTGAAACAGTTTCTACTATCTAGATATATCCCAAACCGGATCCGGTCCCAACTCAGAAGTATGAACAGGGTCAAAATCACGGTTTGTGGACGTGATCCCTTTACATAAGAATCAAAAATGAAAAGAGAGTGATGACAAGTATGATCAATGGGGAAGTTGCAAGGTTTGGAGTGGCATTAGGAAGCCATGGATATGAGTCTGGAGGTGGCATAACGCAGTTATCTCCGTTGAAGTAAATGCGTCTTGGAAACGCCCATCCTTTCTCGAATGTGAACTTTGACGGGTTCTTTCGAAACAAAAGTTCTGACTGTACATTGCCTATTGGACCGGCTTGGCTCAAGAAATCATTGTAGAACTTGATTCCCCAGAGCATGGCCGTGTCATCTGCAACGTATGATCCAAAACATCAAGTTAGTCACAAAGAATGATACGCTTCCACGCCAAAAGTTAGAGGCTTTGACCATATATTCATACTTTAAACCTAACCACGCCAAAGAAGGAGCTATAGACTTACTTATGCCGGCGTAAGGATTAAGAGGTTTGTAGTTGAAGCTGAAAAGCTGAGTGAGATTGTCGAAGTTGGGATGCTGAACGACCATATTCCATTGCGTGTAATTCATATTGTAGTTAAAATTTGTGATTGTGACCTTCACTCGCCAGTACTCTTTGTAGTTAGTTTTTACATGCCAATGAACTCTGATGGGACACATATGCTGCGTACATTGCAAGAGCGGTTCGAGGTTGTTCTTCCCTGAAGTAGCTGGTACTACCGAAGATATTTTCGGGTTGCTACAAAGAAAATCATTCAGAAAATAAACAGAGGAAAAAGAAACCAACAAGGAGTTTCTAAGAGAATAAGGAACAACTTACTCAACACATGTACCACTTTGAGAACTATTTTGACATCCACAAGAACACGTTGGGCATGGCACTATGGTCTGATTGTAGAAGGATGAGAGTGAAACACAACAAGTGGGAGTCTTCCGGGCTAGAAACTGCGAATATGTGCACGTCATGTTCCATGTCACTAATTCAAACAACAAGAAATGTGAAATTAGAAGCAAGACAAAGATAACTCATAAGGACAACATTAAAATCTTCCAGTAGATGCTAACACAAAGCCTAAACTTACACAAAGCCTGAGTCTTTCTTCGTTTATCCCCAGAGATGAATTTGCTCGGCATAACGTTTTTCGCTGGCCCGCAAGTGTAACCAGGTCCTGGTGACTTCAAAGTAATGTTCCTAGGCGCTCTAACTGTCTTATTAGTGGTTCCAGATTGGCCAACACTAATCTGAAACGAAGAAACAGCGGTTGAGGGGTCTTGTGCCCATGAGCTAATCACTCCTCCTTTGCAACAATTGGATATCTGTTGGTTGTAAGGAGTTCCTGGTAACAAGTCAACGACGGTGGGGGTTTTCTTGCAGCAATGAGGGATGTTACCCTTGAACTTGGAACAATCTCCTTGTTCTGTGGCTTGAGCACCAACCATACTCCATATCACTTCCTTCTTCAGCCAAGTCCATCCCAATTGCCACCCAGGCGCCTGAATGTGACGGTATTGTTGGAAATTGAAGATTGTTACAACAGCCTGCATTGAAGAAGGAAACATGGAGACAATGTTTTGTTAGAAAATAACAAAATGGCATTACAAAAGATTGAGACTTTGAGTGGTAGAGTTCTTACCACATAGCCATCAGGAGTCCAGCTCATGATATCCCATTTTATGGTAATGTTTCCATTAGGATCAAGTGCATCATAAGCATCTGTGTAGAAGATGATATAAATTAGGTGAGCTCATAACCAGAAACAGAGTCAAACCCAGAATGAAAAACATAAGATTTTAGATTTTCTTTATCAATTGGTTAAGATAGCAGAAAAGATCAAAGCTTATGCATTTAACAAGTTGACCATCATCACCATCATCATCACACCGAGATGGAGGTTCCAAATGTCAATTCCTATCTCCATTTATTTACTTTTATATCTTTTTTCAAGGGATTTCTCAGAATCATGCAAAGGACCAAAAGTGTAAAGGAAGAAAAAAACTTGTATTGTTCTTTGGGTCAAAGCATTGAGCCAAACCTGTTGTGGTGAAGCTGGTCCAAGAAAGGAGAACCAGAAATAAAACGGATAATCTGGAGAAGCGAATGTCCATTTCTCTGATCTTTGTTCTTTGACCAACCGTTCCTTGATCTCCCGCCGGCGGAAACTTCTCGAAGATGTGTGTTTCTGTGTGTGAAAGAGAGAGAGAGATTGAGCTGGCTTTAGCTAACTTTAAGTCTTAAGAGCACTTAAAGCCAAAAGTTCCTAGTTTTAATCGGTCTTTCATTTGCTTAAGTTTCTATATATTTAAGGTAGTTAAATAATTATAAATTGAAAAAAGTACAAAACCCTGACAAAAAAAAGGATAAATTATAAACCATCACAAGAAATGAATTACTATTGAATATTTTGAAGAAGCACCACAGTTATATTGGGAAATTAAAAAAAAAACGAAATAATAGACTTGAACTTTCGCAAATAAAACAGTTCGGAATATTTATGTTTCAAATTAAATCAAATTAAGGTAGAGTCGGCCATAGGTACGCCTTAAATGTTTGATGATATGATACTTTAGTTATACTAGAATCTACTAATTGCAAGATAACATTCGACTAGAGTTTCAATTAATGATGTAAAATAAAGTAAATAATACTCCCTCTGTCAGAAGTATTTGATATTTTAGAAGGTTTTTGGCTGATATTATTTACTTTATTTCTGGCTGATATTAATTTTAAAGATAATAGAAAAAACACGGAGAACATGAAAAAACAAAATAAAAGTTGATGTTAAAAATAAAATAAACGAGTGTCGAAACAAGAAAAGACTTATTTAATCAGAATTTGTAATGGCTTTATCTTTTTGCAAAATGTTTTATCTTTTCCCAAATCATTCATAACGAGTCAGTTGCGGAGGATTTTCGGACCATTCTCTTAACGGACCAATAGTGATGTAATAGTTGGGTAGTAAAAAAAAAAAAAAAAATCAGAATTTGTAATGAAGTTTCTTTGTCAAAATGTCAACTTGTGAAAATTAAAATAAAGGTTAGTAAATAAGCCTAAAATTTCAAGGGACCAAATAAATCGAATCATAATATAAAGCGAGAACAAAGACATATTCAATTAAAAAAAAAGTGTATAAAATGGATTTCATTACTTTGGTCTATGCTATCTATTTGCAAAGTACAGTTGTTTCAAGAAAGCGACGGCATGTTCTGTCTAATTCCTTGGGTCCATCCGAATCTAGAACCACAATTTTTGTATGCTTTCATTCGTCTGTCACGGCGAAAGCATCACCGCTTATCGTAATAAAACCGCCTGGTCAACAAGCCGCGTCATTTTGTCGGTTTGTGTTTTTTCTTTTTCCTCGGTTGAATATTGATAAATGTAAACAAGTGTGAATGATATGGGCTTCCATTCAGGAATTGGGCCAAGCCCAGGTCATTTATATTTTTAAAAAATCTTATTATCAAATTATTAAAAAACTTCAGCTCTGATGCGAATTGTGTGCAACCTCTTGAATGAACTTTCAAATCGTACATAGTACATCAATAATTCAGAAAAGTTCTGAATTTCCGAGAATCTGATACCAAACATTTTGTCTCGTAATCACTATAACAGACTTTGATTTTGATGTTCTCCCGAATTTTCTAAGAAACCAATACCACACTGAACGAAACTTGGATAATGCTTGGTCAAAGACATCCTTGATAACGCTTTAATGTTATCTTGAAAGACTATTCGGTGATATATGTCTTTATTTGCTAAAATGATATATTATATGTTGTTTGTTGAAAAATTTATATTAATGGTAAGTAATTGGTTTACTTCTGTTTATAAAGAGGAGAAGGATCGGACTTTATTCTGCCAACATATTATATTCTTTTTTTCGCCAAAACCACCGTATTATTTTCAGTTGTAGCATATACTATATATCCGTTCTTTAAAGATACAATATTTAAAGAAGAATGGGTGGAAATCGGTCGATAGATACAAAAATATTAATATTTTTTGTTAGGGGGGTTTTGCATGTTTCAGAAGTTTTTTTGTAAAGAAATATGTGATCTAGCATTTTTTTAAACCGGATTTTAACATATTTTACTGCCATCCTGCTGGATCCACATGATTTCCTAAAATTAGTGTGCAAGAACTCGTTTTTTTTCTCAACATAGTGCAAGAACTCATATTTTAAACTTTTCCTTAATTTCGGTAAACAGTCATCATTGGACACATTTCAAAGTGGATAACTATTGCGCAATAGTGTTCTAATACCGGTCTAATCATCCATGATTCATCGTTTCACGGATTCAAATGTCTATATATAAGAAATGTTTTATGCATTTAATTCGATCGCCATTTTTTCCACCGACCGACTTTCTTATTGTTACATTAATATTTTTTTGAAAGAAAAAAGAAAAAAAAAACAGAAGAACACAAAACACACATATACAATAAAAAGGTAAAAAAGGAAAAAAAAAAAAACTATTAGGCACTACGTTTGCATTTGTTGTAGTAAGTGCAAGTGGCGCGTCGCTGATTAGCTATTCCGATGCAATTACCGGCGATCTTAGAATTACAAGACGGCCCCTTCTGCAGAGCTGCGTTGGATAATTTCCTCCTCTGTTGCAGAATCCGCCGCACCACCGTCTCAACTCCCTCCTCTTCCTCCTCCTCCTCAACCGCTGCCGTTATACATTCTCCGACGGTGTCTCCGGGAGCACATCCGCTATATGTCAACCCACTTGTGGCGTTCCCTGCAGATACGGTTGCCGAAGCCGCCGCAAGAAGAAGCAGAAGAGAGACGATGGAGAAGAGGAAGAAGGAGAAAACTGAATTGGTCATGTCTTAAGCTAAGAAAGCTATAGGAGATGTGGAATGAGAGGAAGAAGATAATAATAGCCCCTCATTTTCTATCTTTATGCACATTTTTTAAAATAAAAAAAATCCATGAATTATTTGTCTTTGTCTTGTTGGTCATTGTTCTATTTCTTTTTTTGTCGGCAATTCATACTTGTTGGTCTAATAATTGCAGTTGGCCATTAACTCCAGTTAGATGTAAATATGTAATAGAGAGACGCATATATATTTATTCAATTAAGCAACAAATGATTGTACATTTGAACGTTAATCTTTTAGGGGTGAGTTTGGTATTGTACGTAGCAATATATTTGTTTCTTCATATACTAAACAATGTTGTGTTTATATAGAAACATATCAATTACAAACAAGTAAAGGGTTATCGATTATATGGTTTAGTTGGGACTAAATAAAATTTATCCGACATCTATTTAGAATTTAAGCTTAAAATAAGGTAAATTGAGAATTATTAGAGCTTTTCACATGGTATTATTAGAATGTTTTATTGATTAATTAACTTGACGTGGACTCTAAACACATCATTAGCGACAAATATTTTTTTTTAATAATTTTTTTTTATCTATTTTCTCTGGGATGAATTTACTATTTAGAATTTGATTTGTATTACGATGAAAATGATCTCCATTAATAAATATACAAATATATAGTGGCCTCTACATTATTGTAGGCGTTGATTGTAAGTTGTAACACATCTTAGGTAGGTCCAGTGGTCCACTGCTTTCGCTTTGGATAGGAGTAAGGTTGGCCATTGACTCTATACAACAAAATCAAAAGGGCTTTGGCAAGTTTTTTTCTAAGAGAACAAAGTCACTAAAACCCTCTAGATGAGCTGCCTAAAATAAAACAGATTTGCAGCCTATGTCCCATTTACAGGCACATTTTTATTTCTGGTGAAAACAGAACAACAATAAGAAAGAAATACAGATATAACCTTTGAAAAGACAACAAAGAAATAGAAACAAAATCACAAAATTAAACTAGCAATACAAAGGAAGCGAAATCCGCTGAGCCACTTTGAAACACCAGTTAGTGAATACGATGATGAAGACACATGTGAGTCTGGGGTTAAAAGTAAAGGCTAATTCCTGGCGATCTCAAGCAGATGTTTATGCAAAGCTTGTGGCTTGGAGAAGAAAGGAGCATGGTCAGCACCCTTTAACCGGTAAACTTTTTCCGGTGGATTACTATTGATCATGTTTTCTTGAAGAGTCACGGGTATGGCGTTGTCTTCAAGCGTCTCTATGTAGTATCGTCTAACTGATCCGTAGTTAGCATCTGAGAGAGAGAGTTTCTCAAGAACCGGTGCAAATGGGATTGACCTCATTGATACAGAAGCCAATGCAATGTCCTTTGAAGGGCTTTGATTAAACAAAAGGTCTCTAAGAAGAGATTTGTCTAAGTCAATGGCGGTTGGAGGTTGGTCATTACCATTTGTGTATATAAAAATCTGAGCTTTTCTCATCAAATCGTTCTGACCTGCCTGCAAAGTGTGTCATAATCGCAGTTAACCTATGGCACGGGACAAAACTTGAGACAGGAGAAGTAGAGAAGTGAGAAAGCAAACCTGCAGCGAGAACATATCTAGTGTACTTTGACCATTTGTCAGCATCGCTGCAGCGAGGAAAACCGCTTTTGAGATCTTTGAAGGAAATAGTTCCATAGCATAAGATGTACATGCTCCACCGAAATCGTGACCGACCAAGATCACCTGCACAATTTACATAAAACATTTTATAGTTTTCGAAGCTAAAGGGAAAAGAGTAGAAGTCAAAAGGCAAAAAGGAACAGAACCTTCTCTCCTATGGGAAGCTTTTCAAGAGTATCAGTAAGTGGCTTCACATATTGAGACAAACTGGCGATGCCATTAATATTCAACGAGTTAATACCGCAACCAGCTAAGTCTATGGCTGTAACTTTGAAACCATCTTCTTCGAGAAGCGCAATGGTTTTGTACCAACACCAAGCGCCGAAACCTCCTCCATGGATGAGGACAAAATGTTTTGTTTCCAAGTCATCTAGCTTTATACCCTATTCAAATACCGGGATAAAGAATTTTAACTTCCAGATAAATTATTTCCTATTTTGCAGGTCGGTGAGGTTTGTATGGCCCTCGGGGAAAACAGAAACTGAATCATTTATAAGATTAAGGTGAACAAACTGTCAAAACACTATCTATGGACATTCCTACATGGAAGATAAGAGCAACACATGAAGAGGATAGTTAAAGTTCAACAATGAGGTTTGGCTAAAAGGTAAGAAATTGGAATCACAATCTCAAGATTAAGATACTTTCAACATCAACATACCTTCCCCTTTTTTCAAAATATAATCTTCATTGTCCATAATTGATGATAAAATTATCAAAAAAAAAAAGAAGTATATATAGAGGAAGGTTCCAAGATTCAACAACTCTACTAGATACTTAAAAGATACACAATGCTTTTTTAACCACTAAATCAGCGGAGCCCAACAAGAATCAAAGAAACTAAAGAATATGAGAATCCAAGGTTTCATCATCAATTCCAAGAAAGTAGACTAATCAATGCTTATCACATATTTTCCATATGGTGCAGAAATCAATTGCAAATAGCATTGAGAATGAGCTCATTGCCAAATTCAAGAAAATCTATGTTGAAAAAAAAATAAGAGACTTGGCTTAATCAATGAAGTCCATTCAAAGTCAGAACCTGGTTAAGGAACTGATGAGGCTGTAACAGAGGATCCGTAGAGGACCTTGACCTCGAGCTTGAGCTCCGAGGCAACTGATTCTTCTTCGAACCAGAAACCGGATAACGTTGCGACGCGGACCGATCAAACGGAAGCGATCCGCCGTTCTGCTGTCTGAACAGAATGGCAGCAGCGGCAAGAGCGTGTTCCTGAATCACGGCATCTTCGAACTTGTTGTCCCTCCCAGAGGAAGAAGACGATCTGACCCGGTTCCAACGGTTGCTATTAGGACCCGTACCCGACCCGGCTGCGGATGATTGTCTTTTTGTGATGGGTCGTCTTTTCTTCACGGGCTTCGGCGGAGCAAACAAAGAACAGAGATTTCCCATGAAGAGAATCAAAAGGCTCAAGCTTGAGAGAGAGAGAGAGAGTGAAAAAGGTTTGGGCTTTATGGAGTTGGAGAGAAAGACGGTGACGTGGGGACTCAGGTGAAAGTGGCGAGAAAGTGGAGTGGAGAAGCTGTCAACTTTTCAATGGCCTTCTCAGCGTCTGTAACCGTGAGTCCAGAGAGGGACCAATGCAAAAGGAGAAAGTGCCTATGTTTTATAATTACATTCAATTTGTTTTTCTTCTTCTTCTTCTTTTTTTCCAACTTCAGTTCTCATTTTCTTCCTTTTCTACATAGATTATTGTTTTGCTTTTGAATAACCATTAGATTTTGAACAAAAAAACCATAACCATGAAATATGATGTGGAAAACTATTAAGAAAAAGTTGAATAAAAAATAACTATGTAGAAAAAAAAAAAGTAATCGTGAATTCGTAATCATCTTCGTGGACTTGGAACCTTAAATCCGGTCGGTATGCTTTTTCTATCCTACATATTAGCGTTTTAATATGTACAAACATAAATCAAGTCTCAAACTTCATTCTAATGTACTTGCGATTTTCGAATTTTTCTACCTCTTTGAAAATGGTAAATCCAACCACCACAAAGCTAACAATTTATGGAAAATAACAAACCCAACCATTTCTTTCTATTGCAAGTCTAACTTTCTCGTGGCTATCCACTTACGAAAACAAAGCACTCTTCCGCATTGAGCTTCATTAACAAATAGTAGAAAGGGAATGAATTACGCTTTTATTCAAAATATGATCATCACAAGATCAAATTTTTGTTTGGACCACCACTTTATATTATATAAAAGTGATTTTGAGCTAATCAGATCCCGAGGCATATGTCAAGATATGTAGAAGCTAAGCTATCATCATCACATAGCATGTGAATTCTCTCGCAATGCAATATGTATGCAATCATATGATAAAGTAAAGTGGTTTTAAATTTTAGTAGAAACTATTGACCATGGCCACTTTCGTCTCTCTTCAGCCAAAGAAATAACTTCTTAACTTTTTTGGTCAACCACCACCTCGACCAGTTTTCAGATGTCACAATGAGTCACATTCTATAGTACTACGATATGAAATACTGAAAACTGATCACATATACAACTAAAATGTGTTGAAAAAGTATATATATATTTATATAATATATATATATATATATATATCTCTAATCCGATAACAAATCAAACTTATTTAAATTTTCTACAACTTCTTCCACAAACTCAAACTATCGGTCAAGCGGTTCCTCCAGCTTTGCTGAAGAAGCTAGGTTCCTCCGAACATGGAATACATCATCCTTATTAATTTTGTCTTTTCTATTCATCATCAAGTAAAGCTCTTCGCATCGCAATGTCTATTGTGTCTCTTGGATGGGGAACGACCATTTTGATGGGTGTTGTCCAGTGCCAAAGTCACTGAATGAGTAAGTCACCAATCCCTAAAACGGTTATCAGCCGGTTGGCATGTCCCTAGTTCACCGAGAGGAGTATAGAACCCGCCGCTTATTTATTTTTTTCATATCCGAAGCAAGTTTTCAAGAAACTGCTCGAGTTTTAGCAAAAGTGTTAATATCTATATAATAAAGTAGCTATTTTGATTTGTTACTTTATGTGGTCAAGATGTAAATTTAAAATATACTAACGTGAAAACGCAATATTTAAGTCTACGAAAATAAGAGAGAAAAATTGATTCAAAGATTGATCCAAAACCATGGGGTGAATGCGAACTTGGGTCGAGGAGTTTGTGAATGTGAATCACGGACTCACGGTAATCATGGTCGAGATCTATGTACTGCGGGTGTGGTGGATGGAAAGACACGAAAACCAGTCCAATGTATATCAACTTGATCTAGTTATTGTATATGATTTTACTATTATATACCGTGATTTTACTATGTATTTTTCATCTATATCCCAATATCACATGGAAATGGAGTTACACACGAAAAAAAATTACAGAGTATAAATTCCAAACTGAAAAGTGAAAACAAAAAAAAAAAAATTATAAACGAGGCAATGGTTCTTGCTGGCAATACAAATACAGATATACAGGGGTTTAATTAGTTGGTTAATTAAATCAACCGACCCGAAGACCCGACCCGAAATTGACAACGCGAAATCTAAGGGCCCCACAAAGGCACGTACAAGCCACTAAACTCTTTTCTTCTGTCCTGATTTACTGAAAATTCCTGTTTCCCTCATCTATGGGGAAAGACCAAACGGCATCGAAAAGCTGTCGTTTCATCTTTCCGAACTCAGAGATCCTTAAATTCTTTCCTATACCAATCTAAATCACATTCTCAACACTGACTCCTTCTTCCTCAAGCCTCTCCACAAGGTCAACTCTCGATTTCCCTCTCTCCCAATTTCTTGTTTTAGTGACAAATTTTGTTGTTCTGGTTGTAAGCAAGATGAATTCGATGGAATTGACTCGTTTTTTTTTTCCTGGCTAGATTGATTCCTTTTATATACTCGAGCCAGTGTTTTAAATCTAGGAGATTAGTCGATTGTGTAATGGATATTGTCTAATGATTTTGATTCAGATCATCGTAAACATGAAATTGCGATTGCTAAGATTCATACTTTTTCTTTAGTAAAAAAAAAAGATTCAGACTTTTGTTTTGGTAAAACGTTTATTGTGGTTTTGAGTTGCACTTCTTTAATTGATCAAATCGTTCATGTAATAATGCTTAGTAATAGTGATTTTTTTTCTTTTTTTTTTATGATCTCTGTATTGAGCTTTCAACTTTTTTATCTCTTTGTATTTATTCCACTTTCTTCTCAACAGCTTAATTTGGAATAACAAGTAATGCAATTTTTGAGTTCCTCGGAGGATGAGAGCAATTGAACGCCCCGTAGAGGAGGAACCAGTGGTTAAGAAAGCTAGAATGATTGATAAGATAGAAACAGCGGTTGATGTTATGAAAGAGACTTGTGTTGCGTCAGGTGATGGAAGCGAGATTGGCCAAGTCTGTAAACTAAATGTTGAAGAAGAGAAAGATACTTGTGCTGAACAAGCTGAATCCAATGAGAAGAAGATAGAGGAGGATTCTGCACTGAGCTTGGCAGATAGAAAACATACTGACACAAAAGAAAGTCAGGACTTGCTGGTGAAAGTGAACGAAGTCGATGTTGTCTCAGGTGATGCTAACATAGAAAAGCTTCCTGTTTTAGAGCTAGAAAAGATAAATGTAGCTTCTGTTACATCGGCCGTCATAAGAAGAGATGAAATTCCGGTGACAGAGAGCAAAGATTCTTGTGTTGCTTCTTGTGGAATCAAAGAAGTGAGAAGGTCAAATCCATCGGTCTCAAGGAAAAAGCTTCTTGTTCTTGATCTGAACGGGTTGCTTGCAGATATAGTTTCTATTCTCCCTGATTGCAAAGCGGACATTAATATTGGAAGAAGGGCAAGTGAGTTCTCAAGATCTTTTGTTCATTATCACTTGTGAGTCCACACCAATACTATTTGAAAGTGACTTAATAAGTCTGCAATTTTTCCTTTGTTTCTGTCAGTTTTCAAGAGACCTTTTTGTGAAGAATTTCTGAAGTTCTGCTTTGACAAGTTTGAAGTTGGTATCTGGTCCTCGAGAAAGCAGTAAGAGATTACTCATATTGTTTATTCACACTTTACATATATGTAAAGATCATATGAAGTTACAGATCAGTTACTTCCATATCCGTGTGTATAATTGATTTTAACTTTTATTCTACTTATTACAGGAACAACGTTGACAGAATCACTGAGTTCTTGCTCGGCGATTGGAAGAGTAAACTGTTGTTTTGCTGGGTATGTAGTTCTTGTCATGCCCTCCCCTGTTTTGTTTTCTCGGAAAGAGTTGTCTGTCTTATTTTCATCCATTTTGGTTGTTGCAGGGCATGTCTTATTGTGCTACGACGACTGTTGGTTCCCTTGAAAATAGGCACAAATACGTGGTGTTCAAGGATCTAAAACAGCTCTGGGAGAAACACGACCCAAAACTTCCGTGGAAAAAAGGTGACTACAATGAAACCAACACGGTATTGCTTGACGATTCTCCTTACAAGGCTTTGCTTAACCCGGTAAGATTTTCGCACGTCCTCATCATCATCTTTGTGTCAATTTATATAACAGTTCTTTTAGCTCATCGATGTTTCAACTTTTTGAATGAATCTTCTGAATTTGTTACAGCCATTCACCGCAATATTCCCTCACTCATACGATCACCAGAACAAGACTGACGCATCTTTAGGTAAACCTCTTTTTCCCTAATTCTTATTTTCTTGGATTTTTACTTTTTATTTCTTTGGGGGTTTGGTAACGATCTTCTGGTTTACTTACCACCTATGCCTGCTTACAATGGAATTCAGGTAATGGTGGTGATCTGAGACTTTATCTGGAGAAGCTAGTAGAAGCTGAAAACGTTCAAGATTTTATCAAGAAGAACCCTTTTGGGCAAGAAGCAATTACGGAAGCAAGTGAATCTTGGGAGTTTTATAGAGAGGCCATTCGTATGCATACATACGCATTTAGAAACCACATACGGTAGAAAAAGAAAGGATTGTTGCAAGATTTTTGTGGGAAAAAAACAGATGAAAGAAAGAAAAATTAACTGTGATGTTCTTAAGTTGTTGTTGTTCTGTGTTTCATTATAGAAGGTGGAAACCACTAGTTGCTTACTTAGATCTGTGGACTATCTGGTTTAGTGATTTTGGTTTGGCATATTTTTGTTTAGAGATCCTCATTTCTCACCCAGATTTTTTTTTTTGTTTGGTTTTCTTTTTAATTAGAATTTTGGTTTCAATTTGTAACACCATCAGACATAACTTTCGTTATGGTTTATTATGTTTCGTAAGGAATTTGCTTATCCAGTATGTTGTGTAATGTAAATAACATAACGTTGAGTCGTGAGGTATGTTCGGTCGAATTGTAGCTATTAGTTGGTTGTTCAATCCGAATAAACTAATCTGATCTGTACACGATTTGAAGTAATCGATATGATTGATTAAGTATGTTTTAAACAAATTTCCTTTTCCTATTTTGGAAAACCGAATATTGTACCAAAGAACCGAAAAGAAATTGTACCAAAAGAATTTTAATCCTATCAACTAAAGTCAGATGGTTGACCAAAAATTAGGTTCTCGCTTCTTCACCAACAATCCCGCGACTTCTCTTCTCCATACTTACACATCTTCTAGGTAACCAATTTCTCCTTCTGCTCTTTAAAACCTCTGGTTCATGATTGCAATTCTTCGTGGATAACATGTGATTTTTTGTACATGTTATATTGAGTTTCATAGTTTCTGGGGTTGTATTTAATTAGCTGCTCTGCAAAATCGTCATGGTTTAATGCTAGATTATACTATATAGAGTGAGATTGATTGTTTACTGGTTCCTCTTGATATCAAATTAACGAATTCGTAAAGAGGTTTCATATTATTCACTGGATCACTGAGCTTAGAATCAGATCCACACCTTCATTGATTTGGCATTGTGCTGCAGAGTTACGGTGTAATCAACTATGCCTTGCACTTGGTCTCCTGCTTGTTTCTATACAAAAATAGTTATCAGGCTCTAATGTTGTCACTACAGACCCGCCCCGGTTTATACATGTGACAACACCAGTTGTTCTTCTTCCTTTTCTGTTTCTCAGGGAGGTGGTGATCGATTATGATTCATTCCTTAGATTTGCAGAGCTTTATTCTCCGAGCTCGAGTGCTTAAACTTTATAGGCAATCATTGAAGATAGCTCATAGAGCTCCTGCTGATGTTAGAGGTTAGTATTTTCATTTCTCTGGAACACTATCTTTGGTTGGAGAGTCCCACTCACATTGTGATGAGCTCGTGTAATTCATTGATCAAGCATATGGAAATCAACACTTGATCTGATTATACCAAATAGTATAAAGTTCAAGGAAGAATCAAGTTTGCAATTTTACCGACTAAAACTATCGTTATAAAATAAAGTTTGATTTGACCCACAAAACACTAATCTCAGTAGATATCAAAAGTTTTGTCTGATAACACTAATCTCAGTGGATAATTATCCTCTCAATTATAATTTCACAAGAAGGGATTTAATTGTGTAAACCATTGTTGAAAAAAGAAAGGACCATGTCCATTTCCGTCTTTTTCAAGCACATTCCAATTTCCACGCCACCTGACTCGTCGCGTCTCTCGGCCATCGAGATGGCCTCTCCTTGATCAATGGAGACAATATCAACCTTAACGGGTCTTCCCCACCCGAAATCCGATTCATAAACTCCCAATCGGGTCGACCCGGCCACCGTCCCGAGCTGTGTCCCTCTCGGTAACCCGAAGCTATCCGCGAACTCCTTCGCGATCGTCTCTATCCTTCGTGAACTCAATCCTCTAACCAAATCACTGAGTATCTCCACCGCCGTCGCGAATCCCTTCTCCTCCGCGAATTCCGCCGCCTTGTGGTTATAACTACCCGCCGGAAACATGCAATTTCCGAAGTATGTCGCCGGAAGCGGCGGATCTAACCGATCTCTGAAATCTCCAACGAAAAGAAAGCCAACGGGTCTCTCCTCGCTTCCTCCACGCGCCTTCACTAAGCAGCTCCACGCGTAAGCGTAAGCGACGACGAAAGTCGACAAGTGAAGTCCCCGATCTCGACTCGGTGACTCGCTCTTGACCCGCTCCTTGAGTTTCTCGATGTCATCGCGACCGAGCACGAGCGTCGCGAGAACGACGTCGTCTCCGAGTTTTCTGGCGGGAAACGGACTCAAGCTTCTGCTGCTCTTGGTTTTGTCTCCTTTGAGAGATCTCAGTATTTCGATCATCTTTTCGTCGATTCCGGTCATATCTTTGATCAACGACCGATCATAAGACGGAGTTAGATTCTCCGGTAGAGAAGATATTCCGTTACCGAGTAGCTGTTTGCAGATTTGAGCCCAAGCTTTGACGAACATGCTTGACGTTTTTCCGTCCAAAACGGCGTGGTGTGCGACGACGCCGATCGAGAATCCGTGGTTCGGGAACAACGTGATTTGCAGAGAGAAAGCGGAAGCTGAGTCGTCGGAAACGGGTAACTCGGGCAGTAGGTTGTGTAACCCGGAAACGGGACGTTGTCCATAGCCGGAGAGAAGAGAAAAATCATCTTCGCTCTCGGCTACTGTCACTGAAACGGCGTCGTTTTGGGAGACGACGATGCTCGGCTTGGGCTCGTTTGGATCCCAGGTGATGCGGCCGGAGAGAGGAAGATAGTCGCGGAGGACGAAGGAGAGGGAGAGCTTGAGGTTAGGGAGAATGAAGGAGTGGAAATGCTCACGAGTCGACTCGGTGAGTCTGTAAAAGAAGACTCGTTTGACTGGGCTGAACAATAGCCACGGTAGGTCGAAGAACGTTAAGGGGATTGTGAACGAGTCGGACGTGTTGTGGACCGAGTCTGCGGCGGGATTGACTCGGGCTACTTCAATGATGTCTAGTGTCATTACTGATTTACTAATGACGAAGAAAGTTAAAAAAACTTGATCGGTTCGCGCGAATATTAAATAGAAAACCTCTCTTGTAATTTACAACCTAACACTCAATTTTCCACGTGTTAACAAATGACTGGCTTATGTTCGTTAATTGTCACCAAATTACTATCTTGGGGTAGTGTTTGGTTGCAATAATCTTTATACTTTACGGCTAAATCACCATCCCTCCATGTGTCATCAAATGACTCACTGACTTCTAAAAGATTAAGGTCGTGACCGTAATTATATCAACCACATGCTAACAGCTGGTTTTCACGTTATCAAATGGGTAATTAACTCCATTTAATAAATTGATTGGTGATTGTTTTTTCTTGATTAAAAAATGATTATTGATTAAGGTTCAGTTTCAGGTGGTAAAATAATTGAAATCATTAGTTATAAAACATTAAGATGATCAAGATCTATCTCACTCTTTGAACTACCAACTCTTGTTAACCTAATCAACAATGGCTCTAAAACTAATCAAGATCTGCCGAGTTAGTCCTGCACCTGACTCGTCCAACGACTCGGTCGACCCACTCGTTCTCCCACTCACTTTTTTCGACTTGCGGTGGGTAAGATCACATCCTACTCAGCAAGCTATCTTCTACAAACTCTCAGAGTCATCATCTCGCGAGTTTTTTCACTCAGTGATTCTCCCCAAGCTCGAGCTCTCTCTCTCACTCGTCCTCCGCCATTACCTCCCTTTCGCTGGCGTGGAACGCACAAGAACCTAAGCCCCACATTGTTGTCTTCGGACACGACACTGTCTCGCTGACAGTGGCAGAGTCAGACGCAGATTTTTATCTTGTTTCGGGAAAAGAGCTACGCCCTCAAACGGAGTTACGTGTCCTGGTGCCTGAGTTATCAGTTACGCGTCTTGACTCGGCTTCTCTATACTCTTTACAAATCACATTGTTCCAAAACCAAGGGTTTTGCATCGGCCTAGCAGAACATCATGTTTTGAAAGATGGCACAGGGTCGATAATGTTTATCAAATCATGGGCTCACATTTGTTAATCATTGGTACACGGAACAATGACTTCTCATTGTGTTCCAAAGGACTTGACTCCAATTTTAGATCGTACTCTTATCAATGTTCCACCAGGTCTTGAATCAAAGATTTTGGAATTCATGTCCTACTTCTCAGATGGCAAATATGGCAAGAGGACGATGAAGCCGCCACCTTCAACGGAGGATACACGCACGGATCTTGTCCGCATCACACTTGAGCTGACTCGAGAGAAAGTTGAGAAACTTAAAGCGCAAGCAAAGCGAGAGTCAACTCGCTCTCAGCCTGAGCTTCATTTATCTTCTCGGCGTGAAGCTCCGGCGGCAAGTCAGCTTCAGTCATCCGAGGCGGTGTCCACTCGTCCTCTCCAATATTGAGTCTTCCACGTCTTATTTTGAAGGCGGCGGCAGGTCAAGTGGCGGCGAGATAAGAAGTGATCGATCCAAAAAATCAGGGTCAATTGATCGAGCTTGCCAAGTGTGGGCCATTTGATCAATCAAGCAAAGTCATAACCATGCATGCATCTGTACAAGTAAGTTCGATTTTCTCTTCATAGTTATCCGAGAATCATTTCAGTGGTTTAATTAGGATGGTGTTGATGTGGTTTCTGATTGATGGTTTGTGATGGATTGAAATAGGCATTGAATCTGTGCCTGTAGTGTTAGGTTAGCATTAGAGAGTAGAATCAATGCTTTGATGAATTAGGATGGATTTCTTGTGCTTTATGTCAAGTATGATCAATGCAAAGGTGTTATCAGTTAGGTGAAAACAATGAATGCTAATTACAAGAACAGAAGTTTTATGTTCTAACTAGAACTTTATGTTAAGTCTTGAACGTTTAACTCTCTCTTGAATGCTAATATAAGAAATTTTAGTTGAGCATTTATGGAATAAGATTGGACATATTCAAGATGACAACTATGTTTAAACTTTAAATTATGATTTGTTTTTCTGTGTATTCTATGTTTAAATTTTAAATAATTGAAATGATTTGTATTAATAAAATATTTGTATTTGAAAAAAAATTAATAAAAAAAAAAAAAATTTAGAGACTCTTATTACATACTGCCATTGGACACTTAAAATTTGAAAAAATCTATATGAGTTTCTAAATCCATAAAGTGCACAAAAACTATTAAAAAAAATCCCTTAGATCCCCTAACTACATACTATTGTTGAAGATGGTCTAAACGCCCTGCATATTTATGAGCATTTCTATAACTTTACTTTGAAACAAGTCAAACAACAATTATTTGGTTTTAAAGTGCAAAATCTGGAGAGTTAGGTTTGAGTAATCTTATAATCTAGAATGATACTGAAACATCTTTTAAAAATTAATTAACCACAAAACTTATAAAATCTCAAACCAAACATATCCACATGCAGGACAGCTGGTTCTGCTATAAAGATAATCATAATTTACTCCACGTGTTATAAATTATTGTAGTTGTTTGACTTGTAAACTACTAAAGTTTGTTGATTTTGTAGGAATCATGAATCTCGTGATATATAATAATAAGTATGAAAGGTCGGACAGAAAACATAATATAATTTTATGTATTAACATCTCTAGGAAATTAAAAGGAATCTCTAGAGACAACTCTCTCTCTTAAACCTTTGTTCGTCAATGACGCTAATAGTACACAAGATCTCCCGAGTCAACCCAGCAACAAACTCGCCTCATGACTCAACCGGCTCGCTCGTTCTCCCACTCACTTTCTTCGACTTGAGGTGGTTAAGTTTCCATCCCACCGAGAGAGTCATCTTCTACAAACTCAACAAAGACGACTCATCTCGCGAGTCCTTCTTCTCCGTGATCCTCCCCAAGCTTGAGCTCTCCCTCTCCGTCGTCCTCCGTCACTACCTCCCGCTTGCAGGTCGCCTCACGTGGGACACACAAGATCCTAAGCCACGCATCGTCGTCTTCCCCGACGACTACGTCTCCTTGACAGTTGCGGAGAGCGACGCTAATTTTGCACGTGTTTCCGGAAAAGGGCTACGTCCCGAGATGGAGATACGTTCTCTGGTTCCAGAGTTTCCAGTTTCTTGCCACTCGCCGTCTGTTCTTTCTCTGCAAGTCACATTCTTTCCAAACCAAGGCTTCTGCATCGGCATAGCAGCTCATCATTCTGTTCTGGACGGTAAAACAATGAATATGTTTATCAAATCATGGGCTCACATCTCTAAACATGAAACCACATCTTTGCCCGAAGATCTGACACCATTTTTAGATCGAACGGTCATCACTGTTCCTGCTCTTCTTGAAGCAAAAATCTTGGAACTTATGTCGTATCTATCACAAGACAAAAACAGCTTAAGATCACTGAAGCTGCCTCCTACGGAAGAGATCAGACCAGACCTAGTCCGGGTCACGCTCCAATTAACTCGGGAAAACGTCAAGAAACTTAAGGAGCGAGCCAAGAGCGAGTCAACTCGCTCTCATCTTGAACTTCATTTGTCAACGTTTGTTGTTGCCTATGCCTATCTGTGGACATGCTTAGTGAAGACGCGTGGTGGTGACATGGATAGACCGGTGCGTTTCATATACGCCGCTGATTTCAGAAGCCGGTTAAATAAACCGGTGCCTGAGAATTATTTCGGGAACTGCGTGTTCCCCATTGGTTTCTTTGGATATAAAGCAGGGCTGTTTTTGGGAGAAGATGGATTTGTCAACACTGTGGAAATTCTAAGCGATTCGGTTAGAGGACTTGGTCCAATTGAGAAAGCTTGCGAATTGTACATTGATGGGACGAAGAGAGTGGAACCGGGCACGCAGTTGGGATCCATTTCCGGGTCAAACCAGTTTGGGTCATACACATCGGATTTTGGGTGGGGAAAACCAACTAGAAGTGAAAATGTGTCCATTGACCGGAACGAGGCGTTTTCCATGTCGGAAAGAAGGGATGAGTCCGGAGGCGTGGAGGTTGGCTTGTGTTTGAAGAAATCTGAGATGGATACTTTTATTTCTCTGTTTCATAATGGTTTGGAAAATTAAACTTTTTTTTTTTTTGTCGCTTTGATTATGCGATCGTTGGACTCAATCTCAAGCTGATTTGGACTCCTTCCTTGACGAAGCGCATCTTCAAGGCTATCACACATTTCCAATGGTGTTCATCGGGATTGGGCTACTTCTTTGCTTTTTGAAATATTGAATATGCTTCTGTGATTATCAAAGACGTTTACAACACATATACATATATACAAGATATGAAAACCCTACTTTAGCTTGACAACCAAGCTATACAAACTGCCTTAAACCCAATAATGCTAACTTAGCTCAACCTCGTTAATAAGATCACATTGTTCCCGAACCAAGGGTTTTTGTAACATCCTTATTTTAGTATATGTAAAGACTTATAAGAATTGATTTGGCTATATATGTCATTAAAGTATATTTATCTGTTTGGCCATTGATCTTAGTTAAAAATGCTTGTTAAAAATACTTAAATTGAAGCAATTTCAAGATAGGTAACCTGGGCCCTAAAAAAAAAAGCGGTTGAGGCGTTTAAAGTTGATACGGCCGGTCTGTTTGGTTCCCAAAAGAAGGTGAGATTGATGTATCACAGTTTTGCATCGGCCCCTAGCAGAACATCATGTTTTGAAAGATGGCACAGGGTCGATAATGTTTATCAAATCATGAGCTCACATTTGTAAATCATTGGTACACGGGACAATGACTACTCTTTGTATTCCAAAGGACTTGACTCTGATTTTAGATTGTACTCTTATCAATGTTCCACCAGGTCTTGAATCAAAGATTTTGGGATCCATGTCATACTTCTCAGACGGCAAATATGGCAAGAGGACCATGAAACCGCCGCCAACCTCAATTTTCAAGAGCATTTCTATAACTTTACTTTGAGATAAGTAAAACAACAATTATTTGGTTTTTAAAGTGCCAACTGTGGAAAGTTAGGTAAATCTCAAACCAAACATAGCCACATGCATGACAGCTGGTTCTGCTCTAATGATACTCGTAATTTACTCCACTTTGTTATAGATTATTGCAGTTGTTTGATTTGTAAATTAATAAAGTTTGATTTTGCTGGAATCATGAATCTAGTGATATATAATCTTAGACCATCCACAACCCTGATACTTGGAGTTCATCAGAATTTTTTAATAATATTTTTGGTGATAAAACTAAATCAGAAAAATTACTTCCCATCATAAAAAATTAACTCTCTCCAACAGCCAATACGCATGTGCCACGTACCGTTGAACCTCGACGATACAGGTTCGTCCGGCTCATCTCTTTGAGACGGTATCAACGAGTATGTGGGTCAAAATGATTAAAACAAATCAAAAATATTACATTAAGCCTCGCTGATGAACTCGGTTGATACTGCGTTGTGGATGGTCTTATGTACTAACATCTCTAGGAAAAAAAAAAATCTCTAGAGAGAGTTAAGCTAACAACTCTGGTTTCACCACCTTTCTTCGTCAATGACGCTAATGATACACAAGATCTCCCGAGTCAACCCAGCAACAAACTCGCCTCATGACTCAATCGGCTCGCTCGATCTCCCACTCACTTTCTTCGACTTAAAGTGGTTAAAATTCCATCCCACTGAGAGAGTCATCTTCTACAAACTCAACAAAGACGACTCATCTCGCGAGTCCTTCTTCTCCGTGATCCTCCCCAAGCTCTCTCTCTCTCTCTCCGTCGTCCTCCGTCACTATCTCCCGCTGACAGGTCGCCTCACCTGGGACCCACAAGATCCTAAGCCACGCGTCGTCGTCTTCCCCGACGACTATGTCTCCTTGACAGTTGCTGAGAGCGACGCTGATTTTGCACGTCTCTCCGGAAAAGGGCTACGTCCCGAGACGGAGATACGTTCTCTGGTGCCCGAGTTTCCCTTTTCTTGCGACTCGCCGTCTGTTCTTTCTTTGCAAGTAACATTGTTTCCAAACCAAGGCTTCTGCATCGGCATAGCAGCTCTACATTCTGCTGTGGACGGTAAAACAATGAATACGTTTACCAAATCATGGGCTCATGTCTTTAAGTCATGTCTTTAAAGATGGATTTGTCAACACTGTCCAAATTCTAAGCGATTCGGTTAGAGGACTTGGTTCAATTGAGAAAGCTTGCGAATTGTACATTGATGGAATAAAGAGACTGGAACCGGGCACGCAGATCGGGTCCGTAACCGGGTCAAACCAGTTTGGGCCATACACGTCGGATTTTGGGTGGGGAAAAACCTACTAGCAGTGAGGTTGTGTCCATTGACCGGAACGAGGCGTTTTCCATGTCGGAAAGGAGGGATGAGCCCGGAGGCCTGGAGGTTGGCTTGTGTTTGAAGAAATCTGAGATGGATACTTTTATTTCGCTGTTTCACAATGGTTTGGAAAATTAAACATTTTTTTTGCTCGCTTTTGGTTATGCGATCGTTGGACTCTCTAATACTCACTTATCAAGTCGAGATCTCAAGCTGAACGAAGCGCATTTTTACGGCTATCACACGTTTCCAATGGTCTTCATCGGTATCCATCTTCACGGCCGGCTACTTGCTTTGCATTTGTAAGTAGTAGCCATACATAAGTTTTATGAATTTCTCTCTTCATCAGAACTAATTACTATTTATTTAAGAGAGAAACTTCTGTTTTCTGAAGTATTGATCTAAAATGGTTAAATTTTGAACTTTTATGTTTTTTAATTATATTTAAAATTTCTTACTGAACATATCGTATATCCGACCAATTAAACATTCAATAAATATATGTAAACACAAGATTTAAAATAAGGAATACCAAAAATATGAAAAAAACATCAAGTTTATCATTATGATGAGTACTAAAAAAGAACCCATTAATCATATGTCCTATAAATGGAGCTAAAATTAAACTTACACTAAATTTTCAATAAAACTATCAATCAATGTTGTATATATTATAACCTAAGTATTGCTTTTTTTAATTGGAACTACAATTAAACTTATACCAAATTTCCATCCTTTGATATTTAATGATATTTAAAGAAAAACTAAAAGAAAACTGAAAAAATATAAAATTTGAAAAAAGAAACTACAAAAATTGAAGTCTGTAAACATTTCATCGAGACATGTCAAAATTTATCTAAAGTTGACACAAATCATATTAAGCTATAATTAACAATGTATATCAGACTAACATAAATTAATTAACATATCTAAGTTCAATATAAATAAGACTGATTCGTGCAATTTGATGTACTAATCTAAAGAATCCAAACTAGCTAAGAGTACTTACATCCTCCATCGATGGCTCTAAACGTTACCAAGATCTCTCAAATCAGCCCCTTGTCGGATTCATCCCGCGAATATCCATTCATTCTCCCACTCACTTTCTTTGACCTAAGGTGGCTAAGTTTCCATCCCACACAACAAGTCATCTTCTACAAACTCTCTGAGTCATCTCGCGAGTCTTTCTACTCTGTTATCCTCCCAAAACTTGAGCAATCTCTATCCGTCATCCTCCACTACTATCTCCCTCTCGCTGGTCACCTCAAATGGTACCCTCAAGATCTTAAACCGTGCATCGTCGTCCTTCCGCACGACACTGTCTCGCTGATCGTGGCGGAAAGCAGCGATGCAAATTTCTCAATTGTTTCAAGCAAGGGGTTACGTCCTGCGAAGGAGCTACGTCCTCTTGTGCCGGAGTTACCGGTTTCTGGTGACTCACCAACGTTACTTTCTCTACAAGTAACATTGTTTCCAAACCAAGGGTTTAGTATTGGCATTGTATCCCATCATGTCTTTATGGACGGCATAACAGCTCAAATGTTTACTAAATCATGGGCTCACATCTGCAAACACGGAACAACGGCCTTACCAGAGGATTTAACTCCGTTTTTAGATCGTACTGTCATTAATGTTCCGGTCGGGTTGGAAACGAAGATGCTGGAGTTTCTACCATACCTTTCAGAGGACAAAGACAATGCAAGAACCCTGAAGCTACCTCTCACGGAGGAGACCGATGCAGACGTTTATCGGATCACACTTGAGCTGACTTTAGAGAATGTCGTGAAACTTAAGGAACGAGCCAAGAACGAGACAAATCGTCCTCACCTTGAGCTTCACCTTTCAACCTTTGTCGTCGTGAACGCCTATCTCTGGACCTGCTTGGTGAAAGCGCGTGGAGTTGATGTGGACAGACCGGTGGCTTATGAATACGCAGCTGATTTCAGAAACCGGTTAGGCCCATTGGTTCCTAGGACGTACTCAGGGGCCTGCGTGTTTCCGATTAGTTGCTTAGGATACAAAGCGAAGTCATTTCTGGGAGAAGATGGTTTCATCAATGCGGTTGAAATCCTCAGCGATTCGGTTAAAGGTTTGGGATCACAAGGGATTGAGGTAATCTTTGATTTGTGTGTTGAAAGAGTGAAGAACATAGAACAGGGTACACAAGTTTGGGCCGTTTCTGGGTCAAACCGTTTTTCGGTTTATGAGTCCGATTTCGGGTGGGGAAGACCGGTTAACAGTGAGACTGTGTCCACTGACCAGTGTCAGCTTCTTTCGATGTCGGAGATGAGGGATCAGACTGGTGGTGTGGAGATTGGTCTGTGTTTGAAGAAAAGTGAGATGGATGTTTTTATTTCTCTGTTCAAAAATAGATTTGAAAACTAAAATGTTCTAATGGCTTTTGATTGTGAGACTTTCTCGTGCTGACTTGTTTGAATCTTTTATCTATTTTGTTTCCCAACAGATTGTGTTTTATTTTGGATATAAATTGCAAATTCGTTTATGATCGTGTAATTGGAAATCTGATTTGAAGTATACTAGCATCTCATAGAATAAATCTATAATGTGTAGACTTCACATAATTAGGTTTTTGTGGGTGACTAAATTGTATGGAATCGGAAGCGGAAGCGTTTGAAAGCGGAGAAGCGGATTTTCAAAAAAATTAGAAAGTGAATATGGGTTGGAAACGTTTATATATAACTTAAGATTTTTCTATAGTTAAGTTATCGTTAATCTTTTTTTTTTTAAAAATACCTAGTCGAAGGAAAAATGACAGTAAAAAAAAATAAAACAGTGCCTCAATTGAGCCAAAATAATAAAAAAGAAATGGTAAACAACACTAAAAAAAGCACATGGAAAAAATTAGTCATCTTATTCCTTTAATATCTCGTTGGACCAAAAAATAAATCGACGACAATGTTTTCAATTTTTCACCACCGATGTTTCCATGACTGAATCGTGCGCTTCCATCGCGATTCTAAATGACTCATTTGGAGAATCGCGATTCCAAGACGCTTCCGCACGATTCCGCTCACGCTTCCAATTCTGAAGCGGGAATCGCATGTACTTAGGTGATTCCATGCTAGGTAGGTGGGTGATAGAAAAATTTTCAAAAGATTATTAAATGGCAATTTTATGGAAAAAAAAACACATGTTTCGATCATTTTTACCGCGTTGACCGCCTTCTTTTTTACCGCGTCCCTGAGCTCACTCGCTCACTCTCGTCCATAAACTTAAATCCTCTCTGGTCGCCACGCTCCTCCACTATCTCCCACTCGCCGGGCGTCTCGTGTGGGACCCAAATGACACTAAACCATCCATCGTCTATTCTCCTGACCTCCAAGATGCCGTCTACGTCACGGTATATTTGACAAAAATTTCCGATAAAAAATATGGTCGGAAAAATTCCAACAGGTTTCCAAAAAATTTCTGAGGAGCATACAAAATTTTCAGAATTTCTTCGAAAATTTCCGACGAAATAATTTAAAAAATAATGGTTTGGAAAAGTGAACAATTTTTTTGGTCGCTTTTGATTCTGCGATCGACTCAGTCTCAAGCTGAATTGGACTCCTTGACGAAGCGCATCTTCACGGCAATCACACGTTTCCAATGGTCTTCATCGGGATCAGGCTATACTTCTTTGCTTTTTGAAATATTGATCTAATTAGTGGTTAAATTTTTAACTTTTTTATGTGCGTCTTTCATTTTTTTATATAATTATCGGATATTCTTTCTTTCGAAACATTCTTACGAAACATATCGGATATCCTTTCTTTCAAAAAACAAAAAAAATATCGTGCGTCCGACCAATTCAACTTTCAAAATTTTAAATATAGGTAAACACAAGATATCTTGTTAGTTGTACAACGGATACTGATTGGAAAGATATTGATTTCTATGTAGCAGAATGGATATGAATACCATAAAAATATAAATATTTGTTTCCTGCCTATCCTTAGCCTCCATAATAAGATTTAAAATAAGGGATACCGAAAATATGGAAAACAAAGATTAAGTTTATAATTTTGGTGAGTACTACAAAGGAATCCATTAATCATATGTCCTATACATGGAACTAAATTTAAACTTACACTAAATTTTCAATTTTAAAACTATCAATCAATGTATGTCTGTATATTAGAACCTAATTAATATTACTTTTTTATTGGAAAATTTAATTATACCAAATTTCCATCCTTAATATTAAAGAAAGACTAAAATAAGCCGACAAAAGAAAGGCTAAAATAAAACCTAAAAATAGAAAATTTGAAAAGAGATATATACTATTTGTTTTTTTTTAAATCTATCTAAACATTTCATCGACACATGTCAAATTTATCTAAAGTTGACACATATCTAACATCAATGTATATCAATGAATATCAGAGTAACATCAATTAACATATATACTTAAGTTCAATATAAATAAGACTGATTCTTGCAGTTTGATATACTAATCTAAAGAATCCAAACTAGGACTACTTAGTACTTACATTCTCCATCGATGGCTCTAAACGTTATCAAGATCTCTCATATCAGCCCCTTGTTGGATTCATCCCGAAAATATCCGTTCATTCTCCCACTCACTTTCTTTGACCTAAGGTGGCTAAATTTTCCTCCCACCCAACAAGTCATCTTCTACAAACTCTCCGAGTCATCTCGCGAGTCTTTCTACTCTGTTATCCTCCCAAAACTTGAGCAATCTCTCTCAGTCATCCTCCGCTACTATCTCCCTCTCGCTGGTCATCTCAAATGGTACCCACATGATCTAAAACCGTGCATCGTCGTCCTTCCCCACGACACTGTCTCGCTGATAGTGGCGGAATGCAGCGATGCAGATTTCTCCAGTGTTTCAAGCAAGGGGTTACGTCCCGCGAAGGAGATACGTCCACTTGTGCCCGAGTTACTGGTTTCTGGCGACTCACCAACGTTACTTTCTCTACAAGTAACATTGTTTCCAAACCAAGGGTTTAGCATTGGTATGTATCCCATCATGTCTTTATGGACGCCATAACAGCACAAATGTTTATCAAATCATGGGCTCACATCTGCAAACACGGAGCTATGGTCTTACCAGAGGATTTAACTCCGTTTTTAGATCGTACTGTCATTGATGTCCTGGATGGTTTGGAAGAGAAGATGTTGGAGTTTCTTCCGTATCTTTCGGAGGACAAAGACAATGCAAGAACCCTGAAGCTACCTCTCACGGAGGAGACAGTCAGACAGATGCAGATGTTTATCGGATCACACTTGAGCTGACTTTAGAGAACGTCAAGAAACTTAAGGAACAAGCCAAGAACGAGTCAAATCGTCCTCACCTATCAACCTTTGTCGTCGTGAACGCCTATCTCTGGACCTGTTTGGTGAAGGCGCGTGGAGGTGATGTGGACGGACCGGTGGCTTTTGTATACGCTGCTGATTTCAGAAACCGGTTAGGCCCCTTGGTTCCGAGGACATACTCAGGGAACTGCGTGTTTGCGATCAGTTGCTCAGGATATAAAGCGAAGTCCTTTCTGGGAGAAGATGGTTTCATCAATGCAGTTGAAATTCTTGGCGATTCGGTTAAAGGTTTGGGATCACGAGGGATTGAGGTACTCTTTGATTTATTTGTGAACAGAATGAAGAAGAAAGAACATGGTACAGAAGTTTGGGGCGTTTCCGGATCAACCCGTTTTTCGGTTTACGAGTCCGATTTCGGATGGGGAAGACCGGTTAACAGTGAGATTTTGAACACTGACCAGAGTCAGCTTCTTTCGATATCGGGGATGAGGGATGAGACTGGTGGCGTAGAGATTGGCCTGTGTTTGAAGAAAAGTGAGATGGATGTTTTTATTTCTTTGTTCCAAAATGGATTTGAGAACTAAAAAGTTTTAGTGGCTTTTGATTGTGAGAATTTCTCGTGGTGACTTGTTTGAATCTTTTATTTATTGTGTTTCCCAACGAATTGCGTTTTATATTGGATAGAAATTGCAAATTCGTTTATGATCGTGTAGTTGGAAGCAATAATATGTGGACTTCACAGGACAGAAGCATTAGGTTTTTGTTGATGATAGAATATTTACAAAAGATTATCAAATGGCTTTTTTATGAAAGGAAAACAAAAAGCACAGTTTTCTATCTTTGCCTACAATCTTGCAAAAGATAAGGGTCTCATTCATTTGTTCAAACCTTTAGTATATGTGATCTAATTGTTGCAAGTGTTGAACATTTATGAAAATCTTATGATATAAAATTAGAAAAAAGAAAAAGAAAACCAGTAAAATAGATTAGCTTGTTCTACTTTATATTTATTTTTTTTTGCTGATGAATATCATATACCGTATACACCCACCGGTTGGGTAAAATATGCAATTCCTCATCAAATCTAGCAGGTGGTTGATTTTTCTTGGGAGAGAAGTAAGTAAAGACCACAACCTCCAAAGAAGCTTTACGCCTGCCTATACATAGTCAAACACTCACAAATCAAAAAAGTCAAACAATACAAGTTCTGACTTTGATACCGAGACATGGTGCATTCCAACTCAACCGTTAACAATCTCGAGGTGGTCCGAGTTAGCCCACCACCACCTTCAAACTCGCTCACACTCCCACTCACTTTCTTTGACTTAGGTTGGCTCAAACTCCATCCCGTTGACCGCCTTGTCTTTTACCGCGTCCCTGAGCTGACTCGCTCTGTCCTCGTCAATAAACTCAAATCCTCTCTCTCCGCCACGCTCCTCCACTATCTCCCACTCGCCGGCCACCTCGTGTGGGACCCAAATGAAACAAAACCGTCCGTAGTCTATTCTCCTGACAACCAAGATGCCGTCTACGTCACGGTAGCTGAATCTAACGGTGATCTCTCCCGTCTCGCCGGAGATGAGCCTCGTCCCGCCATCGAGTTTCATCCTTTAGTCCCTGAGTTACCGGTTTCCGAAGAATCCGCTCGCGTTCTCGCCGTTCAGATAACGTTCTTCCCAGGCCAAGGGTTTTCTCTAGGCGTGACCGCACATCATGCCGTTTTGGACGGGAAAACGACAGCCATGTTTCTCAAAGCATGGGCTCACCACTGTAAACAAGAACAAGATGCTCTACCACAAGATCTAATCCCTTCTTTAGATCGTACGGTTGTCCGAGATCCAACCGGAATCGAGACAAAACTCTTGAACCGTTGGATTTCGGCTTCCGGCAACAAACGAAGCTTAAAGCTGTTTCCGTCCAAAGAAATCGGAGCCGACATTTTCCGAGTCACGCACCGGTTGACTCGGGAGAACATCCAGAAGCTACGCGAACGAGTCGAGACCGAGTCACGAGACGGAGCCGAAAAGCTTCGTTTGTCGACTTTCGTCATCACTTACGCTTACGTCATAACATGTATGGTGAAGGCGCGTGGAGGTGAACCGAACCGGCGCGTGTGTATTGGTTTCGCATCAGATTTCCGGTCCCGGTTAAACCCTCCGTTGCCGTCGACGTTCTTCGGGAACTGCATCGTCGGGTCGGGAGATTTCGACGCGAAGGCAGAGCCAGTTTTGGAAGAAGGAGAAGGGAAAGGTTTTGTCTCGGCGGTGGAGAGTTTGAGCGGATGGGTCAACGGATTGTGTCCGGAGAACATAGAGAAGAGTATGCTTTCGCCGTTCGAGGCGTTCAAGAGGATGGAACCGGGTAGACAGATGATTTCGGTTGCTGGGTCGACCCGGTTGGGAATTTACGGGTCGGATTTCGGGTGGGGAAAACCGGTGAAGGTTGAGATAGTGACGATCGACAAGGACGCGTCGGTTTCGTTGTCGGAGAGTGGAGACGGAACCGGCGGTATTGAGATTGGTGTTTGCTTGACGAAAGATGACGTGGAACGTTTTGGTTCGTTATTTTCCCGCGGGTTGAAATAAAGATGAAACATTTTTGAGAAATAATTGAGTTTTTTTACATATCTAATGAATAACTTCATAAACTTTTTTAAGTAATATAAAGACTCAAAAGGATGTCATTTTTCTTTACTAAGTATGATCGTTCATTGACATCTACTAAGTATGATCCGATTGTGTCTTTGCGTATATGATCATTAGAAATCAAAAAATTGAAAACATAAAGAAACAATCGTCACATTTCCTTAAGAATCATCATCGATTTTTTACTACATTTTTAGATCACACAGTATATCAAAGTTAAAGAGTGGGTGGAAGTAAAATGGGCTAACACCAGTTTATCTTAGTTACTAACAAACTGAAGCCCATTACCGGATTCAAGCAAATAAAATTCTTCGGGTCTGGTAGACCAAATACAAACGAAGTCTCTTACTCTTCTCCCATTTGATTAAGTAATCAGTGATTAACAAAAATTAATCAATTGGTATTTAGGCTACCAAAATCTCTATTTGTACCTTTATTATAATATACAATGTGCAATTAGGTTGGTATTGACATGCAATGCATATTGTTACTTTTGGACAATGTCTTTTCGTTTGTTGGTATATTTTGGGTTTGAATGTACCAAAATAATTCTGTATATGCATTTCTTGACGGGATTATTTATAAATTGTTAAATTCGAATAAAAACAGACAATAAAGCATTATCTCACTGTGAGAATAAACCATAATCTCTTAATTATCTCTTCTACTTCTAGAATTAGTAGTAACAATGTCTTCTTATATAGTAACCAAAGAATTTTGAGATCCTTTCTCATCATAGGAATTAATTGTTTTAATTATAGTACCACACATTAAAGATTGAAAACACAATCATCAAAAATGAAGAAACCACTTTTTCTGAAGAAATTAAAAACACCTATCATGTGTAACCTACATAAGTTAGTGATGTAGTACTAAATTAGACGTAACAAAATATTGGAATTTAGATTATATTAGTTGAGTACCTTTTCTATATCTGAATAAAATCGCTTTCCATATATTTCCTCTGCACTTTATAATTTGGTTTGATTGATTGGTTTGCTTAGCTGTTGTGAAGCAATGGGAGAAAGACACGTGTGTGACTGTCGAGAATGTAAACGTGTCAAACACCCAGAGGAAAGACGTCGATAGATTTGTACAAGTTGGGTTAAAAGAGTAAATGGTTATGGGGTCCATCATCTGATCTCTTGTCGATTTCTTGCGTGTTCTCTGGAGATTCTCTTGCTCCGTAAATTCACGAGTATCTTTTCTTTTGTTGTAGTCAAATTCCATACGTATCTTTCACATGCTTTGTCTTCCTTTCTTTTGAGTTTTGTTTTGCCTATGATCTACTCTTTTGAATGGTGGATTGGTTCGTGTGTTCGGCGTAACCTGAGAGGGAGATATATTTTGATTACTTAACTGAAATCAGTAATATAAAATAAATATCTAAAACTATTATTTCATGCTCGATGCATTTTTTTACTGTAAATTTTTATGTTCATTGTTTCATGATTCAATCTTAGTTAAATAAAACATGTTGACGATAAAAAAAAAATAAACATAAAAAGCGAAGGTTCTAAGAATTATGTGTTCTGAAACGGATCTCCATTAGTCCTGTTCGCTCTATTTTATTGTTGAATATTACTAATTCGTTCAAATATTAAAAAAAAATCACATAGTCAATTATGTCAAATATTCGAGTTTTGTACTTTTCATTTTTAAATATATTAGAGTTTGTCAAGTTGCGTTACTCTTAAACTTTAAACTATATGAAGAAAAGAAAAGCTTCTATCAGAGCAAAAATGAATAAAAAGCGACAGATAGGAACAGCCCAATTTCCAAACAAATTTCCACGTGTCAACTAATCCCCAAGGGCCAAAGAGAGAAGAGAAAGTGAACGTAGTGGGACACGTGGCGAAACAGAAGATCATGTGATTGGAAACAGACACAAGGACACGTGACGACCTGACGCTGCGACATCCCATCCTGCGAGACGACTACCATTGAACTTAAGACACGTGTCCGGTTTTGGTACGAGTAGGCCTGAACGTTCGGATATTCATTCGGGTTCGGTTCGGATAATTCGGTTTTTCAGATTTTCGGTTTTTAGATTTAAAACCCATTCGGATATTTTTGGAATTTCGGTTCAGGTTCGGTTATATTCGATCGGTTTCGATTCGGGTTCGGATATCCAAAAAATAATAAAATTAAATAAAAATAATTATATTTAAATAAAATTAGTTAAATTCAAATAAAATTTGGCAAAATTTTTAAAATATAATTAAAAACTTAGTATGTTTAAATTATTTTGGATTTTTCATCATTTTCAGAATAAAAATAATTCATATTTTGGATTTATAATTGTAATTTTAAGTTATTAAATCTAATTGTAGTTAGTATTTTGGGTATATAATTGTATTTTGGATATTTCGGATATCCATTAGAATTTTTGGTTCGGTTTGATTCGGTTTTGGTTTTTCGAATTTAGAAATTTAAAAACCGTTTGAATATTTTATTGATTCGGGTTCGGTTTCTCTTTTTCGAGTCAGGTTCGGATAAATTTTTCGGGTTCGGATAATGTACCAGGCGTAGGTACGAGTCTGGCTTTTAATTTCACGATCTTTGATTTTTGGAAAACCACGTGGTGTCCTAAAGTCCTGACTCCTGAGGGCAGAGTCTTCCACGATTCCACGTGGCATTAATGCACCAAAGAAAGGGTATTATGGGTATTACCGAATAGACACAGACAGCTTTTTGATTGATTTTCTCACTTTTTTCTTCTTCTCTTCGTATCCATCTTATCTCTCTTCTCTCTTCCTATCTAAATTCTCTCGGGCTCTTAATTTTTTGGATTTTATTTTTGTTTCGTAATTTCTAAATGTTCGTTCGAGATTTGTCGGAGAAAATTTCGGTAAAATGTTGAATTTTGTGCGATTTTTTTGAATAAAAGGAGAGGTCGTCATCTTTTTTCTTTTTCTTTTCTTCTACTTCGCAAATTGAAGAATGGAATCTTCGAAAATTTGATATTTGCTCTTTTCTTGGGATTTGAATGCTTTTTCATACCATCAGGAATCTGTTCGAGTTTCCAGTTTTTCTTCTAAATCTTAAATATGTCGGAAGCTGAGAAAAGCCGGAATATTCCTCCCCGACGAACCCCTCCTAGAGATCTGTTGCAGAGGTTCATGTCCAAAAACCAGAAACTATCTGACGAAAGCAACAACATGGAAGATGGAGAGGTAGAGATTGAGCTAGACTTGGGGCTTTCTCTAAACGGCAGGTTCGGTGTGGACCCACTCGCGAAGACGAGGCTCACGCGGTCTTCCTCAATTCCTGATTTCGTGGTCAACGATAGATCGGAGCTGAGTAGGACTTGCTCGTTGCCGGTGGAGACAGAGGAGTGGAGGAAGAGAAAGGAGTTGCAGAGCTTGAGGCGGCTCGAGGCCAAGAGAAAAAGGTCAGAGAAGCAGAGAAACGTGAGAGTACTTAGAGAGAAACACAAAGCTGGAGGAGGAGGAGGAGGAGGAGGAGAAGAGAAGATTGTAGAAGAAGGATCTATTGGATCCTCTGGAAGTGGTTCCTCTGGTTTGTCCGAACTCGATACCATCCCTCCTCCTGTTCAAGGTACCCACCAATTTTCATCATCTTACATACTTTCTCTGGTCTTTTAGGATTGAGTTTTTCGGTGGGGTTTCTGTTTCTTGTTTAGATATTTGATTCTCCAGGGTACCAAATCTTGAATCGTTACCTTCTATGATGATCAAAGTCGTATTTTTTAGGGTGGATCAGTTGTTTAACACGCAAATGCAACTTAGACATAAACCACATTGTTGTCAAAAACACAAAGCTAGTCTTATCTTATTCTAGGCTTTGTGACATTTCCGTTGGTGTTTTGATTTGGAGTGTTATTGAGATTCAATTTTTGCTTGTGGTTGAAGCAACAACAAACAAGCCCATGGAAACAAGTCCTTCAAGTGCGCAATCTGTACCGGAGAATCCGGCAGGCCGAAACATCATAGAAGACATGCCATGCGTGTCAACAACAGGTGATGGACCAAACGGGAAAAAGATCGATGGGTTTCTGTATCGATACAGGAAAGGTGAGGAGGTGAGGATCGTGTGTGTGTGCCATGGAAGCTTCCTCTCGCCTGCAGAGTTCGTTAAGCATGCTGGTGGCGGTGACGTGGCACATCCTTTAAAGCACATCGTTGTAAATCCATCTCCCTTCTTGTGACCCTATATGGTCTCTTTGGGACAGTTTCTCTTTACTCAAATTGTTTGTATCGATTCGAAACAAAATGTTACAAATTCTAATATCTTTGAGGTCTATAAACAGAAATTAAATTTATCCAACTCCCTGATTTCAGATTTTATACGTAAGAGAATAATCTAAGTCGTTCTTGCTTAGTTGGTATGTGGCATTGTAGGAGATCGATTTTCGGCTTCTACGAAATAGCAACACAAATCTTCTAAAGGTTGAAATGTCGAGGTTATAATCCGGTCCGTCTAAGTTTTACAAGTCGTCATGTTAACGTATCAGCCGGTTCAATGGAGAAAAACCAACATATGGTGAATTGAATCAGAGAGATGTGGCCGTTTTTTTTTTCTGAACAAAAGGGGAAAAGAATCAAGATTTTTAAAATTATTATTGGAATTGTAATCTCTGTTGCGTTTATTTCCTATTTCGTAGGATTATATATGGTTTTAATGTTTGGTTTAATTTGTTTTCTAAGATTAGTTGTTGATTTATTAATTTCCTTTTTTGAAAGAAGAGAAATTGTACTTGTACCAAAGTTTTTTTCAAGAAGAAAATTAAGAGTTTGGCTGGTTTAAAATTACGCGGGTTTGATAATTTGTGGAGCGAATCGGATGGATATCCAAACGAATACGAAGCAAATATAGATCGGAAAATCGTTGATCCAGGTGAAAAGAAGCAGATTGTGAATAACTTCAGAAAGTAAAAATATCTACTCTGTGCCTACTTCGATTGATTAGTTTTTACTTTTTTTTTTCTTTGATAAAAATTTTCGTTAGTTCGGTTTAGTTTAACCAATTTGAACAATAGAACTAACTCCTAACGATTGTTCAGAATATTTTACAAGGGGAAGCATCAGAGCTTTTCAAATATGTTTGTGCATGCTCCTTGTCCAGAAGAACCTTATGACTATCAGCGATGATATCGCTGTTACTCTTTGTAGTAATTTGATCATTAAAAAGAAAAAATAGTTGGAAAGAGTGTTGCGTTACGAACCTATCGATCCAATGTGGCTGTGCCGTGGCTTCTTTCATTTCATATCAATAATAACTTAATAAGTTATCTAAATTACTGTTGGTTTAACTGGTTAGAGTAGAGTAGCTAGTAATGTTTTATAGCTACTAGACCCGAGTTTAACTAGTAGATGCTACAAGCTCATCTTGAATAAAAGAACACTATTGGCCAAATACTTCCTGATTGATAACTTTCTATATAATAAAACAGGAAGGGACTTTCTTTCTCCTTTCAAAACCAAATTACAAAACCCTTTTGGTTTCCTAGTTCAAAGGGACATTTTTTTTTTTTTTTAAAACCGTTATTTTTATTGATCGCAACCGATTACAAGAGCATGGATTAAAACCATACAGATACTGTTTTTTAGAAATTACAGAAACCTGTAAAGATTGGACTTTTTTTCTCCTTTCAAAGAAATTTTAATTGAAGTCAAAAAGATGGCTTCACCAATAATTCAAGTTTCTAGGAAGACCAACTTTGAAAGACAGGATACTTATTCTTGAATTTTTTGTAACGTATTCTTTAAGTTTTTAGAAAAGGTCCAACTGTTGGTTTAAGGCATTCTACTAAAATATACAATCCTCTATTACAACAAATTGTGTTCCTTGGCTTCTAGTTCCATCAGTTTACATATCTATCTTGTGTTTTAATTATGATTATTATGTGCGTGACCAAAAAAAAAGATTGTTATGTTATAGGATTTTTTTTTTCTTTGATGATGATATCATTATTTTCCATTTGTTTGTTTATACCGATTCTTATATCTTTAGATTTTTGTAGTTGTCAGGCTTTAAAGATTGGAAGACCACATTATTTTATGTACTTGACTTATGAAAGTCAATCAAGTTATCTTCCCATGAAAGAAGATTCTAAGCTTTTGACTAGAACACCTTAATTTTATCATATATACGTGAGTACAAAGTAAAGTTAGTTTTTTCTCCATAAAAGAATTGTCGCATAAAACAAAGAGACAATTTTTCCTTCACAAGTTCCCTAAACATCTCCACGAACTCCATATATACATTACTTTTTATATGCTGATTAATCAAATCCTTCATATTTTTTTTTCAAGTAATTACATTATGCAACAAATTCACATAGGATACAGACTCAATAATGATTTGTGATTCCCAAATGTAACGAATCTTCTTTGAGTGAATCAGTTTTCTTTAATTGGTGAAGCATGGAGATCCCAACGGCCATGCTCTGTTTCATAGCAGGAATGCTTTCACTATTACTAACTGCCGAATGACAGGTAAATTGAAATGTATCCTATTGGTTTTAAAGGAATTGAGAGATTTGCACATTTATAAGGTAACGTTGGTGGCTGATAATGTGACAACGATGACGATACATAATGTGGTCCGTGATATTGAGGTGTGTGATCTACGTTCGATAAGAGCTTTTTGGCGAATATTATTGTTCGAATGATCACGAAAAACTGTGATTACACTCGAGATCCATAGCTCAACTTGAAATATGTACTATGGAAAATGCAACATTGAAATAAACTAAAATTTCAAACATAAACATCAAATCTTAAACTTAAATGAAATTTTAACAGTTGTCTAATTCTGCGGATGTCAATGACTCATGAGAAGTAGTCATCTAGTAGTTGTATTATAATGCGAAATCTACAATGATGAAAGTTGTAACTTGTAATAATAAGCTTGACCCTTTCGAGTTTCCACCATGAAATAAATTAATTGGTTGTTTTTCTTATATATTACTGTCTTCAACTTGCGTATGTTCAGTCAATTTGCACGATTACAACACCACTAATGTTGCATTATCACTTCTAAGGTCAGATCTACTAAAATGCTTGTTAATAATTTTTTTTTTTTCCCGCATAGAAACATCCTCATCGAAGATTTATCATTTTCATTTAATTTTTGTAATATTTTTTTGGGTGCACTTGCTCAGAAGCCGAGTGTGTTTGGCTTTAGCAAGGTAAACAAATAGTTAAAATCCAATGACTCTATTAAATAATTGATTGTGGATCAACAATAGTACAGCGTCGACATTTCTTCCGTTGAATCTTCTTCCTGTGTTGTGGAGGAGGTCGTCTTATTGAGAGGAACAAAAAATTAGTCCAAAAACCAGAAAATAAGGCAGTTTTGAAGAGCACGGAAAAAAAAAACAAAAACAAAAACAAAAATTGGGTGAGAAGGCGTTTTTCCGGGAAAATTTGTTCCCCAAGAAAGTCTGCATTTTTCCAATCAGAGTTAGGCAGCGAGCGATCTTTTAAGAGGGTTTCCGTTATACCTAATCCTCCGTACGTTCCTTCTCTTACTTAATTTGTTCTTCACCAATCTCACTCTGTTTCCCAGATTTTCTAAAAGATCTCTACTTTATGAAACTTTCCAAGTGAAAACGACCTTCTTTAGCTAAAGCTCTCAGGCCAAAGCCTCAACCTTTCATGTCGAGCTAAAGTTTTGTTTTGATTCTTCTTCCATTTCTGGGTTTTTGAATGGTTTCTGAGAATTAGGGATTAAGAGCTTGTTTGTTTTAGGCTTTAAAGTTTTGGATAAGCTTATTTGTGCAATTAGTGATTTTTTTGGAGATGGGAGAGTTTGAGGTAGATGGAGAAGAGAAGTTGATTGTTGCTGCAAAGTATCTTGTGAAGGAGCTTAGATCCGGGAAGAGCCTCACTAGAAATGCTAAGAAGGTTTTGGGAAATCTCTTATCAGAGTTATCTCGTGTGGTGGTCTCTGAGGAGAGAGACGAGGAAGATGAGATAGGTGAGATTGAGCAAAGGCTTAATGTTGTTAGTGAGAAGATCATGACTCGGGAGGTCGATGAAACGATGATCTGGGACTTGGGTTCAGATGAAGGCAATGAGTTCTTGGATGCTGTGAATGAGTTGAGAGTTTTGATTGATCGGCTTGACGGTTCTTGTGCTATGGGAAAGACTGGAACCGAGGAGCTCTCACTGAGAAAAGCTCATGATGTTCTTCAAACGGCAATGGCGAGGCTGGAGGATGAGTTTAAGCATCTGCTTGTGGAGAACAGATTACCTTTCGAGCTTGAACACGCTTCTTTCCGGTCAAGTGAAGCGGACCATGGTGTGGAAGAAGGATCCTTGGCTTCTTTTGGTGCTGCTTCTACTGAGGATTTGATTCTTGGAAGCAGCAACAGTAGGAGAAACTCAGTGGAAATCGTGGTTGATTTGATTAATCCTGATGTTATACCAGATCTCAAGAACATTGCAAACACTATGGTTGCTTCAGGGTATGACCGCGAGTGTATCCAGGTATGTACAATGGTTAGAAAAGAAGCGCTTGACGAGTTTCTCTATGACCACGAGGTCGAGAAGTTGAGCATCGAAGATGTTTTGAGGATGGATTGGGCTACATTGAATACAAATATCACGAGATGGGTTCGTGTTATGAGAAACATCGTGCAGGCATATCTCGTGAGCGAGAAGTCTCTAGACAGTCAGGTCTTTGGGGACCTAAACGAGCTCGGTCTCACATGTTTTGTCGATACAGTGAAGGCTCCGGTGGTGCAACTGCTCAACTTTGGTGAAGCTGTGTCTCTTTGTCCACGACAACCCGAGAAACTGCTCAGGGTTCTTGAAATGTACGAGCTAGCGTCCGAGCTTTTACCAGAGATAGACGCGCTGTTCTCGGATCATCCCGGTTTATCAGTAAGAACAGAATACAGGGAAGTGATGAGGAGACTCGGAGACTGCGCAAGAGCAACGTTTCTTGAATTCAAGATTGCCATTGCTTCTGATGTCTCAACGCATCCATACGCAGGAGGAGCTGTTCACCCACTTACAAACTGGGTAATGAATTACCTCACGGCTCTAACTGATTTCAGCAAAACGCTTGACTCGCTTCTCATGGAACACGACGATGTAGAAGATCTCACAATACCGCCATCTCCGGATATCATCAACCCCTTGATGGTCGAGGAAGAGTCTACCTACGAAAGCTCTTCTTCACCGGATAAATTTGTGGCGATGAAAAGGCATTTCTACTCCATAACCTCGGTTCTTGAAGCCAACCTTCACGAGAAATCAAAACTATACAGAGACGTCTCTCTGCGACACATATTTCTCCTCAACAACATACACTACATGACCCGGAAAGTGCTAAAGTCTGAGCTGAGACATATCTTCGGCGACAAATGGAACCGAAAACATACATGGAAGTTTCAGCAGCAAGCAACGGCGTACGAACGAGCCACCTGGCTCCCTGTCCTGTCCTTCCTCAAAGACGACGTGTCAGGCTCTGGTTCAGGCTCAGGCTCTGGTTCAGGCTCAGGCTCAGGCTCAAGAAATTTGCGCCCGAGGGAGCGGTTTCAAGGATTCAACGCTGCGTTTGAGGAAGTGTACAAGGCGCAAACCGGGTGGTTGATTTCGGACGAGGGGCTAAGAGAAGATGTGAGGACGAAGGCGTCCATGTGGGTGATTCAAGCGTACTGGACATTTTACAGTAGGCACAAGAACAGTGTGAGTGAGAAGCATATTAAGTACAGTACTGATGATCTTGAGAAGCTCTTGTTGGATCTCTTTGCTGGTTCTTCTAAATCCTTGAACAATTCTTACAGAAGGTGATCAATTCGTAGCAGTTTGTGCAATAGTTTTGTGGGTTCATCTGAAGTGAATCGGATGATAAAATTTTATGTTATTAGTATAGACATGTATACATTTGTTTCGTTTGTATTGAATTTATTTGATCTTGTAATCTTTATATTCATCATTTCATGAATATGTAACTGAAATAAAAGAAGTTTTTTTGTTGTTGTTGTTGTTGGTTGGCTGGTCTTTAAGAAATATAATTAGTTTTGGAATTATTGTAATCAAAAGAAATTAATGAATTAATGAATTGTTGTAGTAGAAGCGACAAGTCAAAAGAAATAGTCTTGACCATGTGTCCATATCTCAATTTGCAAAGGTCTATGGTCAACTCCACGACTGTTCATGCAATCACGCCATACATATACAAATTGATAATATTACCAATTTGGAATTTTTCGTTGACAAAAGATAAAAAAATAATTTGGACGTTTCTTAATTACACTGTCGGTCAAGAATATTATTTATTTATCTGCAACAATTTTTTTTTCCGGTATGAAAATCAGACATGTGATTGCCTTATACAGTATTTTCATCAACTCGAAGTTTAAAATATCTTTGATCCATTGGTAAATATATAACGATAATCTACAAAAATTTGTTTTTCTTTATATCTATATATTCACAGGACTGTTTTTGGAAAAAGTAAGCTCATCTAATAGAATTTGCAAGACTTTATATAATCTCTAATTAATAATGAGTGATGTATAACTTAGGAAAGGCTTCTCTGCCTGGCAAGACAAGTAGCTAGAGTCAGTAGGAGGTCAAATAAACAAGACCTCAAAAATTCTATTGTTACAAACATAGAGATTGGCATTTTGTTTTTGCCAGATCAGATGGTTCCATCATCTACTGCTACTTACAACTGTCACGATCTGATTATCAATGTCTCGTCAGGATCGTCATCATCCTCTTCATCATCCCCATATTCCATCAGCTTAACTAAAGTATCTGCAACATCAGAGCGTGATTGATTATGCTTAAGTTACTGTTAACCCCAATATACATATCACAGTTGTATGCAAATCAACAATGATGGAAAAAACAAGGGACAGAATGGACTGTTGGTGGTGGAATGTGGAGTTTTTCCAAGGATTAAATCCTGATCGATACCTGGAACTGGATTTGGTTTCTTTACAGTGATGCAGTCTTCCTGTAATCTTGGAGGTTGCGTTGATGGTGCAAATCGCGGTGGTGGAGGAAGCATGCTTCTCGATGATGTTGGGATGATCTTTGGGGGAGGAGGAGGCATCACAGATCTTGGTGAAGGCAGCGACCGCACTCCATTTGCTGATGGCTCAACTATACTATTCTTTTGAGTAACTTCACCTGCCATTGCTATCTCCAACTGCTGCAACAAATAATAGGAATAGAACATCGCCATTTACACTACAAAAGTTAGATAAATGTTTTGGCAGATAAAACGTGACCATGCAAATATATAAAATAACATTTTCATCCAAATAATCACAGCTCACTGACTCCTAAAGACACAAGTTAAAGAACAGAGGATAATGTAGCTCTTTGGTTCCAACAGCGCCTAAGATATGTATATATTGGTTAAATTCATGATAATTTTCTCTAACTTCATGCAACAAGTTACATTGATTGGAGATACAAACTATAAATCAAGCGCATACTTCCATAGATAGGAGCCTAATGCCAGCCTAAATGCAAGGAACTAAACTGCCGTAGATATATTGGATTATGCAAAGATGACATGCACGTCATCATGCAGAAAAGGGAGACATGTCATGACTGTTAAAAGACGTTCATAAAGTCTGGATAAGGTTCTGATTCTAATCGCCAAGTCGAAGCAAGAATGACTGCAACAACCACATGGTGCCTCCAATATTAAGAATACCCTGTGAAACATGCAAACCAATGGCCCACGGGTCCAGAATCAGCTAGTTAGCTTCTTAGAAGTTCAGAAAAATACCTGGAATAGTAAGGGAAAGAAGTCAGCACAGAATAGAACTTTCACAGTGAAACTGAAAGAATGCATTACGAACCATGAATTTTCATGATTCTAAGGTAAATCACATGATAGACTGTGATTGGCCAGTAAAACTTTTAACAATCAGGTTTGAAACCTTTAGAAGCACTTAAAAATGCAAACACGTACCCAAAACTTGCAAACATCGTTTCAAACAGCCACAAGCATAAGTTCTCTCATGGTAACTTAGTTATGGAAGAAGACACTAAGGGTTTCCACCCATCCATATCTCTGTAAAAAAGCCACCGTGAATCCAGAAAAAAATCTGTTACCTGTTTGGCTTTTGCTGGGACTTTAGAATCAGCTGGTAGCTCCTGAAACTTTCGCTTTTGGGGTGGACGCCTATCCTTTTCCTTATTTGAAATATCACTTGGCTTCGATAAGGACGTAGCTGTCAACAAAGTAGGGGGCACAGTGGAGATAACAGGAGAAATTGATTGCTTAAGGACTTGAGCAACTTGTTGCAGTGGAGTGGCTTGAGGGTATATTCCGGCATACCCACTATAGCTAGTTCCCCCAGCCACAGGCTGTAAGTAATTGACTGGACTTGGTCGCAAGTGCCCACCATTTGAGATCACTGGAGGCTGCAACACTGGAAACTGAGGATAAAGAGTTGTTGCCGGAGGAACTGAAAACGGATTAACAGCATTTGGCGGCGATATGATGGGTAGCGATGTCATCAAACCATATGTTGAACTCAAACTTGGCTTTTGCTCGTTGTCAGCACTCGGAGCTCCAGAAAGCAGTTGCTGTGGTGGTGGTACTGCACCATACACCTTGCTTGAGGAAACCCTGAAACATTTTTTAGGACCACCAAATACAATTACAGATCAGCAAATGAATGGAAAAAAAAACATAAGGAAAACATGCTTTTGATCAGGCAAAGTTTGAAAATATTCTGGAAGATAATATAAACCTTGAAGCCCCGAATTCTACACTGATTGTATCCATAAGATTCTCAGCTAAACGTTTTGCATCGTCAATGCTCTTTGGATTGCTGCTAGACAAAAGTAGATGCAATGGTTGCAGTGCTTCTGCAATAATGCGTAAAAAACAGGAAGCTTACATAACATTAACAATGTGATCCAGATATTCTTTCATAAATAACACCACCATAAATAGACAAAGACAAACATAAATGAGGCAAATATTACCTTCACTATGTTGGTTTTCAAGGCTACCTGAACCACGCCCTCTTAGTACAACGGTTGCTCCTGTTTCATTCATAATGTGATTTATATACTGATCCTGCATGTAGAAAAGCCAACCACCAACAACACAAAAAAAGTTCTCTCCCGGTTGCACGGAGATGTCGGAGAGAGCTTAAACATTAGTATCTCTCGAATTCATTGATTAAGACAAAAATAATGCAAGTGTAAAATAAAGATGAAAACCTAGACCAAATCGTAAGCACTTCTACTGATCCTTTTATACAGATTAAGTTATAAAATAAGGAAGGGTGATGAACTATTTCATAATATACATTATATTCACCATATCAAACTGTATATTCAGTTCCTTTGGCGTAATTAGAAATAACGGAAGGTAAGAAATTGAAGGAAAGACTCACATTAGGCCCACGAATACGAGCAGCAACATTAGATGATGGGTCAGCTTCAAAACCCAAATACACGCATGTGCTCAACATCTGGAAACATGGTTCAGTTTATTGCTGCCCCGATTTCATAAGTACAAAAAAAAGAAGTGTCCCACTATCTACCTTGACCGTCTGAAAACCAACCAACCCGGCCTGTGAGTTTGTTTTCTGTTTCATCATCTCCTCAATCATAGCTGCTGCACGATCAACGGCTAAAATACGCTCTGCAGTCTCTTTTAACTGCAGTTGTGATAAAAAAAAAAAACATAAAAAACTAGGCCAAATTCTCAAAGCTCAGAAGTCATATAAAGCTTCTCAGATTTGGGTAATACAGAGTTTTTTTTTCAGCCAGAAGCGTTTTACTTTATGTCTATCACATCCATGACATCAATCATATTTCAAAATCATCTCGACCATTATCATACACCATTATTACCAATGAATTTCCAAAAACAAAGAAGCAACTTTAGTCACGCTGTAAAGCACACATCCCCAGCTTATTAGCCTAGTCCTTTCAATTCCCATTGAAAATTGTTCTGTTAATCTAAAAAAGGATAACATACATGGGCAGCAGCAGATATGTGAAGATATAATGGCTTTTCACCATCAGGAGGTGCACTTGGAAGACGGTACTTGCCCCTACAAAAAAAGTTCATTAATCCAAATTAGAAAAATAAAATTTCTTCTCCGTGAAATAGATGTCGGAAAAAATGCTAAGAAGTTCTTATCACAAACCTGGTAATCACCACAGCACCAGTAGACCTCTGAATCTGCAAGGCGAGTAGATGCTAAATACCAGAGAGGGGAAAATAGTATCTTAATAATATGCACAGAAAATCACAAATACTTCTTCTTGAGTAGAGCGTTTGGTAAGCTTGTGCCTAAGAGAAGCCTCAGCATCGTTGATAACAATCTCTCGCGCTATGGTCAACTCATCTTGGATCTTAGGCTAGATTGACAGGAAAAAATATAATGACACCAAATTAATCAGGACATCATTGAGATCACAACAATACATAGCATCTAATGCCATGCTACATAATGCAACAGCTAATTCAGAGAAAAGTCGAATTCCAAAGTACTTAAAGGCAAGACCACACCAAAGAGTGTAAGCGTTTATTTACTTGATTAACTTGTGGAACTGATGTAGTTTGTTGAGGGAGGGAAGAAAGCGTTTGGAAAAATGGCGCCACAGACGCAGAAACTGTGTTGTTTAAGCAGGAGATAGCAGGAACATTGCTTAAAGGGAGTAATCGAGGAAGCGCAACTCCAGCTGCAACAAGTTGCTCCGCAGGCTGATCCCACTTTCTCTTTCTCCTGCAAATTGTTTGAAGCAGCAATCCAGGGAGTAAAAAATCAATCGATGTCAAACAATTAGGAACAAATTCAAATGGCAAGAGCAACAAACAAAATAAAAAAATCTCAATTTAGCTGATGATTGAATGGTTAGCAAGGAAAAAGTCGGTACCTTTGCCTCGTCCGAGAAGCATCGTTCGCTGTAGCCTCATCGGTCGGAGAAAGCCTAGCCTCAAGGCGATCCCCGGTCATCTCTTAGGCCTTGTCCGATACAAAAGTTGGTTCCTTTAGGATTTCACGGCTACGGAGAGAGAACACCAATCCCAGAATGTGTCAATTCAACGATCAAGGGAAGGCAAATCGGACGGCCTAAAACTATTTGATCTTACAAGTTAACCTGCTGGGTCCCATTAGAAAATTTGGGCTTCAATTAATAAAAAAAAAGTGGGTTAATTGGGTAGATAAATTAAAGTGTTTTTATTGGGAAAAAGAAAGTCCAAAGCCTAAACTTTTGAGCTCAAGTTCGTCACTTCTTACCTCAACTCATTAATTTCTTTTGAATTGCAGAGGATGCGAGACTTTCTCCTTCATTTTCCCGGAAAAAAAAATTGAGAGCGACAGAGAGTGTTCAATGTTCATGCTCTCCATAGGTAAAAAAATGTCACTGTCTTTCTGAATATTGATTCAGTTTGGCCTCCTCTGTTCTTCAAAGACCTGAGATTTTTTTTTTTTCAATTTAAACGCCAAAATTTAAGGGTTACTTTCAACAGAATCAATGTGAATTTATTGCATGAAAAATCCAAACGGTTCTTCTTTATTCAGCTTCAGCTTCGTTTGCTTATATATTTTCTTCATTTTTTTGTGTTTTCTCTTTAATTTCTCCCAAATTTTGGAAGCTTTGATCGGTTATCAAAACTTATCATTTTCCTGATTCTTTTGTCTGTTTTCTGGTGTTGAAATCATTTGCATGTACATAAGAAAAGATATCTCGTCTTTCATAATTGTTGCATGCATTCTCAACAGCTAAATTTTCTTGTTATAGCTTCGAAAATAACAATAGACCTATCTATTTGCTTTTGATAGGCTTCTGGAATCTCTCTCTCTCTTTTTTTTTTTTCTTTTTTAATTAGGAAGGTTTACATTTTGGTCACATTGAGATGCAAAATCTGTATCTACACAAATATACTTGATGACGATCATAAGCCAGATTCATTTCTGTGCCAAAATAGTGATCCTAGATCAGATGCTAGAAGCGAAGATTCTGTATCGTTTGAGTAATAATTACATTAAGGATTTCTTCTTCTGGTGGAATATTTAGCAGCATCATCTGCATTTCAATATCTTCTAACAATATCCGCCAAAATTTTGGGATTGTTGGACATTCACCATGCAATGCAGAGTTTTACAAGGCTGACAATGATCTGAAAATGCAGGGGATATATAATAATGCTTCGAATTCAAACGCTGGACTGAGTAATTCAAACACTCTGAACCTAAAGATGGCTGCTTCAATACCGAAGAAGCGCAAAGGTTCAACCTTTTTACAATCACCATGGCACAAAGTCTATCCGCAAGGTTCAGAATTATGTCATAGCATCAGGTCATTTTCTCAGGCCTATCTTTTATAATAATAATACCATATTCTACGTGAGGAATATCGTTCTTTCGTTTTTTTTTTTTTTTAACAGCTCGTTCTTTCGTTCTTTCACCATATTTTGACGTTTGAACATTTGCTCTCTAATAGTATATCTGACCAAGAAAGGGGCCTTGCGACAAACACGCTATGTGAGAAGGTACCAATATTTTCACTTTTCCTTAATTAATTTCCATCTCCATCTTCAAAAGAAGATAATTATTTTATTTTGTTGTTTATGATAAGGTCGATCTAAATGAGGCAACATCTACTTCAAAGAGGAGGCTTGTTTTATCCACACATCTTATGCAACAGCTTCTCCAACCAGCACCAGCGTTTGTTTTCTCCGGTAACAACGCAGCTTTCGACTACGAGACCGTACTTTACTTTGTGTCAAGAATCGCCCTGGCTAATGCATGCCCTCTCGACTCCCATTCTGATTTGAGTAAGAGCACAAAGTGAGTTCCATTATGGTTTTAGACTTGATCAACCTATCTCATTTGTCTTATGTTTATGCTCATGACTTCCCTAAAAAGCTCTTTTTGTCCAGTCGTCAAACTTCAAAGACAGCTAGTGATCAAGATCAAAGATATTCTTCACTCGTCAAAGCTTTCGTGGCGAAAATGCAGAAGCTTGAGAGTGACTTCCAAAGGTGTGGAAATAAGCTATAGTAGCTGATTGTTAATTGCCTTTGAAAAAGATAATGTTTTCTTAAGTATACATTTTTGAAATAGTCTATGCAGCTTGGAGAGGACCACATCGATATTAGACATGATCTTAGAAATCGAAGACCTCGAAAGATTCTCTGTAATAAACCGTCTCGCCACATTTCATAGCCGCGCAAAGACCATTACAAGATCAGTTCCCCAGAGATACGTTGTTGAAATACAAATGCCAATGAACCTACCCAGGCCACTACATTGTCTAACTCTATAATCATCAGTTTCTTTTGGGGAAGTAAATATAGGTTTGATGTGTATTCCATCGGAGATTCTTGAGGGGAATCAGGAAGATAAGCTTAGTATATAGTTTTCATTGTATAAATCTGTCACATGTACTCAATCATCTGTTAATTACCTTGATGTTTATGTAACTCGTTGACATCTACTATATAAAGGAGATTTTGGTAGATGCATATTGAAAGGTAAAAATTTGCAAAAATCTATGACGGCACTACAATAAATAAGTGGTGCATTTTACACGCTGATTTTCATTTCTTAAAATGTGATATTATGTAAGATAGTTTGTTATCGGATATCAAACTATGGGTGAAAAAAAATCGTAAGTGCAACCAATCTCATGTTAGATGAGACTTAATGAAGTTGCAGCAAACATTGGTCTTCCAAATTAGTCTTTCTTTTCAAGTTATGTTCACCCTCCAATTTAGTTCACTCCATTATATCATTGACTATATTTATATGAAATATATTTTTTTCTACAAAAAAAAAAAAATCTACTGTGGTGGAATAATTGTATTTTATGATCTAGCGCGGGTATTGTTTTTACAGTTGTATATATAAATAACAAAGGAAGCAAGAAAAGGAATTTTTCCTTTTGACTATTGGTAAAACTGTAAAAGCATCAAAATCCTATTAGGAAAAGAAATTACTTTAACTCCTTAATCTTCCCCTATAAATACACATCTTTGGCTCAATTTTCAATCCACAATCCAACCACAACAAAATAAATAACTATATACCAAGAATCAAGAAAACCCTAAAAAAAAATACATATGAGAATGGAGGAACAGACTTGCGACTGCAAGAGAGTAACCGTAACGGTGACCGACCAACGTACCGGCGACACAATCTGCACAGAGTGTGGCATCGTCCTCGAAGCTTTCCTCGTCGACGACCGAGAAGAATGGAGAACTTTCGCCAACGACGATAACAGCGACAAAGACCCAAACCGCGTCGGTGGTCCAACCAATCCTCTCCTAAAATCCGGCGGTCTCGGCACAGTCATCTTCGACAAACGCAAAGAAACCATCTCCAAGGACGACTTATCCGTTTTGTGCAGGACACAGAACCTCGTCAAGAACCAAGAAGAAGACTTGTTCGTGAAAGCCTGCGCGGAGATCAAGAGAATGACAGACGCTCTTGACCTAATAAGCGGCGTCGAGTTTAGGGCTTGTGAGATTATCTCCAAGTTAGACGGTGACAGTAACAAGAAGAGGCTACGCAGAGGGAAAGAGCTGATTGCTCTCTGTGCTGCTTCTGTTTCAATGGCTTGTCGTGAGCTGAAACTCTCGAGGACGCTGAAAGAGATCTCCACGGTGGTTAATGGCGTGTATATGAAGGATATAAGAAAAGCGGGTATGTCGATAAAACGTCTTCTTGGGTCGGAGCAACCCGAGGCTGCTCCTCTTCCTCAGGTGATTATAAACACAGGAGAGCTTGTTCGAAGATTCTGTTCAAAACTTAGTCTAAGCCAGAGAGAGACGACGGCGATCAGAGAAGCAGTTGAGAAAGCTGAGAATTTTGATATCAGAAGAAACCCTAAGTCGGTTCTTGCTGCTATTATCTTCATGGTCTCTCAGTTGTCTCTGACCAAAATGACACCTATTCGAGGTGATCACTGAATCATTCTTCTACTTTTGATTTTTGTTTAACTTAAGTACTCATTAATGTGCTGATCATATAACTGTTTTGGTTACGCAGAGATTGCGTTCGTTTCGGAAGTCGTGGAGAATACGATCAAGAACTCGGTTAAGGATATGTACCCTTACGCTTTGAAGATTATACCTAATTGGTATGCTTCTGAAGAAGACATCATCAAGAGGCTAGGAGATATCATAGCTTCTTTGGATTCCGCAAAACTTTAGGGAAGCCTCTATTTGAGAAACTAAGGCAACTCCATGGGATCTTTCAGTAGAAATATATCGTATAACATATGTCTAGTTTCATATTTTCCAATTAATGTTTTTATCTCACTGCAAATAAACTTGTCGGTAAATGGTTGAATATAGAAAGCTTTTTGTGAAGGATAGAACAGACTCTAACTTAAGAGGTACACGATAATAATATAGAAGAGGTCTTTTTCTTATATTATGGTTCTTGGTCCAAATAAACTTATTCACATGCTATATGTTAATTTCATTGTCATATATTACTAGAGTTCAAGTAAGCGAGCTAAGCAGCCGCTTAAACGTTCCTACACTGCTTGGATTTTACTATTAAGCGGATGGTTATATTCGGCTGTTTGGACGGCTATTAAGTGGAGTTAACCTGGCTAGGCGGATCCTCAACGATCTAGGCTGCCTAGACATTTGTCCACCTTTTTAATGGAGTATTGTTTTATATGAAAAATTAAATAGTTATCCTCTAATTATCATTTGATATTTATAACAATGAAAACGTATAATTTGAAATTTAAACTTACAATAACACAAGAGATTTAAATGATAATTTATGAGTTCTATAGTTTATAAATCAGATCCACTGATTTCACATTAATATATGTAATATACCAATCTATTCTACAAACGTTTCGCTTTCTTGAACACTATATATTACAGCAACACAAGAGATATTTATATTATGTAGACCAAAAAAAAATTGTTCAAAAGATTTTGAGGAGTATTATTACTGACTGATTTATTCCATTCTAATACCTGCCACTCTAGTCTACCATGATGATAAATTATTCATCAATAGAACGATGATTTAAATATTGTTTTAACTTCCAACAAAATCCGAAGAAACTAAAAGTGTTATCAATGAAATAATAGCTATAGCTTCCAAATAAAAAAAAACGCTTGAAACTAACGTAATCTGAAAGAAAAAAAAAGAAGAAGAAAAACTAGCGAGTCTAGAAATTTGATCTTCCTTCAAAAGTTTGACCGAATCCCCAAGACTCGGGCGCCACATTATAGAACGTCATGCTCCTACCATCGCTGGTTCGAACCATAAACGAGAGCCTTTGTCCCACCAAATTCACACCGGTATTCCAAATTTGCCCCCAATTCCTCTGCATAGCGACCCAATTACTCTTATCCCCTTTAATCGCCACGCTAATTACATCTCCTGCCCCTCCAACGTTATACACCAAAACCATTATAAAATAAGGATTTCCCTTGATCTCAAACCTCACACCACCACTCTTCTGACAAGCCACTCGCCGGAACCTAACCGGAACTATCCCTCCTCTGTACTCAGCGATCGAAGTGAACATTTTCATCGATAGATCGAAGTGTTTGTTAGGAGGGTTGCACCAATGGTACTGAACCGGTTCGGCGTAATTAGGTGGGCAGAAATTAGTGGCTGTGATTTTGATTGAACCGGCCTTTGGTTTGCACCATTGTGAGTTCACACATTCAAGCTCAAAACAAGCACCACAAGTCTGGCCGTTGTTAAAGAGCGCCGTGCTTAGCGCTGCCGTCTCTAAGCCATAACCTTGTTTGAATAAATCTCCGTAGCCACATGCTCCTTCTGTTATACCAAATATTTTTTTAAATAACATTAGAATATACACATGGACAACCGAACCGATGGTTTACAAAAATAAACTTTTACATAAATAAAATCACATAAACAACTCCTAACACTGGGAGCTAAACATTGAATAAAAAAAAACGAATGTTGTGGAATGAATGGTTACTAAACTACAAAACGTAATTTAACTAAAATATGTGTACTGACTGTGTTTTTGTTACTTATCACAAATCTTATGGGATCAATGAATGAATCTAAAACATGTTTAATTAGAAAAAGAAAGAATATGGTTTGGCCTGCGATTAGTAATTGAAAAGACATTATCAAATAACAAATACTAACGCATGGTTTCTCCGCCGCTAAGGTCGCCGTAGAACGTCGCATGTGCGTCGTACCACACAGAGTTGGTGTTACTAAGACCAACATGAGCTAACCCAAGGTCTGCGACCGACACAAGAATCGCTAGTAACGCCACAAAAGTCATTGATCGATTCATATTTTGTCTTTCTCCGACTAAATTAATAATTCTACTTGAAAAGAAGAATGATAATTTATAGAAGAATATGAAACGTTGGTGTGATATATTGTTTAAGGAATTATGGGGAATCAGCGGAAGATATTTTGCCTTATAATTAGCCTTGAGATTGATTGCAGAATTTTAGTGTCGGGGCATTAATCAAGTATCAAATTAAGCCGATTTGTAATCGACTCTCAATATCTACTGCATTTACTTACTTCCTTACTGAGTACAAGAGATTGATACGTATCTTAATAAAAAATGCCAACTCTAGATTTTGATATATGTGAATTTGATATTTCTGATTCATTTTTTGGTCAGTATATATATGTAAATATGTTTCATGAACCGAGTAAAGATTTTGGAAGCCGATAGAAAGGAGTGACAAGGAAAGGAAAGATTATCCCACTAATCCATCAACTTTTAGTACTCAAAATGTAATTCTGAAAGAACTTTTTTTTTTTGTTGAGTAAAAAAGTTATGAACCGAGGCCCAGCCCGAACATCCCTTCGTGCCAAAGATTAAAACATGCAATATTAATCCCTTTATAAACGCAGTTCTTTTGAATAATGAATTTCTATCAACTCATTGATTGTTTGTCAAAGATATATAAAAAGTGTCATTGACTAAAAGAAAATTCTGATGAGAATGTTTGACCAAAATTCCAGACTCTTAAGTTAGAAACAATATAGCTTAGAGTGTTTTTTTTTATTATTTTTTTTTATTTTAGAGTGTTTTTTTGTTGTTATCAAGCTAAAGTCATGAGTCTCATGACAGCTGACCGCATCATCAGTGGTGACAGTTTACTGTAGTTTGGATCTTGCTCAATTATTTTCAATTATCGTGAAAAACACTCAATAAAAATGATAATTAAAGAAAGATTCTCTAATTCGAAGCAATCTTACATACTTGCTTTTGAAGTTTTGTTAGAAGATGAACTCATGTTTTGTGTGCCTCTTTTCTCAAGTACTTACAACAAACATTTTGAGATTTCAACTTTCAAGTATCGTGACATATTAATTTTTAATAATCAATTTGTTGTTTTTTCCTTGAATTTGGGAGATATAATTATAAACACAACACCTGTAAAATTATAAATAATTTCATTTTCGTTCGTCTACTTGTGTGTATGACAATGTACCAAGCGCGTTAATCACTAAAACACAAGGGTATTGTCGTCTTGTTACACCGTTTTCACTCTGTTTTGCTGTTCTCTTGGAAAGAGAATGACAGGTGTAAAATGAAGAGTGGCTCCACCGTAACCGGACCTGTAGGTTCGTGTGGGTCTCTGATCGGTGTCAGGGGCAAAATCGAGAATCCATGTCTTATAAAAATGCAGCTTCGCTTCGTCTTTGGTCTGACCATGTCCTCGCCATTTCACTCGCTAATTTGTGTCTGAAAATCTCCGAAGGGAAATTTCTTTAACTGTGTAATTCTCCAGAGGTAATAACATCGATAATGCTATCCTCTATCTCAATTCTATCCAAATTTATTGAATTTTCTCGCAAAATTTCCATTTCATGTTCTGTTCGATCGGTGATTCTCGATATTAGATCGGCCTTTTATAATATCATAATTTTCCTGAGTATTCTCGATATTAGATCGGTGAGTGCTGATTTTGAAATTATATACCGTTTACGACAGATTCTAGTCGAGCTAGATTTGTAATTGGATCCGTGTGATTAATTTTTACGATCTTTTTTGTACGTTGGGATCTGTTCCTCGTTAATGATGTTCTTCCTTGCATCTACTAAGTGTTTAATAGTAGTTATGTTTTATTTCAGATCTCATCCTTTTTCTGGGTTTACTAGTAAAAGATCAAACTTTTTAAAATGTCGGTCCGTGTTGTCTTCCTTTCTTTTTCATTTTGTTATCAAATGATCCTAAATTGGAACAGAAAGTTTTCTCCTTTGAAAAGATTGCTCTTTTTTTTTCCCCGTTTTTCTGAAAGGACCACTTTTTGCTGCAGTAAATGAAATCTTTGTTGGTTTCAGGGGTCTGATTATGACTTTGTGTAAATTTTGATTATATTGCAGAAAGGTGAAAAAATGGTGAAGATCTGTTGCATTGGAGCCGGATATGTCGGTGGACCAACCATGGCAGTCATCGCTCTAAAATGTCCCGACATTGAAGTAGCTGTCGTGGATATCTCTGTACCACGTATCAACGCTTGGAACAGTGACCAGCTTCCAATCTACGAGCCTGGTCTCGACGTTATCGTCAAGGAGTGCCGTGGCAAGAACCTCTTCTTCAGCACCGACGTTGAGAAACACGTGAGAGAAGCAGATATCGTCTTTGTCTCCGTCAACACACCGACCAAAACCAGAGGTCTCGGTGCTGGCAAAGCCGCTGATCTCACTTACTGGGAAAGCGCTGCGCGTATGATCGCAGATGTCTCTGTATCCGACAAGATCGTCGTCGAGAAATCTACTGTCCCTGTCAAAACAGCTGAAGCTATCGAAAAGATTCTGATGCATAACAGCAAAGGAATCAAGTTCCAGATTCTTTCGAACCCGGAGTTTCTTGCGGAAGGAACTGCGATCAAAGACCTTTTTAACCCTGACCGTGTCCTCATCGGAGGGCGAGAAACCCCTGAAGGGTTTAAAGCGGTTCAGACGCTTAAAGATGTGTATGCACATTGGGTTCCTGAAAACCAAATCATAACCACTAATCTTTGGTCTGCAGAGCTTTCAAAGCTCGCTGCAAACGCTTTCTTGGCTCAGAGGATTTCTTCTGTTAACGCTATGTCGGCTCTATGCGAAGCCACGGGAGCAGATGTCACGCAAGTGTCTTACGCCGTTGGTACGGACTCAAGAATCGGTTCCAAGTTCTTGAACTCGAGCGTTGGATTCGGTGGTTCGTGTTTCCAGAAGGATATTTTGAATCTTGTTTACATCTGTGAATGCAATGGGCTACCTGAAGTGGCCGAGTACTGGAAGCAAGTCATCAAGATCAATGACTACCAGAAGAGCCGGTTTGTGAACAGGGTTGTTTCCTCCATGTTCAACACTGTGTCAAACAAGAAGATTGCGGTTCTTGGTTTCGCGTTCAAGAAAGACACGGGGGACACAAGGGAGACTCCAGCGATTGATGTGTGTAAGGGTCTTTTAGGGGACAAAGCGAGGTTGAGTATTTACGATCCGCAGGTGACAGAGGATCAGATCCAGAGGGATTTGTCCATGAACAAGTTTGATTGGGACCATCCGCTTCATTTGCAGCCGATGAGTCCAACCACAGTGAAACAAGTGAGTGTTAGTTGGGACGCATATGAAGCAACTAAGGATGCGCATGGTATCTGCATCTTGACCGAGTGGGATGAGTTCAAGAACTTGGATTACAAGAGAATCTTTGACAACATGCAGAAACCGGCTTTTGTGTTTGATGGAAGAAACATTATGGATCTTGCAAAACTAAGGGAGATTGGTTTCATTGTCTACTCCATTGGTAAACCACTAGACGCATGGCTCAAGGACATGCCTGCCGTTGCCTAATAATCATGATGATTCTTTTTACCATATATATATCTTCGTAACATTTGTGTTTTCATTTGTGATCATTGTGAAGTCTTTGAGACTTGTTTTGCTTTTTCTTTAGTGTGTTTGTTATGTAAGCTCTCTTATCATATATCAATCATCTTGTATTCTTTTTTTTTTTTTTTTTTTTTTCCTGGACTTGTATTCGAAATGATTCCATGGATGGAACTCGCTTCAATTTTGTTGTTTCCCTTAGAAAACTAAATAAAACTTACTTCCATCAATAGTGGTCCGGTGACTTTGTGAAGTTTTGATGACAGAGTTTTTTTGTCTGTAAGAGTTGACTTCGTTTTATTTCTTACAGAAGAATATATGCACATTGTTCCTGAGAATCACATGATCTCTCTCTCATCTCTCTGTGGTTTAGAAACTAAAACCGTATCTAATTAGAAGTGTCCAGCTTGGAGATTCTGAGTGTCGGATTTGACACCTAATGATTCAACGAATAAAAGCTTCACGTAAAGATTTGGATGCTTCATGTTTTCGATTTTGTTTTCATGCCCCAATCAATGCTCCTCAACTATCAACCTTGTCTTTTTGGAAAACCTTTGGTGTTTATTTCAGTATTTCTTATATTTTTTCTTAATGCATTTTCGTAATAGTAACTTAGAAATGTGCTTAACCTGTTATTTATTTTCAAAAACTAATTATTCTTTAATTTCTTTACTACTTTTTGAAGGGAAAGATGGGATTTTTTTGATTTTTTTTTTTGATTTTTTGACTAATGAACTTTTTCTCTTAAAGAGCCAAATTAAAAGAGAACAAAATATCAAAAGACACATTAAAGCTTTCTATTTCTAAAGGTGAAAAATGGAGTATTTTTGTTTATTATACTTTTTTCCCTCGAATTTCTTTTTTATTTATTATAATTTTCAGTTACTTTTTTTTTGCAAACTATGTACAACTTACAACTTAATGGTACTTTTTGCAGATTCTCCATTATTCTGATGCACTTATATATGCATGTTTTGTTCGATAATTGTTTTTTTTAAAAAAGACTAATAATAAATAATTTTCTTGTAGTACATGGTTTATCAAATCTCCAAAAAAAGGAGATACGTTTCTGGAAATAAATTTCTCAAAAAATAATTTTAGATCTTTACTCTTTATATATAAAAATGTCCAAAATATTGACGTTTTTTTTCTTTTGACAACAAATATTGACGTTTTTTTTTTTTTTTTTTTTGTCAACTATTGACGTTTTTTTTTTGGTCAAATAAATATTGACGTTTTTTTTTTCCCTTTTAAAGTGAAAACTTTGTCTCTAGATGCAAGCGTTTTAATCCGTGAGAAGACAAAAGTTTCTCTTGGGATTGGCTATTTGCAGAAATTCTAGTCAAAAATCAGTCCAAAGAAACGACGAGTTCCTCCTCTGTCGATCTCCGTTTCTTTGCTCCACTCTCTACTCATGGACGCTCTCGTTGCTCAGTTGCAGATGCAATTTCGTGATTACACCATTTCTCTCTACCAACAGGTTTGATTTTTGTTTTCAAAAACCCAAAATTCATTCGAAGAGATGTCTCTGTGGTTGTATATAGATCATCGATGATAACTGAATTTAGCGGCAGTAGATTTACTCCTCATATGGAGAGACAAGATTCGCGATTAAAGTTATGATTTTGGAACGTGTTCTGTAGATTTTGTTGTTTCTAACAAGTTTTGATTTTGGGATTCGAGTCCTCTACAAAGTTTTCAGGGTTCTTATTAACGAATTGGGTATTTGAATGGGTTTTTCGTTTCAATGTGTGAACTTGGATTCGAGGGCTTGTTGTTAGACTATTGCTTCTGCTTTTTGTGTGAAGGGTTTTCTGGATGATCAGTTTACTGAGCTAAAAAAGCTGCAAGATGATGGAAGTCCTGATTTTGTGGCTGAGGTTCTGTCTCTCTTCTTCGAAGATTGTGTAAAGCTTATCGGTAACATGGCTAGAGCTCTGTAAGTTTTTAATTTTCTCTCATTTACTCACAAGTATCCCAATGTTCATCAAAACTCTGTGGCTAGATCATCATCTGCCTGTGTTCTCTTTCAGGGACCAGACAGGAACAGTAGATTTTAGTCAGGTAGGTGCGAGTGTGCATCAATTGAAGGGTAGTAGCTCAAGGTATGATTTTTGTTTCTGGATTTTTGTCCTAATCTTTAGTAGCAGAAGCAAATCTTGCGTGTGCTTGATTGATGAACCTCTGTCTTGTTCCTAATGTAGTGTTGGTGCTAAGAGAGTCAAAGGCTTGTGTGTTACCTTCAAGGAATATTGTGAGGCTAAGAACTACGAAGGGTTAGAGCTTTTAACTCAGCTTGAGGAGTTAACGTTTTCTTCTTGGAACTCATTTGTTGAGATTTGGGGAATAATAACTCTCTCTCTTACAGGTGTGTGAGATGTCTGCAGCAGGTGGATATCGAGTACAAGGCGTTGAAAACAAAGCTTCAAGATATGTTCAATGTGAGTGATGATTTTGAATAGCTCCATTTTCTGTTTCGGCTGCTTTTATGAATCATTTTCGATGAACAATGAATAGAATTTCATGCCATTGTTTGTTGCAGCTTGAGAAACAGATAATTCAAGCTGGTGGCAGAGTTCCTCAAGTGGATATTAACTAAAAGTCTTGTGGAAGATGACAGAAGAACAAGCTTAGATGACTCCAAACTGCATTCTTCAATTTCTCTCTTAATTTGTTTTGGAATTTCGTTTGCTCAGAAGACGCTCAATAGAATGTGTGCAAAATGAGAGAAGTGATTCTTGTTGATAAAATCCCTAGTATCTATTATCTGATCTCATCCGAGAAAACTGACATTTGTGGACTGATTCATGTATGATATTTGGTTTGTTCTGGTTCCTTTTTAAACCGGTTCGGTTTTGTGTAAGATATGATAGCGATTAGAGAGAGAGTACGAAGTTAACAGTAGGCGCGAGTGTAGGAGATAACTATCCTCTGCGGAAAAGCCTTATACCTTCCACAACAAGTAACTTTTCTCATAGGTGTCTTTGAGTAGTAAACTGATGGAGAGAGCGAGATTGGTCCAGACTCTGCGAAAAGTGTAACGTGTTGTCTAGGGTTTTAAAATCAGCGATTCAGGCCTTGAATCCTGAAACCAAGAGAGGATTTTGCTTCTGGTAAGCTGATTCTTGTTGATATCCAGTTTCTTCCATCTTCTTCCCCATTTTCTCGAGAAAAAAGCTAGCCCTTTTTCGAATTCTCGCATTTTCTAGCGGAATCAAGATGAAATTTTCAGGATTTCCCGATAATGTTGGGGTTCGATTCCGGACTTCGATTCCTACTTTACTTCGTTTTTTTTATCGTATTGGTGATGAACAGGCTTACAAGCAGAGAAATTTCATCTTATTGGCTGCGAAATCCCTAAGAAGCTTAAGCTTTGTAGTCAAAAGCAGAAATGTCTCAGAAGCATCATGGTTGCATAATTTGCGGGAAAGTGTTCGCCACCCCAAAAGCTGTGTATGGTCACCTGAAGATTCATTCTCGGCTGCGACGAATTTGGGGTCTTAAGGAGTCTAATGTGTGCTCGATTTCAACTTCTGCTAAAGAGACCTCCACCAAATCAGAAACCCTTGATCCATTACGGAGAGGACATAAAGCCACATCTTCCTTGTCACTCAAAGAATCTTCTTCTTTTATGACTGAGTTTGAGCGACGTGAGATGAATGAAGCTGCAATGAGTTTGGTTATGTTTTCTGAACGAGTTGCTGTTCTCAGAAGTTTGTCTCCTGGTGATGTTTCCATGGATTTAGAGCTTGAACCTATGCAAGAGAAGATCATACATTGTGTTGAGTCGAAACAAGTGTCCAGCGAAGTGTTTTCTCACTCGGGTTTTGAGAAGTCTAGTACTTGCAGTGATGTTGTTGCTCAGACATTACCTTCTACTCCGAGAATTAAGTCGCAGATAAAACGCGAGAGTAACTCCAGCTATAGATGCAAAATATGCGGCAAGAGTTTTGAGCGTTCCCAAGCTCTAGGTGGTCACCAAACACTTCACAGATCGATTAAAGGCCAATTAGCGCTCAAAAAGGACGATTTTGAAGGTGGTAATTCACTGTCTCTGCTGACTGACTCAGGAGCTAAGCAGGTTGTTCCGAAACTATCATGTTTTGAAGTCTCTCAGGACGAATTGATTGAACTTAGAGATACTAATGACAAGGAACATAGTGTTCTGTCAAAACAAGAGTTCAGTGAACTGTTTTCTCACTCAGCTTTCGGAAAGTCTGGTACTGGCAGTGATGTTGTTGCTCAATCGTTACCTTCTCTCCTTACAAGTAATCTTCAGAAAAAACGACAGAGCAACTCCAGCTATAAATGCAAAACATGCAGCAAGAGATTTTGGTGTTCTCAAGCTCTAGGTGGCCGCAAAACACTTCACAGATCGAAAAGGCAATTAGCGTGTAAAAAGAAGGATCTTCGAGTTGGTAATTCACTGAATGACTCATCAGAAGCTAAAAAGATTGTTTCAAAACTATCCAACTTTGAGGTCTCAGAAGGAGTTGATTGAACTTGGAGATACTAATGTGAAGGAAGGAACATTAAGTGATGGATTTTGTCTTTAATGTTTCCAAGTCTGGCAAAGCGTTTGAGGTTATCTACACAGAATCTTCTGATTAGCTGAACAACAAGGGATGTGTAAGAAAGAGCTGGAGATTAAAGCTTTTAGAATGATTTGAATTGTGAAACTTGTTTTCTCTTCTTTAAGAGTGCAGATGTATAGTTGACATTTTCTACTGTAGATACTGTTACAGACATGAAATAGAAGAAAGAAACCAGCTTTTGCCACTCTGAAACTTCCCTCCAGCTCTGCCTCAAATACAGTTCCTTTTGGTTTACTCATGTTTCAGAATATCAGAATCAATCGACCTAATCATCCAAAGTGAAACTGTTTTACTTTTTCCAAATAATCCAAAAGGACAATGAACAGGTTTCGATCTAACCGGTCCGAACATCGAGCCTTTTGTCCGGTTTCAGTGGAAAATGTACGAAAATTCCCTTTTTTGATCCAGTTGGAAATGAGAAAAAGATCAGAAGATCAGAAGATCAAATCTTTTTGTTCGGGAAAATTACAAAAGCTTTTTTTTTTTTAATTTCCCATGGATTATAGCCAGTGGCAACAGACGCCGGCGCCGGCGATGCAGCCGGCGGAAATGAATCAGTCCGCATTTGATGCGAATAACGCTTCTTATTATGCTTACTACGCGCCAGCTCTTAATCCAAACCCTGATTTCACCTCCGAATCCTCAGCTATTGCGATTCCACCACCGCCTGGAGTAGTTGATGCTTACTCCTCCTCAGCTGCGACTGCGACGGCGTCGTATGTGACGGTGGATACGACGCCGTATCACACATTGGATACGAATGCTCAGAGCTTGGCTTGGCGAGAGGCTGTTCGTATATATGGCACCGATCCTCTTGCGGTTACAGGAGCTGTAAGTTGTTTCTCTTTCCTTTCACAGATCATGTGAATATTTAGATGAGGAAGGCTATGGCTTTTTGGGAAATCAGTGGATCAAGATGATAACTTTCATGGATGACTTAGTGATTCACGTTCACCCCTTTGTGAGTTAGGATCTGTGGATAAAGTTCGGTCCTTTGCAACAAGTTCTTGATGCATTAGTGAATTTCCAGTTCAAGAGTGTTAGTAGTACTTCTCTGTGATTGCTCTGTTTTGTTCAGACATCAACGTATAATGTCTTGAGATTCTTGTTTGCACAATTGATATGTTTGCTTTCGGATCCATATTTCGTTCCGTACAAGGTGATCTGCTTATGCTTCATACTTGCTCTAGAAAAGGATACATCATGTAAGCAAGTTCTAGGATCTGAAGAAATCGTCTCGAAATTTGAAGGTTAATTGATATTTGCTTGTATTTTTTTTTAATTGAGGGCGAATCAGGGGGCCATAGAGCAGCCTCATAGCATATACCCGGGCTTCTCTTGTCCAAGCCACATAGTTCAAGCTCAACTTCCTGGATTTGTCTCGCCGAAGAAACAGTCAAAGAAGGCGAGGTTGTTCGATCTGCTTACTGTGAAGTTTGTAAGGTTGACTGTAACGGTCCGAGTGTATTCGAGCAACACAAGTTGGGGAAGAAACACTTGAAGAACTTGGAGAAGTTAAAAACATGCTTACCCGTACAGTCTAACACAGGCTCTTCTTCTTTGGCCGGACTAACCATTGCAGTCCCGTTGATAGGACCACAAGAAAATCCGTGTAAAAGCAAGGCCAGGAAGAACGTGAAGAAAAGAGCGGAATCAACAGAAGATCTAGAATCAAAGAGACGGAAAGTCATGGAATGTGGGGCAACAAATGAGTCAATTAGATTGTGTAGAATATGCAACGTTGTTTGTAATAGCGACAAGGTTTACAACGATCATTTAGCCGGTCAGAAGCACGCCTCTAAGGCGGTAAAAGCCCCTGTTAATTCCTACACTCTTTGAATCTTATTTCTTGCATTCACTGTATTGCATCATTACATAACATGATTTCCTTATTTACCTGGATACACTGGGAACTTGGGAAGTAGAAGAGACATTCAAAAGAGTTCTTAAGGTAGACTAGTTAAGGCTCATGGAAGTTCGACTTGCTTAATGTTCCATATGTCTTTGGCATATTCGTGGATCGTCCTATCGCTGCTAAACTTGAATGAACCTGCTGTGTTCATGATTGACATTCTCGTCCATCTCTGTAATCATTAACAGAAATTTCAAGGTTTGATCTTTAGGACGTTTCATATTGAGTCAACGTATAAAAGCTTTGATGATCAACGAAAAAGCATCACTACTTACTTTCTGGTCTCGGTATGCCTCGTCGACTTTTTCTTGGCATTCAACATAACTAGGAAAGTCTTTGCCAACGAGGAAGTAATCCGCTCGTCCAAAGCCTTCATTTCCTTCCAAAGAGCCAATAAGTTCATCATAGTTGTTTGAGCCGAAGACACCACTTCTAACGAATTTCTTGACTTCTTCAAAAATAGGATCCGGAACAAACTGGAATGCAAAGACAAAAGAGGTGAAAATGAAGTTATTGTTTGAGACTGAGAAGAAGACGAAAGCACATCAAGATTTACTTCAAATCATTATACCTTCCCTTCTGCTCTCTCTTTTCTGAGGTTCACAATCTCATGAGCTTTTGCACCGAAGAGGAAGAAATTTTCTTCGCCAACTTCATCTCTAATCTCTACATTTGCCCCATCCAAGGTTCCAATCAAAATGCAACCATTCATAGAAAACTTCATGTTGCTTGTCCCACTCGCTTCCATCCCAGCGGTACTGCAGAGAGAACTCTAATTCTTCAGAAAATTGATTTTAACTTTTTCTAATAGTTCCTCATGTCAAGATTTGTTGCTAAGGTTCTCATAATAAACATCTAAACTAGTCCAGTTCCTGGTTTACCAATTATTTCAATTTCAGTGTTTCAGCCTCATGGAGTTGTGACCAAAAACTAGAAGGTGACTTAGCCAAAGAAGTTACCTGATGTGCTGAGAAAGCTCACTTGCTGGAATGAGCAATTCAGCAACACTGACATTGTAATCAGGAACGAAGATAACCTACAAGGTAGTTAACACTTTTAATTAGCAGTAACAATAATATAGGTCTCAATTTTCACAAGATGCTGAAAACAGACTTGATGGAGGATTATGCAGGTTGTCTGCTCGGAATATGATTGATTCAAGCACGTAAAAGTATATATAATAAGAGGCCACGTACCTTTAGCAGGTCACCTATTTCTGGATCATGGTTAATTGTAGACCCAACATCTGTGATGAATTTCACAATCCTCTTAGCTTGCACATATGTGGCAAATGCTTTCCCCCCAAATATGCAAACTCTTGGAACAAATGCCTTCTCCCTCTCACTGGCACTCATTTCCTTCATCTTTTTGTAACGATAAACAATTCCCAAGATATTAAGCAGTTGTCGCTTGTACTCATGGATACGCTTGATCTGCAATAGTTTTCAATGCAAAAAGCAATAAATTGACACGATTCATTAGATACAGCCTGGATGTGAAGTGGTTTTCTCAAACAAAAAAGCAGCATCCACGCAACAACTCATCAATCTAAGAGTAAATAAGATCCTCCAGGACTGACCTGAATGTCGAACATTGCATCCGGGTTGACAGTATATCCGGTTCTTTCCTTGATTAGTGATACAACCTTCAACTTGTTCTTCTTTTTTGCTGCTCTCCACTCGGATTGAAGATCTTCATTATCCGCAAACTGGATAAAAACCGAACCAAGGTAACCAGTGTCTTACTATAATGACAACAGCATGTGAAACAGCATCGAATCTGATATAGCACATACCTTTCTTAGTTCTGAAAGCTTTTCAGTGTTTAAGACCCAGTCTTCTGTGCCTATCCAGTTAGTTATAATATCACTTAGATACGGATTGCAAAAACGAATCCATCGCCTTGGTGTTACTCCATTGGTTTTATTCTGAAATTTATCCGGCCACAACTGCAACAAATATAGAATATTCAACAATGAGATTCGTGTTCTTCTAGATAGCACATTATATAGCATAATGCTTCACTATTTAGAATATTTACCTTAACGAATTCATTAAACACATCCTTCTTCACTATTTCACTGTGTATCTCTGCAACCCCATTTACAGCATGACCACCCACAACAGCGAGGTTGGCCATACGGACCATCTTTGGAGGTTTTACTGTAGGTTCTGGGATAACTTCCTCTTCCTCGCCAGCAGATCTTTCCTCTTCTTGTTCCTTTTTCACCACAGTTTGAGCATCTTCTTCAGAGTCTTCGAACGGGCCTATGGTGTTTATTGCAGAAACTGGTTTGTTCTTTGGCTTCACAATCACATCTGCAAAGGCAGAAGGCAACTCCACGTTCTCTAAGATCCTCATTGCCTTCAGTTTCTCCTCGAGTAAGTCAGGATCCGCGGTGCCATACTCAGAAACAATTGTGCGAACTAGCTGCAATGCATAACAGAGCAAATTAGACCAAATATGGAAAAAATAAAAGAGACATTTGGTGTTGTTCAGGAATGACCTCCTCATCAATCATTTCTATAATCTCCACATGACGTGGCAGCAATTTCTCCATAAGTTCTAAACTCCACTTCTCCAGAGCCTCAGGCAAGACTGTATGGTTTGTGTATGCCACAGTCCTAGAAACATTATTAACTTTTCAGAAACACACTGAAAACAAATAAGAAGAAGAAACTAGATTATAGGTATAGACACAGTGTGGAGTTCTAAAATTAGTTCAGTCACTTGAAAAGGTACCTTTGAGTGATTTTCCAAGCGTCCTCCCAGCTTAGTCCTTTCAAGTCCATTAGAATCCTCATTAGCTCAGGAATGCACAGGGTAGGGTGAGTGTCATTCATCTGCACTGCAACCTTCTCTGGAAATTCTTCCCAGTTGATGCTTCCTCCAGACCGTGTCTCATAACGTGCAATGATATCTTGGAGCGAGGCCGAGCACAGAGTGTACTGTTGCTTCAGACGAAGAGCCTTTCCTTCAATTGACTCATCTCCAGGATAAAGCACGTAACAAATCTGATTCCATTATGGGAGAAGGGAAGTAAACAACTATTTTTCAGTATGTACACTAGAAAGCTCGTTGTTATATAAACAAGAACAAGTGAAGCAAGACTAACTCTTCATGTAATAACTAATTAATTTCTGCTCGTTCTCATTCAATGTATGCACTTTTGTAAATAGATCATGAATAAGATAGAGTTTAAAGGTGCTTGCTATGAATAACACAAATGTGAAAGCAACTTTAAATGAAACTTAATGCATCTTTATACGCATTGATTGATGCTCGTGCAGGCTAAGAGGAGAGTAGAAAAGATACAGACCTTCTCAGCGTTAAATAGAGCTTCTGCTGCCTCAGTATGCTTCCCAGAGTTGTATGAAGATAAATCAAAATCTTCTGAAGGGGCTTTTGTTGACCAGAGTCGTAGATTGATGGTAGACTTAGTTTTATAGCCAGGTATAGGAACATCATAAGCAACGGCCACTATGTCTTCTCCACCAATCCACCGTTTCTTACCATCTGATCCAAAAACCACTTTTCCATAGAACTTTACAGGATATGAGACATCATTCCTGACTATTTCCCAAGGATTGCTTAGCTGAAAAGAAACAGGTAAGTTAATCAACATGTACAATGCTCAGCATTGCTTCACTAGAAAAAGCTGTTTTTGGGAAAAAGACCTCAAGCCAATCTTCTGCCGCTTCCTCCTGCCCATCTTTTGTGATTCTCTGTTTGAACAAGCCATACTTGTATCTAAGCCCATAACCCCATGCCGGATAATTCAAAGTTGCCAAGGAATCCAAAAAGCACGAGGCAAGTCTCCCGAGTCCACCATTACCAAGTGCAGGATCTGGCTCCTACAAATTGGAAGTGAAGAATTTAGAATCTCAGCACAGAATCACGAAGACGACAAGATAAATCTCCAGTAATCAACATGTTTAACAACTCGCCTGACTAGCTACGCTTTCAAGATCAAAGCCAAGACTCTTCAAAGCTTCAGCATAAGGGCCAGTAAGCCCAAGATTACCCACTGCATTTGATAGGGCTCTACCCTACAATGCGAGAGCTGGTCAGATCATTAACAACCAAGTAAAAGATTTCTGGGAGTCAAACGACAAGAAAGGAAGAGTTAAAGCAAACCTGCAAAAACTCCATGGACAAATAGTAGGCCTGTTTCACATTCACTCTGTTGTAATACTCATATGTAGCGTTCCAGTTTATGATCAGAGCGTCCCTAACACTTTGTGCGGTGGCAAAGAAAGCCTTTGGCAGCTCAAACTTCTCCGGAGAAAAGAGAGGCGTGAACTCCGAGTGGTACTTGATGCTCGAGGCAACCGAAGCAGCATCTGGAGCAAACGGGCTCAGGGAGGTCAAAGCTTCTGATTCAATTAAAGATTTATAAAAGGAATTTGTTCAGCAGCACGAACATTCAACAATCAGTAACATTCACTATAAATTCCAAATTTCATAGCCCAATTTAGAAACATTTACGCGAGAAAAAAAAAAAAAAAGCAAAAACAAATTGAGAGAGAAACGAAAGATAAATTGGACCTTGTTCGGAATCGATAACTGCATCGGCGATCTTCTCCTTTGGCTCGCTAGAAACGGATTTCACCGATGAAAACCGCTTTCTCGTCGCCGCCGGTCGCCAGGTTCTGCTCTGCGCCGGGAACATCCTCGTTCTCCATCTTCCATTGTCGCAACGACGACCAACGAGGCTCGACAAGGAATTGCATTGGACCAAAATCTCAGCTCTGTTCGATACACCGGAGAGTCGCATCGTATCCATCTCTCTCTCTCTCTCACTCTCTCTGAAAACGTAGAGTAGAGAACACTGGAGTGCTCAGTCTTTTGAGTTTCACGAGGCAAATCTTATCAGTCATCTGAGATTGACTATAAACACGTGGCGTTTATGTCCATGTGTCATGGTCTTATTGGATAACGAGACTGTACTTACCCGTGACAGCTCACCTTTTCTCAGTGGGTAGTGAGCTGATTCCTAGAGGAGAGATATTTCTGGGAGAAAGCGACAAGACAAACAATATTAAATTTATTCAACAAGCAACATGCACCGTCCACGTGTAAGGTGTCTCGATCGTTACTTTTGTCACTCGTGAAAATATTTCTTGTATTGAACGGTTAGGTAGTCTTAAAATGTCTTACTATCTTATTAACGAAGCAAATCTCACAGCCTATAATAATCAATAGCATAATCACTTTGCCGTCAAATTCCAAGAACTAACTTTTATGTTACTTTAGTTATGTCTATTGACCCAATTGACATTGATAGTGCTAATAGTGATTCGATTGTACAAGTTTGTCTACATGAACAAGAAGCATGTATTACACACAGTCAAGAATAATGCAAGAAACAAGATTTCTTATTGAGTAACAAAAACAAGAGTATTCGGAATTGGAGCAAAGAATACAAAAAGCCGGAAACAGATTTAGCAAGCCAAGAAAACACTCTAACAGATCTTCCCAGAGGAAGTTGAACCTAACCTAAACCATCTGGTTATGTTACACAACAAAAAAAAGTTATCTTATTGGGGTCACGGAACATACCAAAATGCAGTTTTTTTCGAGAATTAAACTAGTCATAACCAAACTGGTCAAGGTTCCATCTTTAGTGGCAATGGAGGAGAGAACATTAAGCTTCCTTTTTGACTCTGGATCTCCCTCCCCTGTTCATTACTTCCCGGGTGATTGGCATTTCTTGTAACTATTGCGTCCCCTTCCCCGCCCTCTGAAGAAGAGACTTCATTTTCAGAGTGAGTTTCTTCTTCTCCTTCAAAGCTCTCGTTTTCCTTGGGCACATGTTTGATTTCCTCAAACTCATTCCCATTCCCTTTCTTGTCTCCATTTCCATCGCTTGATATGCTTATCGAGTCATTTCCCTCGCTTATGCTCGACTCTGGCGTATCTCCATAAACCTTATATACGTTCCCATTCTCATCAAAGCTCACAGTTTTCACCACCCGGGTTTTTCCTCCACCTCCTTTCACCAAAACCATGTTCCTAGTTTTCGAACCATGCTTCCTTTCATTATCCCTGGACATCACGAGACTTTCTTCGCCACTATCAACTGAATCATCCTCAGCACTCGAAGTTAGATCATGTGTATTTCCATATACCTGATACACATTCCTGTTCTTGTCAAGTACCATGTTTTTCCTAACCGGAGGCTTCACTACATTGCCTTTCACAAAGGCTCCAGTTCTAAACTTAGAGCTACCAATCTTCTTCTTATCAATAGCATTCATTGGGACTTCTTCACCATCATCAGTCATGGAGTCCGACTCTTCTAGCTCTGCATTGCTATCTTCATCCTCACCAGAAGAAACAAAGACTTTCCCCATTCGGTTCCTCAACTTCTCGATTGTTCTGTCTTCTGCTACACCAAAACCCTGAGGCTTTTTGCCATCAGAGCCCTTAAGTTTGTTGTAGCTACGCATAAAGCTCGCATTTACTACAGATTTACCAACAAAATCGTAACTTTGAACAGCACAATCATCTATGTACTGCAAAAACCTCACCAAATCTCTACTCAATGATCTCTTACTATTTCGTATCATTGGATCAATCCTCCTACCCTGATAGAGACAAGTGATGAAAAATGAAAACGAAGTCAAAGATCTAGAAAACCAAAAGAGACAGAACTTTCGAAGACATTACAAAAGGGTTTCCTGAACAAAATACCTGAATCGAATCCAGTTGCAGAAGCAAGTCTGTAGCTTTCCGAGAAACAAGCTTGAAAGGGAAATGGGGTTTCCCAGAAACCGAAGATTTGAGAGAGACGAAGCTAGATTTTATCGTTGCAAGCTCCTTGAGATGCCTAAAGGATATGGATCTCCGAACCAGGTAAGAGCGGAAATGGGTTTGAATGACACGCGCCGCGGAATCTCTCAGTGTGGAGTATCGACCGCGACGTTGGTCATAACAAGCTGAAAACTTGTTCAGCGACGACTCGAGATCATCGATTTTGCGAAGAAGACAAGAGAGAACAATGTGGTCGGATTCTCGCGGAACGTTCTTCTGCTTGTGCTCCCGTCTAATACCGTTAAATCTCACACACTGGATTTCGCAGGAGCAGGTCTGGTCATAAGATTGCCTTTCTTGTTGCTGATTTGGGAGGTAAGAAGCGACGAGATGTAGAAGATTATCCGGCGGCGGCGGCGGCGAATGGTGGTTGGATTGGGTGCAGCAGGGAGTAGAATCGGCGTAGGTGCAGCAGCGTGATGACGTGGGAAGTAGGGGGATGGTATCGTGGTGGTTCTGCCGCCGTAAGAAGCCGTGGTGGTGGTGGGACGCCATGGGATCGACGGCGAAGTTTACTAGATTGAGTGCATAAAATGGCTTTGACCAGTATCGATCCCGTGAAAAGAGGAACAAGAAGACAGAGAAAAATAGCTTGAGAACGTCATGCAGTCCTTATCATATATTACAATCCGGCACGCACTTTACCTTATTGACCGGTCAAAACAAACCGGTGATTTTCACCATTTAGAATGATTTTTTAACCATCGATATTTTCCGGATCCAACACATATTTTACATGTCACTGACTACTAATTCTCGTTTTGATACCGAATGGACAAATCCTAATTTTAATTTGATAACATATGTTCCACCTATTTTACAGATGTTGCATCCTGATTTGCAATTTGCTTCTGTATCCCATAAATCTCACATCTTTAGAAGATTTTGCATTCTTGCTCGATGAAAATCATATTGTTTTTATTTTTATCTTCTTATTTTTATCAATTTGAGTTACTAAACCAGAGACAGTCCCTTAATATCAGTGAATAGTTATGAGTGTTATGTGCAATCTACACAACCAAGGAGTCAGTGCAAGGAATAGATTGAATTACACAATTTCAATTAGGGATAACCATTTTTGGGGGATGGGCTCAACAGCAACTTTCCAGTAGTCCAAATCTGTATACCATTAGTCCAAATCAGAATACAACAAAACCTCAACATTTTGTTTTACCTAAATTGGCACCGTGGAATAAAGTTGGGTAAAGATTGCAGCTTTAACTTTTACTTTTAAGTTATGATAAAAAAATTATGGAACAAGTGTTCATTTTTTTCCAGAACACAGAAAACGACAGATGGAGGAAACTCTGGAAAAACAAGCGTGGCTTGGGTCATCGAGCCAAATGTCCAAAACTCTCTGTTACCCACAACAACTCATACACATTCCAAGACGGTCCGAAAACTAAATGAAAAATAAAAGAAAAATAACCTAAATCATAATTAAATAAGATAAACTCTACCACGACGGAGAAGTATACGACGGCGAACCAGACGGCGAAGAAGAGCCATCGTTGTTGTTACTATTGGATTCACTAGCAGAGGTTTCCAACGACCTCACATCTTTCAACGAAACAGAGCATGCCTTTTCAGGAAGACCCTTCATCGGAGTCAATGTCGGCGTCGAATCTCCGGTTACGTCGTTATCTTCCTCGCCGGAAGAAGACGAGTCTCCGGTCTCGAGCCGCGACGGTGACGACTCAGGGGTTTCGAAAGGCGTGGTTGGTTTACTTGCTGCTTCGTTCGAGTAAATTGGGTTCGATATGTAGACGAAATTATCCACTGAATCGTTATCGATGGGTACAATCAGATCAGGAGAAGCTTGTAAAGATTGTTGACGGTGAAAATGAGTTTTGGTTTGGAAAAAAGATTTTGGAGTCTGAAGAACGCCTGTGGTTAGAGGATTTGGTGAAGAATCGATGTTAGATGGCGAAGTGTCGTTGGTGGTTGAAATGGCTTGAGCGAGGCTTGTGGTGGTTGTTGCAGTGGGGACGACGGTGGTGGTGGTGGTGGGGAGGGAGAGGGAGTTACGGCGGCGACGGCGAAGTAAGAGAGAGCAGTAGAGTTCGGCTAGTAGTACTAATACTAAGCTTAAAACCATGACCAAGCTCACTACCATTACCATTGTTGCCGCCATTATCACCTTCGACGAGCTATTCATTTTTTATTCTCTCTCTTCTCCTTCCTCTTCTCCTTTCTCTTCTTCTTCTTCCTCTTCTCCTTTCTCTCTTCTCTTCTCTTTTCTCTCTCTGGGTGGGACTGAACACAGAGAGGAGGAGAAGAGTGGTGAGTGAGTGGTAAGAAGCAGCGCTCTGTTTTTGGCGGGAAAAGTGGGTTCTTTGCTTTTTTTCAGGGACTGTGTGGGCCTATTTGCTGAATGCAGAGAAAGGGACGATTGGGTACGAGGAACACGAGGCTCTCTGTTTTACGAGCTTGAAAAATTAATAAAAGAAATTTTGCCCCCATATGGGAGGGTATTATTGTAAATTTCAGATGTGAGTACTGAGTAGCATGTTAATTTTGCAGGTGAGAAGAGAGAGGAGGATAAGCGAGTGAAAAAGGAGTCTCAAAGCTTTGTGAGTGAGTTTGATCACCGATGCTTCCTCGATGAAGTTAGGGGTTTGTGAGATTTGCTTGTGACAAAAGTAATCATCTGTTCTTGATAAACATCCAAAAGAAAAAAGACAGATTGGCGTTTTCTTGAAATCATATACATATATAAAAATACTTACTCACATTTTGTTGTGTGTTTCCTAGTTATTCAAAATTCCCAAAATGTGCATGGCACACCAAGTATACAAAAAGAATCAAACAAAGAACAGAACCAGTAACAGAGCGACATAAACCTCTTGCCCCTGAGAATGAGATCTAGCTATCTGGTGTAACGCCGTTGCAGTGCAGCCTTATATTCCACTCTTTCCAGATTCAAACATCTGTTTCCAGTGATAGAAACTGGACAAGAGCTACTTCATCGCCAACCTTTAATCTCTGTTATAATGGCACCACAACCTCATTTACCAGAGACAGACAATAGCATCACTTGGCTTATGCTTCAAATATCTTCGAAGGACAATGAACAATAGCCCACAAAAACATTTCCCACACTGAGCATAGAGACAATGTCCAAAAGTGAGAAATTAATCTCTTTCTTTTTTACTGCATTTTATCTTGATTGTGGCTTCTATTACTAAGAACAAGTATGAGCAGATACAAAGCATTATCACCTTAACTAGTAGTGTTTCTTCAAGTTTTGTAGCATCATAGCTCGGGTTTTACCATCCGGTTCTAGACCCATCTCTCTCATTTCGACATACAGCTCCTTTGCAATCTTGAACTCGCGTCTTAAACACATCCCATGTATTGCTGCGTTGTAGAGCGATACATCCGGTTCCACTTTCTGTTCCAGAAAAATAGCAACATTAGATGAAATCTCTTCTAAATGCACATTTGAGTAACAAACTTAAAGAATCTGGAAAAAAACTCATACCTTTAGGATATCTTTAACCTCGTCCCACAGAGAACCCCAAATGCAGCTCCTTACAAGTGACAGATACGTAAACGTGTCTGGTTTACAATCTCTTTGAGCCATGTGCTCATATACTCGCAATGCAATTTTCGATTGCCTTGATCTTTCGCAAGCGCTTATCACCAGATTATATGATGAAGTTGAAACTGTTAATCCCGAACCTTCCATCTCATACAAAAGCTTCACAGCTTTCTCCCAGGAACCAAGCTTTTGGCATGACATCATAGCTGTGTTGTACAAATATTCATTCAAACAACACAGGTTTTCGCTTCTTATCATATCAAATAGCTGAAGAACATCTTCATATCGGTTTGCTTTGTATAAAGCCGTGAGTAGCGCATTCCACGTGTACTCATCGGGTTTGTGCCCCAGAGATTTTGCAACACTGTAAACCTTAAACACCAATCCGACTTTTCCCGCTTTTCCTAGCGAGTTTATCAAAGTATTGCACGCTACAAGATTAGGCTTCATCCCTTTCTTTAACATACTTTGAAATATCTTTAGCGCCAAATCCCATTTTTCTTCCTTTGTACATGCGTTTATCAACGCGTACATTGCATCCTCTCTTGGAGATATTTTGTTGTAAATCATCTCATCATATGCATCAAGCGCCAATTCGCTTCTCCCGCACCGAACAAAAATGCTAACAAGCAGAGAATATGTAACCTCTGTTCCGATTTGACCATCACTTTTCATAACTCTCCAGATTCTCTCTGTCTCGTACACGTTATTTATCCGTCCACATAGAGAAATCACGGTGTTGTATAGAATCACGTCGAAGTTACTCTTATGTTTCGGATCCTTTTCTAGTTCTCTAAACATTCTCAGTGCAGAATCACAACCCTTAACCTCTGCAACAGCTTTCAAGAACAAGCTATACGTGTGCCCTGTGACGTTCTCCTTTGTCCTCATGAACTCAAAGACGATAAAGACTTTCTGAAGATTTCCATTCCTCAAAAGGCACGAGAGAAGAGAGTTACATGCATGAGCATTGGGTTGTAAACCCAAAGTTCTCATAGAATCAAACAACTCCATTGCGCTTCTGACTTTATTCAACCTGCTAAGCTTCAAAAGTCTCTTCGATAACATCTCTTCGTTCCTCTCCTCTAGAAAATGTATCCTATTCCCATTCGCTGCAGGCTTCTCTTCTGACCCATTTTCAACCAAGAAATCGCAAAGATTTTCTGGTTTCTGTTCAAGAAAACTAATTTCTTCAGTTCTTCTTTTCGACCCACTTTCCCAATCTAAACCCATAGTTTCTCCGTTGAGAGATCTATCTAATTCACAACACACTTTCCCGAAACACATTCTGGTTGTTCCTGATGGAAAAGACTCCATTTTCAGACTACCATAGACTAGACGCCTTCGTTTTGGCTTCATGGTCACCGCAAAGTCCAACGATTGACTCAAAGACCAATGACAAGTTCTCCAGACAAAACTGCTTTTCTTGGCGGAATAACATCCACAATCCAATTGACTCGATGTAGCAGTGACGGAGACAGGACTCAACCAGGCATCTCCCATGATTCGGAGATACAATAAACAGCAAAACGCAGCAATCTACACCTCTGATTCCAACTCAGAACATACTCTTTCAAAGCTGAGAAGTCCCTTCCTATGCAACAAAAAGGTAAGAACTTTGGTAGAATTTTCAATACTAACGGAGGGATTCGCTAAACTAAGAACACCCTGTACAAGTCTAAGCAAACAAACCCCAAATTTTCTTAAATCAAAGAAGAGCAGCTACGTAATAACTAGTACCCAATACAACGAGCAGGTATGAAACCAAAACTAAACTAAAATCTCATTTTATCTTGGGGAATTGCTGAATTGTTCTGGCTGAGGAGTATGCGAAGGAGTTTAGAAACTTACACGGAGACGACGTCGTTTGGAAAACTTGTCACGCCGCCGTTTTTAAGTATGAGAAGGACTCCAAAGCCTGAAACTTTACACATTGTTATTACGAACACAGTGAGAACATTGGGTTAAGAGTCCACTCCAGAATCGGTGTTTCAAAAACAAAAAAGACAGCTCCAGAATCGATTTCGCTATCAACAATGGGTAAAGTTTCTGGCTTTATTTAGCAAATGTTCCAGCGTTGTTTTTTAAATGTCGTGATGCTGTGATTGCAGATGAGGGAAGAGAAGGAGAGATAGAGAAGAAAGAAGAAGGAGAAGTGAAGGAAGGAGTAGCATCAATAGCTTTATTGCCATGTGGGTCTATCTCTGGCCATTTCATTCAGATGCCTCGCTCCATCTGTTATGGCCTCCATGGCACTGGTAATTTCACTCTTCTCTTACTTTTCTCTCTCTTTTTGTTTGTTGGGTTTGATTTTTTTTTTTTTTAATCAATTTTGCACACACAGAAAAGTGTTCTTTATTTGTCTATATCCATTTACCTTCGATTTGATGGAATATTTTGGTCCTCAAGAATGTAAATGAGTCTGTTTTGACTTGATTTAGGGAATTACATCTTTTGATACTAGGATTTTTTGAACTTGATATTTTTTTTGTATGACAATTAGCTTAAGAGCATAGAAGGAGGTGAATCAGTCTGCTTTCATTGCTTCGGATTCTTCATACCATTGAACCCTTCTGTGTTGTGTTGTGTTGTGTTGTATGGTTGATAACTTTAATTTCTTTCCAAAGAACTGGCTTGTGAGACCGAGTGTAGCCGCGGTGAGGATTATCGGTTGATCAAACTCACCATCATAGACTACAATGTATGAATTTCTCACTTCATATTCTAACAAACTTACGTTATTTACTCTTAACTCTTAATTTCAAAACCACTGAATTGAACTTGTTCCTGACTCTCTATCTGTGACATTTCATGTAAAAAAAAAAGAGTAAGAAGGAACAAACCATTGTAGTGGAGTGCAAAGGCCACGATGCTGCGCGAATTAATGATGTGGAGCATGCTCACGGGTAGGTTGTCCCTGTTTTATCATCTGTTATTCAATAGCAAAGCTAAAATTAACCTATGAAAAGCCATATAGCTCATAGAAAAGGTCAGAGAAAACATGCAAATGAGTTGAAGATATAAAACCCCTTCTGTGTGCGTCTTTTACTGTTTTATATGCTCCATGCTTATGACTGAGCTCTAAGGTTAATCACTTGTCTTTGAAAAGTTGGGAGGAAGATGTGATTGGATTAGTTGAAGAAAAACACGGGAAGAAGAAAGTATCTATTTCATTCGAGTGCGAGACATTGAAGGCAGATAAAGCAGCAGAGGATCATATCAGACAGTTTATGCCCAAATTAGCTGGACTTGATGCTGTTAGTAAGTAGAGCCAAACAGTTTCTTCTTGTGCCATCTCAATTACATTATGGTTTCTTGCCTTTTTTTGGATAAACACAACCTGAGTGACTGTACTGATTTTTCTGATTTTTGCAGTTAACATCGGACCCATGAAGATTTCGGGGCTTGATTTTGCTGCGGTGGAAGAGGAACATGCAAACTAAGACAGCCTAAGTCTTTCTTTTATTTCATATCGTAGAACACAATTTGATTTTGCTAGTGCAATGCAGTCAAAATTCTAGTTTTATAAAAAGGACTTACTACATTTTCTTAGAAATTCTAGTATTAAGGTGAATGAATTTAGCTACTGCTTTTCATTCGAATGTTGTTGTGACACGAACTTTTTTCAAGGTAAAGAATTTGGATTCACTCGCTTCTGAATGTTTACGTACAGAGCGTTTACAATATGTATATATGTTATTTTACAAAATTATTACTTAAGTCTTAAGAGGTCGGTCTATAGATCTATGACTGGCCTATACCGATCCTGGTTTTATTTACAATTAACAAAAATCTCTAATTATTTGCTAGTGATAAGAATGTGTATGGAATGTTTTTTGGAAAAAATGATTTGCTGCGGATTAATATAGGTAGGCCTTTGAGCTCAGTTTAGCTTGATTTTGTCAATACCAGCTGGAGAGTTTGTAGTAGACTCGCTCTTCATAGCAGTCTCCACGAATTGGGTTGTGACTGTTTCCCACTTGGTGATTGTCTGTTTAATCTCTGTCCTCTGTGTCTCTGTGACTGTCACAGTCCCATCTTTCTTGCCTTGGCTTTGACTAAGAATTTTCTTGTGGATGGCGTCTAACTCGTGCAGAGCCTTCGTCACTTCTCCCTGGTAACTTTCCATTGATTTCTTCACCTGTCGATATACCACCATAAAAATAAGAAGATGGATTTTTTCAGAAGATGATTCCATAAGATTCTTGTGAAGAGAGTTTATTGTTACATACCTCTGATGATTTGCTTCCAAGTCTTGAACCCATAAATGACATGGCATCGGATACTTTCCCAGCAGCAGATTTGATCCCAGAAAAGAAATCGTTTTTCTTCTCAGAAGTAACCTTTGCGGAAGCCATCATGGTTCCCTTGAGTTTCTCGAAGAAGGACTTGAATTCCTCCTTCGGTGGACACTTCTTCTCGAGGTTCATTATGAATTGCATGACTTCTTTGGAAGTCTCAGCCTCGACTTCTGCCACTGTGCTTCCCTGGCTATTGCTAGTGGTGGAGCCTGCAGGACTATTTGCAGGACTTCCAGCAGGGCTTATAGAGCTTACACCGGTAGTATCCGCATAAGAAGTTCCACTTCCACCTGAAGCAATATCGGTTGAACCAGAGGGACTGGTCGCAGGACTTCCACTAGAACTGCCCATGTCAGAACTTGAACCTGTTGTGTCTTTGTAAGAGGTTCCACTACCGGAGCTAGAGCTTCCCTTACCGGAGCTAGAGCTTCCGCTACCAGAGCTTTTGCCACTGCCGCTTGAAGTTTCTTTTCCACTTGTAGAATCTCCACCTGAAGCAGAGGAGCTTCCTGTGCTTTGTAGCATTGTGTTTGTGATTCGAGCAATCACTGTCTCCCATTTCAAGATCCCTTCTTTGATTTCTTTCTGTTGTTCTGCTGTTAACTTCATGGATTCTTCGCTCTCTTCCTTTTTGCGAGCACCCATAATCTTCCCCGCCAAGGATTTCATCCACTTGAAGGTATTAACAGCTTCCAGTTTCTCCTCCATAATCTCTTCCTTTATCTGTTATATGATGCAGAAGTTAATAAAAATGATTAGCCATAACTTTTCACTTGATCAAGAAAAGCCTTTTTATCTGTCCATTCACTTACCTTTCCAATAGCAAAAGAAGATATGGCCTGGAATAGGCTTCCTGCTTTGGCCTTCATGTCACGATCGTAATCTTTTTGGTCTTTCTTTGCTATTGGGCAAACATACTTGGCGAACGCTCTGAGCTTCTCAAAGTAGGCCTTGAATTTGTTTGTCTTGGGACATTCCTTCTCGAGGTCCGATACAAACACCATTACTACTTTAACCGTGTAAGGCTCCACATCCTTGACTGTTTTTGGATCTTCGATTTGAGGCAGAGCTGGTTTTAGCTTAAGGTGAGCTGAAACCACGTCAAGAAGGGTCACTGATGCAAGAAGAATGGTGAAGCATACTAATAACTGAATTCTTGCCATTTTTTCTATATTTTGGGTTTTCTGTTTTTTTTTTTTTTTTTTTTTGGTTTTTTGTTTTTGGGTTAAAGTGAACTAATAAGTTCGAAGAATGAATGAATTGCAATGGAGTTCTTTGCCTGCTTTTATAGTGATGTTTAGTGTTCTATGTTTAGAATCATTTATCAACTGACCATGGAGAATTTGGTGGATCAAGGTCCAAATAAAAGTAAAGAATTTTTTATCAACAAAATAAAATAGTAAAGAGTTTTTATGGTTCTTACGTTTCACAAGTAATTGATGGTGAAGTCTTTTGTTCTTCCTTCAAATTCTCTATTTTCAGTTTTGTATGTCAATTAATTTTTCCGTAATATATATAAAAAAAAAGAATATATCGTAAGCTAAGCCTAATTGCATGATTTCACAAGATAATAAGTCTACTGAATTCTGTTTTTTTTTTGTCAACATGTTTTCTATCGATTTTGAATTTGGTTGGTGACACAACCACAATACTACCACAAACCATTAAGCTATATATAATATATATCATGATCAAATGGACTCAATTTCTACGCCAATCTTTCATTGTTTCAACTTTCAACTAAACTATTTTACTCTTTTACCATTTTTAACACGAAGAAAGCTCAACTAATCGACTGAGACAATTGCTAGAGGAGCATTTGTTGTATATGATTGCATAGGCCATGTAGTCCAATAAGTTAATGGGTCAGTCTCATGAAATTTTATGGCCCAAAGTCGATAGGGGTTTAGGGTTTGCATAAATATTCGATACTTTTAAAACACGGCTAGGGTTTTAGCTTTTTCTTCTTCTTTTTTTTTGTCAAAGATTTTAGCTTTTTCTTCTTTCTCTGGCTTTCTCTCTCCCTCCAAATCCAATGGTGATCTATCTTCTTTACGAATCACCCTCCGGCTACTGTTTGCTAGAAGCACACGGCCTCGATGAAATCCGCCAGAACACTGAGGCTGTTCGAGCTTCAGTCTCGGACCTCAGTCGGTTCGGTCGGGTCGTCAAGCTCATTGCTTTTCAGCCTTCACAGTCTGCACTTGATGCTCTCAACCAAATCAACGCCGTCTCTGAAGGTACTATTCTAGTCTTTTTTTTATCTTTCTCAGAAGTCAAAAGGAAACAAGTAAATTACATTTCTTTTCTCTCTTTTAATTTGTATTGTAGGGTATATGACTGACGAGCTGAGAAGCTTTCTGGAATTGAATCTCCCAAAAGTGAAAGAAGGCAAAAAGCCCAAATTTAGCTTAGGAGTATCTGAACCAAAAATCGGATCTTGCATTTTCGAAGCCACGAAAATTCCTTGTCAGAGCAATGAGTTCGTCCACGAGCTTCTTAGAGGTGTTCGTCAGCATTTTGATAGATTCATTAAGGACCTCAAGGTTATTTCTTCTTCTGTTCGTTTGATTCTCAAGGTCTTAGTTTCTTCTTACTAAAACCCCATCTTCTTCATATAATGTGTGTATATATGTATATAGCCTGGTGATCTTGAAAAAGCTCAACTTGGATTAGCTCATAGCTACAGTAGAGCAAAGGTCAAATTCAATGTTAACCGAGTTGATAATATGGTTATTCAAGCTATTTTCCTGCTCGACACGCTTGATAAAGATATCAATTCGTTTGCTATGAGAGTCAGGTTTGTTTTTGTTTTTTCATCTTCTCAGACTAATATCTTAGGGATAAAAATTGGTTAAACTGAGCAGTTTTAAAATGCTCGTTTCAGAGAATGGTACTCATGGCACTTCCCTGAGCTAGTCAAGATAGTTAATGACAATTACCTTTATGCTCGAGTTTCGAAGATTATTGAGGACAAGTCAAAGTTGTCTGAAGAGCATATTCCAATGCTTACTGAAGTCCTTGGTGATGAAGATAAAGCAAGAGAGGTCGTTGAGGCCGGAAAAGCATCTATGGGTAAACCCTAAATTGATGCAGCTCTTTTAGCTATTTCAAAACATGACTCTGTTATGTTTGTTCTGAAACGACAAATCTGTTGTGTTCCCCTCTTTTTTTTATGAAGGCCAGGATCTATCACCGGTTGATTTGATCAATGTTCAGACCTTTGCTCAGAGAGTTATGGACCTTGCGGATTACAGAAAGAAGCTCTATGATTATCTTGTTGCTAAAATGAACGACATTGCTCCAAATTTGGCGGCCTTGATTGGAGATATGGTTGGAGCCAGGTTGATTTCACATGCGGGAAGTTTGACAAATCTTGCAAAGTGCCCATCTTCAACTCTCCAGATTCTTGGAGCTGAGAAGGCGCTTTTCAGGTGCATTTTTAAGATCATGCTTTTGTTTTCTACTCCATTGTTTTAGTTTTTTTTTGTAGTTATTAACTGTGTTGTAAATTTCCAGGGCGTTGAAAACACGTGGAAACACACCAAAGTATGGTCTGATATTCCATTCTTCATTCATTGGCCGTGCGTCTGCTAAAAACAAGGGCCGTATTGCTCGTTATCTAGCCAACAAGTGTTCCATTGCTTCCCGGATTGATTGTTTTGCTGGTAAAAAGATATTGAATGTCCTTTGTTATTGCGGTGAGAGATTATGCTGTATATTGTTATGAAATTATTTACCATCTATGATTGCAGATAGTAGCTCTACAGCATTTGGTGAGAAACTTCGTGAACAAGTAGAGGAAAGGCTCGACTTTTATGATAAAGGTGTTGCTCCACGTAAGAATGTCGATGTTATGAAAGAGGTTTTGGAAAACCTTGAGAAGAAAGGTATTATGTGTATACTCTTTTTTTTTTGTTCTTGGTCTCTTTCTGAACAAAGTTGTGAGGATTTAGTTTGTTTGATGAGTGTGTTTACGCATTGGTTCTTTCAGATGAAGCAATGATTGATGCCTCTGAAGAGAAAAAGAAGAAGAAAGAGAAGAGGAAGATAGAGGAGATAGTAGACAATGAGAAATCAGAGAAGAAGAAGAAGAAAAGGAAAGCAGCTGATGATTCTCAAAGCAAGAAGAAAAAGAAGAAAACTAAGACTGAAGATGATGAATGAAGAAAGTAGAAGAAAAAAATTTTGTTTGGGTAATGTTTATGTGGCAATTCGCATTAGCTCTCTGTTTTTTTAGTTATAACAACATTAGATATTAAGTTGTTTTAGTTAGATATTAAGTTGTTTTGGGTTTTGACATTCGCATTCGAAGGTTTTGGGTTGTTTTAGAAGCTAAACAACATTAGATATTTACGTTTTCTAGTCTCTGTTTATCTCTTAAACAAAAGTAAAAGCTTCAGACTGAATAAAAGAGTATCAAACCGTTTTCAAGTGTGGATGCAATGATATTTCTTTTACTTAGGAGGTAAGAATATTTATACACACAAATCTTATAAAGACAAACCTCAAGCAATCACAGGCAGATCCTCAAATACTACACAATACTATAAGTTCCTACAAGAAGAGCTCTTACAACACATGCACTTCCATTGAGCAACAAAGCAAACCAAAAACTACATCTATATAAAAGAAAGCCGGTAATTACGTTATTATCATTATTTACTTACATGGAGGACGGACGGGTCTTAGGACTAAGCTGTTGTAGAAAAGTCGTCGAATAAATAGAAAGCTCATGTGACAATCTCCCTGACGAGCCAGTCAAGACAAGGATAAGCAAAGTAGAGGATGAGAAACGACGGTAGAGCCAGCAAGAGAGTGACTAGAATGTACATGGCCAATATTGCTGCACTGGTCGGTATTGCATAGAGTATTATCAGCAGAAATATGACAACCAAGGGGAACTTTGCTGTCAACTGGACAAAGAAGACGAGAGACTTCCTCAGCGAAGTCTGTATGTTATCCCTTGGAATGCGATGACCATGATCAGAACCTGATGGTTCAAGTTGAGTGCGATGATGGCGATGGTGGAGACATGGAGCTTCCCCTCTCGTATGGTCATTGTTCCCATCGGTTTGATCTCTGCTTGATGAGTTGCGTCTCTCGCCGTTCATCCTCTCGACCATCCAAAGCACAAAGTAGTTCTTGTGAGGGAACCTGAGAGTTCCTCTGAAGACAAGACGGAAAGACAATAGGTTGCACCAAGGGCATGAGATGAAGAGAGGAAGCTGAACAGGGTGAGTAGGTAATTTCACAATAGCCCATTGAAGTCCCAAGATGCAGTTTTTGCACATTGTGTGGCCACACCATAGCACGTAAGGAACGTTTTCGACTATGTTGAATGATTCCCAGCAAATAGGACACTCGAGGCCTTGCTCTTTGCTGCCTACAGATGATGCATCGTCATCTGAACATTCCGCATGAGCATTGACTGGTTTTCTTGTTTCGTTTTTTGGTCCGATGTTTCCGGTGAGATAAGTCGATGCTAGATTCCACATTCTTGTATTAGGGATTGATAACATCAACGCCTTCTTCTTCGACAGATGAAGCTAAAACCTTTTCTGCTAATACCCAGCTCTGACCTTCATGGAGCCTCCCATGGTGAAGGATTATTTGTGGATAAAACAAAAGAAGGGAAAAAAAATCAAAATCAAAACACTTTTACCTAAAGCTGAATCATTTATATCTGAGATCCTATATAACAACAAGATTCAATTCATGTATGATGATAATCGACTTGTATTAGACTTCAAGCTCGATCATCCCTTCATCTTTGAGCTAAATCTTAAATCGTCGAAACATTCAATAAACAAGATCCCAATCTCCGGTAATCTCAAATCAAAATCAATAATCAGATAATCGATCACAGCTCAAGCAGCTAAGGAAGAAATCGAACAAAAGGACCCGAAATCGCTCAAGGTTAACGAAGCGAAGATAAATAAATTGAAAGGAGAGAAAATGGGAGCAATCAGTGGTCACTGATACAGATAAAGAACGTACCGATTCTCTCCCACGAGATTCTGCGCCGCGAAAGCCACGACTCGAAGCTTTCTCTCTCTCTCTGATTCGCAAGTGAGCTATTTTGTTTCGTTCCGATGAAGAAGATGCTCCATTTTCCGGTTTGTGTTGCTTTTAAAACGACGTCGTCTTTTCAATCGTGAACCCAAGTTTTTTCTTTTTTTATTTTTTTTCCATCTTAAGATATTTTGATATTTTCCCAATAGTGTATAAATTCGACATCAAGACTACTAAACATTAGTTCGCCAAAACATTTGTGTGTATATTAAATTCATGAAAGGCAAAATGTCAATGGACACTGTGAATTCATTTTTTTATTAGATATGGTAATGACATTGATAAGACTTGGAACATGCATATAGAAGAGATTCCATGGTCCATTTTCACTCTCGTTTTTTCACTTGTGTGCAGGTGAATTCGGAACAATTTGCACGCAACTGTCTTTAAGAAGAGGTGGGAAAAACGGGTTGAAGGGGAACATATGAGGCCAACAGTTAGTATCTATGGTCGAGAAGGCTTTGCAACAAGAGATTCCAACAATTCCAAACTTGCCAGAGAAAACTGATTGGAAGACTTCGAGTATGCATCCATTGACGTTGAAGAGAGATGACCAGCACTTCTCTATGTCTATAGGAGAACTCGGTGGAGTTTTTGATGGTGGTTGATCATGAGCTGCTAATGGAGTGATCAAAACCGCAACACATAAGACCAAAGCTAAGACTAATGCTCTTGATGTGTTTTCCATAGCTCTGTTTAGTTTGTATGTTTTTTTCCTTTTTTTTTTTCTCTTTTAGATTCTTGGATGGTTTGGATATGATATGATAATAAGGTTAGAATTTATAGGGTGAGACATTAGAAACGAAAAGGTGTTAATTATTTGGAGAATGTTTTTCTTTTTAAAAGTTTAAACTAACGGAAAAATAATTTATTGGAGAAGTTTAAATTCTCTTCTCCTTTCTTGTAACATATTTTTGTAATTAAATTTGAATTGACTAATGACCTTTACTCTGTCAACGTAAAAACGTATGGCTTTGCATAACTTGGAAACGATATTCCAACACAAACAGTCGAAATTTCTAACATACCATGAAAGATCAAACAAGTTGAACCTTGCTCCATCCACATCACGATCGGAGTCAAAATTACCCAAGGTTATCAAAAAAATACCACGAAATTCATTGTATAAAACTTTTATAGATTACTAAACAAGAAACACTCAAGTAAATTAGTTATGAATCCTCAATACACACAATCGAACCACAAACCATTAGTGAAAAAACCACCATTACACCCAAAGAAAAAGAGTTTAGATAACAGAGCCTGTTTGAGGCCCAATAAGACCAAGAATCTCATCCCAAAGACCATGACTTTGAACAGCCGAACCAAGCTCAACAACACTAGAGCTACAAGCAGCAACAGTCCAATACCCTCCCAAGATCTCTGCTTTCAACTGCTCTTTCTCCCAACCACAATACCCATCAAAGAATCTAAGCTCACTTCTTCCCACCAAATTCCTCTTCACCATCTCTGCAGCCAAGCCTACACTCTCTCTCGTCCCGTAGTACAACCCTTTCATAACTTGTCTGAACACTCCGCTCTTCCCAACCTCGTTGTCTCCACCACTCCTCGGGCTAACCAAGAACAACCCTTCTTCCAAAGGTCCACCAAAGAAGAGTCTTTTGTCTGAAAACGTTCCCGCCATGTCTAAGACCGTTGATTTGGTCTCCTTGATCGACATCAGCGATGGACGGTTGAGGATGACTCCTATAGGACCTGAGGGTCCAACAGAAAGGAGGAGGATCACCGTCTTCTCGAATATGTGGACTCCGTCTAGCTTCTCGGTGGCGATTAGGAGACATCCTGTCTCTGGCTCGTGGATCTTGTGTGCCCATTTGTTTCCAATTGTGATCAGTGAGGAAGATGATGATGATGATGATGATGACGGATAGTCCACCACCATGTCCGGGTTAGACCACGAGGACGAGTCCTTCTCGGAGGTTGCAGCTTCTTCTCCAGCTACGAGCCTTGCCCTGAATTCTCTCCAGTCTGCATCTGCTGCAGAATTGTTGACACAATCCTTGAAGAGATCAGCATCATCCTCCAGTGGCTTCCATGAATCCGAAAGAGAACCTACTCAAGCAAAATGCTCTCATCAGGCTTGAAACAGCTACCAAAAATTTACTTATCAGACCATTAATTGTAACTAATATGTATACTCAGATCGTGCTTGTGAAAAGAAAATTCTCATAGAAGACAATGATCTTACTTACAATTTACAGAGATCGGAGAAGCCACCTTCCGGGTGAGAAATTGGCCGGAATTTCTCTTGGGACAAGCAAAGATTCTGGCTTTGATCAACGGGACAATCTCTTTGTTACCAGAGATTGATCTTGAGGTAAGAAAACAAGCATCCATGTTACTCTCTCTCTCTCTTGGCCTCTCCCTTTCTATCTTCCGCTTTTTCTCTGACTCAATTCACTTTAGTTCCTCTGAAGAGAAGACAGAGCATAAAGTAACATCTACATATAAGAGAGTGGACAGATGAGAACCAGAAGGTGAATGTGTTTGGTTTCAAGGGTCCTAGTCAGAGGAATGGGCAAAGGGATATACGTTAACCTTTAAGGTGTTGATGTATTTAAAGATAGAAAATTTGCATATGCCTTTGGATATTGGATAAGAGACAAATCTTTTATCAACTTTTTGGATGATGTGTAGGACTAGTGGCCATTCATCTTTTGCCTCTCTAGTTACTTTACCCACTTATGTGGAAAAATAAAAAACATACATTAACTATATCAACCAACTCCCTCCACAATCTCTCTTGATTATTCATTCAGGTATTATTACCGAAAAACAGCAAGAAAAGGGTGGTTTTTGTATCTAAATCAGTAAAAAAAATTATGGATCATTCATAAAAGGTCTTCAGAAGAAGTGAGATAGAGTTTTAGACTTTTTTTTTTTAAATGATCGAAAGTCATCTACAACCACATAAACTACACCGGATTGGAACAAATCAAAGGAGCCACTATTGGTGGTCCTCCTTTCTCCATTATTGTATTACTATTTCAATGGACAGCACCTCAAAAAGGAAATTAAGATCAACTCTAAATCATTTAGACACTGGTTTTACTAATATAATAAACCTCTCGAGTTTGTTGTTGTAATTTGACTATCTAAACATTCAATTTCCAACAACTACTCTTACGTTTAAAGGTAATACATCAACAACGATGCGTCATCATACTGACGTCCATTTATGTGACATCATTACGATAACGATCGTGAGTGGAATTGTCATTAGCCTGTTTACAATTCATACCCGCAGGATCACCTAACCATCTCAATATTAATAAATGATGCTGTACATACATTACCCGAATCCGAACTCATCCAATTTTGTGAATTACAAGGATAAAACCATCTTTGTGTTCCTTTGGAAAATGAACTATGGCCTAGAGAACACTGCTGATATATTACCTAACGATCTTGACAATGTAGCTTTGACCAAATTCTTGTATCACAAACATAAAAACTAAGCAGATTATCCAGCAGCAACCAGCTCACCGGTATCTGGAGGTTCGATTAGACTACCAAGCATATGATATATTTGATCAGAATTTGGGTGTGATTTGTCAAACACTGTAAACTCGTGTATCCCATCCTCCAATGCAATCGAACTAGCTCCAGATGGTTTCTCTACTCCCATACTCTTCATCTTTGACCTTATGTTAGCAACTCCTTCCCAATCCTCTGCTGCTGCGTAAATATTTGACAGCAGCGAATAGTTTCCCGGATCAGAAGGGTCTAATCTAACCAGATGATCCAGGACTTCCTTTGCAATGTCCACCTCGTTATGCATCCTGCACGCTCCAAGAAGAGCACCCAAAATAACAACATTGGGTTCCATAGGCATTGTTTGGACAACTTCAATCGCTTCCTTTATCCGTCCCCCTCGACCTAATAGGTCAACAAGACAACCATAGTGTTCAACTTGTGGAACAAGATCATACTCTTTCTCCATTGAGTAGAAGTAATCTATGCCTTCATCAACGAGACCTGCGTGATTGCAGGAACATAAAACAGCGATGAACGTGACTTTATCAGGTCGAACCCCTTCCCTTCTCATTCTCGAGAAAAGCTCAATTGCTTTCTTTCCGTGGCCATGAACACCAAGACCCTGAAGCATAGTGTTCCAGGACACGAGGTCCTTCTTGGGCATGTTGTTAAACACATCAAACGCTCTTTCTAGGCAACCACATTTTGCATACATATCAAGTAGTGCATTTAACACATAAGCATTAGAGCCAAGGTTAGACCTTTTTATTGTGGAGTGAACCCTCATTCCTAAACTGAGCAAACCAGACTCGGCGCAAGCAGCCAAGATACTAATAGCAGCTGCGGCATCAAATTTCAGTCCTGCATTCACCATCTGGTCGACTAATCTATCAGCCTCCTTTACAAGCCCCTTTTCCGCATATCCAGCAATAATTATGGTCCATGTGACGACGTTTTTAGCGGGCATCTTATCAAACATGATCCTAGCCATTTCCATGTCTCCAGCTTTGCTATAGCCCATAACCATTGTCGACCAAGATACAGTGTTTCTCTCAGGCATTTGCTCGAACAGCTGAAATGCTCTCGTCATGTCTCTGCACCTAGCGTAGCCATCCAACATTGTGTTCCAGCTAATCAGATCCCTGTGAGGCATTTCATCGAACAATTGGCGAGCATCCCTCAATTCCCCTGCTTTCACCAGCCCACCTAGCATCGAATTCCAAGAGACAGTGTCTCTCTCTCCCATCTTAACGAATAGCTTCATCGCCGCTTTAACACCCATAGCACCGCATCTAGAATAGCAGTCGATGAGTGCGTTGGGAACATATATATCAGACGAAAGCCCTAATTTTTCAATGTGGTTATGCATCATTTTCACCACAGGCAACCACGATTGACCTGAGCAAGCCTTGAGAAGAAATGGGTAAGTGAAATTATCAGCGAAGAGGCCAATTCTCTGCATCTCAGAGAAAACGGAGAAAGCTTGATAGGGCTGCGAGTTCTGGGCATGAGCTCTAATCAGAGAATTGCAGAGATGGACGTTGGGTTGTTGAACCTGATTGAAAACCCCAACAGCTAGAGTCATCTGGCGGCAGAGAGAAAGAGCGGTGATTAGCTTTGGCGCGATGTGTAGATCTTGATGAAGGTTCCGCCGGATAATCTGCGCGTGAAGCTGCTTCACCTGGCTTAAATTGGCGCACTTGGGAAGATCCTGGAGCTTCTCCTCGAAGATTCTCCGGGAAGAAACCCACGAAGGAGCTCGGACCGGTAACGACGTCGTCATTTTCGGCTGAAGCAGCGGCGGAGATGGTGATCTAAAGGTGTGTATAGGCGCAATGGTGACTAAGCGTTGGAGAATGGGTTTTGGTTTCGCATGGTGAAGAAGAATCAGAGATTTTAGAAAGGAGGGATCCTCAAGAAACTGGATTTGTCTCTGTGACTAACAATTATCTTGAGGATCCAGTTTGTGTGTAGAGTAGAAAGGTATGGGTGAAACTTGAGAAAGCTTGATAAGCAACTTCTTCTGGATATTATCCGCGGCATAAGAACTAAGCTCAGCACTATTGGAGAGAATGATGAGAAGTAGCAAAAGAATTTATAACCGGTTTAGCTTTAAGAATCCCGGTTGTAATTATTTCAATGTTTGAAGGATTTTACAGACCGGTCGAAGAAATGGGATCATGGATTAAGGTTGTTTGGTTCTCTTAACCGGTGCCAAATTTTGGATTTTTATGTGGTTATCCATGCTCAAATAGACTTCCCACTCCCACACATGATCATAGACTGATATTGTTGAATACTCGACCACTATACCATATACCGAAACCGAACATAAGTCAAATCGATTTACATATGAACTCAAAACAATTTGAGAAAAATTTGGAAGTCGTTGGCAGGTTCTTTCGGGAAATGACATTTGTAAGCAAGCTTATTCTGGTAATGAAGCACTTTGTTATAGCCATAAGCCATGTCTTGATGGAATTGAGAATCAACCGCAATAGAACTATGGAAACTATAATACAAAATATAAATTTTGTTAGGCTAAATTTGAAATGTCACCACCAGAGAGAAAACACCTCAAATTTCAAATTTAAAATCTCTTGAATATGCTCTTAGGAAAACATAGTTAAACTATTTATCATAACATAGTGTAGTAAGACCTTTTCTAACTTGGACAGAAAAAGGTGGTGTGGATTGACAACTAGTGAATACTGAATAGAGAAATCATTATTTTCGGTGACGTATGGTTAAGTTGGGTTTTCTCTTTCAGTTGGAGTTGGTACTAAGAGCATCTGTAACGGTGGTTTGAGGACCGTTTTTGGGTGGGGTTCATGAATTTTTTGCATTTAAAATAAATCAATAAAACCTAATTTTTATAAAGCAGATTCTAATTTTAGGATTTTTAAAGATAGGTTTATGGGAGATTCACGGGTGACGTGTCAAAATTTTAATAGTTGTTTCATCGACTTTCTCTATTTTTTTATCTTCTCTCTCTTCTCATTATTTTATTAATAAAAAATTTAAAGTAAAACCCATGAAGACCATCTACAATGGTCTAAGGTCCGAGTCCTTTTTGGTTGTCTAGAAAAGATGAATTCACATTGTGCAAAAAACAAAAAAAAACAACTAACACATATGTCAATCTAAATTTTATGAAATTTTCAAAATAGATATGAAACAAACGTCAAAAAGAAAAAAAAAATTACAAAAAATTATATGTATTTACATAAAACTTTCTGACATAGAGTTGACAAAATAAGAAATTTTTTTAATAAATAGTTTTAAAAAAAGTGAGCAAAAAATCAAATCATGGAATTAATGAGAACACAAAAAAAAGAAGAACACTTTTGTGGGTTGGGTGGCTTCCGTGGGCTAGAGACGTGCACGCAGACAACCCTAAACCTTTTTCCCTCTCCTCCTCAAACTGTCTCTCTCCTCACCCACCGCACCTACCCCCCGCTCGAACTCCTTACTCCTTATACATCTAAGGCTTATACATCTCTCTCTCTGTCTCTCTCTGCAGATGACTCTCTCCCTCTCCCTCTGATTTTCGATCCTCTGTTTTCTCCGCCTCCTCTGTGTTTCATCAATGGAGGCTTCATTGCTTATGAGATCGTCTTGTTGCTCCCCCGCGATTGGGTTCCTCGACCATCGACGCGAGTTATCACCCATTTGCACTCTTCTTCCTTCTCCAATTTCCAAACCTTCCTTCTCTGTTCGTTGTTCTCTTCCTCCTCCCTCGAAGCCACGCTCTGGAACCAGCTCCGTTCATGCCGTAATGACTCTCGCTGGGTATGCTTCAAAAACTACCAAAAAACCCGTTCTCTGTTGAAATCGATCCCACTATTGCTAAATTAGAAACCTTTTTGTTGATGAATTGACATCAAACCTTCATTGTCGTTGATACAGATCATTGACAGGAAAGAAACGAGTGGATGAAAGCGAGAGCTTGACTCTCGAAGGTATTCGAAGCTCTTTGATCCGTCAAGAAGACAGCATTATATTTGGCTTGTTGGAGAGAGCCAAGTACTGTTACAATGCAGATACCTATGATCCTACTGCTTTCGACATGGATGGTTTCCACGGCTCTTTAGTTGAGTACATGGTCAAAGGCACTGAGAAGCTTCACGCTAAGGTAAACACACGAAGGAACCTCATTGGACTCTCACTGCAAAAAAAGATTGAAACTTGATTCTGTTATGAATGATTAGGTTGGTAGGTTCAAGAGCCCTGATGAACATCCCTTCTTCCCTGACGATTTGCCAGAGCCTATGTTGCCGCCTCTCCAGTACCCAAAGGTACGTATATGGTCTCTAATTCACAAAGTTTCACTTGGATGTCATGTATTTGAAAGATCGAGTCTTTTGTGGTTATGGATGCGGTTTCTCAATGTTAAGCATAGCAATGCATAAAATCTTGTTTGAGCTGTGTTTCCATCTTCTGTGTTTTCAACTTGCTAAGGCTTCACTTCTCTTTTCTTATCAAATAGGTTTTGCACTTTGCTGCTGATTCGATCAACATAAACAAGAAGATATGGAACATGTACTTTAGAGACCTTGTACCAAGATTAGTGAAGAAAGGCGATGATGGTAATTACGGATCAACAGCTGTCTGTGACACTATCTGCCTTCAGGTTCGTCTTCTGCCTCTTAAAGATCCTCCTTTTACCGAGTACCAGAAACAAGGCTCGGTCTTTTGAAAGTTCATACATCTTTTATAAGTCGATGAACCCCTCATATAGATTTCGATGTCTGTTCATTGCAGTCTCTTTCAAAGAGGATCCATTACGGTAAATTTGTTGCAGAGGCCAAATTCCAAGCTTCACCTGAGGCATACGAGGCCGCCATTAAAGCACAAGTATTTATCCACTTACTCCATATCACATACACACAAAACCTTGATAATGAAACCACCCAAAGTTTGTGAATTTTGTTATTGTTCTCTCTATATGCATTATGCATTGCAGGATAAAAACGCATTGATGGATATGCTAACATTCCCGACCGTGGAAGAGGCCATAAAGAAGAGAGTTGAGATGAAAACACGAACATACGGGCAAGAAGTGAAAGTGGGCATGGAGGAGAAATCAGAAGACGAAGAAGAGCAAAATGGATCTCAGGTTTACAAAATCAGCCCGATCTTGGTCGGGCACTTGTATGGAGATTGGATCATGCCCTTGACAAAAGAAGTTCAAGTGGAGTACTTGCTCAGAAGACTAGACTGAAAAAGAAAAAAAAAATGGCTTTGGTACTATAGTAGTAAAGGTTTTTTGGAATGTTTTTTGGTTTTTTTTTTTGTTTACTTTACAAATCTCTGAATGTTATTACACTATTATAATCCCATGCTTGGTTCCATTGTACAAAGATTGCCAGTGGCTTTCAAGGTTTACATGCTAAACGGTGTGTTATGTACACATTCTTAATTGTGAAATCAAAGAGATAACTTATTCCCGTGTATAGTGACGATTGGATGTTAAGTGTATTTGTTGCAACTCGCAATACTCTAAACTAAGCACATCGGAGTCATGCATCACGCCTCCGTGTGAGGCTTGCGAAAAAGATTAGCTCTGTAATAAAATATTATGTAGTTCGGTTAAACATAACATAACTACACGCTGTCTTTAAAGATGATAGCCGACGAAACGGCACGCAGTGCGACTGTAGAAAACGCTCATTTCCTGATAAGATTAAAAATCACAAAAACGAACCACTCCACTCACTGACGCTTCTCTGTTTCCTTCTTCCATGGCTGCTGCTTCGTTCACTTGCTCGCTTCTTTGTTCTCCAGTAACCAAATCATTCACGCGATTGAAGCTATTGAATCCGAATTCGCTTCCACGCTCGGCCTACGGTTCCAGGAGCGTTGTAATCAGGTCCTTGGCGGTCCAGGAAGATGACAAGAGAACGAGCGATGAAGCAATGAGCATTGACAATTTACGCGGATTTGTCGACCTTAACGTCGGAAAATGGACTGGGTCCTTTCATGTATGACAAACCCCTAACATTGATTCTGGATTTTGCTGCTAATTTTTTGTAGTTAGATTATCTTACGAGCTCTCTTTTTTTTTTTTTTTTGTTGGCAGCAATTTGATGGGAATGGGAATTTGTTGCATAAGATTGATACGCGGCTTTCTGCTAGTTCATATGGAGAAGATGAGCTCATTAGCCTTAATCAATCGTATGTTTGATTCTCTTTTTCTTTATAAGTGATAGAGAAAAATCTGTGTTTCTGCTTTAATAGAAATAGGTGTTTTTGTCTGTAATTAAGGATTCAATTATATTTGGAATCAATGGAAACTATAGAAAGTTCTGAATTTAAAATGATGTTTAAAATATGCGAGCTAAGAAATTGTAAATGTCCTCGCAAAGTTTCATATATATATTGATGTTACATTGGTATGATTCTATGGATTTGGAGCAAGTCTGATTTTTTTTTCTTGATTACTAGATCCGAAGTTTTCCTGATCTTCGTTGTGTTTGCAATTTATAGGTTATATATAAAGCAGCCAACATCGGCCACTTCAGTTGCTGAAGAGGAAGATGAGGAACCGGAATGGGTAGAATACAAAATCAAAGAAACCAATATGTTCACTGTGGACAAATATCAACAGGTGAGACTTATTATTCTGTTATCTCAATCAAGATACTAAACGTTTCAGAGTATATACTGTTTGTTTGTCTCTTAGGGACTTGATTCAGTAACTTGACTTTGTTGACGATCTCATCATCAGTAGTCTGCAGATTGGATTTTTCCCCAAGGAGAGAGCATTTTCACTGAGGTATCAAACAGCTGGAATGTTGGACACGACCTTAAGGCAAGGCGTTCTCGGGGAAGATGACACTGGAGAAGAATCACCAAGGTTGGTTTCTTCTTCTATATGTAACATTTTTTGTTCTCCATGAAATGAAACATGCATGAGTGTAGACTAGAATAATAAGCTTATAACGATTTTCTCAGATTCCTTAAACTTCCATCTCGGCGTCCTTCTTTAGTATGTGAGAACTGCTTGTATTCTAAGGAGATGGATAGAAGAGCTAGAGCCTTTCACATCATGGATCCCAAAGGCGTTCTTGATATGCTTATTGTTTTCCTCGAGGAAAGAGGTGCAGAGAATCTCACTCATCCTGTCCTCGACAATCCTCAGGTGATTTATATGTCTCAGAAAGCATCATCAAATAGTGTCCTTGTATGATGTCATTTTAGTGCCATATCAAAACATGTTTTTTCATTTTTGTTGCAGGATGATGCAGAGAGAATCACCCCATTTCTCGGTACTTGGAAAGGTCGTTCAAAAACGAAACGAAGCGGTGTCTATGGAGCAACGTTATCTGAAGCCGATACTGTCGCAGTGCTTGACATGAATGACAAAGGTCACGTAGTCCAGGTATACACTATTTCAACATTCCTCACATAAAAATTGACACTTTCCCTTTTATATTTTTGTTTATATGAATGAGATGGTCGGTTTCTGATACCAATCAGGATATTTCCTCGACGTCTGATGCGAAAAACGTTACAACGAAAGTGCATTGGGTGGGTAAAATGTCTAAGAACTTGGTCACATTCGAGGAAGGATATCAAATGACTCTGTTACCAGGAGGTATGTACATGGGATTTCCCTGTGACGTAGCGAAGAGTGTTGCCGAGTTAAAGTCTTTCCATTTGGAATTCTGCTGGCTTGAATCGTCGTTCTCAAGGCAGAGACTCGTACGCACATATGACCATGAAGGTTTGGCTGTCTCATCAACCTATTTTTATGAGATGAAAGTGTGAGTTTCTTTTATTTGTTGGCCACACTAATGATCACTTTATGTTCTTGTTATGTGTCTGAGATTTATGTATAACATCAATACTAAATGAGACGGATCTTTGAACTCGTGATCTTTAATTTAAATTGTTGAGAACTTTGGGTTGTTGCCTTGAATCCAACCCGAAAAGAAGCCTTTTTCTATAAAAAAAGTTGTTAACAATTTCAATCTACAGATTCAATGCGGTTCATCTGACCTCGAATCGATTTTTTATCATAGGATATGCTAAGTTACAATTCAATTTAGAAAGAGGGAATATATCAACGTACAAATATTACAGTTAAAACATCACAACCAATTATAATTTGTCTCAAACTTTTTTATCAAGTTGAATTCATGAAACTTGTAGGGTTCCAGAATTCTTCAACTTCGATTTCGTTTGTAAATCCAAGTACTCTCTAATACATATTTACTTGTTACAGGAAGTGTACTCATTAGTTGAGCAACAAGCCGGTTTCTTTTACCATTGTAAACGCCTAAACCAGACCACTCCCAAATTCCTGATATTATGGTTCGTTATGTTATGCAGAGTTAGTGAGCAAATTTGCTCGTTTGAATTTGTTAGTGATTTTCTTGTGCTAGAAGAATATTTTTACTGTATACAGTAATAATTTGCAAAGGATAGAATGTTTTTTATATATACGATGATGAATAAGAACTTAATTTTACTGTAGAACGAGGAACAGCAAACCAGTAGAACGAGGAAGCTGAGAAAATGAAGATCTTGTTCATCATCATATATAAAAAAAACACAGAATTAGTTGGCCCAAAAAAATGAAATGAATTTGTTGTTTCAATTATGAAAACAAAATCATTTCTACGAATCCCAAAACAAAAACAAAAAGCGTAGATCAAACGATCTGAAAAAGAACTATTTTGAAAATTAGTTAGTATACCATTATAGTTTGGATTTTTCGATGCTAATCTAGCAAAGCAGGAACTTTTCAGAGACTCGTAAAAACGAAAACCAAAAGTCGGATCACAACAAATAGCAAAATGTAGGGCAAAAAGAAACCAACTCTGCTTCAACAGCCTAAGGATAAGGAAACAGCAAAGCAGAGAAGAGAAGGCCCCGAATTGGTTGATATGCGCCTACGCACCAACTTAGGGTGCGCCACAAATTCCTGAGGAGCAAAAACGAAAAACCTTATCTCGTGGGTATACCACGCCACCTCTCACTCACGAGGGAAGCGCTCGGCCTCAGGCGCCTCTTTTCCTCTTCTCACTAGGGCTTCTTCCTCTGTTTTATATACACCTCCACCTCTTTTTCTTTTTCTCTTTTTTTACCCCTATACTTGCTTCTTCTTTCCTTATTGACCCCAACGTTTCTTTTTCCCTTTTACAACCACAATAAGATAGGGCTGGAATTATTATCCGGTATCCGCTATCTGATTCGGTATCCGGTCATATCCGATCCGTAAAAACTGGATATCCGTGTAGTTCGGATCTGGATCCGGATAATGAAACTAAGTATTCGGTTATTTCGGATTCGGATCCGGATAATAAAAAATTTTGAAATCGGATATCCGTTATCCGTTATCCGTTTATTAAAATTTTAAAAATTTTGAAATTTTTGGATATGCATTTAATTTTTTTTAATTATGTTTGAAAATTGTTTTTGGTTTAACTTTTTTACACATGATTGAAATTTATATTGCATGATATTTTTCTATTTCAGATTGTGAGAAAAGAACATGAAAATTGATAACACAAAGATATGAAGATAAATTAACTTTTCTATTACTATTTTCTCTTTTGCTATGTAAACTTTTAAACTTTGTGCTATTTGAATGCTACTTGAATGCTTTTAATTTTTGGTATTTGTAATTTTTGTTATGATGATACATTTTAATTATATATGTTATGAGATAATTTTAAAAATTGAAGATTTTTTTTTTAAATCAACGAAACGAGATATCCGGTCGGATATCCGTAAATATTCGGTTCAAACTGGATATCCGATCTCTGGATATCCGGATACTAAAATTGATTATCCGTCGAATCCGGAGCCGGATCCGGATACCTTGAAAAGTTCGGATATCCGGCTCCGTTCCAGTCCTATAATAAGATGAGGAAAAGGTTGCACATTTACAAAAACAACACATTCACAAATACTGTATGTATTTGACTGAGCAACAACTAACAATAACAAACGAGTAAGATAGAAACTTTTTTTTGTGCAAACAAAACCAATCTAAAAATCTAAGATAGAAACTATTAATGTAGCATCTTGGTGCGTTGATAGGGTTTATCAAAAAAAATTTGAGTAATGTAGGGCAAACTAACACACAACAACACAGTATATAATTGAGGTAATAGAGTTCAAGTTACAAACAATAAAGCGCAAACTCGAGAAGGATGACTTCAAGAGTTTTGCATTATCAACGTTATATAAGTTGAGTTATATATATAACATAAGTTTAAATATAAATATATATAGATGTACATATAATTTGGAAATATACAAATATTTTTTTGATGAATTTCTTTCACACACTTTTTTTTTTATTGGTTTTCTTCTTCATCCAACGGTTGAGGATTCAAGATGTTTGACGTTTACACGAGAGTTTCTCCATCCTCTGGGATTATTAGCATAGGCATTTGACCGTGGTCGACGAAGTCAATCTTGCTTAGCCTCAGACAGCATAAGACTTGTTCCGGCAACTCTTCTGCTTTTTGCGCCTGTTTTTCATGTTCCCCAATTTCAATCATTTTAAAAACTTTGAATCTTCAACAACAACAACATCCTCTGGTCTGATTTACATATAAGCTTTAATGCTCTTTACCTGGATGGTTAAGCCGAGATCAAGAGTTCCATTCTTTAGCCGATCTCTGAATGCTTCAAGTCCTTTGCGTGATATGTAGCTGAATCTATGCACATCCAAATCAATCTCAAAGTAGTTTGGACCCTGTCGAGATGTAAACAGAAAATCTTAATTAGCTACCACACTTCTTCTTCTTCTTCTTCTTCTTCTTCTTCTTCTTCTTCTGTGAGGTTAGTGGTGCTAAAACCTTAAAAAAGTTGTGTTGAGGACGAGAGAGGACAGGTTTCTCATTGTAAGCCTGTACAAGCTTCTTTTCAGTCGAGCTTAGAGCTAGATCTTCCGGGTTAACAAGTCCAGCCACGATCTTTAGCCTTTCACGGAAAGCAACAGTGTTGTCTTTAGCAAAACCTTTCACCTTCTCCATCTCATCATTGACAAGTTTCTGTTTTGAAACAGAAACCAAAAGAAAAGAAAAAATTACAGGAAAGCATTTAGATCAATCACGACATGTGAGAATTGTAAAGGAGTTTTCTTCTAAAGCGCACCTTGATGCTGTCTTGATATTGCTGAGAGGTTTCTTTTTCGAAATTCTCTCGTAACTTAAAGTAAAGTACAATGCTCATGCCTTCTCCATCACTATCTCCAAGGAACATCGCAGCAGGATAAGTTGGTAACTACCAATTAATGAGGCACAAAGATCCGGATCATTTACACATGTATATGCATATCAAAACGCTATCAACAGACTTCTTATGAAAATGACACAAGCAAAAGTTAGTGCCAAACCGAAGACGAAGAAGCCATTGATGTTTAAGTGGTGGTTACCTGAATGTTGACAATGAGAAGAGCAGGGAGCTTTGCCTCGGCTTTGATGTTTGGAAGCTCGATGTGTTGAGCGATATGATCAATTTTCCTCGGACAGAGAAACAGGTCAACGCCAATGGGAGCGTACGGACACTGATTAGGAGCTGGGGATTTCTTCTTGTCTCTGCAAACATCATACCTCAACAGTTACAGAAAACAACGGTTTCTAATAAAAGACACTTGAAACAGAGTGGTTAAAGAGGTGTACTTGAAATAGGTTTCTCCACGGAGTTTAAAAGTTGAAGGTGGTATCTCACACCAACTTCCACTGGACTGCTTATCCTTGGCTGAGCAAGGAATGGTGAATCCTGCTTTTGGACGATACAACAACTTACGATGCTCAGTAACTTCTTCACCATCGCAGGATCTCCTCTTGAATGAAAGCCTATAAACTGCGGATTTTCGTTTCTGAGATGTGGGTGAGTTTAAAGTCTTGTCGTTGAAACTAACGGTAGGCATCAATCGGCTCAGGCTTGATCTCAAGTTTTTCTCTTGAGAGTTCCGTTTCTGTTCCTTCAAGCCTTTAAAGCTTGCATGGTCCATTAGTTTCTTTTTGTTGTTTCCGGTGAGAACAGAGAGACCACTAGGATCCTTGTACATTCCTTTGCTCAAAAACTTCTCGGTTTTACTCCCATCTATCTTCAAGTAAGTCTCATGGTATTCCTCGTACTTTCCTTTCCCATCCACAATGCACGAAGAAGATTCGAATTGAACCACTTGACCATTTGGGATATTATTACCCGTCCCACCACCCCCTGATGATACGTTATCCGCTGGAAGATATAAGAAACAAAATTTTGAGATCCATATCGACATAAAGGGGAGCTTTTTAAACTCCATGAATCCTCAAAGTTATGTAGATTAACATTTACTTTCAGGTAGGCTGATGAAGTCCTCATCCTCATCCGAATCAAGAACACTGACGGAGTCAAACCATGCATCATCTTGCGAGATAGCTGCAACAAAAATGAATTATACAGGTGAGAATCTATGCTTGTCCAGTTGTTATATTCTATTACTATCAACAGAAATCAAGATTTATATGATCTAACAGTGCAAGATTAAGAAATATACTCACCAAAAGAAACTCGGTTCCCGACATCACTGGGCCTTCTAATGTTTGCATGAGGAACAATATCAGATACTTTAGATAAGTGTTTGGAAGATCTGCGACGGCCTTTAATCCGAGGCCTAATTCCTCTTGAATGGGTTGAGACACAACCACCCATTTTCAATAATCTGTTTTATATCCTGTTCGAACAACAATGTTACCAGTGAAAAAGGAGAAATCTCATGAAAAGGCCAATGCTTGTTACATATTTGCTACATATAAAAAAACAGTTTTTGGAAAGAGATACCTAAACAGATTCATTTCCTCATACAGAAATTAGTTGTCACTTTCTGGCTTATTACCAACATTGGGACCAAGTTTGAAGAATCAAATACCAAGTCAATATACAAGATCTCTTAACTATAAAATATTGTAGCCAGCTCAAAAGTGTACCCAATTATAAGAGGAAGTGGGGCACAACAACATGTAGCAGCTCAAATATTGGATTATACTAAGAGGAAAATCCCAATCTTTATGGCGATACACTAATTGGTAAGAACAAAAAAAAGAAAAAGAAAAACTGTATGAACACGGTTGCATTGATATAAAGATTATACATTTAAAAAACAGAGATTTCAATCACTTGAGCTTCGTATAATAACATTTTTTCCCCAGAGAGTTGAACACACAAAGATGACTAAAAACGTCAACATCAACCAGGAAAACAGGAAATAGAATTGTCAAATAAAAAATCAAAATTTATTCTCCAGAAGAAGAGATCGCATCGCATGCAGTGCAAAAGATGCAAAAATGTTAGGAATGAAGGAAAATAACAGGGATGAGTCTGTAAAGATCATTTTTTTTATAAAGTAGTCTGTAAAGATCATGATCGATCCATAGCTGAATCAGAAGAGATCCGAACGAGAAAATGAAGTAAACGGGTAAAAGAGATCATGCATGATCCACAATGTACAGATTTTAAAAGGCGAATCCAAGCAATGTAAGACATGAATCTAATCGTCGATATAATACCTGAAAAAAGTAGGCATGATAAAGGGCAGTCCCCTTTTTTGTTGTTATTTTTGTTGTCTGGAGAAAAAGGGAAGAATCTTCCCGTGGTTACAGAGATTTCTAATCTCAGAGGAGGAAGAAGAAGAAGAACCCAGGAAAGAGGATAAGCCGAATTAGATTTAAAACCCGAAAATTTCGGATCCGGGCACGGACACCAATAACACAAAAGGTAAGAAGATTCAGCTTCCCTCTGTCCTTGTCTTGTCTCGCTACTTTCTCTCTAAAGAAGAGAGAGAGAAGAGAGAGAGAAGAGAGAGTAATTTCCATTGGTTTTTAGTTGCAATTTACTAAAAGCTTTTTGGAATCAAAATTATTAAAAGGATTAATTATAGGACTTAACTGCCTAATTACAGCCATAAGCAATACGTTAGTGACTAGTGTAATGCAAAATACATCATCTCATCATCTTCTACATTGCAGCCATAAGAGTCCTTCTCATCTCTAACTTACCTTGTTTAGTAAAAACTATACTTACAAATAATTTTATGAATTAGCTTATATCAAGCACTGGCATAGTGGCATTGCTTAGTATCTAAAACAATCAGGAAATTGAGGGAGATGAAAACTGTGTTTTTGTCTGGGATTTTAATGGTGAATAAATAAAGTCAGGGTTCAACATGTAGTTTAGTGAAAGGTAAGGGATTTAATCTGCAAATGCTTAAACAAAATCATAAGTACACTAGAAACCAAAAAAAAAAAAGGTTTATTACTCACAAAACGCATCGTTACGATAGAGACGAAGAAGAAGAACATTTGCAAATTCTTTCGTCAAAGTAGATCCGGATCCTAGTTCCATCTTTAACGTCGCGACGGTTATCTGATTTCCGGTGAGTTTCTCGGCACGCCGTTGCCTTCTTTCATAGTTGTATCTGTTTTGGCAGGCGATTAATTGGGACTCACTTTGTTTGATCGGTTGATTTCGCGTGGGAATTTCGTTCTAGATCGGTTTCACCTAGTCTTGATTGATCTTAGTTGGTCTTTGCATTGTTTTCGCTTTTGGCTATAGATGCGAACTTATGGTGTTTATGACAATAGTTTCTTTTATCTCCAATTTGGAATCAATTTTGAGTTTCAGCTGTATCGATTAATCTACTACTCTCAGGATTTGCTCTGTTGTCTTTAGGGTTTCTTGAATGCTTAATGATAATCTGTGTTTTGATAATGAAGGGCTCTAAGGTGTTTTCTCTGATTAGTAATGGCGTCTAGGAGAAATGTACGGTATGCTCAGCTTCCAGGAGATGAGGATGATGAGGATTATGCAAATGGTAGTGGAAGGAGAGATTTCGATCCCCGCTTCGATTATACGCCGCAAGCATTTGATAGAGTACCATGGAAATCCATAGCACTAGCTGTGTTTCTTCTGTTCCTTGGTTGCTTGCTTCTCCTTTTAGCGTTTTTCATATTCACTGGTCACATGGAAGGAGATAGCTCTCAAGGTTATGCACTTCTTGTCCTTGGGATCCTTACTTTCCTCCCTGGTAAGAGTGTTTCTTGGTTCTATTTGTTTTCATTTACTGAATTTTCTAATGTTGCTGGAATCTGTTGTTTAATTTGGAGTGAGTTGGATCAGCTAGACCCAGGTTGTGTTCCTTGTCTGTTGAAATTATGTTCTCTTCAGCCATTGATGCATCTTAGCTTCCTCCATTTATATTTTGAGCCATGAATGCCATGTTGCTGTTTTGGGTTGCATGATGTTTGATTCGAGAACCCTCATGGATACTTTGTTTGTTGTTGAAATTGAGTTAGCTGGATCAAGTAGACACAAGCTTGTGTTGTTTTGTTTGTTGAAATTATCTTCTCTTTGTTTCTTCTATTTTTTACCCACCAATTTTGTTTGATGCTATGAGTAAAACTGGACGTAACAGTGGTTTTCATTCATGGCTTTGACACATTTTCACAATTGTGGTTACAGGGTTCTACGAGACTCGGATTGCTTACTATTCATGGAGAGGAGCTGAAGGGTACCGCTTCGCAGCTATTCCCTCCTATTGAATCCAAGTAGCTGGAGAAGTAATGAATATATATATGTGCATACAAGAGTCTTATTAGAGAGGAATTGTAATCCAAAAGTAATAGACTTGAGCTGTTTTCTCATATATCACCCAGATTCTTTTCCTACTGTCATACTGTGTACAACAATTTCCTCCAGTTGAGTTCTGACAGATAATACAAAGCTTTGGATTGTAGAGATACAGATTGTTCTGCTTTGTTAATCCCAATTTTGTGAATCTTATTGAATATCGTTTGTTATCAGCGAATATGTACATGTGTGTCTTTTAGGACTTGAGGTTTTGTCGACACAGAAGACAAAAAAAAAGAAAGAAAAACGTTTAGTTCATAACAAAGACATTTGTGATGATATAAGACGTTGAGTTTTATTCTAAAATATCAGTTCACTTTGTGAAGATATTCATTTATGATTAAAGGATTTATATTCAATAAAAAAAGAAAAAGAAAGAATAAACTTGACTTGATTAACCTACTGTTTAATTACTAAAACAGTTTCTAAAAAATAAAAAAGATATTGCCTAATTTTTGATTCGGGGATTGAAATTGCATTAATTGATATAAATGTGAGACTGTGTGTGGGTTTTGGATTCTTGATACGTCAAATAAGTAATAAACAGGGTGAGATCACCAATGAAGACTCATAAGGACTGACCCAGCTCTGCGTCAGAAGAGGAGTTTAGGAATCTGAGTTCCCAAGATTTTCGATTATACCGTAAGTTACTTTTTTTCATCATCTTCTTTCTAAGCTCCACGATTCTTCTCTCTCTCTCTCTCTCTCTCTCTCTCTCTCTCTCTTTCTCTCTCTATCCATCAGATTAGATTCTCTGTGTGTTTATGTATTTCTTCGCTCTTTCTTTCAACAATTTCTCTCCTTTTTGATTCTGGGATCTGCTCGAAGAGGGTTTGAGACTAAGGGGTTTTTCGGGTAAATTTGACTTTTTCCCTGTTTGTACAGTTTTATTAATTTTTCTTCTGCTATAACCAAATTTAAACGATATTAGTGATAGATTTCTGTGGTAAGAAGTGAGAATGACGATTTCTTCCATGGTTTTGTTGCTTTAGTAAAACCACCTTCAAAAGTAGCGATGTCGGTTTATGTTGCGAGGTTATGGTGTTATAGATTTATATAGTTTAGATTTAGCTAATGACAGCGAGACATTGGATAAAATGAAATGAGTTTGAACATGGTCTTGATCTAAGCAAGTTAGTATCTTTTTTGTTTTCTCTCGTTCCCTGCAACTAGCGTTCTTGTTTACAGAAGCTGCTTAGAGAGCTTCTTAATGACTTTGTTTTTGCATTTGGGACAGGAAATGGATCATTCATCAAATAGATTTGGCAATGGAGTGGAATCGATTCTACCAAACTACAAGCTTGGTAAAACTCTTGGAATTGGATCTTTTGGTAAGGTGAAAATAGCAGAGCATGTGGTCACGGGGCACAAGGTTGCTATCAAAATCCTCAATCGCCGTAAGATCAAGAACATGGAAATGGAAGAGAAAGGTAACACATGCATTGTTATGCTCTAGCTTTACAGGTTTCTTTACCAAAACTGACTTGCCTTTCATAATTGAATATTTCTTCTGCCTGTTGATCTCTTTTTTTGCATCCAAATCTGTGTGCCTATTTTGAGGAATTCAACAGTCTGTTAAAGGCTAGCTCTGTGATCTTGTATGTCCATTTTTTTATCCTTACAGTGAGGAGGGAGATCAAAATTCTCAGATTGTTTATGCATCCTCACATCATTCGGCAATATGAAGTAATAGAGACACCGAGTGACATTTATGTTGTAATGGAGTATGTCAAGTCCGGAGAGCTCTTTGATTATATTGTAGAGAAAGGCAGATTACAAGAGGATGAGGCTCGTAACTTTTTCCAACAGGTTTGTTTTCTCGTACCACAACCAGTGTCTTCGTAGCTTATCATGTTCTTCTCTGAGTTTGAGTGTTGTTACTATTTGACTCATATCCGAGCAGATAATATCTGGTGTGGAATATTGCCACCGCAATATGGTTGTCCACAGAGACCTGAAGCCTGAGAATTTACTATTGGATTCGAGGTGCAATATTAAGATTGCAGACTTTGGCCTAAGTAATGTCATGCGGGATGGTCATTTTCTAAAGACGAGCTGTGGAAGCCCCAACTACGCTGCTCCCGAGGTATTCAGTTTAGTAAAGTTACAGAATTCTGATTTACTTGTGTCTCACTTCTCCTTTTGTTGGATTAGGAGTATCTATCTGAAAGTTTAGATTTCAATGAATCATCTCGTCCTTCTTGTTATAGGTTATATCAGGAAAATTATACGCTGGACCTGAAGTTGATGTATGGAGTTGCGGAGTGATATTGTATGCTCTATTATGTGGTACTCTTCCATTTGATGATGAAAACATTCCCAACCTTTTCAAGAAAATAAAGGTACTGCACATTATACTCCGATTTGCTCAATGACTCTTCTCAATTGGGCATTTGAGCTTAGATTCATCATAGGTTTTTTGTTACTGTCATATCCATGTCAAGTAATTAACCAAAGTGTTCTTTTCTCTCTAGGGTGGGATTTATACTCTTCCAAGTCATCTATCATCTGAGGCTAGAGACCTGATCCCAAGGATGCTTATAGTTGACCCGGTGAAACGAATCACCATTCCTGAGATCCGTCAACACCGGTGGTTCCAGACTCATCTTCCTCGTTATCTTGCTGTTTCTCCACCAGATACAGTAGAGCAGGCTAAAAAGGTTGGTTTCAGCACCTTTTGAAAAATCAAATGAGTCACTTGCGGTGATAGTAAGGAGTTCTCTTATATTTTACAGATCAATGAGGAGATAATTCAAGAAGTCCTTAACATGGGATTTGACAGAAACCAGGTTATGGAATCTCTTCGCAACAGAGTACAAAACGATGTATGTAGTTTCTGTCTGCAAGACTATTAGTTCCCTAAGCTAGCTCCCTATAGTTATTGAATTGCTACCCTACTTCTTGTTTCAGGCTACTGTTACATACTACCTTTTATTGGACAACCGGTTCCGCGTTCCAAGTGGCTATCTTGAGTCCGAGTTTCAGGAGACAACAGTATGTGTGTTTCTTTTGGAATTGATATAAGTACTGGTCAAACCCCGTGAGGTCTCCTTTTTCTACTTAGATTTTCACTTATTGAATTTTACTCATCTAGGACAGTGGTTCCAATCCTATGCGCCCAACTGAAGCAGCTGCTTCACCTGTAGGCCACTGGGTTCCTGCACATATGGATAACTACGGATTGGGAGCAAGATCACAAATCCCAGTTGACCGAAAATGGGCTCTTGGACTTCAGGTTTGTTCCTAATCGCTGAATCTTCCTTTTTTACTCACCTTAAACCCGTCTGAATGCAACCCAAATTGATGATCAATCTGTTACCGTGGTGTTTTGTACAGTCCCATGCGCATCCTCGTGAGATCATGAATGAAGTTTTGAAAGCTCTTCAAGAACTCAATGTGTGTTGGAAGAAGATTGGTCACTACAACATGAAATGTCGATGGGTTCCTGGTTTTGCTGATGGTCAGAATACTATGGACAACAATCAGCTGCACTTCAGAGATGAATCCAGCATCATTGAGGATGACACTACCATGACCTCACCCACCGTCATCAAATTTGAACTCCAGGTAACTGCAAACTCACACATCTTTGAAAATATTAGCTCAACAAGATTCTTAGGAGAAAAACCGGCTAGGACAGAGATTAGACTCTTCTTCAAAACTTGAAACCACTGTTTTAAAGCAACAATGCTCACATATATCATTATACACGTCCAACAAATTTGCTGTAATACTTTTTGCTTTTGAAACAGCTATACAAAGCCCGCGAAGAGAAGTACTTGCTGGATATCCAGAGAGTTAACGGTCCTCAGTTTCTGTTCTTGGATCTATGCGCTGCCTTTCTCACCGAGCTCCGTGTGATCTGAAGCTTTTGACCTTATGTTCAGATATTATATATCTTTCCATGTTTCACGGTTTGTAATAGTAGAGAACATAAATATGATATGTGGGTGCAGTGTTTACTTTGCCGGGTTACTTTTATATATACCTGGATTCTAAACCTTAAACCCTACTGTAACAGTAACACATCTTTTTCGCCTTTTTGGATGGTCTCCTTAAGTTTTGATGATGTGTACATAAACTTAGCTGTTTCCAAGATACACTCAGATTCTTAAATTTTGGCTACAAACTCAATTTATCTATTGAATCTTCCATGTCTTGATTGGTTTTTGATAAGAGAGGTAAGACTCAACTATAGCCGCAAGCCCAGAGCTCTATTAAAACTCTATTCTCAACTTCTTATTCTCTGATAGATTTGGTTTTTGTAGCCTTACCAAGCATATAAACTCTCATCTTCGGCAATTTCTACGAACTCAAATGTACATGTTACAATGAGACGAGCATTATGAAAGTATCTGTCGAGGTCGTCTAACTTGTGTCCTAGTGATAGGCCGATTCATAAATAGTTTGAAATTTCTCTCCAACACCTTATTAACTTCTCGTATCTTTACGTTCCAAATATTTATACCTACATTTGTAATCTTTCAACACTTTCTATTTGCAAAGATTTCATATCTCCTGTTCACACCAGATTTGTAAACAAAATTCTATTAAGTTATAGATACAACAAATGGCACACAGGTATGAAATGCATTAACTTTAGGGATACTCAATAATATGAGATACCACCTATATACACTTACTAAAACCATATATGGTTTTGTTTTTTTCTAATTAATTAGGTAAAACATCTAAAAATCTATAAATTTTCATAGATATGATGACGCATTTAAATTATATTAATAATAAAAACCAAACGATACTATAGCATTTATGAAATGTGATTTTTTTATCAATGCATTAACTAATCACAATAATGAGCAACTTAATTGTAGAGAATGAGAGATATGTTAACTTAATTACAGGGATTGACAGATGCTGCTAAATGTAATTGAGAATTATTGTCTTTCCCAATATCCTTAACAGATACAACTATTTCAAACTCCATATATATGTATAATAGCTCTGAACATCAATCACAATCTAAAAATATTCTTGAAACCAAAAAAAAAAAACACACAGAGACATGAAGTTGAGAACATTAGGAGGAATCCTAATTGTGCTTGTGGGAGTCATCCAAATATTGTCTCCAACTTTGATCAGAGCAACAGCGATCGGAAGAGGTCCGGTCGGAGAAGAGAAAGTGACATGCGATATTAAAGGTCTTGAGCCATGCCTGCTTCCGTTAATCAGTCATAAGGAAATTCCACCGACTCCACACTGTTGCGCAACGCTAACAGAACACCAGCCCTGTTACTGTGGCTACCTCAAAGACTATTGGCTTGGTCCTGAGTTGAAATCCCCTGATGCTCACAAAGTTTTCGATGCCTGTAAAATTCCCTTTCCTACTTGTCCTTGACAATTTATATTAACCTCATCATAATCTATATAAATGAAAATAAATTATTCTTTTCTAATGAACGACTGGGTTTATTATGTTGTTACGGACTTACGGTTTATGTACGATATGTTTTTTCTTACGTTTTTACACACAAAAACAAAAACAAAAAAGATAAACCAGTAATTAGTAGTATAAGGCTTATAACTCAAAAATTCGAATACCTAAACCGAACCGAGACGATGCATTTAAACCAGTTCTAAACATTTTCGAGCCGAATCGAGTCTCTATCAGAAAACGAGAGATTTATACAAATCACAATCTCGCATTTCCTTCGATCCGCTCGCAGTCTAACCAGAAGAAGGTGACTCGATTCGAATTCGTTTGATCAGGTGTTTTGATTTAGATTTCGTTTTTTTTTTATTTGAAGATATTCGCGATAGGTGATTTCGTCGTTTTGGTTGCTGGACACATTGAATCTTTGCTTTTGAAGAACTAAATCTATATACCATTGGCCTTATGCTCTTTGTCTCATTCAGGGGAAGAGGAAGATGGAAGAGCCCATAAGAGCAGCTTCGCAACAAGTCTCTGATGAATTCAAAACTCTTGTTAATGCCGAAGATCTAAATTCTCTCAGACATTTACAGCACCTCATGTATGTGTTGTGTCTCATGTCTTCCCTAGAATATCTAGTTTCTGCATCCCTTGGGTATCAATAACTAGTTTTCTTTACCCAATTCGGAAATTTTGTTACTTTTTGTGGTATAAAGAGTCTTAAGCTTGGTTTTGGAATAGTATGTAGGAAAGTTTGATATTCAGTTAGATCAACTATGGAAACTGTTGGGAGTCTTGTGTAGCATTTGAAGTTTTGAACATTGATCATACTAGACTCCACCAATACGTGTTTTCTTTTAGAGACTGAAAGTTTAAGGCTTTTATTTGATTTCATCTGTTGAAATATTTTGCTAATGGTGTATAGTGCTTGTGGCTCGGTTAAATTGCTATTTGCTACAGTTTCACAGATGTTGACAAGTCTTTTGTTTGGATCTCTTTATATTTGAAATCGAATATGATGATTATTGATCAACTCTTTTGTGCCGATTTACTAGATTGGGGAGATTACAGGACAGTAATGCAGTGCTCTCTCATTACAACGAATTTGCAGAGAATTGCTTTGCTGATGTATCATTGGAGTTCTCTAGAAACACTCGTCTCCTGAAATCGATGAAAGCTGACCTCGATTACATTTTCTTGAAACTAAGGTATGCTCCTCCTTCCCGTTCTTGTATCTGTTTTCAGTTCTGGCTCTCAAGGACTTAATGTTCTACTTATGTGGCTCATGAGTCCTCCCATGTTTCAGGAGCATCAAAACTAAGATCCTGGCTACGTATCCAGACGCATTTCCAGATGATTCTACTAGTGATGCTTTTGATCGAAGACCCGATCTCGAGTTGCCTCAGTAAAGCATTCAGAACACTCAGATGTGTATGCTTCTTAACGAAAGAAATCCAAATGTTGAATCCGAAAACCTTTTTTTTCTTGTGTTTGCTTCTTTACAGAGAAATATCTGTTTTTTCTTTTGGTACCTTTGATAGGTTTTATCATGTATAACTGAGGTGTTACTTGCTAAAAACAATTCAAAACCAGCATTGATAAGACGAGTATTACTCTTGTAAATAGAAAAAACCTTGTAAATAATGTCTATTCACAACTCTTGTATTCATACAGAAGGTCTGCAACTACAACAGATTTCGTTTTCATATCAAACATTTACATAAACTATTATAGTCAAAATTGAAAAACTAATTGATGTACATTCCTTATTTTTCTAAAAAAAAATTTAAAATATTATAGCAAAAATTAAATTAAAAATCCAGTTTTGAATATTTTGCTCTTTTCTAATTAAATTTGGTGTAAGAAAGGAAGTAATGAGACTTTGACTCAAAAGAAAGAAAGAAAGAAAGTAATGAGGCAGAATCCACAAATTGCAAAATCTGACATTTGTGGTCAGTCAGTTGCATACATGCTCAGATCTATAAATGAAAATCTCACATTCCCTAGTTAAAAACATTACTCAAAATCTCAAATACTCTTTCAACACAGAAAAAAAAATAAAAAAAAATTTGGAATAGGAGAGAAAGCCAAGACATGAAGTTTACAACATTAGTAGTATTCATCGTGTTTGTTGTGGCCGTCTTGTCATCTCCGGCTCAATCAAGTGTGATCAAACCTCACTCTACGAAACCGCCATGCACGGACATTGAGATCACAGGATGCGGACCTGCCATAATCGGTGGAACAAAACCATCGGGAGAGTGTTGCGAGAAACTGAAAGCACAAGAGCCATGTTTTTGTGATTTCATAAAGGTCCCAGCTTTTAAACAATTAATTACTTCCCAAAAAGCTCGTTCGTTACTAGCGGATTGTGGTATTCCTTATCCTACTTGTTGGAGTTTTTTATGATAAACTACAAAAATCTTATGTAAGAATGATGATGATGATGATGATTGGAATGTCTCATTATGTCATGGATCATGTTAATCCTGTATAATGTTTTTTTAATAAAGAGAAAATTAGTTGCGTTCTTTGAAATGCAAAATTGTAAAATTAAGTGTTTCGATTAGGTCGCTGCATTTGTTTTTCTGTACGCTTTCTCAACCACAAGCGCTCGGTTTTCTTAGCATACACGCTCTAATTGTCTTTAAATAAATTGCTCTGTTTTCTTCTGCTTACAGTAGACCAGTTTGGCTAATCAAAGGCCAAATTATGTAATTTTTTCTTTTATTGATCGTAAATAAATGATTTTAACATTTGAAATTCATCAAATCTCTTTTCATATCATATATTACGTAAAATTTTTTATTAAAAGTTGAAAAAACTAACTTTAACGTACATTCATTATTTTTACTAAATATTAAAGCAAAAATAGAAAAATGTCCACTTTTAATCATATTGTTCTTTTCTAATTAATTTTGGTGATTAAAAAAAAGAGTATTGAGACACAGAATCCACAAATTGCAAAATCTGACATTTGTGATCAGTCAGTTACATGCTCAGATCTGTATATAATAATTTCACCATCTTTAGTTAAAAAACACTACTCAAAATCTCAAATACGTCAAGACATGAAGTTTACAACACTAGTAATAATAATCATCGCGTTTGTTGTCACCGTCTTGTCATCTCCGGCTCCGATCAACTCAAGTGTGATCAAACCTCATTCTACGAAACCGCCATGCACCGACCTTAAGATCACAGGATGCGGACCGGCCATAATCGGTGGAATTGGAACTAAACCATCGGCAGAGTGTTGCGGTGGACTGAAAGCAACGCAACCATGTTTCTGTGATTTCATAAAGATTCCATTTTTTAAAAGTTTCATTACTTCCCTTAAATCTCACTTGGTACTAGCTGCTTGTGGTGTTACTTATCCTACTTGTTAAAGTACAAGACATATTATTAATAAACTACATTTTGATGATAAACAACAAAACTCTTACGTAAGAATCATGATGATTGGAAAATTCTCATTATGTCATGGATCATGTTATTTACGTAAAAGAGAAAATTAGCTGTGTTCTTTGATAGGCAAAATAAGACTCATGTATGATCAATCTCTCTCTCTCTTCATAATGACTCATGTTATTTCTCTATATATTTGAGATAGATGTAAAATAAAAAGCAGACCTTAGGAATACGTAACCAGTAGACAATAGTAATATAATATTTTGTATCAAATTTATCTAATTTTAATTAAAACAATATTAATATAATTTAAATTTATGCATAATGGAGTTTAATATATAGAGAAAATTATTTTATGATTTCCAGAAAATAAATAATTTAATTAAGATTTTAAGTTGTGAGATATTTGGTTTATTGAAAAATATGTTAATCTATTCATAATGTGACAACTGACAAGTATATGAGAGAGAGGATCTCTAGAGGAGATCTCATTTTTAAAAAGGTTTTTCAACAATTTAGACTAAAATGATATTATTTTTTATTTTTCATTTTCTTTTAATAGAAGTCTCTTGAGTGCTTTTACATGATCTCTATATAATAATTTCACCATCCCTAGTTAAAAACACTACCTAAGAACTCAAATACGTCAAAACAATGAAGATTATTACAACACTAGTAGTATTCATCGCGTTTGTTGTCGCTGTCATCTCCGGCTCCGATCAACTCAATTATGATAAAACCTCATTCTGATAAACCGCCGTGCACCGACTATAAGATCACAGGATGCGAATGGTCCATAATCGGTGGAGTTAGAACTAAACCATCCGCAGAGTGTTGCGGGGGACTGAAAGCAACGCAACCATGTTTCTGTGATTTCATAAAGATTCCATCTTTTAAAGATCTAATCACTTCCCTGTAATCTCACATGGTACTAGCTGATTGTGGTGTTACTTTTCCTACTTGTTAAAAGTGAAAGACATATTAATATTATTAATAAATCTAAGTTTTGATGATAAACAAAAAACTTATGTAAGAAAGAATGATGATGATGATTATTGGAAAAATCTCATTATGTGTCATGGATCATGTTATTTCCGTAAAAGAGAAAATTAGCTGTGTTCTTTGATAGGCAAAATATGAGACCATCTACAACGCGGGATGGGCGGAGTTCATCCATAGGGCCTAATACCACTATTTTATTTTATTTTAATCGATTAGACGCAAAAACTCGCTGATACCATTTTATTGGGATGAGCCTGACGAGCCTATATCGTCGAGGTTCAACGGGCTACGTGGCAAACAGTGATTGGATGTAATTTGGGGGAAATTTTTTAGAGTCGGGGTTGAAGGTTAGAGTTTATTTCGCATTCTGTTTTTATCAAAAAAACTCAAATTTTTTCATTTATGTTTTTATCAAAAAAAAACTCAAAACTCAAATATAATAAATCTTTCCATTTTAAATAATTCAAATGTTTAAACAAGCTAAAAAAAAACTTTAAAAAAATATTATTATTTTATTCTATTGAACCCTTAATTGGGTACTATGGTTGGACGCCCATTTTTCACTCAGATTCATCCCAGGTTCTTCCACATTCTCCCTCCTCCAAAAATTATTAAAAAATGCTGATGAATCCATAATGGGGTTCAGGGTTATACTACACTCTCTCAAACCATTTTTAAACATTTTCTGAATATTATTTTCCTTATTTTAAATAAAAAGAAAAGTTCTCTCTTTTATCCTTCTGTTCCAGAATTGTCTTCGCCGGATCTCCGCGTCGATCTACATTCCGTCGCCGGCGTTCCTCATCTTCGCCGATCAATTAACTTCTAGTAGGTTTTTTTATTCGTTCTGCTTGTTTCATTTTCGATGTTCGTTTTCCCCTTTCAATTAGACGATATCATTGGGGGATTGGGGTTGTTTAAAAGATCAAATCATCGTTATTTTTGTTTTTATTTCCTTGATGATCTCGTGTAGAATCATTTCTGGTAAAAATCGTGCATTTTTCTTATGGGTTTAACTGATTCTGTAGAATTTGCAATTAGTAATAATTCCTTGGGAACGATGAGTCGGGTGTTTGAAGGATATGAGCGGCAATACTGTGAACTTTCTGCGGTTCTCTCAAAGAAGTCTACTTCAGCTCTTGCTCTTGATGGAGGTAAATGGATAATTCCCATAATCTTTTTCCATGATCATTTTGCTTGCTTATGCCAAGATGTTCATCTTATGAATGGACATTATTAATTTGCAGAACAAAAGAAGCAGAAGCTATCTGAAATCAAATCTGGAGTTGAGGATGCAGAGACATTGGTATGGGATCTTCACGAGCTCTAATGGAAAAACGCAAGTTTCACCATTTTCCTTCCTGTATACGATTGATGATAGTTTCTACGTTTTATTCTGCTTCTGTTTCCAGATTAAGAAAATGGACCTCGAGGCGAGAAGCCTACCACCCAATGTGAAATCCAGCCTCCTTGTGAAGTTAAGGGAATACAAATCCGATCTGAACAATTTCAAGAGTGAGTTAAAGAGAATCACATCTGGAAACCTAAACGTTGCAGCTCGAGATGAGTTACTAGAAGCTGGTTTGGCTGACACAATGACGGTATGTAAACCTAGTCTTGATCGTTTTATCTAAAAAAGGATTTTGATTTATCTGATTGGTCCAAATGGGTTTAGGCTTCAGCTGATCAGAGATCAAGATTGATGATGTCTACAGACCGGCTAGGCCGAACCACAGACAGGATCAGGGACAGTCGGAAAACAATGTTGGAGACTGAAGAGCTTGGTGTTTCGATCCTTCAGGATTTGCACGGCCAGAGACAATCTCTACTACGTGCACATGAGACGCTTCATGGAGTCGATGATAACGTGGGGAAGAGCAAGAAGATATTGACAGCAATGACAAGGAGGATGAACAGGAACAAATGGACCATTGGGGCCATCATCACAGTCCTTGTCCTCGCCATAATCTTGATCTTATACTTCAAACTCACCAGGTGAAGCCTCTGGTCGAATCTATGTGGCTGAACAACTCGTGTGTGTTCTCTCGTGCGTCTTCTTCTTGTTCTTCTTCTCTTGAGTTGTGTGTATTTGTGCTCCTATTTGTCTTTTGACTCTGCTAATCAAAAGTTACTGGTCATGGCATCGTTGTGGCGATTTTGTTGATGAGTTTACTTTCCTCTAATTCTGAAAATCTAATATTCAAAATTAGAAAGTGAAGTTCTATTTGAACATGTTGTGAATTGATTGGTGAGGAAGCTATTGTTAACATTTTTGCTTTATGTTCTCTGCCAAACCCACCGAAATCTGTACAATGAAATCAAGAAACTGAATCGCCATGAGGAAGAGAAAGATATAATTAATAATAAAAGGTAAATGAAAAGCTTCCTAGTGGAAAAAATTTAGGGGCGTTCCGAGAATTGAACTCGGGACCTCTCGCACCCTAAGCGAGAATCATACCACTAGACCAAACGCCCATTTTGATATCCCTTGTCGACACATATATAATTACCCAAACAAATAACCGGAACGTGTAATGCAAATCTCTTGCCAACGCTAAACAAGAAGAAACCATGATGACTACAACTATTCTTTAGAAATTTATTTATTTATTTTGTGTGCACTGATTCACTTGGACAAAGATAATCCCAAGTTCAATACTTAGTTTACAGTAGGTTCTCTCCAGAATCCTTTGTTATTCTTCGCCTCCGTGAGAATTACAACATCTTCTGTTTCTGTATTCTACGCCGAATACGGTGTTTTCACTCCCATTCTCAGACACAACCAAGGCCGGTCCTGATCTGGATCAACAAAACCATGATGCAGAAAGTGTCCAGCTTCTTCATCCATCAGCTCTCTCGACCACGTAACCCGCCCAGACGAACAGCTCCCCGGACCAAAGCACCTGAGGTTTTACATCCAAAAACAAGTATCAAATATCAAACCCTTTGTTTCTTGATTACCACTTGTTACAGTTTAAGAGATCTCAGATGATGTTACCTATACTCATAAAAGCAAGCACTTCTCTCATTCTCTGAGTTTCCCCAGTTATGCCATCCCACATTTCTGATACACGCATCCATGTAAGTATATGCAAGGACCACTCTCCCAAATGGTCCCCAAGGCCTTCCCAGATACATATACGCGCTCTGACCATTGCCAGTGATCACACATCTGCAACAAGTATGTAGAATCTGAGTTTCCTTAGAAGAATGGAGCTAGGAGACATAAAAGATAAATTATATCCTTGAGAGAGATGTAAAAATAAAAGCAGACCTTAGGAATACGTAACCAGTAGATTCCTGAGATGATTTTCGGCTTTGTGCTGTTATAAAACCCTGAGCTTTGCAATGGATATGGCAGTGTTCCAAGAGTGCGGTGCTGTTTCCAAATATGAAATCCACACTTCCTTCGACATAGCAGTCTTTCAGATATTGTTTCCCATGATGCAAATACAATGTATCCTGCAATTTTCACGGTTTGCAGTGTAAAGCTAAAAGAAGATTGGATCAACCTACTTGCAATATACCACAGATTTAAACTAAACAAGTAATTCGCTTAACATATATTTGCAGGACAACTGCATAAAAGTGCCAATAACAAAACACGGAGGAGACTTAAACTATGAACAACCAACACGAAACTTTATTGAGAAACATAAACATTTGAGAATTATCAGAATATAAAGACAGCTTAAAACGAACCTGCCATCCGAGAAACCGACAGTTATAAAAGGCACAACGGTCTGCAGTAACTCTTATCGCCACAGCTTGCCCTGATCCCTGAAATATGGTGTACAAAGGGATCAAGAAAAGCATGACCAAATATACTCCAAACTCGAGTTGAGTAATTCAGTTGAAATGACAATCCTTAGTTTAAGTCTGATAGCAGAAGAAAAATCATCAATACAGTCCTACCAGAGCCAGATATTCACCATACAAAAGTGTGTTGAAATACTCATCAGAAAAAAGTTCTAAACTTTATCTAGACAATAGATTCTCAAGTTACAATATGAAAAAAGTAACAGACTTTACACAATACCTCAGGAGCAGAGTTCTCAAAAGTAACGTTCTCTGCAATAAAATCCTCTCCTTCCACAATAACAGTCCCGCACCCAAACGTCCCCGTCCCGATGACTCTAGACGCCTGCAACAAACAAACAATCCAACCTATCAGAGTGGTACACGTGCCAAGAATAGAAAGGCCTAAAGAAATCTCTCCTCGCCCCCAAGAACCTGGTGATGCTCAATCTTGGAAGCCGTATTGTTCCAAGTGAGAACGGTGATTTCCGGGGAGATTCCGGCGAAAGTGATGAAGTTTTTCCTCTTGGGCACGTAAACTGGCTGTCGATAAATCCCCGGTGAGATACGGATCACAGTCCGGCAAGTGTTTCCAAGAGGCACCGAGTCGATTGCGTCCTGGACCGAGTAGTAATCGCCGGAACCATCCTGCGCAACCCTCACCATTCTACTCGTCGCCATCTTCTTCTCTCTCTAGTAACAGTGTTCTAAAGACCCTAAAAGGCGTAAATTTGCAGCAGAAATTCGATTGGTGAGAGAGAGGAGATGCTTTAAACACGGTTTATAGGTGTCGTATTGTTCGATCACCATCTGTGTTTGCTCTTCTTTTCACTTCTTCGTCTTCTTTTTTTTTTCCTTTGTGATCAGGTTACTTTTGTTATTTGTAAAACGTTCCTTTATTTCTACTTATTTACACATTTCACCCCATAATTCCTGAAATAGAATTTTTAACCACATCGTTAATTGTAAAACTTGCGACATCGTTAATTGTGGATAGAAATTAAACGATACTTTGACTTAGACAACAAAGATAAAAGCCACGTGGCAGCATTGACTTTCCCGCGTAGTGGTCGCCAAGTAAACAGGGAAAAACAAACTGAGCAACATTGTGTGTGTGAGAGAGAGGGAGAGAGATCCCATAAGAATCAGAGAGAAGAAGGAGGAGGAGTCTCTTAAAACGATGCCGTATTACACTCACGACGACGATGACGTGGATGAGTTCAACGATTACGATCCGACGCCGTATAGCGGAGGCTACGACATCACCGTGACCTACGGCCGCGCAATCCCGCCGTCCGACGAGACTTGTTACCCTCTTTCGTCTCGATCCGGTGACGCCTTCGAGTACCAGCGACCTGTCTTTTCCTCCAATCATGAGCCTCCTGCCTATGGCGACCAGGCTCTCAAGACCGAGTACAGTAGCTATGCCCGGCCCGGAGGTCACGGAGGCGCTCACGTCGAAGGTGAATACGGTGGAAGGAAACCGGAGCATGGCGGATCTGGATCTGATTTTGGCCGGAAACCTGAATCTGGGTATGGCGGAAGAACGGAGGTCGAGTACGGACGGAGACCTGAATCTGGGTATGGCGGAAGAACGGAGGTTGAGTATGGCCGGAAACCTGAATCGGAGCACGGATCTGGGTATGGTGGGAGAATGAAGTCTAAGGAAGAGGAAGATGGAGACTACAGGAAGCCCAGCTATGGCCATCGCAAGGATAATGATGATGATGATGAGGAAGAGAGGCATGGCTACAAAAAACACGTGAGTTTGATTGGTTTTAAGGAAAAATCGAAATTTCTCAATATGTGTAGTTTCTACTTTGCATCCATATTTTGTCGAAATTTCTCAATATGTGTTGGATTATTTTGGAATATTCATAGTCTAGATAGAATCTTTTACTGATTTCATTCATTGACATATGTCTCAAAGAACATCGCTTGAAACTTGAGAGGAGTCAATTGAATAACTTTTTTGCCTGATTCTCTCACTGTTTACAAAAATGGGTAAAGTTAGGTTTTTTGGATGAATTTTAGAGCCTTGATCGTTATTTTAAATGTCGCAGAGTGGCAAGGACTCTGATGACAAGAAGAAGGAGAAGAAGAAGGATAAAGATAAGAAAAAGGATGACGATGATGAGAAGAAGAAGAACAAGAACAAGGACCATCATGATGATGACTATGATGAGAAAAAGAAGAACAAGAACCATCATGATGATGACTATGATGAGAAGAAGAAGAAGAAGGACCATCATGATAGTGATGATGAGAAGAAGAAGAAGAAGAAGGACCATTATGGTAGTGATGATGAGAAGAAGAAGAAGAAGGACCATCATGGCAGTGATGATGAGAAGAAGAAGAAGAAAGATCACTATAAGCATCACAAGGGCCATCGTGAAGACGATGACTAAAAGGCCTTCTTTCCTCTGACATTTGCATCTCAAGCTTTTCTATCACTAAACAAGTAACCCACGCCTCATTTCTCTCTACGTTTATGTGAGTTTGTCAATTGTTGTTTTGTTTTTGCTTGGCGTTTGTGCTTATCTTGGATAAAGACCTTAACAAGTATGAAATTATGCATAATGAGTTTTCTAGTTATGTCGATCGTTTGGTTTAACGAATTCGCCTGTTTTTAAGGTTCTCTCATTGGAGTTGTAAGCAAATATTGGGAACCTTGGAAACTAGATTTCTTCTTTTGGCCTACATTAAGAAGCCGTAATTACATGATACAAGTAGAGTTGAGAAAGCCTATTATGTAACCAACAGAAGAAAAAAAACTTCTAACACTGAGGTTGAAAAAATGTATGATCTGATGACTTCGGGCTAACCAGAAAATGTATTGTTAATTTCTAAAAATCCAAGATAAATAACTTGATTCGTTTCACCAAAAGTCTGATAAAAGTAAAAGAAACAACATGTTTGACTAGAGAAGCTTTTTTCTCTCCAAGAATGATTTGAGATGCCACAGTTGTAAACCGGCGACAGACATTGTAACCACCAACGACAATAAACTTAGGGCAGCCATTCTCGAGTTTGTCGACCGGTTTAGCTCCTGCATTTCCCGTTCCCTGTCACACAATTCACATTTACCCTTAACAAACGACTCATCATATTGTTTTTCTTTTCTAATTGGATCATATAAATCGAAAGACTCAACAATCTCATTGCCTAAATAATTCAAATGTCAAGCAAGCTGACATTTGAATTTGTGGGAGGTTTGGATGGTTTGTTAGTTTAATAGTAAAATAACAGATTAGACAGTGATCAAATAGTAGAAACACAATATAATTGAAACTTGAACGTAATTTTTTTTTAAAATGATCATAAGACGTTAAGAAATTCGATTGCTAAAAAGTGTAGTACCTCTCCCGGAGATGAAACATTTCGTCGTGTATAGAATCAGTCACGTCGAGTAATTTCCTCACCTCCACCTCAAGCATCTGACCATAAACACATCACATTTATAATAAAAAAAATCAAGTTATACGTATAGATAGATATGGTTTAGATCGGTATGCATTTTATATAATACACATAAACTATAAAAGAAAGACTATATATAGCTAGGTTCAAAAGGGTATATGTATATGGTTTGTACGTTAATCTGGCCTCTCTTGGCGATGTTGGGCCAATCTTTAGCCTCGACGCCGCTTTTCCACTCGAAATCAACGGCAAACTTGGCCGGAGGTCTATGACCGGGAGCCACAAAACACGTCATGTAATCGCCGGTTTCGTCCGCCGTGAACACGAATTTCCCAGACTCCACATTTTCTGCATGATGATTGCTGTTCCCTTTCGGTGACGTCACCTATACATACATACATTTACATGTAAACTGAACTCATACGTAAAAATGTGATATTTTTTTATCATAAATTTATATATGTATCCTCAAATTATAAATTAAAGATTCTTACAGTGACAAAGATTTTGTGGGAAGGAGGAAGATGGGGAGCAGCTTCGTTGGGATTGACGATGGAGTAAGTTCCGACAGTCAAAGAATTTAGTTTGATGTCATCGGAGATGCATTTGGTGGTGCCTGATTCCAGATCCAATCTCATCGATTCTCCTTTTCTCATCATCATCATTGTCACCGTTATGATGACCCATCTTAACGTTGTCATCTGAGTCTTACATCTTGATGGTAGCAAATTCATCTTTCAATTACACAACAACAATTACAAAGAAAAATAGTTGGAATTAAAAAAAAAAATTTGATTAGTCTTGTTTTGGCTGTGTCAAAAAAAAAAAAAGTTTTGATCAGCTTCCGTGAAACAAGGAACTAATGAGTACTTTAACGTTTAGTTTCGGACTAGCACACACACTTGTGGTTACAAAACACTTCAAACCCAAAAATAGAATTGAAACCTCTCCAAATCTCACCCACGAATTTTGGGTAACTGGAGTCATGTAATGCTAATATCTACATTTCCAATTTGATTTAGATATGCATGGTAGCTACTTTATCAAAAAATTGGTAACTAGATTAGATTACTTCGACCCATCCATCCCTAAGATGAATAGCTTAATAACCATTGGTTCTATATCACTATATGTGTTTGTCTTGTGTCTGGAAATGCCTTATCACCGTCACCTATAATTTTTTTTCATTATCTTGACCACCGTCACCAACATTCTACAATATATTTTTTTTTCTGATAACGATTACCATGTTTTTTTTTTCTTTTGATCAAGAACGATGACCATGTTTTTCTTTATTCTAGTTTCATTTTTTCAATCAGGCTTTAATATCTATAACGCGTTATCGGAATTTTTAATATTTTTTGTCAAATCATTTTTTTCAATCATATGAACAATATAGTTCCCATGTGTGTGTCTACTAAGATCATGAACTTTGATAACTCTAGAATAAAGGATTTTACATGTGTTATGATTTACAAAATCTTTGGAAATCCGTTTCGATATACATACTGTTAAAACAAAATTTTCTAAAATTTCCAACTATATATTTTCACAAACATTTTAAAATAAACTATTCGATTTATACAAATGAAAAAGAGTCGTATCGCCTTCTGGCGGACATATATACATAAAAAGACAGACATATTCGAATGTGATGTCATTGATTTTTCTTCCGGTTTAAAAATCTGTTAAAATATTTTTTTTTTTTCCTATTAAGTACTGCATGAGATTTATAATTGCAGGGAAGATGTACAAAATACCTCTGTTTTTTTTTTTTTGTTCCATTTTGATTGTTTTCCGGAAAAAGAAACTCGATTCAATTCCAGCTCTTACACATAATAACAACAAAATATCCATAAACACAAATTTTCCTTAAAAAGCTAGAGATTACGAGGATAAAGAAAGGATTACCAAACAATAACATGATTTTATGTTCTTGCTAGATTTCCCCGGAAAAAAATCCAATCTTTCCAGGAAAACGCATACCAGATCCAAAGGAGGAAAAAGTAAGGAAAAGATGAAGTTTGGAAGAGAATACGAAGCGCAGATGATCCAAGAATGGCGAGAAGCCTACATGGATTATCGTTCTCTCAAATCCATCGTCAAACAGATCCTTCGTTATCGTCTTCAAAAACAACAACGTCCTCCACGTCCTCCTCCGGCCGCCGGAGACACCGCTCCGCTCCAATCCGACGGCGGAAAGGGAGGCAAAGGCGGAACCGGAGCAGCCGGACTATCTCGGAGAGTCTCTCTCTACCGAGCATTTAGCGGCCTCACGAACCGAGCCAAAGGCTCCCCCAAGAAATCACACAAACACAACAATCCTCTGAGCAGCAAACGCCACCATTACCATCTCTTCGAAGACGACGACGAGCAAGTCATCTTGATCAACGAAGACGAGACGGCCAGCTACACGACGACGTTTCTTAGCCCGGCAGAGGAAGGCGGAGAGATGGAGGTTCAGTTTTTCCGGCGGCTAGACGGAGAGTTCAACAAGGTTTTGAGGTTTTACAAGCAGAAAGTGGAGAATGTCATGGAGGAAGCCGATGAGCTTAGTAGACAATTAAACGTTTTGATTGCTCTTAGAGTTAAAGTTGAGAATCCAAACGTTGATTTTCCTCCTGACATTAATGGCGTCTCCAGTGGTCCTGCTTCTCCACATACAACCACCAGGACTCCAGGTTTAGCCCCATTTCTCGTTTAATTTCAATAGCTAGTTAATGTAAAGCTCAAGACTTTATGTAAAGCTCAAGACTTTCTGCATTAAGTGATGTTTAATCTGCTTGGAGATTTTGTAGAAGATGGAGAAATTTGATCAGATCGTTTAATTTCCATAGCTAGTTAATGTAAAGCTCAAGACTTTATTATGAACTAATGTAAAGCTCAAGACTTTATGTATTAATCTGCTTGGAGATAGATAAACCTAACGTTGAGCTCTGATAAAAATTTCGGTGGATATTGTAGCAACTTCACCTTTGGATGTGATTAGAGAAATGGAACAGACAGAAGATAAGAAAGTGTTTAAACCTGCTCCAGTAGAAGTGTTGGATCATATAAAGCTCAAGATCGAACCCGAAACTCCATTGACAACTCTTAAATGCATGATCATGGGTCTCACAAGTGAGCAAACCTTTAGCAAATCCGAGCTTAAGAGAGCCGAGGAGCTTATGAGCCGCGCTTTTGTTGAGTTCTACCAGAAACTTAGGTTCTTAAAGAGTTATTGGTAAGAATTGTATATTCTATTAGATCTCTTGTTTCTCCGGTTTCACCAAAACTCTGTTTCTCATCATCATCTCTCACTCTGTTTGTAGCTTCTTGAATCAATTGGCGTTTTCAAAGATACTAAAGAAGTATGACAAGGTTTGTAATCTTCTCGTTAAAGCATTCTGTATTTGTTCTTGCTGTGATTTTGACATCTTTGTAATGTTTTGCAGACTACTTCGAGGAATGCATCGAAGCCTTACCTAAACACAGTGGACCATTCTTATCTAGGAAGCTGTGATGAGGTCTAATACAAAGAATCAATCTCTCTTGAATGTTACTTATAAAACAAGACTTATCTTTATATTTTTCAGGTCTCGAGGCTCATGCCGAGAGTGGAGGCTACGTTTATTAAGCATTTCGCCAATGGAAATCACCGAGAAGGAATGAAGTGTTTAAGGCCTAAAGCTAAGAGGGAGAAACACAGAATCACATACTTCCTCGGTACTCAAATTCATATAATTTTTTAAAGCTCATTAATGAATAAAACCGAAAAAGACTAAAACATTCATCTTCATCTACAGGATTTTTTTCGGGTTGTGCAGTGGCTCTTGCCATTGCGATAACAGTTCTTGTACATATAAGAGGCATAACAAAGAGCGAGGGAAGGCATCAGTACATGGAGAACATTTTCCCTCTTTACAGGTTTATATTCATCATTAGTAAAAACAGAGGATATCAACTCCACAGTTATATAACGCTTCTTCCTTATTTATTTCCAGCTTGTTCGGGTTTGTTGCGGTTCATTTGTTTATATATGCAGCAGACATATTTTTCTGGAGTCGGTATCGAGTAAATTACCCGTTTATCTTCGGGTTTGAGCAAGGGACTGATCTCGGTTACAGAGAAGTTCTTCTACTAGGCTCTGGTCTAGCAGTTTTAACATTCGGAGGAGTCATCTCAAATCTTGATATGGAAATGGATCCAAGAACCAAAAGTTTTAGTGTCATCACCGAGCTTGTTCCTTTAGCTCTTTTCCTCGTAAGTTCTTGAAATTAGTCTATTGATATCACTCTCTAACAATTAAATTTGCTTCGTTAGCAGTTGAATTTTTTATAATTTTGTTGCTTATGAACACACAGTGCTTGATGTTGACGCTATTCTGTCCATTCAATATAGTATATCGGTCAAGCCGATATTTCTTGATCGGATGTTTCTTCCGTTGTCTTTTAAGCCCACTCTACAAGGTAACGTACAATCCAAGTTATCTCTATACTTTGAAAAAATGTTACATAAAGTTGGTGAGTGTGTTTTCTTTTTTTTTTTACCAGGTTATTCTCCCGGACTTCTTCCTCGCAGATCAATTGACAAGTCAGGTAATGAGTTGCTCGGTTTAACATCCGGTTTATCAGTTTGCTTACCCCTCCGGACAAATCATTCGGTTTTGTGGTTTTGGCAGGTGCAAACATTCAGAAGCATGTTGTTTTATGTTTGTTACTATGGATGGGGTGGAGATTTCAAGAAACGAACACACACATGCTATGAGAGTGAAATTTACAAAGAACTCTACCTCGCCGTTGCCATTATTCCTTACTGGTTCCGCCTCGCTCAAGTACTTCAATAACATAAACAAAAATTCATACTTGTTGCGACTCTTACTGTTTCAAAACATAAAAAAAAAAAATTGAACTTAAATTCAAACTCACGAATCTTGACACTACTATAATGTTTAAAACTTTGTTTTTTTTTTTTTTTTTTGGCAGTGTATAAGGAGGTTAGTTGAGGAGAAAGACAAAATGCACGGCCTAAACGGGCTAAAGTATCTGTCGACTATATTGGCGGTTGTGGCTAGGACAATCTTCGAGACCAAGAGAGGGACTTACTGGCTTACGGTGGCTGTAACCACGTCGAGCATTGCCACATTGTTCAATACTTATTGGGACATTTTCAAGGATTGGGGTCTCATGAACCGCAACTCCAAGAACCCCTGGCTTCGTGACAAATTATTAGTCCCTTACAAAAGCATATACTTCATTGTCATGGTAAAACTAAAAACAGAAAGCTATTTCGGGTTTAGATTATTGTAGCGTTTTTTCCTGAACTATTAACTGTTGGACTGGGATTGTCAATATCGAAAGGTGGTGAATGTGGTGCTGAGGCTGGCGTGGATGCAGACAGTTCTTGGGATTAAAGAAGCTCCATTTTTGCACCAAAGAGCTTTGGTTGCTGTTATTGCCAGTTTAGAGATTGTTCGTCGTGGCATTTGGAACTTCTTCAGGTTCTAATTTTTTTCTTTTTCTTTTTTGCTTAGAACCCCATTTCGGAATTTTTTTTAAAAAAAAAAAGATCGTAAGATTAACGTTTTATGATCTTTGTGTTTGCAATCAGGTTGGAGAATGAGCATTTGAACAATGTTGGGAAATACAGAGCCTTCAAGTCTGTACCTTTGCCTTTTCAAGAACTTGGAGGAAGCAAGAGCGTGTAAATTTGTTTAAATTAATTTGGATTAATTTCTTGATCATATATCATATGTAAATTGATTTTTTCCAAATTTTCAGCAAATACATTTTTAAAAATATTTTTTGGTCTTTAATTTGTGAATGTAATATAGCATTCAGTTGACTACACCAAGATGAATGAAAAGAACAAATTCATGGGCTAATTCTCTTAAATGTTACCAGGGCTCTGTAATAAAAGCCCAAAATAATGCATAAGAGGCCCAAAAAATTAGGTCAATCCCAAAAATACACATACATAAGTAGGGTTTACTATAAAAGCTAGGATATCTGATATGTCTCCTGTGAGCAGAAACACTTTGTATAAGAATTTCCAGTTTAAGCTTAATCGTGTTTTTTTCGCCGTTTCTTTCTTCTCTGTTGCTTCTGGTTTTCTTATCGTCTCTATTTTTATTTTCCCGTTTGATTTTTGATTATCGAAGGCTATTAATTGCACAAGTACTGGGACATCCCCGTGAAATATGAAAAATTGGGGAATCTGTCTAATTAATTTGATGTGCATAGATTAAAATTTAGGGATCCGCTTTGCAGCTTATGACCCGACCCGATTCGTTTCGGGTTCCCTTGTCTCTGCTGCCAGTAATCTCCTGAAATTCTCTTTTCGCCAAAGAAAGCTTTACTTTTTCTGAGGATTGAAACTATGAAATGGCTTGTTTTGAAAGATGGTCAAAATATTATGTTAACGAAATCTCTCCGAAATGAATTGATTTCAAAACTGAGACACATGGATTCTTTTAAAATATCCGAATTTAACAGAACTGCTAGTTGGATTGACCAACTTCTGTTTAAGTAACTACCAAAATACTACATTTGTAATAACTTGTAAATTTGCAATCAAGAAACCATTATTTTGTAGCATCCTCTATTTATAGACATGTTACAATCACAAATCACAGACTGAAAAACTAAAAGATTAAGCAAACCTGAATCTTTATCATTCAAACAAGAACTTTGTAACGATACTCCTAGAACTCTAGCGATTCGCTTCAGCTCAACTCTGTTGCTTCTTGAGTGCGTCGTAAGTAACAAACAAGATTTGGCTTGGAATTGTTTTTCGCAGTTTAAGATTCTCTGTAACAGAGCTGGTGTGTACCAAATTCCTTGGAACTTATACATTTCGCAGTGTCTTCTGACACATTTCATCTCTTAAAGTCTTAAGTAATCATGAAGTGATGATGATGATTGATTGATGAAATTGACCTGGAGTTCATTTTATTTGCAGAAATGAAAGATATTAGATGTGATTAATCCATTTGTGAAGGTATTATGCTTGTATATTCTGCTCTTATACATATCTCTATATTTGTGTTGAATGAGAACCTTACTCTTATTGGTGGAATGGTAACTTACTTGAAGAGTAAGTAGAGAATCTTGATACGTAGATGAGAAGAGAAGGGGAAGCACGACTCTGATCTTAACTATTAGAGTCCAATTTGCATTAACAGACTCGCATTTTGTTTTTGGTTGGTGGCCCAATTAGACACATGAAATGACATCTAACCTTCGGTCATTGAGAGAAACATTGAACAAATTTTTGGTTTCTAACTAATCTAATCTTTAAAACTATTCTGTTACCAATCGATCATTGTTTGGTTTTAGTGTCTAATTTGGATTATCCGAACTCAAGTCATCCAAACGAAAGAAATTATACTAATTTAAAAACCGATTTGGATAGTCAAATGGTCCTTTGTTATCTAAAAAGTTTGAATAAAAATTAAAACCAACGAAAATCGAATCAGGACAATCTAAACAGAGACTGAGAGACTAATTCTTTAAAAAAAAAAACAATAACATTTGAGGTATATATTCTGATGATGTAAATGGTTTTTTAACTGAAACTGAACTCATACTAGACCGATTCAAACTAAATACATATTTTCATTCAGTTTGACTCATATGCCGATTTTTGACTCATATACGTATTAAATACTCCAAAAACGAGATCTTGAATGACTTGCCAAAAGATCACTACTTTTTTAGACAATTATAAATGGATTCCAGATGATAAGCGTATCGATTTTTACATGTCAGTCCTTTTTACAAAATGTTACAAAAGTCTTTCAATATTTTTGTATATCCTAAGAGTCTAAGATCGAGAGCAAGCACATATGACATAACACAAACACTATAAAACCCTAAGATACCCCCTAATTGTTTTCCCCATATATACCCCAATTTTCAATCTGAACCAGTTTCCAAATTCAGAAATTCCAAAAGCAATCGACCATAACCGGACCAGCCGAACCAGAAGGATCATGACCTTGCCATGAACTTGCGGTCAGTTCATTCTCCGATGTACCTAAACCCTGGAGATTCTCCTTAAAATGGATTTCTTCACTGTCAAGCAACATTTTCAATATTGACGAATTATCTTTCAGAAACACAGGATCAGAGTATAGCATAGAACCAATGTTCGGTATCAAGGGTGCCAATGAAGAACCGAACATGGTAAGGTTAATTTCGTCTTTTGGCTCGGAGAGGAGACTCTTGTCCTCGGTTGTTTGGTCGGAGAAGCAGGTCACGTGAGACAACGATCCGGCGAAAGAGTCTCCTCCTCCGTTCTGGAGGTACGGAGAATAATCCATCAGCGGAGGTAAACCGACCGGTTTAGATTGGTTAATTCCTGAACCGAGCATCCTTAAACCGGAGATATGCATCTTCTTACCATCTGCCCGTTTCTGAAAAACACGACTAATAACCCAGTCGTTCTGCATTCACAAACAACACCAAACTCAGTAATCAAATCCCAAACTTCACAACAAAAACAGAGAACTCTCTCTATATATTACCTTAGCGTTCTTAGGGAGATTGTCCACGGCATATTTGCCCTCTAAGCGATATTCATGCATGACCCAATTGGTTTTTACTCCTTTAGGAGCTCTTCCTTTGTAGAAAACCAAAGTTTTCTTCATACCCACAAGAGATTTGCCATTGAAGATCTCTTTGTCTTTGCCTGTAGCTTTCCAATAACCGGCCTTAGTAGCCCGGTTCGTCCTTAAACCAGTCGGGTATTTCCGATCCCTTACGCAAAAGAAGTACCACTGATTTTCACCAATCTTAGCCTTCCCTACTCCACCAAAAGAAACAGAGGGATTATAAATAATGAAAACAGAGGACTTTGAAGAAAGTAAGAAACTTTAAAAAGGAAAAAGAAAAATAACTTACAGGGCAAGTCCCAAGGCTCGACCTTGTTGAGATCGACTTCACCGATAGCTATAGCGGAGAAGAAGGTGTTTAGAACTTTCGGTCTCAGATAGTGGCTTATGAGTTCTTCATCTGTTGGATGAAATCTAAAGCCAGCTGGCAAATCAATCTGCTTTGAATCTTCTACTATCTCCCCAATTCTTGATAGCTCATAATCCATTTCCTCAGAAACTAGCAATTAGAAAGTTTTGTTTATTGGTGTTGAATATGAAGAGAGAAGATACAAAAAGAGTTTTGATGTGAAAGAGAAAGAAGAAAGTTGATTTTTTTTTTTGTTGGTTAGGAGTGAAGAGAATTTGGTTTGAGCAGCCAAGCTCTTATACGAAGAACAAAAAGTATTATAGTTTTGATCCACCAATAATTGGTCACTGTTTGGTATCAAATTATTATTTTGTAAAACTATTTTTTATATGATTATCCGAATGAAACTATATTATATTAGAGAGAAATAAAGTTATCATATCTCAGTTAAAATATTTTAATGAAGTATATATACAATTCGTTGTAAACCTGGACCAACCATAACATAGTTCCAAAAAAAAAGTATTATAAATTTTGATTTTGATTTGGTGCTGTATTTAGTTTCTTAACAGTAAAATGGAATGGAGAAGGAGAAAGATGCGTAGATAGATAGGAAACTTAAGACGTTAATTTGGAAGATATTTTGTTTTATTAACAAATAATTATTAAAAAAAACTCTCTGTTTCAGAAACTTTAATATCTCAAAGATTCAAATTGACCAGGAACATTTCACCGGTGGCTACCCATCCATTTCTGTTGATGCGATAAGAACAATCTTATCACATCACTGATGACGCTTTTGTCCATTCTTTAAACTAACTATTATCCTATTTAATAAAATAAAATAAAATTATTTTAGATGATTATCCTTCAAATAATAATTCTAGTTCTATATTTGGCAAGAGCTTGAGCTTTTGCGCAATAGCTGTTACCTGATAACGTAAGAAAAATACCTTAAGTAGAGCAACACATTTTGGCTTGGTCTCTGTCGTTACTTTAGATACAAATGAAAATTATATCTTATTTCAAGATTTCAAACTCTAAACTATGGATTTTGGAATAAATGTAATAGAAAAATTATCAACCAACGAAAAATATTTGTGTGAATCAAATGAATAATGCAGGACAGTAAAAGTAATGTAGTTTCAACCGTAGTAATCTTCTTCTGATCTCTAACTGTAGTAACGTTTTTGGTATTTACTGTTGACGGTCAACGTCGTAACTAGAAGATGAAAGGCAGAAAGCAGACGTGGTTAGTTTTCGATGGTCTTTAAAAGGTAAGCACTAACTTTTGTTCTTAATAATTTTAATTAACTACTTAAACTTAATAAAGTGGGTTTTGACCAGCTTCCTGGCGCGAAACATCAGTGAACGATTCTAACACAACACGTGTCGATATGCCAATGGATATTATGTCATCTAAAGACATGGTCCTATTTTATTGTTTGTGTTAGGCGACCCAATTTTGTGGATATATTAAAGTTGTAATTATCGATTTAATGTTTCCTTTTTCCAACATCTCTTTTTAAATTTAAGAATATCTATAAAAAAAATCGATTCATCTACAGTGTTGGAAGCCTTTTATAGACATAGAATCGAAGACCTTTGAATTATTTGCACGAGTGGTGGATCAAAATATTGGACTATTGAGTCCATGTCGACCGGATTAGTGTTTATAATTCAGTTTCGTTTTGTTGTACAAGTGTCACTGGCCATGCACAGAACAAAATTATAAATGCCAATTCCAAATGTTGAAATAATTCCAGCTTGTGTAATTAAAATCAAAGATGGATTCACCACAAATGATCCGTACTTAATGGGCCTTGGCTTGTTTAGATATGCAAACCCATGTATATAACAAATCACAACTGATGCAAAGAAAATATAGAAAGAGATCAATATTTCTTTGATTTGCATAAAATAAAATGACGATGTAAGAGACTGTTTATATTTTATGAACGGATACATAATTAAAAAATAAAAAAAAAAAAGCATACCAAACTGTATTTTTCTCTTCAGACACTAAACATAGAACACACAATAACATATTTCCAAAATTTCAAAACACACACACACATATATATATATATATACACAACAATGACATATATATGCAACAAGGCTTTTTATAAATCAATTTAAAATATTACGAATAGATTGCGCTATAAAGTATAAACTAGTTAATATACTATATAGTAGTATATATTATAGCTAAACTTCAACCATCACTAGCCACTAGTTGTTTTATAACACACAGTAATTAATATAAGAATTAGATCTATACCCACCAGTCCACCACACCACCACTAACTCATCTATTGATTTTAACAATTTTTTTAAAAAAAAAAAACTCTTCTAATAAGAGTTGACTTTTTCTGCTGATCAAAAGGCCTCAAAGCAATCCCCAAAAGACCACACTTGTCTCCATCATTAACTTATAATTATAAATCATAACATACACACAAACCCACATCTTAGAATCACCACCAGATTCTCTCCATTTCATCAGAAAATCCTAAAAATGGTCAGACAGAGAAGAAAGACAGAGAAAGAAGAAGAGAAGCGAGAACAAGAAGATGGAAATCAAGAAGAGAAGGTGAAGCCAAGGCAAAGAAGCGTGAGCAGAAGAAACATACAATCTCTGGTGATTGGACTCGTTGGAGCTGCATTGACTCTCGGGGCTTATTCTCAGACGTTTGTTTCTCCGGGAAAATCTATCGGCGCCGGTCTATTTGTCCTCTTCTTTGGCTTACTTGTGAGCGAAGGTTTCATCTCTCTTTAAAAAAATGTTTGCAAATTAAACCTTTTTTATGGATATTATAAAATATATTTATCTATGAGCATCTTGTTTCATATTTATCTTATGGACTCTTGAATCATGTGATCCATTCCATATTGTTTTTACCGATAATTTTTTTTTTTTGGTTTTGTAAGAAAATGTTTTGATCTGTACGTATACATCTTCATATATACAGTCCCGCAACAAAATATTTGAGAAGCAAATGATGAAAGAAATGTGAAACCTTGATGATATGTGTCTATATACACACATAGATACAAAGTAATATGAACGGAATTATACTCTTCTCAGACATGTTCGGGTATATAAAGTTGACTTTGACTTAGTACCGGTTCTTTTTTTTTCGCTAAAACGTAGTACCTGTTCTTAGCTGTTGATTAAGGGAAAAAACAAATTTAGATGTGAAACATTCAATAAACAAAATCATGATATTCGTATATTAAAATAATGAACTGTGTTGTTGTCTTTTGTTTGTTGTAAACAACTCGTGGTCTGGTTACATCTAGTGTATATATTTATAAATAGATACGTGCAGTATCATAACTATATATGTATAGTTAATCATCACCATAATCTATTTTTTATCAACTTATTCTTTAATTAAACAAAAAGGAGTATCACAGTTTACCTGCATAAGATCTTTTCTTTTTGGTCAATACCTACATAAGATATAAAAACAAAAAATAACGCTACAGACCAAACAATCTGCCTTATCACTAAGTTTAAATGGAATATAGGACTAGTAACCTGTGTATATATATTATATATACATATATTCATCACCACCTTCGATTTCATGATCGAAATGAAACACGACAACACAGCAACGATCATGAAAACAAATGTCCGGGCCGTAGAAATTTGTGCGTTTAATTTCATTATTGGGCCACTTAAATATGAATTTATTGTTTTCATATGAACCCATATATTGTTATTAAACTTCCATCAGACACTTGTCTTTCTTTTTCTTTTATGACATCAAAATATTAAAGACCTCATCTGTCTGAATATACCAAATTTCCCATAAAATATTATATCATATATGCCCTTAATAGTCTCATAGCATATGGACTTTAGACGCATTATTTTCATAAGCTTGGTTTGAACTTCAAACCATGATTGACGCCACTATAGACGTTATAATCAATAAGAATGTCCAACTATTTACATCACATGTTTTAAGATTAGTCTGGACCTAATCTTAATGATATAAACCTATTTTCCTAGAAGGTATGCTGATATATTGAACCAGTTTTTCTTTGTATCACCGACATAATTAGTTCAAATAGCGTCATGTCAAAGTCTACCACCATGCTTCATCATGTGAGAATGAGTACTTTTGTTCTACCAAATTTGAGTATAGATTAAGACTTCGTTCGCACAGTAAAATGTGCAAAAATATTTGTATGTCGTATATTACATGCTACTATTTAGTATTTACATCAATTCACTTCCGAAAAGACAAATTTTGTATATATATACTATAATTCATTCAATTTAAAGAATAAACATGCATTAATTACATGCAGAAAATCAAATATTGTGAAACAAGAAAAAAATAGAAAATCAATGAAACAGAGGAAATATATGTCATCTGTTTTTTTTTCTCCCACAAAAATTTTCAGTTTTTAACTAATACAACAAATCTCTTTATCATCTCTAATTATTGTCTAATGATAATAATATTTATAATTTCTTATAAGAAGCAAAATTATTTAGGTCTGTTGCACATGAAATGCTTCAAAAAGTAACTTGTGCGCTATTTCATGTTCATGTCGCCATGAATACTTGCGGCATATTTGATTTAACAACATGCATGTAGTTGTTGAAGTGATGATATGATATTTTGCTAATATTTTTTGTGATATTTTGGTAATATTTTGTAGTATTTTTTAACAAATACTTGAAACTAAAAAGGTGTATTATGCAAGTGCCAATTAATGTCGACTATGTTTTCAGGGATTATGAAATTCATAATTTCTCTTACATTTTGCCAATCGAAGAAGAATGATAGATTTTATATCTTAAAGTTACTCGTAACATTACCGGGGAATATTATAATTAAATAATTCTTACAAGTTCTTCCCCAGCTAAAACCCAAACACAAGATGAAAGATTCAACTTATTCCAAAAAAGTCATTAGTACTCAACCAAAACGAGATGCTCGAGACCACATCTTCTTAATTTAATGGGTCCAAAAAATTGACAATTTATCACTTACACATTATATACTCAAAATGTTTATATTAACTTTTGGGACGGTCTCACTATAATAGAGAAACAAGCTCCGAGTTCGTCGATGGACGGTCCACACGCAGAATCATTAAAAATAAATCTGTAACAAGCTATCCAAAGTGTTAATTTCATCCGCTTTATATTTAATACTTCCCCGATATGCACATGTTTGATAATGTAACGTATTTGCCCGAATTGAATCTCCCGTTAAATGGAAATCACTATTAGTGGTTTGTACTTTTATACGTTCTAAAGATTAATATTTAATACTTCCTCGATCTGCACATGTTTGATATTATTCTTTCATCTAAACGATTTTAGTGCTATTAAAGATTAGCTCAACATATTCGCGTATTCGTGATTAGAGTTAATTGCTTCACCGACTATTAAAAACTTTTTATTTATCATTAAATTAAATCTTTAACCTCTTCTGTCTTTGCAAATTTAGCTTGACATTTTTATATCACAACAAGTCTGAAAGCAAGAAAAAAGATTGCGAGTTTCTCTTATGATGGTGAAGAAACAATTGTGCATTTTGTGAAACAAAGAAAGTTCTAAAAACGTTTTTTGCCAGTTTTTCTACGAAAAGCAAGCAAAAAATCGATAACAAGAGAGTATCAAAACAAATCTTTTACCATTAGATTAAATTTATTTTTATTGAATTTATCTAAATATTAAAAAAAAAATTAAAAAGAGTAGAGGGTACTTGACCCCGCTTCTCCTTTACTACATCCGTCCTGATAAAAGTATTTGAATTGGTAAAAAAAAAGAATTGGTAAAACAACAAAGAAAATCTTCAACCAAATAGAACACATTCAAACATAAAATATAAAACAAAAACTAGAACACACTGACTTGGTTTTGTGAAAAATTTGTTAGTTCATTTGAATATAGACAAATGCGAAGGACTCCATAATAGTTTTATCCGATTAAGATGAACAATCAAAAAATTTATTCATGTACTTATTTTTCTTATCAACAACATATATTATATTATGCATTTTTTATCACAGGTGGCTAAACATTAACGATACTAATATCAAACCATTATATTATATATCTTTATCGTATTTTTCTATAACTAATATTTGCATGTGTGCAAAGCAAAAAAGAATTAAAAAAAAAAAATTCTGCATGTGCACATAAAGTTTTGTTACCACGCAAGTAAATTGAGAGTTATTTATGTAATTCAAAAAGTTGGGTTTTAGAACAATTATGTGCCAATTTAGGAAAAACAAAATTGCCATGCCAGGTCGATGACTTCAATACGTGGGCTTAAAACTGTCTAGACAAAATGTTATCACCAATTTATTACAATATTACGCGTCTGTCTTTTTTTCGTTTTTCTTATGATTCATTGTGATTTTATCTTAACGTGGCCTACCAAAATAGTTATTATTTCTATTGCCCATCAAAGCTAACCAACAAAATATTGCGCATTCAAAATAGATGAGAACATAAGCTTTCATGCAAAATTTGAACTTATTCAATTTGCTATGATCAATTGTATTCTACAAAAATATAGTTTTAACCCTATTATTTTAGTACATTAATTAGAGTGACAAAGTTATTAGAATATAAGTATAGTAGATTTAGTATAATGATTTTCTTAATATGTGTTAAAAATCATAGATAGATTTCTGTGAAATAGAATCAGTACTAATTATGAAACAGAACAAACTTGAATCGCCACATGGAAATTATTTTTCACTTAATGTGTAAATAAATGTTAAGTAGAAAAAAAAATGATGGATTTTCTGTGTGCTTTCCTTTTCGTGAATTTCTACGTGCTTATAATTTGTTTCTTTCTCTAAACAGCTGTAACCATTTTTGTCCAATGAGATATCTACAGTTTCATAAAAAGTCCCAACCGTTCTTCATCACTTCTGCTACCAATACAATGTAGCTCCGCTATTCAATAACAAATTAAGAAAAAGAAGTACAAAAAAAAAGTTGTTACAAGAAAAAGAAAGAAGTACAACAAAATTTGATAAATAAAACTTGTAGTTAAACGTGGACCAAAAACAAATCAGTTAAATTCTCACTTTTGTTTTCGGATGATATTTATTGAGCTCTATATTGTCTGTCTCAAACACTCAAACCCGCATAATTTATGAATTTAAATGCTATTTAAATCGTGTCTCCGTATGATTACTTTCTTTAAAATAATCAATACTTCTATTCTTTAATTTCTTTTGTGTGAAAATACTTCTATACTTTAAAAGAAAAGAAAAGAAAAAAGAATCTATAATGTTACAGTATCACAATCACATCTACTAATATCTGATACGCATTTATTCAACATCTTGAGTGACCTTTACGATAGATTCCAACTCATTTTGACAAATTTTCTTTGATCCACCTCTTAAATTAACATTTACCTCTCCTTTTTTTCTTTTCCATCGGTTCTAATATCATTTGTATGATTTTTGTTTTTACTATCTAAAAACTAAACACTTAAAAAATCAAATAAAATTAATTAACAGAGTATAGTGAAGACCAAGAAGCAGTTGCATGGACCCCGATTGATTCATTACAGCTCAAACTCTGTCCGAATCCTTCTCCCTATTTATACCACTCTCTTCTTCTTCCTTAATTTCATCACATCACAACTCTTACCTCTCTACATTGACGAAAACACCCCTTTGCTTCTCTTTGCTTTTCTCCCTTTGCATGTTGTAGCTGTTTTTGCTTCATCAATGGGGTTTTTAGTAATCTCGGCTCTCCTGCTGCATGTCCTAACGATTTCCGTCTGCGTTCAAGGCTTTTACCGTCGTGGTGGCCACCATCACGGTGGCCACGGTGGGCCGTGGATCAACGCTCATGCCACTTTCTACGGCGGTGGTGATGCTTCCGGCACTATGGGTACACCTCCTTGTCGAATTCTCCAATATAAGCATTCTCACTTGCATCACTCTAATTTAACTGACAAAAGGGTAGTTTAGTCAATTCACCTCAGCTTCATCTCAGGTTGCATTACTCTAATTTAACTAGCTACTCCCCTCGTAACATGCAAACAATTCCAACGGCTAATCATAGACAGAAATTTTAAAAGATAGTACTAAATTATAGAAACAGAGCAAGGAGAAATCGACTCTTTGACGTTTATGCATATAACATTAATTCTTTATAGTAGTATATGTTTTCAAGAACTAATTGTTTCAAACGCCATTTTTTTTGTTGTTTTTGCATTTTTGTTTGCGTTAACAACTAACAAAATAGCAAAAGTAATTATTGTGAGTTTAGTAGTTATTCTGAAAAACCACCAGACACTAGATAATATAAACATATGCCTAATTATGATGGAACAAAATTAATATAGGTGGAGCGTGTGGGTACGGGAATCTGTACAGCCAAGGTTACGGAACGGAGACGGCGGCGCTGAGCACGGCGTTATTCGATAACGGACTTACCTGTGGTGCGTGCTTCGAGCTGATGTGTGTCAACGATCCTCAATGGTGCATAAAAGGCCGCTCCATTGTGGTCACTGCCACTAACTTTTGTCCTCCTGGTGGCGCCTGCGATCCTCCCAACCACCATTTCGATCTTTCTCAGCCCATCTACGAGCGAATCGCTCTATACAAATCCGGTATCATCCCGGTTATGTACAGAAGGTACTAATTTTCTTAACTCGATTTAGTTAGACCATATAAAGTTCACTATGTCTATGACTATGTGTAGTTTGTGAACATCTCACGTTAAAAATATCAAGCACATGAGTCTTGTTTATAAATATTACTCGTCGCAAATTTCTTTTTTGACCTGAAGGATGGTCTAATTTACAAGTCGAATATATAAATATATATATATATATATATAAATGAAACTACTCGTAAAAGCAAATAGTCGAATTAATTAAGGCTTATTGCTTGGCTTAACCGGCTATCTTATCTCTAGTGTGATTTTAACTTTTTAAAAAATCTAATATACTTTTAGTAGTATTTTCATAGACCAATGAGAAGACAAAGTAAAATTTCTTCATTTATCTTTCTTGATTCTTGTTTCTGACTTTTCATAGAACAATTATATTATACTGGTGTTAAAACCATACTAGATGTGTCGAAAAACTTAAAATACGCATATGGATTTTAAACCTATAAATACGCATTTAATACTTTTGGACCAGTTGATAAAAGTAGTAGAGATATTGGGTACCAAATTATTAATAGACCAAGAACTGTATGGTAGTGACAGCTTAATCGACACCGAACTTGTAGTGCTTTTTTTGTAGAGCTTTCCCAAAACATATTTTTATAAAGCTATTTAAACGTCATAATCATATTGTTTTATATTGAGAAAATCATAGGGTTCGGTGCAAGAGAAGGGGCGGGATAAGGTTCACGATCAACGGACACTCATACTTCAATTTGGTGCTGGTCACAAACGTTGGTGGGGCTGGGGACGTACACTCTGTCTCGATGAGAGGTTCAAGGACAAAATGGCAATTCATGTCAAGAAACTGGGGGCAAAATTGGCAAAGCAACTCTTATCTCAACGGTCAAAGTCTGTCGTTTGTTGTCACCACAAGTGATCGCCGAAGTGTCGTCTCGTACAATGTTGCTCCTCCCACTTGGTCCTTTGGCCAGACCTACACCGGAGGGCAGTTTCGGTACTAACTTATTCAATGGTGTCATTATATTCCAGACCGATTTGGTTTGGTTCGGTTCGGTTTTTGTAATTGCCTTCTTCTTTTTTTTTTCCGGTTCGACGTTGGGGACTTTTTTTCGGTAACCAATTGAAAGTTGGACTGATAGTGATATGTAGCAAATGTGTGAGAACGAAAGATAATTCTCGTGTTTTATATGAGAAACTGCAAGTGATATAAAACAAAAATATGTATTGGCTTTCAACGACCCAACTTTTGTAGAATTGATTCTTTAAGAAATGGTTCAACATGTAGTTTTTTTTTTTTTTGGATTCAGATCCACTTGGTGTTGTGCTTCTGTAAATCTATATTAAGGCTTACGGATATCTAAAGTCTTAATTCGAAAATAAGTTTTAATATTTAGGGTCCATGTCCGTTTTGTCTCTGCAATTTTGCGGATCAGTCTACAATTAACCGCTAAACAAAAGAAAATATGTGTTTGATGCATTCGACCCTAAATTTTTGGTCCATTTTTAAACCATTAGGGCCGAAAAACCTTGAAGGATATAGTTATGCTTTCTTCTTCTTGAATATATGTTTTTGCCACTATGAGCTTTACCTTTTTTAGGCTTTTCCTTGAACAATGCTTAGAAGTTAGAACTAATATTGCATATGCATAATTAAATACACACACACACATATATATATATATATAAACATGTATGTATATGAAAGGCTTCTTAAAATGGTTATGGATAGTTTTGGTCTTATACATCTACATTTATATATATAGAAGGAAATGGTATATTTTAGAAAATGGTAAAGCGTGGGGAGAAGAATATAAAGTGACAAATATTCAAACAAGTTTTACAAAACATGATGTTAGAGAACTGAAACTGTTCTTAACAGAGCAACCATGAAAGATGTATGCGTGGGGTTTCTTTCTATTTCCATTTATGCTCTCTCTCCTCACATATGTTCTTCTCTCTCCTCAGGTTTCCATTTTTGGCAATCAAAAAGATTACATACGATAACATAGCCATCACCGAATCCAAGCATCACATGCCTATCTATATCTATATGTCTCTGCGTGTATATATGAGACATGGTTATAGGAGAGAGAGACCAAGAGAAGAGCTAGATGGATTTCTCATGTTTCCAAGAATACCCTTTTGATCTCCATCGCAGAGGAGCATTTAATGGGTTTGGAGAAAACCATGCAGTGTCTGCAACCGTAGAAGATCTATCTAATAAAAAAGGGATGCAGAAGGAGAGAGATGATGTGAAGAAGAAGAAGAAGAAGAAGAAACAGAGAGGTTCTAGGGTTTGTAGTAGAGGACACTGGAGATTTTCTGAAGATTCTCAGCTCATGGAACTTGTTGCGGTTTATGGTCCTCAAAACTGGAACCATATTGCAGAGAAGATGCAAGGAAGGACAGGTAAAAACTGCCATTTTAACAAAAATCTGAAAAATCTTTCCTCTGCTATTTTCCGAAAAAAGTGAACTTTAATGATGTTTTCTTGCTTCTTTGGATTTGTAAGGCAAGAGTTGCAGATTGAGATGGTTTAACCAGCTAGACCCGAGGATCAACAAGAGAGCTTTCAGTATTGAGGAAGAAGAGAGGCTACTTGCAGCTCACAGGGCATTTGGTAACAAATGGGCTATGATTGCTAAGCTTTTCAACGGAAGAACAGACAATGCCTTGAAGAATCACTGGCATGTTCTCATGGCAAGAAAGTTGAGGCACCAATCAACTTCTTACATCAGGAGATTCAATGGGTCTGCGCATAAACCTACCGCAGATCATGACAAAAGCTTCAATCTCTCTCCTGGTTTGTCTCTTTTTGATCTACCTAGTAGTTGATATACTTTCCAGTGAGTTTCCAATATCTTGTTGGAATCAAATCATGTTCCAATCGTAAATTTGTAATGCAATATTGCAAGTTCTAGGGAGATTCAATTGGCGCTGGTGATTTTTGAGTTCCATGTTTCTGTGTGTTTTGCAGATACTGTAGATGATGAAGATATGAATTTGGAAAATTACAGCTGGAAAATGCTAAAGGAGGGAACAACTAACCTGAAAGCTCAGTATCTCCAAGAAGAGTATTGTTCTTCGCGCATGCCAATGCAGGGCCCGCATCATCACTACTCAACCTTCCCTGCAGATTCCTTGGCACTGACACTGCATGTCTCCATCCAGGAACCATCATCATCATCATCATCGTCGTCATTATCACTGCCATCATCATCTGCAGAACATACAATGGTGACCGGATATTTTGAGAGCATCAAGCCTCCAGCATTTATAGATTTTCTTGGGGTAGGCCACCAAAGCCCCAACATTTAAGGATAAATAAATAAAAAAAGAAGAGTGGGAGCTAATCGACAACTTGATTACTCCTGTCATTATTATTCAAAGTCCCTGTCTTTTGTTAGCCATTAACATGATAAGTTAAGAAATCAAGTGTCTTCTTTTCTCTTTCTCCATGTGTTATTCATTGAATTTCTGAACCAAATTTTGAAAACATACTTCAAAATGAAACATCAGGACATACATTTCTTACGAATTTTAGACCATGAATGAAATTCAAAGAATGGAGACAAAGGTAGTCGGTTTAACCCGAGGTAAAGAATCAAGGATTTAGTAAACTAATAGCAGTTTCGCATTCCGCATGAGTAAAAACTTAACTAGCATGAGCGTACTGCTCATACATTCTGAGTTGTTCCTGCCATTGCTTCTTCGAGTTCCTCCATTGTCAGGAGCTTCGTGCTCTTCAAGTGTTCTCCTTTTGCATAGGAATCGATATCCTCAAGGTTCACTTGCTTCAATGTGAATTGGTTTTCCACAGCCTTCACTGTCTTCTCAACAAAATCCGATCTTTCCATGTAATTTTTCATCCTACACACGAAATCTGTGTGGTCTCTTTCCTACGATGAACCAAACAATTGGAATATATAACTGAATTCCATGAATTAAAGTGTTTTGGCTCAAGTAATCAATTTGAAGACGATTAGATCCAGATCAGATAAGAGTCATTACCAACCGGTACTGGGGCACTCTCGAAGGCAGCTTTAGGTAAGCCATGTTTCTCACATTGTAGTCCCAAAGAAATGACGTATGGTGTATCCATCTATTCCTAATTATTGATTGAGCATTTCCACCAAATTTACGATCACCAAAAACATAATCTGAGAAACCAGAAACACAAGAAAAGAAAAAGCATTAGACTTTTTTCGTTGTGGATGAACAATAAGCCAGAGTAACAAACTAGAACCGCAAATGGAGGAGTTTCACACACCGTTCTCACGTAGTTGGAAACCATTAATACCCTTAAACACTTCACCATACAACGAACCACTCCATGCCATGACAGAACGAGGATAAGGCTGGACACTTGGAACATCATACTTGTTGCAAATCAAACTCACAAACATGGTACTCTTGTCCACAATCACCGTTCCTCCTCCCGTGAATCTTTTGATTACCGGTATTCGATCCTCTATAACAGGTCCAAGCTCAACAAGTTGAGAAGGCTTCCTGTAATGAGAGAAACCAACAATGCTCAAAGTTAACAACATTTTTTTTTCCGGCAATGATCAATCTCTCACCACAAAGGCAGAAGAAAATATGAAAATCAAGTCTTTACCCTGACATTCCCATGACAATGGTAGGGACATTGGTTCCATCATTAACGATGCACCAATTATCAGACGATGTTCTAAGAAGCCTTTCTTCCAAATGCAGTTGCTCCAAAATAGGTGTTCCTTGAAGTCTAACGAGATTCATCAATGGAAGCCTCAAATCCTTGGCTTTATTTACACTCATCTTAGCTCTTCCAGCTTCTACGATACAAGAGCCATAATCAAAACAGTAAATACCCAGAAAAATCAAAAAAGATGGAAAAGGTCGAAAATTTCGATTATTTGGTTTATAATGTATCTGATTCAGATTGAGGAGGTATCAAATCTCAATTCCAATAAGAAGGATACTCACCTAAAAATCGATTTTTCCGACGAGGGTCGTTGCTCGGCGATCTCTGAGCGCAGCTGCGAAGACTCTACAGGTCGTTAGAAGCTTCCAGGCCCACTTGACCTTGACCTTGACACCTCTCGGAGCTGGGTTTTATATAATACATTTCCAGGCCCACTTGACCTTGACACCTCTCGGAGCAACGCGCTTCTTCAACGCTTATGCGCCAAAAGACAACTTTTTTAGGCGCCAACACATGTCCGCTTTGTCCCGTCGGTAAATCGGAACTAGTTCCCGCCTTTGTTACGCGAGCGTTGACAAGAGAGGTTATAGATTCAAGTTATGTGCGCGCAAGGTGTTCGATTTAATGCCGCAGCGAGATGTGCTTATGTTATTGTGTTTATTATGTTGGAAGTTATCAAGTTACTCAAAAGTCCTCAAGATGTCATCAAAGTCTGGTTAATAATATTGACAACAAACCATGTTTAAGTGTTTTTTAACATACACAAACAAAAATGCGAAAGAAAAATAATGAGAATTAAGAAGCAACGATGTGTTAAAAGAAGAAAACAATAGCTATGTTTCTAAAAAAAAAGACATGTGATTCAGCAGAAGCTATTCTCCATGATTTTCACAAATTCGTTAAAATCGATTCTTCCGTCTTTGTTTTCATCTAATGATCTGATCATAACCAAGCAATTCTCTAAATGAGATCCTTCTTTGAAACCTAAGATTGTCAAAACTCTCTGCAGCTCTGTAGCGTCGATGAAGCCATCTCTGTTTTCGTCAAACACGTCAAAAGCTAGCTTCACTTCCTCCAAGGTCGCCTCTTTCTCGTCGAACAAACTCGAAATCTCCTTGGAACTGTACCGTTCTTGAAGCTCATTGCTTTCTCTGTCGGGATAAAGCCCTAAGCTTCTCATAACCATCTCCGCGTCTTCCTTACAGAGACCATCATCTTCTTCTGCTTCTTGTTCTTCTATGAGTTTGATCAAACTCTGCTGTTGGTCTGAGGAATCCGGAACTTGGTTGTTTTTGTCGGAAACACGTTGATGGTGTTGAAGAAGAGGGAAGAATCTGGATAAAAAGATGCGAGCAGACGAAACCCATCTGCAAAACCCTATGAGGAACAAGTTGAACAGAGCAAAGAGAGGGAGAGAGGAAGATTGTTTGCATTCCGACAAGGAACTCTTCTCCATGGTTATGTATCAATCAAATGAATGAACAAAAGGAATTTCAAAGAACTTAAGCAAAGCGTCTTCGAGGAGATGTTGAAAGATATAGAATTTGTGTGTGTATATTATATATATACATGATAGAGTTTTTGAGTTTTTAAAAAAGGCAAAAGAGAGGAAGGTGCAGGTAGAGACAAAGACAAAGTCCGTGTTTGAAAAGGAAAAGGAAAGAGGAAGTTTCTTTCAATTTCTTGCAACGTTGTTGGAAACTGGAATTGTTAGGTGTTATTTTGGGTCTAATTTGGAGGAAATTTTGGTCGGTTTGACGTCTTAAAACAAGAAAAATTCTATTTAACAATTAGCGTGTGTATGATTTTCCTTTTTTAACTAGAGAAAAAGGAAACATACAAATGCATGGACTGGAAATAAATTATTATTAACTAGGATATTTGTATGTTTTCATTGATTTAGATAGATTTCTGTTAAATATCTAGACTTTGTGTACATAGAATTCAACTGTCCTTTATATAACAACAAAACTCGTAATACTTTGTATTTACTTAAGACTTTGAATTTACTTAAGACTTTTTAATCTTAAAGTATTTAATCCTAATTTGACTCGGCAGATGAATGCAATCAAATGAATCAAGCACATATAACGAAAAGCGGTCACGTTGCAGGCTTTTTAATCTGCAAAATTTAAGATTACATGTAACAAACCTTTACCTATAATTTCCTTCCTTAAACAAAAGGTTCTCAAACTTCCCATTTAGACCATTCTTTGTATCGATTTGACATGTAATGGGCCTTTGCGTTTTTGGGTCTGGTTGAATTGCAAAATCTGAGGGAGACTCTTAATAAGTCAGTAAATAAACAAAGTAGATGTTTTTTTGGTAATTTTATAACTCTTCCTTTTGGGGATTGCCTAGTCGATTTCTGGTTGTGGTTTCCTGATCTATTCTTGGTTTCGATTTCTTTCGGCGATCCTTTCGAGTCTCGATTGCCCTCCTAACAGAGAAGCTTCGAGCTCGAGAGAATCCATGGATTCTTCGCCGGTTTCGGGTCGATTCGATATATTCGAGATATATCGCAGATTTTGTGGTAAAGTCCTAGACTTTTGTTTGTTCTTCTTCGATCTGTTAATCCTTTGTCCATGAATTTAGGTTTTTTTTTTCTTTTTATGTGTGAAATATTGCTTCTTGTTTTTTTAAATCGTACACATAGTGTTGTTTTTAGTTTGGCTCGGTTACTTGAAGATCTCTGGTTTATCTTTGAATTCTAAATTCTTCTTCTTTCTCTGACATTGCTATGGAAAAGTGGATTCTTTTGAGTTCTATGGTATTAATACATACTAGGATTTTTTTAAGCTGATACATTGTTTTTTTAAGTTTTATGCTTTTGCTTGTTGAAGCTGTATCAGCTGATTTGTGTAAAGTTTCTTGGTTTGCTCATGGGTTTCTTCGGTTAGAATTTGATCGTATCTTATAAGGACTATGTATCTTATTTCTCGCAGACATTCGATCAGGTCAAGTTTTATGTAATTATAAACCCGGCGACGAATCACAGAGAACTAATTATTTTAAGGAAGCATTGACTCAGCTCTTAATTCTAGTCGAGAAGAAGTTTCAAGCGAGGTGATTGCTCAACATTTGTTTCGTATTCTTGAGTGCCTAATTCGATATACTCTCATATGAAGCAAAACTAACTTGTCTTGTGCTACTCCGTTCGCGTTGCAATCCCATGCCAGAAACTCCATTTTCGATGAATTGTTCAAGTTGATGTCACGGCTTGACTTAATGGCAAGTTTGTTTTTTCCATCTTCTACACAATTGGTTCCTTAATTTGCGACTCGACTCTTTTCTTGACCAGTTGAATTGTGATCTAACCTTTGGTATGTCCACTTTGTAGGTGGACTTCTCCGAGTTTACCCGCTTTTATGATTTTGTTTTCTTTATGTGCCGTGAGAAAGGACAGAAGAATATAAGTAAGAGCTTTTTGTTCTTTTTAATCATTGTTCTGATTGCTCTCCTCAAAATATGTCACATGACGCCCAATAGAGATAATACTAAAACTCCATTGAATGTTTTCCAGCTGTAGGTAGAGCTCTTACCGCATGGAAACTGGTTTTGGTTGGGAGATTTAGGTTACTTAACCACTGGTGTGACTTCATCGAGGTACTTTTTTTCTTCTTCTCATAACTGTTTATTAAAATGGTCTTGTGTTTATCTATCTAACGAGAAGATGATGATGCTAACTTGTAGAAAAATCAACGGCACAATATATCAGAAGATACTTGGCAACAAGTCTTGGCGTTTAGTCGTTGTGTACATGAGAATCTAGAAGGATATGACTCTGAAGGTACAATTTCTTAGATTTCTCACCAACGCAAGTGTATTTATATCTGTTTGTGTTTTGATTAATCTTATGGTTTCTGTTTCATTCAGGTGCTTGGCCTGTCCTCATCGATGACTTTGTTGAGCATATGTACAGGTTTGGAACAAAACATGAAAGCCTTTCTTATCAACACATTGTACTCTACACATCAAACAATGAAAAGTCAATCCTTTTGTTGTTGATTCGCAGCATTTTAGGACCGAATAAGAACACTCGCTTGTTCTGCAACTGTAATGATGCAGATTCCGAATCATGTCTTGACGAAGATCCCCTTTCAAGTATGTGTGGTTTTTATAATCTGAGATTTTGAAATTTCTTGACATAAGTCTGATCACCTTCTTCTTCTTCTTCTGGTGTTAGATGAGCATCACAAAGAATATCGCTGCTGCCATACGGGTTTAAGAAACGTTCCGGGTTTGAAGAGAAAGAAATCAAGAGACGACGATGAAGAAGATGAAGTATCAGAAACTCAACACTATTCTTCACCATACTCGAAACGGATCAGATCAAACAATAGTCCAAGATGTTCATCCAAGTCTTATTGCGCGATCGAGCGAAGTCTCTCACAAGGGTTTGCGAGTCTTTTATCGACTGGAGATAAGCCATGAAAATACGAAACACCATTGCCACAGAATTATAGATTATACAAAACCAAAGAGGTCTCAAGCTGCTCTTTCATTTTTCAACCTAAAAACTCTCACTTTCTTAAACAGTGAGTTCTTCGTTGTTGTAAGCTCATATATCATTCGTTCCATGATCACTTCATCATAAATTGAGTATCCATTTCACATTTTTGAGTTTTAGAGCATTAAAAAATTATTGTTATTTTCACTGTTTTTTTTATTATATATTAATGTTAACAAGTCGCTACAAACCAGGATTAGCAAAGAAAGAGTTAGCATAACACGAAACCCAAATTAAGTTAAATCCAAAGTGATAACTAATTTGATGTAAAACAGTTCTAACCAAATACCAATTAACGCGCGTGTAAAATATTTAATTACCAATATTCAAGGTGGCTCTTGGTCTTCTTTCACAAACGAAAAACACTCTTTAATCACCTGATTTATAAGCAATAGTGCTCTGCTAGAACAACTAAAACAGTCTCCTCCAAGAGCTTATTGAGTTTCGGTATAATTTTCTAAATTTCGTTTTTATTCAGCTCCCATTATTCGATCTAGTTTTTGCGGTACAAAAATTAGGGGAAAAAATATGTTAAAAATTGAAAAGATATATAGGGTGTATTTTAGGTTAAAGATTTAGGCTTCATAGGTTAGAGGTTTAAACGTGTTAAATTTGGAATGTAGTTGAGATTTGAGAAAAAGCTAAAATCTAATTAGTTGGCATTGAATCCCCTTCGTATAGGACCTTTTGTTATTTTCTTTCACATTCAACTTTCCTACCATTGTATTGATCATTCTTTTGTTTCCCCTTCAGTGCGTTATCGTATAGGACTTTAAAGCTAAACACGTAAGAGTTTTTATCTTACTTTCGTAAGTGTGAGACCACTCATTCCTTTTTCGTGTTTATAATAGTTCTCACTTAACTCCTCTAGAGAACTCGATATTTTGTTTTATTTTTTCAGGTTATAGAAGATTTCCTTTGGATAGAGAAACTCTTCCCATCGATAATTTCCAGGTATATTTTAGGGTTTTCGAATGGTTTTTGTGATCTCTCATTTCTGTAAGGATCTCTAGAACTTATATTTTTGTGTGTAAGCACTCCTTGAAATTTTTAGATTATAATATTTTCTTTCTTAGAAGTTATTAAGGTTGGTATATCGGGTTTAGTGTTGCTTTCATTTTTTTTGGATAGATAAACATCTTAGCAAAGTTATGAATTTCATTGTTGTATATTAATGCACACGTAAGTCCTAACACAATCAGTAAGTAACCACGGTTCTCTTGCTTTCGCTTTAGATGACCTCTAACCATATTCATTATTTTCCTCTCTTCTTCAAACTATGCTTTTATTTTTTTCCTAAAAATAGATATTAATTTACCAATACTTTCTCTTTCTGTTAGATCATAATATCAGCAATGGAAGAAGATAACCACGAAAAACAAAATGACAATGGCGGATCTTCCTCTTTCTTTAAGACCTGTTTCAACGCACTCAATGCTCTTTCAGGTTAAATTTTCCCGGCTTGGTTTTATTTAGTCGTCTTCTTAACAATAGTAGTAATTAATATATAAACCGCAAATTTTGGATTGTATCAGGAATTGGAATATTGTCAGTACCATATTCACTAGCTCGTGGAGGATGGTTGAGTCTTTCACTTCTATTACTCCTAGCCGCAACCGCTTTCTACACATCTTTACTCATCACAAAATGTATGAACGCGGATCGCAGTATCAAAACATATCCGGATATCGGAGAACGTGCGTTTGGTAGAACAGGAAGAATCATTGTGTCACTCTTCATGCACTTAGAACTCTATCTAGTCACCACAGGTTTCTTGATTCTTGAAGGAGACAATCTTCACAATCTTTTCCCTAGGTTTAACATCGAAATGATCGGGTTGAGATTAAACGGGAAACAATCTTTCATGGCAACTGTAGCCCTAGTTATCATGCCAACTCTTTGGTGGGATAACTTAAGCGTCTTGTCTTATGTTTCCATGAGTGGCGTTTTAGCTACGACCGTGACTCTTGGATCGATATCTTGGGTTGGAGCGTTTGATGGGATTGGGTTTCATCAAAAAGGAAAGTTGATCAATTGGAGTGGAATCCCTACAGCTTTGAGCTTGTTTGCTTTCTGCTATGGTGCACATCCTGTTTTGCCCACTTTGTATTCTTCTATGAAAAGCAAACATCAGTTTAACAATGTAAGTGTCATTATTTTCTACATATACTATCATTAACCAGACAAATATCTATGACCACTTGCGTAATTTCATCTTCTTTTTTTTTGTGGCAGGTTCTACTTATATGTTTTGTATTATGCACCCTAGGTTACACATCAATGGCGGTTTTGGGCTACCTAATGTATGGATCAAATACATTATCGCAAATAACGTTGAATCTACCAATTCATAAGACGAGTTCAAAGGTGGCAATCTACACAACACTCGTGAACCCCATAGCTAAATATGCGTTGATGATTACACCAACGGTGAATACTATAAAAGATTGGTTTCCTTCACGGTACGCTAGAAAAACATACTTACATCTGTTGATAAGTACATTCTTCATCACAAGTAGTGTGGTCATCGCTGAGACACTTCCCTTCTTTGGTTATATGATGTCACTTGTTGGAGCATTACTTAGCGTAACGGTTTCAATTCTCCTGCCTTGTGTATGCTACTTGAAGATCTCCGGAAATTACAAGAAATTTGGGGTTGAGACTGTAATGTTGTTTGGTATGGTGGTGATGAGTGTTCCCATTGGAGTTTTAGGCACTTACATTGCCATTCGAGAAATGGTTGGTAGTGTATAAAAGTTTTTTTTTATTAATACTAGAAGAAGAAGACCCGCGTGTACACGCGGGTTTGTATATTGAATATATTTTGTAACTCATGTTTCATATAAACAGTCTAAAGTATTTGTTATTAAGTCTTTAGGAGTTATTTGTTAAAACACGCTTAACATTTTTATTTGTAGTAGAAAAAACCCAATTACAACCTAATTCGAGATAGAAGATTAAGCATTCGATGAATTTGTTATACTAATTACAATTGCATACATTATTTTTTATGGTCCATTTTTTAAAAACCTAAAATAAATATAAAATAAAACAATAGGTTTATAATATTGTGATGAGCTCATATGTATTTATAAATAAAACTGCTCAAATTAAATTTCTTGTAATCGCTTTGTCTTTTTCTAGGGTTTGCATTCGTCTTCTCCAAACTTCGAAGCCATAGGACATAACAACTTTTTTTTTTAAAAGGGCATTTGAAAGTTGTTATGTATAACGCCTTTAAGGGTTCAAATATTTTTATAGCTCATACATTTTCTTTTCTGATTTCTCATCATTCGTAGATATATAATATAGCTAGAGCTGAGCGATGAATGAATGTTAAATGGCTTACATAGTTACATGTGCTATCTCCTCTTTGTCGTGATGACCTATTTTGCTTCTTTTTTTTCCACAAAAATATTGTAGGTAACTCGACATATGTTAGACTTGCATGCAAAAAAATCAGCCAATGTTTCTCTTGTGGAGCCATTGGATAGAATCTTACAATAAAAATATTAAATGAATCAACATTTGCAATAATATACATATGTTAGGTTCGTAAAAAGAAATTGAAAAATTTCACATACCTTTGAATTTAGATGGAATTTGTGATATGTTCATAAAAAAGGCATTGTTTACTAAACAGAGGATTAATCTCTGTTCTTGACTTTAAACTCTTTTTACTCAAATCATGATTTTGCCTTCTAAATGTCATCGTTTTTTTCTTTCTTTTCCAAGTTTATTTTACAAATATAAAATGTAATTATAATAAAAACAAAACTTTAATTTTTGTTAAACAAAACTTTTTTTGCAATGGCACTCATCCGCTCATTCCCACTTATTCCAAATGCATAGAGATGGAGAAGGTGATCGAAACGCCAAGTTTCTTCATTGGTAGATCAGATCTTCATTGGTAGATCAGAATAGTATGTTTCTGAAAAAGAATGTGAAAGAGCAGTAAAATGTATACCAAATTAAATGTTGGAACATACATTAAGAAAAATCGCGAACAAACATACAAAATCATTTTCGTCACGGCCACCATATCAACTAAAACTGCTCTTAAAAGAACGCTATTGTAGTCGTCTTTTTCCCTCCGGAGAGCACCGACCTGATCTTTTTTCACTTATTTTCTAAAAAACAAAAACTAAGGGAGATAATCACATAACTAAAGATGACGACCATAAACACAAACCTAAGTTCTAAGGGTCTGATCGAAATGCTTCTGCCATCTTTCTTATCTCTTCATGAATCAGAGCCAGCATTGAGCATCTCATCCTTGTTTTGAATCAAAAGTTTGACACGCTCAATGGGAGCCTGTTTTGAATATTATACATATTCCTCTACCGTTACCAAACCGTTTACATTCCCTTTCCATCAGTTCCATCTCCAAATATCATTGCCAGATAATATATGCATATCACCTGCATTTGAACTCTTTTACTAAGTACCAGAATCTATAAACTCGTTTCATCTAAGTGAATCTAGAGAGGGAATGTTAAATATTTGATTCACTTACTAATAAAGTCTCGAGAAAACTGAATTACAAATCTGTAACAGGGATCTGAAAAGACTCAAAATCTGAACCAAAATAATTGTTTGGAGAAGTTAATTAAACATTTACCCAAATATGCTTCCCTGAGTGTGTGTGTCAGTCACACATGCCTAAATGCAATCCTAGCGAATACCAGTGGGAGTCTTCATGCTCAAAATCAGAATAAAAAGAGGATGAGATTTTGGTGATAATGATAAATTTTCAGATTAATGTGTTGCCAATTCCAGCTTGTTCCACTGTCCATCCAGAAAATTCTTTCATCCGATGCCATCTAAAACATGAAAATCTGAAAAATATGTGCTCCTCATCAGCTTTTCGATTTGTGGATTTAATAACTGCAGCTAGATCCGATTAGAAACTTTGCCTTATTTGCCATCACCATCATATCTAATCTCTATAAAGCCTAATCCTTCCTAGAGTAAGGCTACCTGTTGATTAAATATATTTTCTGAAATATAAGAAAGCAGTTAATCTTTTTGTAATCAATATTTTAATGCACTTAGATCTCCTAAATGAATTTATGTTTTTAGGAATTTGATCAAATATCGATGGAGTTTGACCATTTTTTTTCTATTTCAAAGCTGATGTATCAATATAATAGGAGCTGATGTATCAAGCTTGTGAGACACAACCCACTCTTTATATAATAGATATGAGAGGGTGTTTGTAGTAACTACGTACATATGTTACAACAATTCGGATATTTATATGTCTTTTATCGTATTTTTTGTTTACATTGTGTTCTATTATTTATGTTTAATTAATATTTCCTCTTCTGCCTATCAATTTCGACATTAAATTGTGGCTAATCCAGTAGATACCCAATAAAAAAAATAAGAACCAAGGAAGTAAAACACATCACACATGCTGATATACTGATATAGTTTCCACTTTCCACCGCCTGTTTGTAATAGTTTGATGGTATCTTTACAAACAAAAAAACTGTATCTTTAATGTGTACATTTAAGAAAACATCATGCATATGCTTTTTTTTTTTTTTCACCAAACATCATGTATATAAGTCTTGTATGGTATAAAAATAAAATATCTATTTATGAACTATTTAATATTTATAGGGTGAATTAAAGAAATACTTAAAGAGTATCCTTAATTATATCTTTCTACTCACTACTAGGATTGGGCACAGAGCGGATATTTTGGATTTTGAGGATAAGAATATCTGTAATCCGCTCCGCTCCGTCTGGATAATCATGTTCCGATCCGTATTCACTCCGTAACTATTCAGATATCCGTTTTCTGGATATCCGCTAAAAATCTGAATATTTACCGGATATCCGATCCGTCCCATAAAATATTTAAATAATAATATATTTAAAATAAAAATTTTAAAAATTAAAATTTAGCTAAAAATGACAATATTTTCTTTACAAAAATATTTTTTCTTAACTTGTTAAGTTTTAATATTTATAATAATCAAATTTATAAACAAAAACTCACAAAAATTATATTTATATATAATAATTATACACTTTATATAAATTATTATCTATCTATATATACATATATATTTATACTAGAGCGGAACGAATATCCGTCTTAATTTTTTTTTAGTATTTGTGATTTGCTCTGTTTTTAACGGATATTAAATTTTATTATTTGCTTTGCTCTAAAAAAACTATGGATATCCGAATTTTTCGGATCGAATCGAGACGGATAACGGATCAAATCGAGACGGATAACGGATCGAAACAAATATAACGGATATTTTGCTCAGCCCTACTCACTACTATGTACAGTACAGTAACCAAAAAGACAGAAAGTGACTAAAGATTTTTAAAGAACAAACAAAAAAAATGATTAAACATTAAAAGGAGTTCCACTATTTTCTCAGGTGCTCGTTAAAAATTTCAGAAATATCAATCATCATCTACCTTCACTACTGCCATTTTGTCAAATCAAATCAAATCAAATCAGAGGAAGAAAGATGAGTAGCTCTGGTGCTCCGCCTCATAACGTCTTCGTTTACGGCAGCATCCTGGAACCCGCCGTCGCCGCCGTGATCCTTGACCGCTCCGCCGATACCGTTCCCGCCCTTCTCCATGGCTAGTACGTTCTCTTTCTTCCTCTCTCTCTCCGACTGTGGTATTTTCCGATAGGAGATTGACTCCAATTTTCTGGGTTTTTTGCAGCCATAGGTATAAACTCAAAGGACGTCCTTATCCCTGTATTGTCCCTCTTGAGTCAGCAAAAGTCAACGGATTGGTATGATTCGATCGCTTTGCTCTGTTTTGATCTGTTTTGGGTTGCTGTGGTTTCAATCGAATTGAGGGTTTTTGAAAAAGTTTTGGTTTTTATTCTATCATGTTGAAAGGTAATAACGGGAGTATCCGATGCTGAGCTAAACAACTTCGATGTCATCGAAGGCAGTGATTATGAGAGAGTCACAGTTGAAGTTGTAAGGACGGTAAGTATTGGAACTAGATCTTTGTCTCAGATCACAATCTAATGCCATTTGTTCTTGAGATTTGGAGGATTCTGATGACACGCAGGACAATTCGGAGAAGATGAAAGCAGAAACTTATGTTTGGATCAATAAAGATGATCCTACTATGTATGGAGAATGGGACTTCGAGGTTCGTTTTTGTTAATGGTTTGAATTAGTCTCGAACCGGTGGTACGCCTTACAGATGGTTAATATTGGGATTGTGTGTGTGTGTCTGTGTGTGTAGGAATGGAGAGTGATTCATGCGGATAAGTTCGTAGAGACGTTTAGGAAAGTGTTGGAATGGAACAAGAATCCAAATGGGAAGAGAAAAGAAGATGTTGTTGAACCATTGTTATTGCCTGATGATTGATGACTCTTGAACAGAGATCATTTTGTTGGTTCTTGGCTGCTAATCTTTGGCAGAAGAAGAGGAGCAAGTAAAAGAGTGTTTTTGAATAATGTGTTTGTGTGTTGTAGTAACTTGAAACTTAGTCTTCTATTTGATTTTGTTTGTGTTATTAATGGAACCTTTTTCTTCTGGATAATTCCTGATTTCTGAAATCTTGAGTTTGAGACTGCAATCTTGAGTTATGAAGTTACAGTTATAAAATACTAATATTTACTGCAAAATATCAATTTGACTATTTTAGTTGATCAAAACAGAACATGATATTAAGTTTTGAGTCTGCTAAATACGTCGGTGACGGCAAAATAATTTATCAAGAAACGTATGCATTTGTTTATGATGAAAACAATGGTTGTGGACAAGGACTTGAAAAAAAAAAAAAATAGAAAAAGGATCCACTCCCATTATCTCTCAAAATAAGGGAGAAGAAGTCAAAGAAAGTAGGCTAGGATACGAGGTTATAAATAAAGAACTACTAACTCATCATCTTTATCTAGCTCCCACAATTTTTTTCAAACTAAAAATCAAATCATTATTCAGAGGAAAACGATGACTAGTTCTGATCAATCTCCGTCGCACAACGTCTTCGTCTACGGCAGTTTCCAGGAACCAGCCGTCGTCGGTTTGATCCTTGAATGCACTCCGGTCATCGTCTCAGCTCAACTCCAAGGCTTGTAAGCCTTTCTTCACATCTATCTCCGATCTTCTTCCTTCTTTTTGGATTAAATCTGATTTCTTGGTTTTTCTTTTTTGGCAGTCATCTGTATAGACTCAAAGGACGTTTGCATCCATGTATTTCTCCTTCTGAGAACGGAGTTATCAACGGAAAGGTTCTTGATTTCATCTCTTTTGCTTACAAAGATTCGATTTTGCTATGAAAATGTTCAAAAAGATTCGATTTTGCTAATAGTAGAGCTGACTCTATCGCCAAACAGGCCCTTTGTAAACTGTTGGTGAATTCTTAAATTTCTATATGAATGATTTGCCCAAAAAAGATTCGATTTTGCTTCTATAATTAGGCAAATTAGAGGTTATCTTGTTCAATTCATTTCAGTTTCTGAAGTTTTTGTGAACATTGTCTGAACATCTGAGACTGTAATTCATGATCTCAAAAACTGAAAAAAGAGGTTTGATTGTTTGGTACAGGTACTAACAGGATTGACAGATGCTCAGCTAGAGAATTTAGATATGATCGAAGGAGATGAATACGTGAGGAAGACTGTTGATGTTGTATTGACTGTAAGCTTCCACACACTTCATCATCTCTAATGATCTTTCTTTGCTGATCCTGAGATTTTGCTTAAAGATCGAAGCTTTAATCTATGCAGGGCACTTCTGAGAAGATGAAAGTGGAAGCCTTTATATGGGCTAACAAGGATGATCCTGACATGTATGGAGAATGGGATTTCGAGGTTGGTTGAAATCATTCGCTCACGAGTCTCCTAATTATCAAAAAATAAACTAATATGTATGTCTACTATGTTATGTTGCTTAAGTTAATGGTTTTTGGCAAAACACTTGGTAGGAATGGAAGCGGCTTCATATGGAGAAATTCATAGAGGCATCAAAGAAGTTCATCGAATGGAAGAAGAATCCTGATGGGAGAACAAGAGAAGAGTTTGCCAAATTTGTGAACGAAGACCCTCCCGTGGCATGAACAATTTTTGTCTTGCCTTTTTATCTATCTTTTTAATTCAAAATAAAAGGGGTCTCACTTTAGACGAAATAAGAGGCTTTGTAAGTTTGGAACACAAAGAACATGTTGAATCTGTATTGTGAGCATTGAGTTGTATGTTTGAACAAATAAAAACATTGAGTTGTATGTAATGCAAGTGTTGTTTTTGTCATTTCTAATAATGTCTTTGAGATAAAAAAAAGAGTTGTGTTTGGTGTTCTTCTATTTAAGGGTGTCAACAATCAGACAAATCTGATCTGAAGCCAAAAGTCATCATATTGCGTTGAAAATACAAATGGTTTTCACTTTTGACTATAGGAGTATTTTTTTGTGTATAGATTTTTATTGCATTTATCAAATAAAATAATAAGTTGGCACTGTGTGATTAGGCCTAACTGTGATTATTAAATATTAAACGAAGGAAAAACACAAAATAAGTTAGCTACGAGATGATGATGATACAGAGCACTAAGCCAACCTGAAATCAAACTGAATCAAATAAATTTTCAGAGAAAGAAGATGGCTTCTTCTGATCAATCTCCGTCGCACAACTTCTTTGTCTACGGCAGTTTTCAGGAGCCAGCCGTTGTGAGTTTGATCCTCGAATGCACTCCGGTCATCGTCTCCGCCCAACTCCACGGCTTGTACCTTTTCTTCACATCTCCTATCTTCCTTTTTTTGCTTTAGATCTCGTGGAGATTGATGAAAATTCGATTTCTTGATTTTTGCTTCTTCTCTTTTTTATTTTGCAGTCATCTGTATCGACTCAAAGGACGTTTGCATCCTTGTGTTGTTCCTTCTGAGACCGGTTTAGTCAACGGCAAGGTTTGATTTCATATTTTTTCTTCTTTGATTTTGGGTGGAAACAATAATTGAAACTAAGAACACATACAACTTTCTTGTGCATATTATAATCCATGGGGTTCACAAGAACTCGATTTCCTTGTATAATCTCTGGCTCTCTGCAAATTGTATAATCAATTGGGGGTTTCTTTTTAGAGTATTTTGATAATATCTCTTGTTTAGTTGCGTATTAAGTGGTTTTGATTTGTCAAGTTGTTTAACATTGTTGATGGTTTATTTGCAATTGTTGATGGTTGGTGCAGGTACTAACTGGATTAACAGATGCTCAGCTGGAGAATTTGGTTACAGTTCAAGGAGATGAATACGAGAGGAAGACTGTTGAGGTTGTCTTGACTGTAAGCTCCTCATCAACTCTAATCACATGACTATGATCTTTAATGATCCTGTGATTCCTTAAAGATTGAAGCTTTTAATCTCCATTACTAATGCAGGACACATCGGAGAAGATGCAAGTCCAAGCTTTAATATGGGCCAACAAGGATGATCCTGACATGTATGGAGAATGGGACTTCGAGGTTGAATTCATTCATTCACACAAGTTTTTTTTTTTCTAATTACTTGTTTCATCAAAAACTAATTAGCTCTTTCTAAGTTTATGTTGCTTAATATAGTTTTGGCGAAACAGTTTGTGTGGATTTGATTTGATTTGGTTTGGTAGGAATGGAAGCGGCTTCACATGGAAAAATTCATAGAGGCGTCCAAGAAATTCATCGAATGGAAGAAGAATCCAGATGGGAGAACAAGGGAAGAGTTTGAGAAATTTGTACATGAAGATCCTCCCGTGGCCTGAAAAAATTGTCTGTCTTTTATTTCAAAGGCAATAAGATTAGAAGAGGCTTTGTCAGGCTTTGTCAGGGTCTCACTTCAAACACAAAGATGATGTTTGTATCTAATATTGTCTACGAACATTGAGTCGTATGTAAAAGTATTGTTTTACCAGTTCTAGTTTCATCAATCAACATTTGACTAAGACCATCTCCAAGAGATTACATATTTTAAAGTTTAGCAATTTTTGAAGTTTGAGGGTGTTTCCCTCCAATGGCGCACCTTTTATATTCAACTTCACAAAAAATTCTATTTGAGTTTATAATTTTCACTATTGTTCATAGTTAACTAAAATCATTAAACTTGAATAAATAACTATAAAACATACATTAAAATAGATATATGTATGTTTTATAGTTATTTATAATAGTTTAAAATAGACATGTATGTTTTATAATGAAACAATTTTGTTTTGAAAGGAGGATCATAATGAAACATTGAGTGTTTAGTCGAGTTTTCCAAATTTGATGACGCTTTCTCTATGGTCGTGTTATGAACCATTTGGCCATTCTACCTTCATATGAGTGATCTCCACTAATGCAGATTAAGCTTAGACGGTTCCAAACATTCTTTTCAATTTAATGTTGTTTTATAATTCATCAAATTTTAAATTATGACTTATGAAGGATGTACTTTGGAATGATGCTTCAAAAAAGTATGTATCATAAATCAATAAACAACGAATCCAAGAAAAAGTCACATTGCTCTAATAAACAAAGAAAATGCAAATGATTTGACTTCGGTCGACAGATAGAAGAGATTTGGTAAAAAACAGGCCCACATACTTAACAAATCCAAAGTGAATCTTAGTTAGGCTCGAGCTTAATCTAACGTTTAGCAGTTAAAACGTCTTAAGTAAATTTGAACTCGCCTAGGCGTTTATTAGAAGTAATTTTACCCAATCAAGACATGATTTTAACATATAAAAAACCTACATTTTCTGTATGTTAATTTGTTTAACACGCAACAAAAAAGTCAAAACCTATATGACACGTTAAGCTTTTAGATTAAGCAAATTATTCATTGACATGGGAATGTGACAGCCTGACAGTGAGTCTTATTTAAATTTGGAAAGAAACGAAGCTACGAGATATGAAAAGAGAGAATAAATAAACATAGCATTAACTCATTCTCTCCCTCAGCAACTCTTCAATCAATATTCAGAGGAAAGACGATGACTTCTTCTGATCAATCTCCGTCGCACAATGTCTTCGTTTACGGCAGTTTCCAGGAGCCAGCCGTCGCCGGTTTGATCCTCGAATGCACTCCGGTCATCGTCTCAGCTCAACTCCAAGGCTTGTAAGTCTTTCTTCACATCTATCTCCGATCTTCTTCCTTTTTAAAAAAAAAAGAATTTCGATTTCTTGGTTTTTTTTTTTTTTTGCAGTCACGTGTATAGACTGAAAGGACGTTTGCATGCATGTATTTCTCCTTCTGAGAACGGAGTTATCAACGGAAAGGTTTGTGATTACAAAAGAATCGATTTTGCTTCTATAATCAGGCAAATTAGAGGATATATTAATTGTTTATATTCATTTCAGTTTCTGAAGTTTTTTTGTGAACATTGTTTTAAGGTTTTATCTCCGGCTCAATGTTAGTATCTGCACAAGTTTAAAAACGTTCCCAAATTTGGATCTCAAAAACTGAAAAAAAGTAAAATGGTTGACTTTTTGGTGCAGGTACTAACAGGATTAACAGATGCTCAGCTAGAGAATTTAGATGTGATCGAAGGAGTTGAGTACGTGAGGAAGACTGTTGAAGTTGTATTGACTGTAAGCTTCCACACTTCATCATCTCTAATTACATCACTATCGTCTTTAATGAAGATCTTGAGATTGCTTAAAGAATGAAGCTTTTAACCTCCATTACTAATGCAGGACACTTCGGAGAAGATGCAAGTGGAAACTTTTATATGGGCCAACAAAGATGATCCTGACATTTATGGAGAATGGGATTTCGAGGTTGGACTCATTTTTCGTAACTTCTTGATTCATTATAAACTAATCAGACTTCGTGTTGCTTAATGGTTTTGGCGAAACACACGTGTGTAAAATTTTGTAGGAGTGGAGGCGGCTTCACATGGAGAAGTTCATAGAGGCTTCGAAGAAATTCATCGAATGGAAGAAGAATCCAGATGGGAAAACAAGGGAAGAGTTTGAGAAATTCGTACACGAAGATCCTCCCACAGCTTGAAGGATTTTGTCTGCTTTTATCTATCTTTATGTCTTGTTTTTTCCAATCAAGATTTGTAGAATCAATTCTCTTTATCTAATAATCTACTGCAAATAAAAGGGCCTCACTTCAAAGGCAATAAGAGCTTTGCGAGTTAGGAATGGAGCCATTGGTGCTGTTATATTATTAAGTATCTCTTTGAAATAAGCATTTTTAGTGTTTTGTATAGCTGACTAATCCGGTCTGAATCCGGGTAAGTCAATATATATCATAGAAAATACAAAGAATTATGCAAATGGAGATTGGTCTACAAGTAGGCCTACTTATATTAAACATTCTTGATGTCATAGTTATAACATGGTTAATGTTAATCACGGCATTTTTGAAAAAAAAAAAAAAAAAAGAGGCAATTCCAAAGTTATGAAACAGTAGAAACCCCACACAAGGAAATAATTACAACACGATTGAGCTTATATTACTTGCAGACGTGGTGAATGTAGAGAGATGTTCATTTGGTAGACTTAAGCAGACGTTTTTTGGCAAACTGCAAAGCTTCCAGGGTTGATTGTAATGCTCTTTGTACAGTTATCTGTTTTGTAGATTCCCACCAATCTATCTGCTAGCTCAAACATGTTGTTCCTCAGACTGCAACATTTTCATATATTAGATCTCAGAACCTCTTACTTTTATAGTTAATACATAGTACCATTACAAGGCAACCAGTTTCAAGAACTGACTTGTCTCATTTCAAGAACTGACTTGTCTCATTTCTGTTCGAAAAAATTAGGAGATTAAACTGACCTGATGATAATGAACTGAGCGTCTTTAGTACGGTCCTTCACGTAATGTCCAACGATTGATACGTTTTTAAAATCTGTTGAAAAAAGAGTGAAGCTTTATTAAGGGATCAAGTGAGTTTGGAAAATGAAATTACAATGGGGGAATGCAAGTGTTACCGAGAGCGGCGTCGATTTCGTCCATGACGTAAAGCGGTGTAGGCTTGTAGTGATGGAGAGCAAAGACTAGGGCGAGTGAGCTAAGTGTCTGTAAGTAAGAGATAGAGGAGTCTTTTAGGAGAGTTGAGAGAGAGACTGGTGAAATAAAATGTAAATTTGTTTGTTGTTTTGTGAAAGACCTTTTCACCACCCGACAAGTTTGCAATGTTCTTCCAGCTCTTCTTGGGAGGCCTCACACTGAAAACCACACCTTCTGAGAAAGGGTCCAGCGAGTCTACCAGCTCAAGCTCTGCATCACCCCCGAGAGTGATCATCTGCAGCATCATATTGGTGAAATTTATCAGGGAAACAGATAAAATGTATAAGATAGGCGAAGAAAAAGAATCTCAAGTTGAAAGATTTGCAAAGACATCAGAACTCATGGCCTTGTAAGTTTTCTTATCATTTCTGAATATCTTCAATTATTCACCCTAAATTTGTCAAATTTTCAAAAGGTAAACTAACCTGATACATTTCTTTCAGTTTTAGCGATATTGTGTTAAATCCTGCCATAAACTCATCCAACCTGAAATGAATTCATAGTCACTTAAGTTAGCTTCATGAGACCGAGAACAAAAGGGAAACAGATATAAATACGGAGAAGAATTAGAAGTGTGGAATACCTTCTCTTTCTCAATTCATCATGCTGCTTCCTTATGTCATCACGTTCTTGGGTTACGGAGTTAAGTTCGTCTACCCGCCCATTGTAAAGTTCCACTTTGCTCCGATACCTTTAAGAAATTAGAGTAGACAATCAAGAAAGCTAGAGAAACACATGTCGATTGGATTACGCAGGATAAAACAACTAAATTCTTACTCGGCAATTGAGTCAAGATTTGGATTCAACTCTTTCAGCTGAGCCTCCAGTAAGGCAGTCATTTCAAGAGCCCTTTTTAGATCACTGGCTGCGTTCAAATTATTATCCATCAATGTTGCTTGAAGCTTATCCGGATCAACAAGATCTTTCTGGATTCTGCAATGGAAAAATGATGAATTTGAGATGCAAATGAGGTAGGTATCATGGATAGGGGTTCACCATACGTACTGTTCCATATGCTTTGTGAGTGCAATCTGCAAGTCGTTGAGTTTCTTCTTGTAGCCCTTCTCTTTCAATTCTAATTCATTGTATTTCTTTTTCATATCTTGGACTTTGAATTCTGCATCGACCTGTGTTCGACTAAAGTATTAGATGATGAAAAGCACACATATAAACAGAGCAACTAGCAAGAAACAGAAGGATCCAGTTGTTTGTTACCCTAGATGCCTTCAACTCATCCACAGACTTTTTCAGCTTCTCATAATTGGACTTTGCTCCAGTCAGCACGTCTTTATGTTCATCAATCAACTGAACAACAAAATGAAAAGGAAAGGACTGCTCTAGGACTCTTATCAAAATAGTATCTAGATAAAAGAGATAAGAACAGTTAAAACCTTCTGTGTTTCTTTATATGTCTCTTGGATCGCAAATGCTCTCTGTTCTATAGTTTTGAAAACGCTTAGCAACTTTTCCTTCTCACCCTCTAGCCTTTCTTTCTCTCGAGACCCCTCTTCAATCCCCTTTGTCAACTTCTTTATCATTTTCTGGTTTGTTTCTATTTGAACATTACACCGATTGATCTCTGTATTCTTTTTGTCAATGTCCTGAACATGTACAAATAAATTAAGAAAAACTCAACTGTAAGTTCCCTAACAGCACGCTAAGAGCGAAGGAAAACTTACAGTCTGAAACTTCTCAACCTTTGCCTTTTGTCCTTTCAGTTTTTCCCCACCAGCGTTCTCTATGTTGGTTTGCAGCTCAAAAGCCTAATATAAGAAACACCACTCAGTTCTATATATTATGCATGTAGGAAGGTGGATTTCCATAAAGATCGCTGGTTAAAACAGATAGGAAGGCGGATTTGCCTCAGAACTTATAAAAGAATTACTGATGCTACGCACTTTATCCTTAAGCTGTTTAGAACCCTTCTCAAGTTCTTCTATCTCCTTTTCTTCGTTGAAGATGATTTTCTTGAGTTCTTTAAGCCTGTCTATCTCATCTGTCTTTGGCTGAGATGCAGCTTCCAGGGAAGCTAGTTGTTTTTCGAGGTAATTATGCTCTGAATTGAGACTTTCGATCTAAAAGATGGAAGAAAAAAAAAGAAACATTTGATGCATTTAAGGCAACCTGATCATATATCTCAAGAGGGAGGGCTACACTGATAAAGTCGCAGAAGATAGTACCTCTCTTTGGCTTTTCGCCAGTTCCATCTCCAGACGAGAGACTTCGTTTTCTGCAGCTCTATATTGTCTCACAGCATTGCCAATCTTTTCACGGATGTTGCTTAACATGTCAACAATTTTGGAGAGCTCTTTTTCTGCATTAGCAACAACTTCACAAGACACACCAGTGGCTCGAATAGAGGTTCCCATTCTTCCCCCACGTGGCTTGCCTCCCCCTCCACTCATGGTACCAGATTTTTCAAAGAGAGCGCCTTCAAGAGTCACAACTTTTCCAAATTCTTTGTTCCCACCATATGCAATACGTGCTGCCTAATAACCAAAACAAATTGCATTTAACAGTTCAGCTTTGAGTCCACAAAAACTTTGTATTTTCGGAGGTATTACTCATCTTGGGTTCAATATTTATGAATGTCAGTAAATGATTTTTGAAATCGAGCCAGTCTTAATGATCAAACATAATATACCTGATCAAGATCCTTTGCCACGACAGTGTTTCCCAAGGCTGCATAGAATGCAAGTTTCATCCTTTCATCCTTAACTCTGATCAGATCAAAGAGGCGCGGGACATCCTCGGGTGTCTTCACTTTCTCCTTCAATCTGTTTAAATAATGGGTTTGTTTCTCCTGCAAAAACGAATATTGTAGAAGGAATATTCACTCTTTTTTTGCATGAGTGGTAACTAGAACCTACTGCGAAAGAATATAAACCGTTGGATTCATTTCACTTGAGAATTTACTCAGCCACCTATTGCATTTGATTTGCCGATTCAAATCCACCATAACAAGCGCCTAACTTACTAATTAAAATATAATAATTTAGTAAGACCAACAGAGTATCACAGATCTAAATAACCTTGTCTTACGATTCTTCTGTCTCAAATTGCATTTTTAAGAATATGGCCAGTGTGGTAAGATCCAAAGCATCTAAACAGAAATTAGTATGCAATACCAATATCATAAACGTTGCTACGCCAATATTTCCCTTCCGTAGCAGCTCAATACATTTTTGTCCTGCATCAGTTGTTTCCACAACAATGTTATCAAGGCCACCGCAAGCAGTTGATACGGCGACATCGTATTTTGCTGCAAAGGAACCAATGTCAGTAATTGATAGCTTTGTTATATAACATTTACAATCATTTAGGCAACTGAGGATTTTCATCTAAAAATAATTTCACGTGAAAAATATTGTCAGTTAAAAATTCACATCTCATACCACAGGGACGATCAGCAATATTAAAGACAGAGCTAGGTTTCTACTAGAAGATAGCCCAATATACTCACCATCAATGGCACCTAAGTCCCCCATCCTTCCATAGATTCCTTCAATTTGATTGGTCTCCTTCGCTCGTAAAACTGCCTTTAAAACATCACCCTGACTCTTCTCAGAATTCATTGCCGAATTTAGCTCAGCAACCTTTTCTCTGGCTGCCTGCTCTTGTGGAATAAGTGTTTCTTGTTCTCTAAGTGATTCCTGTAGTAGTTAAATAGGCAGATTCTTAGTTTCAAATCTAAGCTGCAAATAATACAATCCTGAGAAAAGTACCTCTTCCACTTTTTGAGCTTTCATTGCTTCAAGTTTCTTCTTCTCGATATCAGCTTTCATTGAGGTAGTTACTGCAGCTTTTTCTTTTTTTCTCGCTGATATATCAGAAAGCTGTTTCTGAGCATCTGTGAAGGCTTTCAGAGAAGCTTCGTGCTAGAAGAAAAACAAAATGATAATGTTCAAACGGGTATAAAAACAGTTCTCCAACAGTATTTTGAAACATTCAGACAGAAAGCAGCTCTGGCAAGCTTTGAAAGATTAATATAGCAAATAGATTCTTTAAAAAAGCAGCTCGAGCTAACTAATTAAAATCTTGCTGGAAATTCTTTTGAAGAGTCAGAGTTCTTGACTCCTAATAAATTAGTATTATTATAAGGATATACCTTCTTGCTCAAGAGTTCGCTTTCAGATGATGCAACATCAAGCTTTCCCCTGTGCACAATTAAATCTTTTTCCCAAGGTTCTAATTCAGCACGAATTTTTGTAAGCTCAGACCGGTAACCTTCAGTTTCAACTGTACCAAAATTGACAAAATAATCAACTGAACAAGCTTAGCTTGAGCACATAGCTAATCATTATAGATGGGTACTAGCATGTTTAATAAGTTGTCAATTCCAAGTCCTGTTTACAGCAGTGTTGTTAAAGAAGCTGCTAAGGATTGTAACAAGGTCATTATTATTGCGCCTAAGATCCTAAAGCATAACATACCTTTAGCTTTCTCTTTGATTTCCTCCAATGCCTTCTCCTCATTGACCAAGACCTTCTGAAGCTTTGGTATATCTTCCTGAAGTTTAGGTATTAGATTTTTCGAGTCTTCACACTCCTTTGTCAAATCACTGATTTTCGATGAATCCTGCATAAAAACAGAGGTAAGGTATATGCACACATGATGACTTAACAAGTTTATCCTCTTATAATACCAACCTTTTCAAGTTTATCCTCGAGTTTCTTGATTTTTTGCTTCATGTGCTTCAAGTCCTCCCTATGCTTTACGTCCTGCCTTTCAAACTCTTTGAACTTCTCCTTACAGTTTCTAAGTTCATTATCAAGAGCCTAACCATTGCAAAGAAAGAGTAAAAAAAAATTAGGCATGTCAGCCATAAGCATGAGGGCATAACACATCTGGATTTCAGACAAACCTCTTGTCTCTTCTTATGTTTTTCATGCACAGACTCTAGTTCCTTCAACTCCTTGTTAATCTCATCCATTTTCTCTCTGAAACAGCAATATTAAGATATTTTTTTATAAATGAACTCATAGAATTTCTTTGATGTTTCAAAGAAAATTTACTAGCGCTTACCGCTCATTTTTTAGACTATTTTCCAAAATTTGCAAGCTCTCTTTCTGTTCAGTAATTTTAGCTAAAGTATCTTCATATGCCATTTTTGTAGCCTTTTCTTGCCATTTAAGATATGATAGCTCTTTCAGCATGTAAGTCTCCGCCTCATCCTTCACACCCTGTTCCAAAAAAATAACACTTTAACAAGTAAAATAAAACCAGGTCACATAATATAAGGGAAAACGTGTACAAACCTCTAAATTGTCTCTTTCTTTCTCTGCTAGTTTCACCATTTGTACAACTCCAGACCGCTTATCATTGAGGGTTTCAAGCCTAAATTTCAGCGAGGCAATTGCAATCATAAAAATAACATCCAACAAGTCAGGAACCACATAAATCTAATGTGCCAAGTGAATTACAAACCCATTCACAAAATAGCAAATATGCACATACAACAAGAAGAAAGCAGGTGACTTTGCGTTTTCAATTCAAGCAATTCGCCTCAAATGCAATTTTTTGGCATTGGTCATTTAATATAAATTGTAGAATGAATGGATTACTTACTGCTTATTTAATTCATCTATCTTCTCCACGTATTTATTCGTTCCAATAATATCCTCGAGATATTCAAGAAAACCTTCATCATGGGGACCTTGTGCTTTCGGCTTCATAAGTGATATCTGTTCTACCTCCCCCTGTCAGCATTCAAGAAACAAAATTAGTAGGGGATACATGTGAATTTAGTAATGCATAAGCAGTCTCTCTAAATACGAAACCTGAAGAATCAAGAAACGGTTGTTGTCAAGATCTACTCCTTTGCCCTTCAATTTTTTGGTAACTTCAGTGAAATTGCTCGACCTTTCGTTGATGTAATACTTGGAAGAATTATCTCGGAATGCAACCCGGGTAATCATGAAATCGCTTCCAGGAACAGTTTCGTATGAACCATCTTCCTGCGTTAATTCAAAATAACAATGCATGTTACTAGAAAGCTTTTCCAAACTCGATGCAAAATTACAGAGACAGAAAAGCTATAACTTGACAATCAGTATAGCTCATAACAAGGTCTCCAGTGAAAGGAAAAGCACACAAGAACTTTACCAAGTCAATAATCTCTTCAAACTGTACAGAAACTCCAGCACTATCCAAGTTCTGGTGATTGGTTGAGTTGTGAATTAGTTCTGACACTTTGTTGAGACGCATCTGATAGCAAAGAAACGTAAGGTTACTCAAACAGAGCTCATTTAAAAGCGCGTAACTAGGACAACGCTCAGCAAAAGGATGCACTAAGAAAAATTGTAAGAGTACTTACCTGCTTAGCTCGTTTTCCAAATACAAACAGCATTGCATCTATCACATTGCTCTTTCCACTCCCATTAGGTCCAACCACCGCAGAAAAACTCTGAATTTCAAAAGCCCAGATAATGAATTTCATCTTCAAAGCGACATATAAATCCAAATAAAATATTATTTGTAATTCGTAACAGCGATTGAGAGTACCCAAAAAGCAGAAGTTCGAGATCTAGACGGAGGGAAAGCTAGACTGTAATTGACGAGGAACCTAGGCTCAAATTCAAGAAAACCCGATAAAACTCGACCTAATCAGCTTCCAATTCGTCCTTACCCATAACCTAATGCCTAATTTTGCTTTCACTTTTTTCGGAAATGAATAGAGGAAAGAAAAACCCTAACCTTGTGGAAAGGTCCGACGCGTTGTTCACCAGCATATGATTTGAAGTTCCTCATAACAAGCTCTTTGATGTACAGCCTCGGAGTTCCAGATTTCCTCTGCTCGGGCTCAGACTCGCCGCGAAACTCACCCATTGGCTCCTCCTCCTCCATCACCGCCACTCTCCGGTCAATACGGTGTTGACACCTGTTTCAGGCTACGAACTTCTACCGGCTTTTACTTCTCCTCGTCAGTCAACTTCCAGTCACTCGCTCGATTCGCCGGAGGGAGAAAAATGAAATAGGAAAACGAAATTAAATATTTGATTTTGGATTTCCTCATTTCGTTTCTTTCTTTCTTATTTTTTTAATTTTTTTTAAGACGCTTAGGGATTTGGAGAGGGTACATAAATTTAGCGGGAAACGAAATAATTCGAATTGAAAAGGGCAAAAGAAAAAGTAAATGGGCCCGGCCCATTTTGGGTCAAATAGGCTCTCTTTTTTTATTTGTAATTGATAGCTACAACTTAATCATCTTTGCTAGAGAGGAACGTTTGCATTTCTTCTATATGAACTCTTAAAGAGGGACGTCGCATTTTTTATTTTTTATATTAGATAAATCATTACAACATTATATGTAAAAAAAATTATGACCTTTACCAATAGCGTAATAACGGTTGTTACTTAATATAAGAGGATTGGTTCAAAAAAATGCTAATCAATTGAACTAATTTATAGTAGTTTAGTGGTTTAAAGATTCATTTTAGAATTAAGAAACAAAAGTTTGAATCATCCCTAAACTATTACGGTTGATATCTTAAATGGTAAGAATATTGAACGGTCTATAGGATCGATCGGTTTAAAATGATCAGTTTATACAATATAAATAAATATATGAAGAAAATGCGTTTGCAATCGGAACTTGGGATTAGTCAGATTTTTAGATGGCGGTAAAAGATATCAATGTTTAGCTTTGATTTTGATTTGAAATCTTGTAGAAACTGAAGAATTTTGTTATAGACCACGAGTAAACTAACAACAGCCTAATAATATTCACATAAAGTGAGATCGCTATAACTTGTAAGTACATCATGGACAATCTGACTTATTGATTTGCAAGATCTAGTCATTGAAATAGTCGGACCCATTGAGATTTAAAGTGTCCTAAACTCTTAGCCTAAAATGAATGACATACTGAATTACTCTTGTGCGCTAATAGTCACTCTCAAACTAGTTCACATTTGCATTATTTTCAGTCTTCTACACAGACTCTGCTATTATATTAAAAACTAATTTTTTGGATTATAAAATTCTCTAATCTTTTTAAATTTCATCTAGATTATTAGTATGACAAAACAAAAATGTATATAATTGAAGATTATGAGTGTGGTTTTAAATTGGAATGATATTTACAATAAAGAGTTGTGGGGGGTAAATACTCAATATTAGAACATTATAATTTTGACACAAGTTGTCTATTGGAGGAGTTTTGATTATACCTAATGTAAAGGACACAATGTGCCCTACAAAACAGACAATTATTTGAAGTGGTTTTAAAGCGCAAACAACTCATACATGTGTTCTTCCCAACAACTCATCAGATCCCACCCCTTAACTTAGCCATATTTCCGTTTTTCTCCAATTTTTTAACTCAAGATTATTAACCAGGCCCCTAAAATAATAACATGCTCATGACACAAGAATACTGGCTCTTACATTATTCCGTTTCTTTTCTTTACCGATTTGATAGCCCACCTTTCGGATAAAGCTCAATTCGAATGAATGAGCACATTTTAAATAGTACGATACTTTGGTGTGTGTTTCTTTCATCTTCAATTCTGTGTGATGCGGCTAGAGTTTCACTGAAGAGCAATTGATAGAGAGAGAAAAAAAAAACTGAGGATTGATGGGTTTTTCTTTCCAAAAATTGCAGAAATGAGTTATAAATGATTGAAAGTTGCAGAAAATCATATTTTTACTTCTATATTTTATATGCTGTTGTGAAAAAAAATAAGAAAACAACATTTTAGCAAAAAACAAAAAAACTTAACAAAGGAATAAGAGAAATAGTGTGTAAGTAATGCCTCCAATACTTTAAAAAAAAAAAGTTATGCCTCCAATTAATATGATATTTTTAGTTAAAGACGATTAATATGATTTAAACAGCAAGAGACTGGATTTGCTGACAAAAAAAACAGTAAGAGACTGACAGTAGATATGAAATTGCATGGTGGTGTGGTGATGAACAGCTTTTGGACCCACAAAAGATTTTTGTAGTCTAATTCCTGGGTGATAGGGTCATTGATATTTGTTCTTCAAGAGGGGTCACATATGAGCCCATTAAACTTTGTAGTTGTACTAATTAATCTCTCATATTTTTCATCATTTAATCCTGCCTCCTTATGTAAATCGAAAAAAAAAAATGGAACACCAAAAGTACAAAAATTAACTAACGAATCCTACCACTACGAATCACACAGTCGACTCAAAGTTCAAAACGCATGGAATGAACGATTAATTAGACAAAAAAGGAAATGAAGAGACTCCTCAAAACACATGACGAAGGCTCGCCATTCCAATGGACTTGTTTGTCATTTTTACCAATTCTAAATCATTTGTCTGGAACGTAGTGAAAAAAACTCTATTTTTTTTATAAACGTAGTGAAAAAAACTCTTGATGCTCGATCATGCATGTTATGGCTCAGATTAGTGTTTGTAATTCTGAAGATAAGGATTAAAGGGTTCGACGCTGACTATTGACCCCAACCCAATCAAAGGCATCAACTTGCCATTTTATAGGTTTATCCAACCAAATCATATAAACTCTTTAAAAGTCGTATAATCAAAATTATTCTTTAGAAAACTTATAGAGTAATTTTGGCAGTTGTATTTTAACTAATGGTATTTTCGAAAATAAGAAAAGAGCTAGCAGTGGTATTGTTTTTTTTTCATTTTCTTTGTTCACATGAGTAATGGTATTTTGTATGCTTAGACTTGTGATACTTTTGCAAAAAAAGCCGGAATAATTTCTCGATTCTTTTTATACGTATAAAGTTTATGGTATTTTAAGACTTTTTTAAAAAATTGGTATATATGGAAATTGGAACTAACGTCCATTTTGTGGGTTTTTAAATAATTTATTAGAGTCAATGATTATCATGACTTGTTCCATGTGTATTTAGGAAACAGCGGTATATGTAAATAACGCAAATACACTAGTTGACGTAATAATACAACCAATAGTAAAAAAGCTGTTTTTACCACGTACAGTACTTGAGCTTAGTTTTTGAAAATAAAAAGAACTAGTTAGGGTTTCCTTTTCATATTAGAGTAATCCCATTGATAATTAGTTCTTGCGTTCTACAGGACCACATGGTTAAAAAAGGCAACAAAACTTTATCTTTAGTATGGACCAACCATGCAATTCATGATTCTGTGCTCAAGAAAATAAAAGAGGATACTAGTTTTTATGTTCCGTCTTTATCATCTATCCTACATAAAATTTAAACTAAACATTTCTTTTTGCTGATTATTACAACAATACATCAGTTGGTCAACTTGTGAGCTGTAATAGCATTAATTGATTGCTTATTGACCAGGTTATTTATATTTTTCCTGAAAGAAAGATTATGCATTTTGTTGGAGTCACGAAAAAAATTACACCCAAAAACTTTGTACTTGCTGCGAAATTAAAAACAAAAAAACAAAAAATTAAACTAGAAGAAATCTGGGGGTTTTGACTATTCGAATTGTTGAGGCTTCCAAGACCATATAATCACGTGGCGAGTTCCTGAACTTTACTAATGACGCCATGAAGTGACACGTGGACTTTTCAAGTACGTGTCAGTCTTAATTCTTTGCGTGTTAATTATGATTACGTAGTTTGTTGACAAGTATTTAAAAAATAATAAAACCATATTTATTGTCATTAGTAATCATCATTTCAAAAAAAAAACCTTTGGTCGTGTCTGGTGGATTAGTGACAAGAAGCGCACAGAAGGTTAAAGCCTAGCGACGCGGCTTCTGGAGTTGATCGTAAATATTTCTGTTCTCGTGAGGGTAGATTAGTCATGTCACAAGAACCCTCGAGTAAATCAAGGTTAAAAGGTATCGGATAGTTGTGTTGTACGAACTGAACCGGTGTCGTTTAGCTGTAATTTAATGCGAATATTTGTGTCGTTGTAATTCAGTAAATGTGATGGATATTTAACTGTGTTAGTTAGTGTGTAGTATCTTTTAATCGATGCAAATTGAAACCGTGTTTTTTGTTTTTCTGATTTCACTCACCTTGTTGGATTCTTATTGGAATTATACTATTTTTGTGAATGTTTAATCTTGATAACACATCCAATCAAAATCAAAATAGTTGAACCAAAAACTAGCATATTTTTATATGGTTCAAATATAGTCAATTTGAGAAAAGAGATAAGAACTACCACTGTAAGTTTTCCTACTCTCGCGACCTAAGTGAATAACATACATGAATCTCACATCCAAAGTACGTGCTTCCTACAATAAACAAAAAAAAAAGGAGATGTTTCCTACAATAATATCTAAAATTATAAAATGATGTACTTTAAATCAATTAAATTAGAATTAGAAACCTACAAAATCTAACACTTATTACATAACTAATCAGTATACACAAAAGAGACAAAACAACACCATGGTCCATAGCTACTAGCTAGCATCTTATAAGCAACTAAACTCACGATCTATACACATGATCAAATTCTCCCAATACGAAAAAAAAATAGAGAAGCAAACAAAATGTCCTAATATGTAAACAAGAGTGTACAGTTTTTTTTTATCTGGATTAACTGATATGTAATCATCAACTTTTTCCTTTCAATTTTAATCATCTGCTATAATTAATTTACAAAATATTATAATTGGCATTTAGAACATGAATAACTCCTTTTTATTGTTTTGCATGTATGCTTAAACTCCGATAACTAAGACTACAATAATTAATACGTACATCCCAAGACCCCAACAGTGACATACATCTCATTCTCCTGCGCCGTGTCAATAAAAAACGTATTTTATGCACCGAATATATAATGTATAGTTGTATACATAGCGGTTTAATTATTATTCAGAGAAACAATAAAAGAGAGACATTTCTCTTTTATCATCGGACGTGCATATTAATTTGGACAACCTCACGCCCAATCGAGTAGCGGTGAGCTAACCGGATTGAGAGTATATCAACAAACCGAAAGATCGAGGGATCATATTCATGTTTGATAACCGATAAGTTGGGTTTCTCAATCCAACGATGAATCATTCTTTGGAAATAATTTGTCGATTTGATAATTTAACCTCAGCATGCATTATATTCCCATCAATTTTTTGTAGTTGTATAATGCGTCTAGATTTCAAATAGGCATTATTGCATACTTGCATTAGTAGTAGTTTCATCCTCAACTGAGATTTTCCATCAAAATGCTTTTTAAGTTTGGCTTCATGAACTCGTTTCAATTTCGCAAGATCAAAAGAGTCAAAATCAATTTGTAATTAAAAACTAGTAAAGACTCATTACTTTCTTTTTCCCTCTCATGACGACAAGTGAAACTACTTGTATCAGATTTATTGTTTTGATGACCTATGATGTATACGGACTTTATCTTTATTTTCTTTTTCCTTTTTTTTTTAATTCGAAATTTTTTAGTTGTCAAAGATTTTTAACTCAAATTTCGTATTAGTGATATAACACTAGATGAAAATTTACAAGATATATCGACTAATCAATACAATAATCCTCTGTGTTTTGCTGTAGTCACAAATTTGCATTTTTAAAAGATATATCAATTCATCCTAGAATGATCAAGCTAAGATTCAATGTTTAACCACAAAATATATACTAAAACAACATTTAAAACTATAGATTTAATCAGTTAATTTGGATTAAATCATAAAATTACTTTTGATTTCAAACATATTTTAGTTAGTCATTGTCTCATTGACAAAACAATGTAGATATAATACATCGACAATCCTTGATGATTTGAATGTCTGCTCAAAAATTTGATCACTCTGTCAATAATTAATTCTATATTAAATAAAATCTATGATGCCATATTATAACTTTTTTTGGCTAAAGGAAATTATTTTTGTTTCAATAAGAGAGATCTTGGTGCAATTAAGCTCACTCTGTATAAACTATCTCGCATATGCTTACGCACTTATATTTTTGTATCTCTGCATACAAAAGCTTTGTAATTTATAGTCGCGACTCTTGTCATAGTCAATAGTTTTCCTAAATCTATTACTTGAAATATTATATACCTTAATTATGTGGCAAAATATTTTAAGAATGACAAATTAAAGTAAGATTATAAATTTTCCAGATATGGTTTGAAGATTACATTTTATTACAGTAATCAGTATAAATGAAATGTTAAATAATACAGCATGAAGAAACATAAAGAACAAAAGGTAAGAAGGCAAGTTTTTTTGGTTGTCGTACGTAAAAAGGCAAGTTAAATCAAGAAATGTCTTTGTCCAAAAAAAAAATCAAGAAATGTCAAAATGTAAAAAGATAATAATAATAAGGAACATGTTACAATGCATGAGAAAATTTATAATTGGACTGTCTTTAGGTTTAAGGCATTTATTACTCTATATATTTTCGGTTTTTCCCCACTCCTTATTGTGGGTCCCCATTCCCACTTTTAACCACTCATCTAACCATGGTTAAATCATCAATCCTCAATCTAGCCCTGTCCTTATGAATTTTTTTTTTTAGTGTTCATATATATTAATTATTTAATTTCTCCTATTAATTATTTTATTCTGTCTTAGCAACATTCATCACCAGATTCACTATCATCATATAACAGCTTCCTCTTCTTCAAAAAAGTTATTGTCTTAAACACATTAAAATAACACAAATCAAATGATCTCCAAAAGTTGATTATCTCTCTTTATCCATCTTCTTCGTTTCTGAATATCAAACTTTGTTTTCGAGCTTAACCTAAACCCCCGAGTTTTCTCGCAAGATTATCTTGATAAAAAAAACCAACCATAGATGCTTGAATTTTGAGCAATGGATATGACTCCTAAATCTCCTGAACCCGAATCCGAAACTCCGACCAGGATCCAACCAGCGAAACCAATCTCCTTCAGCAACGGCATCATCAAACGCCACCACCACCACCACCACCCAATAATCGCCGTCACATACAAAGAATGCCTCAAGAACCACGCGGCGGCGATTGGCGGTCACGCGCTCGACGGTTGCGGCGAATTCATGCCTTCTCCTTCCTCCACGCCTTCCGATCCAACTTCCCTCAAGTGTGCCGCCTGCGGTTGCCACCGTAACTTCCACCGCCGTGACCCCGACGATTCATCCCTCTCTTCCGCCGTTCCGCCACCGTCTCTCCCTCCATCCTCCACCACCGCCGCCATCGAGTACCAGCCTCACCACCGTCACCACCCGCCTCCACCAGCTCCTCCTCTCCCTCGCAGCCCTAATTCCTCTTCTCCGCCGCCTATCTCCTCCTCTTACATGCTCCTCGCTCTCTCCGGCACCAATAAATCCGCCGGAAACAACTTACCGTTCTCAGATCTCAACTTCGCCGCCAACAATCTCTCCACTCACCACCACACCCCAGGTTCTAGGAAGCGATTCAGGACGAAATTTAGCCCAATTCAGAAGGAGAAGATGCACGAATTCGCCGATCGAATCGGGTGGAAGATTCAGAAGCGCGACGAGGAGGAAGTTCGCGATTTCTGCCGCGAGATCGGAGTCGATAAAGGAGTCCTCAAGGTCTGGATGCATAATAACAAAAACACCTTCAACAACCGCCGCGACCACCAATTTTCCGGCGGAACCGCCGTTCAGAGGATCGATAATAACGGCGTCGCGGTTTCCGGCGTCGAGAACGCTAATAACAACGTTGAAGATGATGGCGTTCGAGGTGGAAGCGGTTTAGAACACGACCTACATCGCGGCGGTGGTGGGAGGTTCGAGAGTGATAGCGGCGGAAACGCGAACGGCTCGTCGTCTTCGTCGTGAAGAAGAGAAAGTGTTGTCGTTTCGCAGGGAAAGAGCAATAAGGAAGCTTTAGCTTTAGATCATAGAGAGTAAGCACTGCTATTATCTTCGTTAATACGTTTATTAATATTAATTTAAACACTTTTAGCTCTTTTTGTTTTGTTTAGTTCCCTTTGTTTTCGGATTTTAAATTGATCTTCATTACCACGTAATTGTCCCAAGGAGGTAATAAATATAATGTTCCGTAGTTCACTAAAATTTTCCATTCAAGGGAAGATTATATAAACTAATCACCCGAATTAGTAACTACACTATAAGTCGATTTTTAGTAAATCGAATGATGCCCTAAAATGTGACTTTCTAAATTATGTACTTGATCAAAATGATCAGATGAAGATGCAGGTTTCCCACAAATTAATAAAATTGTATTACTAATTTATTAAATTTTGGTTTTAATAATATTGTTTGGCGTCTTATCTTCAAAGTACTTTGTCGCTTAATTTAATATGTGATCGAACTAAGATCTAGGTGTCCTTTTCGTAAATCTCTCTTTATTCTTTGAGAAAAGAGACAGGGTTTTTTTCTTTAATATAGTATTAATTAATATTAATTATAATGTTTTTTTATTTCCAATGATTAGTCATCTTTTGTTTATTGGCGTCTGATAAACCCAAGATTAATCGGATAATTAAACTTAAATTTCCTCATTAGTCCATTTTCCTCTCATACCTTACATTCCCACTATCCGTTTTTGGTATATATGCTCAAATTTGCATTATTCTTAAAGTACTAACAAACAAGCATATATATTATATGATTGGGATCTAACTATGATTAATAAAGTGCTATAATAGGGTTTAGGGCGTGGGAACTAATCATTAACTTTGCGAATAATTTAAATAACTTTCCATTGGGGAAACGTAGAGATGCAGCCGTGATTATGCGATAGACATAAGACAATTTAGATACTAGTCGTGATTAAACAAATGTCGGCTTACCAAACAAAACGAGCACTAAAAAAATGCAATTAGATTAGAATATTGCGTTATCTCCAAATTAATAAATATTCATAGACAAATGAAAATATTTGCCATTATTTTACACATATCGTGAAGTCACAAATCTCTTTTTCGTGGTGGGGACATATACTTTAACACAGGCTGAGGTTATGGCCCTAACTGCCATATACCATGTGCACAGTGCACCACTTACTAATTTGAAAATTTCCTGACGTAACTAATGCTAACAAAATCGTACATTTCATTCTATCGTATATTATATTTGTATATATACATGTATCATAAATCGTTATCGACCTCATTTCCTACAAATTTAATTTTAGTTGGATACAGTCTTTTGATTGGTAAGGTCCAAAATGCTGAAATGATTTTGCTATGCAACAAGGTTTTACAAATCACAAATTATTGATAAAATGCGATTTACATTTAACAATTCTTTTATCCTGAATTTTGTTTTGTGATAAACAGTTAAAGTATATATATTCACGAATTTCTAATCAAATGTTCGCTTTGTTATGTTCTTTCATTTTATTCTTTAGATTTTTTCGTTTATCAAATTCTGTAATGTTATTAGGGTATCTCCAATCCTACCCTATTTCTTTCTCCAAATGTTATTTTGGAGGAAATTCTTCTCCAAATCTACTCTATTTTCATTTACAAAATGAAAGAATGCTATTTTTTTCTTCAAATATAAAGTAACTCTATTTTTAACTCCATTTTGCAGGTGAACTTTTTTATTTACAAGATAATCCTTTACTTTTCATTAATTTTTAAAACTAGATTTTTTATTTATAATTTAATCCTTTATATTATATATATTTAATTTAAAATTAAAGATAAATAGATTTAAAATTTGAGAATAGAAAATAAAAAAATAGAAAAAGATTAACTGAAAATAGAAATAACATAAAATTTAAAATACATAAGAAATACATAAAATTAAAATATAACTTTGTTTTATTATTTTAAATGATGTGTTGTATTATTTGTATATTATAATAGTTGAATTTAAAATAATATTATAATTTATAAAAGTTTTAACTGAAAAGAATAAATAGATTTATTTGTAATTTTTATAAATAAAATGTATTATTAGTAATTAATAATAAAATAAAAATGAAAAATATATTTAAAATATTTTTTTTTGAATTGAAAATAGAGAAATACATTAGAGAGAAATCTAACTCAATTTTGCAGTTCTTCCATTTTAGAGATAAAAATGGAAGAATATATTAGAGATGCTATTATCGATAGGTGTAAGTTTGCTCGGCTTTATAAAACAATTTTAGTGCGGTGGTAAAATTAAAAGTACACCGAAGAGTTTTCTCTGTCTTTTTAAGCAACATCAATAGAATTTTACTGTAATAATGCTACAATTAAATATCTATTGGTTTTTGTCTTCACATCTTTACACATGCTAACTTAGTCTTGCAAAACGGAAGTTTAATCTTTTTATGTAGAGAAATGAAAACTAAGTTATACAGTAAGTGGGATAGCATAAACTGGCAAAATGCTTATTCGGAGAAAGTTGAGATTTGGAGAATCAAAGACCAAATTGTGTGTATCTTTTTTTCCCCACTCCTTTTGTATTAATGAATAAAACAATTGTTGTATGACAAAATATAATACAAAAGATCCTATGTACATTATCTAGATAACACACCTAGTTGAAAATCAATGAGAGGTGGACCACATAATTATAAAAGATAAAACATTAGATAAAAATAGAAAAATTCATTTAAATTCTAGTTTACTATTTTCTGGTACATAAACTAAATTTAAGATAATTCAAAATTTCAAGAACTCTTGGCGTAAGGAAAAAATTGTAGTATTATAAAAGGCTAAAAGAGCTAACAATTTTGTATACGGGTCACAGAAAACAAAGAATATTATTTATCAAAGTCTACCTTTCGACGGTATTTTTGGCAATTTACTGTTTATTTATCATATTTGTATTGTTCCCTTTAACAGATACTATAAAAATATTGATCAGGCTAGTAAATAAGGGAATATTTTATTAAAATTAGTAAATAAAGGAATATTTAATTAAGCCGAAACCTTTTTTTTTTTCGAAATGTCTTTGGGAATAAAGATTACTTCGCTTTAATGTGGTCCTTTTCCTCAAACCACTTACAGTTATACCTTATTTTTGTCTTGTGAAGATTTGGATCTCCAGTACAATACATCTCTTGAGAGAAACTAAACCTTTAATCCACCACATGATATAACAAAATATATATCATATGGATACTGTAATACTTATTTTATTCCATAATATAGGATATTTTCTTATATAAGTTTCATTTTATAAGATGTTTTATAAGTTTTCTAAAAAATTAATGAAGATTTTCAATCTTATTAAATATTTTATCATGATTGGTTTAACTATGTTTTTAACTAATTATTAAATAATGCTTGATTGATAAAATACTTTTTTAAGATTTGTAATTTAATCTCAAAAACCTTATCCGGAAGAAATACAATATTGCATATATTTTAAAGTTTCAAATATTGAAGATAAAATATTAAAATGGAACGTTATTTGGATCCCCATTTTTATTGAACTTGGCCTTGGGGTTCCATCAGAGTTTACAATCACGAAAAGTGAGCCGAAAATTCATTTGTTTTCTAATTGCAGTTTGAGGGATTAAAAATTTGGTTTAACTTTCATCTCACAGTCACAGTCCGGCTTTAAATTGCTCCTTCATATTTCAAAGATATTCTCTTATGGATAAAGTTTCATCACGTTCCTTTGTGGTTATTGCATTATGAAGCTGATTATGCAACCCACAGTTTATGAATTCTGGAAGCATAAAAAACCCGACGCTTCACAATCGGAATTATTGTCTGATGCGTTTATCATATGTGACATCCGAACAACTCAGTTTAAGCAGGCTGAATAGAGAGCAAATAGAAGGTTGAATATTTAATTACTGAGCTAGGGTGTTTAGGCTCTAAACTCATTATGAAATGATTTGTTCTCCCAACACTGTGTTCCAAAATTTTGCAAATCTAATTTTCAATCTTAATCCTTATTACAAAAAAAAACATGCAATTATTCATATTTCAATTTTCAATAGCTCGTGCTAAATGTTATTTACTAAATAGTACATTTCGCTATATATAATAAATTCTTAGATTATTTTTAGATTTAGAACTTGGTTCAATTTGGGTAGTCGAAAAGGTTTATGTACTTTTGTGGCAAATGTTATTTAGTTCATGTATTTTTAAGCATTTTCCCAATTTTCATGTTATTTAGTATATGTAGGATTCGAGTATGTATATATATCTTTGCTTCAATTCATGGTCTATCGAATTTAGTTGGGCCATATCATGATATGCATGGGCTTAATCACTATTTGGGCTTCTCTTTAAAAGCTTAAGTTGACTCACTTTTATTCTTGTGTATTCACAAGGGAATACCAAAACAACTAATTGCCACACTGATGGTAGCAAAAAAAAAAAAAAAAAACCACACTCCCAACAATTCTTTTAAAATATTAGTGATAGAGAGATTTCATCTCAGACCTATCGATGACCTAGTTTAAAGTCTAAATCTAGTAGATGGAGAAGAGCTGACAAATTTTCAGAATCTTCAAGAATTCTTCTTTGACCGTTCTCCAATCAGTTTTCCAGTGATCCAAAACCTTGTTTTGAACCTACACAGTTTTTTTCTCTTCCAAATTCTATAATAATAAATAAATTGGGAAAATATTAGAGGCATGAGTGGGTTTTTAAGTCAAACCATGCATTGACTTTCTAAACCGGTAAAGAATCAGTTTGTATCAGTCTTGATTTAAAGTAACTAGTGCTAAATGAGAATGTTCGTGAAGCTAGCTATTTGTTGGTTTGATTTGGTTCAGTTAGGTTTATTGTTCAGTGATCTCTCTCGGTTTCACCTAATCTGGATCGGTTTCCAGAACATTTAAGTAATTAAACTCGATCAATTAAATATGGTTGATCATATTGTTGAGTATATGAAGATTTATGGGAGTGATTTGGGTTGGTTTAGGTCGATGTAGTAGAATCAAGAGTTGCTAATCCTCATGTTTAATCGAACGACATTAGTAATCTCCTAATTCCGTTGGGTCAAAGGTGAGTCCCGGGGACTAACTTCACTATTAGGAAAATTTTAATACTGAGAAAACAAATTAGAGGCATGAGTAGGATTGATCCAAAGATATGAAATGGAAGTTGAGAATAGTTCCTCAATAACAGAACTGGAATGTGATTAGTACGTGTCCATGATGGATGCTATGCTGATGATTGATTGGTCGCAAGTGAATGATTGTGTGTGAAAACTTAGAAATGCAACTTGATTCGTGATAAAGAAATTAATTGGAAATGAGAATGTGATTATGTGAACCCGATTGAAATACCCTTTTTTTATCTATCACATGTGTTGTAAATTCTTACAAAATGATTTTTTTTTTACCTATCTTATATATATATATATATATATTTTTTTTTTTTGTCTTCATATCTTATTTTGTCAAAATCGACATTGGCCTGACCAAGTTCGGTACAATGTTGCTAACAAACATATGCAGAAGGAATTCTTTCTCTCCATACTCAAATACCTAACAATGTACGTTCATGATGATACATTTCACATGTCATTTCAAATCTATTGTTATTAAGCAGCCAAAAATATCTAACTATATATTTTCGTATGAAAATATCTAACTTCTTCAGTTAGTTTTGTTAATTTCTACTAATCATATTTAAAAAAATAAATTTGACACAGAATGCTACATATAGTTTACAGCAGTAACAACACAATCTCGTTTGAAAGTAACAATGTCGTTCATTTTTTGTGTTGGCATTCCTTCATTCTATTGAATGCTTTACTCGAGAGTATTCCAATTATATTAATTCCCACCAGTTTCTGATGTTATAGAAGACTAAATAAACATCAGAAATCACAAGCCATTATCATGAATGATCATTAGTTCTAACAGTCTTCTTAACAAATCAATTTAAAAACTAATATTTTCCATCATAGCAAGTTAGCAACCAACAAGGATTAGATTTGTGGGCCTTTAGCTCCCTTCTTTATTTAAAGTTATTTTTCCATATTTTTAATCATGTTATTAGAAAATTGTAAAATCTCTTTTAAAGCAAAAAGGTTAGACTATTTAAACAAATATTATTTTTAAATTGGAAACATGGAAGGCATATCCCTGACGGAAGTGGTTCTTATCATAGCACATTCAAAAAATTCTGAACCTGAATAATTTAATCGGGTTCGAGTTAACATGTACTTCTTAAAAACAACAGTAACATATGAAATAGTGCTTTAAGATAACAACAGTTGGAAGCTTAACTCCACAATTTCCATATTAAAACAACAAAAAAAAAAGCTAAAGGAGTGGTCTCAAAAGAATCAAATATCTTTTTTCCACTCCCTCCCGATCGAAGATATCTACAAGTAATAATAAATATATCGCACTTCAGTTAATCATTAAATATATCTGAATAATTTAGTATTTGAGAGAACCAATAATTGTATTACTATATTCATCTAACATTATCACAAGAGAAGAACCTTCCATATATGTTAAGGAACAATCAATCTCATTCATTCATCAAGAAACACACAGATTTAATGTGTTACCAATTCATTTCACAATACACTGAACAATTGTCTTAAGTGGACACTGAAATTGAAACGATATATAATTCCACAACATAATCAAAATACATTAATATTGACCAAACAGAAAAAAAAAAATCAAACTATATAAATCATAAAAACACAATAATCTTATTTTTTTCACTTAGGAATTTCCTAATTAACATTTTTCCAAAACGTTCTCAAACCCCAAAAGCATCCAATTATTATAAATCTTCCACACCGCCTCCAGTCTATAAATCTCTAAAATTCTCGATGAAACACAAATCCACGACATTATAAATAAGAGAAAAAAAAACCAATAAAATATTTTCAGCTTTATATATAACACAAAGACACAAACAGACTCTTAGCTAGCTCTAGATTTTTTGGTCTAATTTCCAGTCGAAGGAGGTGAATTACAGTCGCAGACGACCTCGGTTGCAATTTCTCTCCGGTGGAAACTGCGGTGGCAGCCACAGGCCGCGCACGTTAGCGCTGCCACCGTACCTTCCTCGCCGTTGCTTGCCATGAACTCACGGCAGCCGTCGACGGCGTAACCTCCAACCGCCGCCGCGTGGTTTTTCTGACACTCGCCGTATCTCACACCCCTCACCGTCAAAGAAGAAGCCGTCGACGAGCTTCGAGAAGGTTCCTCCGGCGAGGCTCGCCTCAACACCACTTGACGCTTCCTCATGCGTATTCTTCTTCTTCTTCTTGATTCTTTTTGTGAAATCTAAACTTGTAATGATGCGTTAATGTGATATATATATTTGAGAAGAAGATGAAATTCTATAAAAAAAAAATTTTCTTTCAATTTACTTTAAATTTCTACGGTTGGAGATCGAAAGAGAGTGAAAGATCGACACAATAACAAGAGGACCTCAGTTGTTAACCCTAACCCTAGATGAGATATTTATAGCATTCCTGATAGCAATCGACAACCAACCTTAGATATTTATATACATATATGTATGTGTATATATGTGCATGTGTATATGTACATCAGGACATGTTCATGGTATATATTGATGCATATATCATCACAACCAATAAAACCTACCTAGCTAATTTAAAAAAGTTTTTTAGATGGGTATATATGTATATATATTTTTTTGTTTTTTTGTAATTTAAATTCCTTTTGACGTTTACAACTATTTATTCGTGTATCCATTCACATGTTTAATTGGTATTCAATAAATTTACATGTTTTGTTTTCTTACGAACTTAATTAAATATGGTGGAACTTTCTTTGGCTCATGTTGTTGGAAGATTCAGTACTTCATTAGGACTATAAAATAGACTGATTTTTCATAAACCTGCTTTGGTTCTCAATCCGAATGTATGTACCAAAATGTCCATAACTCCGGAGATATAACCGAAAAAAAATCCATTTACTTGCAATTATAAGCCACGAGACATGGAGCCACCACCTTGTGAGTTAGGCACCCGTCTTCAGTTGATAGTATCGTCGTTTTAGATGCTATTCTCATCCTTACACATCTTCCCAAACTGCTGCTATATGCAGCTTTCAGACAAAATATATAGTTATAAGTTATAACAAATATATATTGCGCGCTAACTAATAATCTTTTTTTGTTGTTTTAACTAACTAACTAATAATCATAAGCATAAGCAGAAGAATAAAATATTATATTAGTGGATGCGGAGTTACAACTTGTAACAATGAAAATATCTTATGAAAGCTAGATTAAATCATGTGTACAAGTGTGTGAATGCAACTTTTGTTCATTTTTGCAAGAAAACCCTAAAATGATGAGAAAGCTTTTCTTTAAGACCAAACAAAGTGATTGGTTTTAAAAGGAAGGAAACAGCTAAGCTTGTCTTTTTAAGACCTAATATGTACTGTGGTGGCCCCTTAACCTTCATCCCCTTTAATCCCCTTTTTCCTTCTTCCATTCTATTCTAATTCATTTTATTAGTCACACAAATTAAACGCATGGTTTCCAAAATCATTTATACGTATCATAAAGAATCAGACTTAGTATCGATCTCGAGTATAATACTATATGCATAACCAAAAAATGAACTGGTTATGTCGGCTATGTGATATTGTGACCCACTTCGTTTCTACCCGATAAAATGTACGGACTTAAAATATGGAACTTTCAACTTTCGTTGTAATCATATATAATCATCAATCAATATGTTTAGATTGTATGATGAAACTGCATGAACAAAAATGGAAGTGTGTATAAATGTATATACATTCGGACCTAAAAACGTGGGACTGATAAGTTGGGCTACCAAACCTATTATGTACATCATGAGGACAACGCAATCCTTCACGATCGTTTGCTCCTTTGCAATTACGTCTTGTTTTTTTCTATTACACGTGCAAACATTCATTCGTATCTCGGTTAGACATCAAATGTTCTTATTTATGTGTCCCGTTAACTAATATCGGATTATTATATACGATATTTGATATTTTTCTCATTTGAGATAAGATATTTAAAAACATAAGAATTCGAATTTGGTGTACGTCATGAGAATATGAGATATTATCCAAAAGTTAATTGGTATCATAAGCAAGTGATTGTAGTTCCGTTGTTTGGATAGTAATATATTACTATTAAGAAATGGTAAAATCGATTTCTTAATAATATATATATATATATATATATATATATATATATATGTACATGACATTGATCATTAATCGTCAATTATTTTTTAGGTGGAAATTTATGATAACATGACAGAAATGTCCGAGTATAAGCAAAATAGCTAGGTTGATTCAGAAATGGGGATATATTACGATTCAAGATAAACCAAAATATTATCATCATTTAAAATAGCATTTCGAGAAAGCATATTAGGAATCATAAATCTGAAAGTAAATAAAGATATGAATCATATATACATATGTGGTTTTTACATATCCGCATTTATGTTAAGTTAAAAATGCCACTAATCACAGTCAAGTTGTTTCATCCGAATGTTTGATGGGGTGATTGATTTCTAGTAGATGCACTCATTACAAGCTTACTTTACATCAGAAAATTCTGAAATTCATTTGCGCTTAGGAGACACGGTTACAACAATAATGATCTCATTAAAACTTCTATTAGTAGAATTTTGATTTTATTATATTTCATTTTATTTTATTATTCTGTATAATGCATGCATGTGTATATAATCGTATACAGCACAGACAATGTACAACCCATTAACTATTCTTTTGATTTGATAAGATTGTTTCTGTCTAACGACAATTAGGAGTCGTACCAAACATACATGCGCCATAAGTTAGTTATGTAATTTTAGGCCAAACAAAACCTTTTTGGTAGTTTATTTAATGATTTATACATGAATAACTAAAAATTCATGGCAAATGAATGATTCATTTTTACCATTTTTGGTGTGGGTTAAGATTTAATCAATATACAAATATTCTTATAGTCGGACCACTTCACTCGGAGTCTCGGATACAAGAGATCATTAATTAATAATCGATGTTTAAAATCATTTCCAATAATCTATCCAATAGCTAATTAAACCTTCTGATCTGAAGGTAGTAATTCTTTTACTCTTTCGACATTTTTGGGGTCAACAGTTAAACCTGAATTGAACCTTTTCGACCTGCCATGTTTTATAGACTATGATATTTTATATCGATGTCATATTGTACTAACACATGTTTAGCTCAGTTAAACCTTGTATGCTTTATTGAATATTATATTGCTCTTGCTGCCAACACAAATATTTGTTTCACTTCCACAAAATTTCCGAAATAAGATCATATTCATAATTTTCGGAAAATATAAGTATAGTTTAGACTCAGATGACTCAGATTTTTGGTATGCGTGCTTCATTCTCCATTTTACCTGTTTCATTATGTAATGCCTGGCATAAAATCAGAAGTTAATTTACTCTTAGTTATTTTTTTTTAGTTTAAATGAGTTGTTTCCTTTCAGTTCAGTTAAATATAATAAGATATTTTGTTTATTTCGCTTAGGATATTTACTAATATATACACACGATCCTGAAATCTATTATTAAATTTTTGGTTCAGTTTTGTAATCAAACCAAATAAAACTTAATTTTACTAAATCAAATAAACACAATTTAATTTTGAATTTCAAGAACACTTATCCCGATTAGAAAACCATGAAAAACCATATCGAAGCAAAATAAATCTGAAAACATCTATCTTTACTCATTAGAGCAGTCAAATTGATTATATTTCGGTGAGACATATATAAAGTAAGATTACTAATTTGTTAATGACAAAGACCAAAGTGGTTAGTGGAGTAATGATGGTTATCATTTATGATAAGGAAAGAGATTTAATAATAAAAAAATGCAAAGAGAGTTTGTGTTTCTCAACAACCCAGCTCTCCTTCCCCAGCTTCCTTTACTGATGTGTAATCTTTGACCACTCAAGGGTCAATCTTCGGTGCTTAAATTAGGATAAGGAATCTTATGTTTCACTATTCATGTAATACTAGATTATGAAGCGCGAATTCAGAACTGGACTTCAAATTATTGTTGATATCTAGTGGTATTTTTTATGTTTTTGCTTCTTGGATGTTGTTGATGTGGTGAACCGTGGATGAATATGACATTGATCGAACAATCAATGCCTTCGGGTATTGCTAGATAATGATAGGACTCTAAAGGTATTTAATATTCCTTAAAACTGAAAAAGAATTTTTGAAAAGACTTTTTGAACGTATTGCCTTTGTCTATTACATTATATATATAAAAAGAAAGAATAGTCAGCGTTATGAACTAGATCCTCTTTGTGGTTTCGGTTACATAATTTATTCATTTATTCAAAATTTTGAGAATGGGTTCTTGGAATTTAGACTTAGATTTAATCATGAGGAGTGGGGACGATGGAATAAAAGAAAAACAATTAAGCTAAACAGAGGCACGAGTCATGGCAACGAAAAATACAATTTTTTTTTTTGTCGTCAAACTAAAACTACAATTAAATGTGGGAAAGTCCAAAACATTACAAGAAATTTCGGAATATTTTTATTCTTTAAAAAAATCGGAATCTAAATAATTTAGATTTATTTTTCAATTTGACGTAGTTTAGAACTAATTACAAGATAATCTAAAAAATCAATCTATTAAAGCATGCTTTTGTTTGGAAAAAAAAGCGAGAAAGAAAGGCTCTCGTTTAAAACCCTGTCAACCTCTTATGCTCGTCTGTCTATTATATAATTAGGGTTTTGGACCACACCCCGATAAGTAATAAGGAATACATATGATAATAGGAACCATGTTGATTAACCATCATCTTCACCATGATGATGAATGTCATATATTCTGAAATAAAAGAACTAAGAAGTAGTGTAATGTATGACCTCTTAAACACTGAAATTTTTTTTTTTCTCTCCTTTATATAACCTATTTCAAAATAACATGATATCGCTTCTCCAATAAATAGCATATTAAAACCTAAAATTAAACTCTTTTATCAACCATATGAAGGTACCAAATAATATGTTATCAAGCATATGAAGCTGGCAAATAACATGTTATCAAGCATATGAAGCTGGCAAATAATATGTTGTCACCTATCTTAAGGGATGTACCATGTACTTAATTAACCATAGGCAGATATTGAACTTAGCTAGAACCATAGGCAGATACTGAACTTAGCTATATCCATAGGCAGATACTCAGCATCTTATCTTCTAGTCTAAGTTAGGCACTATGCAATTAAATATTTATAGTCTGAATCAAAATAAGATGTGAGGAACATGGTTGCAATAAATAGAAGTAAGCGGCTGGGCTTTCAGACCTCATGCATGAACCGCACATGATTCTTCAGCTCCTTTTTAACGTTTTTTTTTTCTTTTCTATTGGGCTTTAAGTCCTACATGGGCCCAAAACCAAGCTCGCCATGTTCACAATTCACACACACAGACACTTTCTTGTGTTATTTTCTTGTATCTAATGATCCCAAAGAATATCTTCTTTTCAGAAATTTATTTGTACATCTAGTGTTTAAAAACCGTTTGAAAGAAATGTGTTTTCTAGTTCTAAAGTCTAAACTAAACTACTTGACAAAAAAAATTAATACATTACGGATTGTCAAACCAAACATTCTAATTTAATTAGGTTGGATAGTATAAATACTGATTTTGAACGAGAATGAGAGCTTTATCGGAGATCTTTGAAACGACTCGTTATCCGTCCTCTACAAAATCTTTGGATACCAAAATTTAAAATTTCAATTTCAAACTTAGAATTCCGAAATCTTAGGTTGTGTATAGTGTTGTTCAAAGTAACTACAAAATTCAACAAAAAATCCTCTTTAATTCTGTTTACGAAAACCTGGCCCATCTTTTCTGTTAGCAGGAATAGTCTAACATAGTAACATCATATTAAGCAGTAAAACACCGTTCCAGACCCAACATTACATATCCCTACTTTCTTATATGTCTTCCAAATACTTGTTTGGTTTCTATCAAAATTAGATGGTCAAAATATTATATTAAACGTCAAACAATCCTCGAAACTCAACACACCAAGTGTTCCAAAGTTTTTACGTGTTTGTTAACTATACGAAAGATTGAACCGGATTTGAGCTATTTTTCGTAACAATTATATATGTATATATACAGTGCCGTGCCTAGCCTTAGAGAGACCTAAGGCAAATTATAAAATTTATTATTCTTTTATTTTGTTTATTTTGAAACTTTATTTATAGTTGATATATTGTTAATATAATTATAGTTTTTATCAAACAAAATGTAATTTTAAATATCATAACATATTTTTTCAAGTTGTCTATATATATATATATATCTTTCTACTATACATAACAAATAAAATCAAGTATTTTATATATTTTGATAAAGTTATAAAAAATGTAACCCTTAAAACTAGAAATAAATTTGGTGGCGTAAGGCAAATGCTTTTTTTTATACATATAAGCACGGCTCTATATATATATATATATATATATATATATGCATATATGTGTAGTTTTGACTTTGAATAAATTAAAGAATAGGGTATTGGTGAGTTTTTTTTTTGGTCATAAGGTATTGGTGAGTTTATATATATGTAAGTGAAAGATGATGACTAGCATTCAACGTCTAAACATGGTAGCACAATAGTGAGCAAGTAAATTTTTCACATCACAAGCTTTTCATCAAACACCACATTGAAACCATATGTTAATGAGTCTCTCGATTCTTAAAACTATATGTTCATATATGTACACCAGACCCCAAGGGTTTGTCAAGAAAAATATGTTTCTTTGGGAATAAAACTTGTAACAAAAAGTGATGACCGATGTATCATGTATATATATATATATATGATGAAAAGCTTGTGATGTAAACAGACATATGTGATATATCTATGTATTATCTATACTGAATTAATCGAGAAATAATAAAACGGCTGACGAGAATTTAATCAAAAGCCAAGAAATTACATACGGTCTTGCCGTACGTAGCTTTATAACAAAGGAGCTGCTCCTAATAAGCTGTTATTTTGCGGCTTTGTTTGTTTTTCATTTTTTGTTTGGATTAAAAAATTCATAATAAAAATTTACTCTGACGAGATTGGTGGACAAATAGAGTGTATAAATTTGTGTCACATAACTTCATTCGTAAATAATCGGTGAGGCCGATTGAACCATAATCCAATAAATAATAACACTAGTTCAGTATAATCTCCGTTTTAACATAGTTAATTTCTACTCTCTACTCGTCTTATTTTTTTTCACCATCGAAAGACAACTCGCATTATCTTAAAACCAAAGGAGAAGCTAAAATTAAAGGTGACATTGACTTTTTTATACTCAGTTACTATGTGATGTTAGTAACAATTCACAAAAAAAAAGTAACAACAACTCACAAGGTCACAAGAGAGAAAGTCAAACTTTAATTCTTCATCACTTTCAATATTAATAGTGCCAATCCATCCCGTTTTTTCTTAATAATTAGTATATTTAAAACGTTGTCGGCCCCATTTATTTCATTTCATGCAATAACTATTTCGTGTAAGTTTTCTTTACTAGTACTATTTTCTTTATTAGTAGGTCTTTCAAATACACCAATAGTAATGCTGTCTTTAAATCTACGTTCTTCTTTTATTGAGCGGCGTCATTTGACACTCTAAATTAAATGTAGTGTTTTTCTTAGTGAGTTATCAGTTAATAAGTGGAAAATAAAAGGGCAAGTTGTAAGTATTTGTTTAGTACTGTAATCGTTTTGTTTCACTCTATAACAATAGTTTTTTATCCACCACACATAGAAGGCACCTTATATACACAATATTAGACTAATTAATCCCGATAATAGCAACTATTTAACAAATGGCTTATAAATGGTCAATGGTCATTCTAATTGAGGTCTGATTTGTTTTCCTCCGCGTTTATATTCTATTTATGTTAACATCTCAAAGATCACATACGTACTTCAAAATGATAAAAAATATATATTCAAACAATAATAACAGTTTGATAAAATGAAAACAGAGATGCAGGATTTTACACCAAATATTAAAATCATTGGGTGGACATATTTTAGGTCCCTTCAGAATTCACAGGGCCATTTGTAAAACAACCCCATCACTAATTGTAATTAACGAGGGAAAATAAATAAAATTATTAATGATTTAGCTCATGGTAAACTAAGCGAGTTAATTCGGAAAGCTTCCCAAAAAAATATAAATAAATTATATAAAAAAGAAAGAGATGAGGATCCTAATTAAAATTAGAACCATCGGATTAGCCAAATTCTTCAGAAGAAACTAGGGCTTTCATCCAATAAAATATCACCAATCTGTCCACCGGAATCCTCAAACAGCCACTTCTCGAACAATGACCATTGACTTTGGTTACTGCATCCGGTTATGTCTGGTTTGGTCTCATGATCAGGTGAAACTTCAGCCTGATGATATGATGAGTCACAATCTTTCAAGTGTTCAAACCCCGAAAATGACTGAAATGCCCCTGGACAGTCCTTCCCATCATTACTCTTGATCACTTCCTTTGTCTCAGAATTTGGAGACACCATTTGATCCGCGGAGTTGTGTGTCTTTGGCGAGTTCTTCACCCACCCTTTAAGCAATTTTGCTATATTCTCGGTACTCGAAGCATAAATGGCAGATGTTTCTTGCGTCCTAAGAAACCCGCAAGCTGAGGAAGTAGAACGTCTTGATTCAGCAGAAGAAGATGTTGTTGTCGTAGTAGCGAATGTCGAGGGGATGATCGGTGCTACGGCAGGAGACAAAGCCTCAGATAGAGCCTTTTTCGCCAAGTGAATATCTGTTTGAAGCCTTCTTTCCCATTGGCCTCTGGAGATGTTTGAGTTGGAATTTGCAGAAGAGGACGATGGAGACGAAGAGAGCGAGGAACGGTCTCTTGATAGATCAAGTTCTTGATGAGAATCTTGATTGGCTTTGTTGAGTTTCTTCTTCAAATGAGTGTTCCAATAGTTCTTAATGTCATTGTCTGTTCTTTGTGGAAGATAGGACGCAATTGCAGCCCATCTACAACAAATATTAAATATCCTCTGTTATTATTATCTTCTTCTAATTATAAAAAGTTGTGAGCGACAAAATTAGAGAAATTAATCATTTTTTGATTAAAGGGTGATTAATGAATTCTACCTATTGCCTAAGAGGGCTTGGAGATGGACAATCATCTTTTCTTCATGTTCTGTGAAGTTTCCTCTTTTGATTCCTGGCCTTAAATAGTTTGTCCATCTAAGCCTACAACTCTTGCTGCATCTAAGCAACCCTGTGATTTACAAGAACAAATGACAAAAAATTAAATAAATCAAAAGTCGATGAGTAAAAATAAAAGGTCTCATGCATTAGATCTTGGTCCTAGGGCCTTAGCTCATTCATTTCAAAATTTGGTTTTAATTAAGCCTATTCCACAATCAAACCCATTAGGAGAACACAGTGTTTTTATTAACCAAATTCAATCCATATCTATTTTGATTTTGATTCCTTGTCTATCTCTCACCCACATAACCCTAATATCTACATATACTAAAACCTTGAGAGATGATATATATATATATATATATAATATAGAGCGAGAATGAAGATTAGACACATACCAGTATTGGTGGGAACAGCTCTCCAATTACCAGGACCATGTTCTTGGATGTAAGTAACTAAAATGATATCTTCTTCAGGAGTCCATGGCCCTTTCTTTACTCCTCCTTTGTCACAACAAGGAGGCCTCACCATTATTTTGATCTCACTTAACTAATCAATCAACTAATAATCACTCCTTATTTTTGCTTTCTCTTTTTAATCGCCCACTACAACAACTCTTTGCCAAGAAAATAGAAGAAAATTGAAACAACTTTAGTTGTTGATGGGTCACAGTACCCTTAAGCTCACTAATTACTACTCTTAACTTTGGATGGATCTAATGGCTAAGCTTGGCGACAAAGGTCTATGTCCACTTCTTCTTCTATATATATAAAAAAGAGAAAGAGAAAATTGCTGACCCCTCTTGGTCTTGGACTCTTGGGTCTCAAAAAATTGAATATTTCAAAGAATAATAAAATAAAAATAAAAAATGTTTAAGCATTAACTACAAAAGTGGAGTAAAGCCTCCAAAGTCAGCTGTGTGGCAAAAGGAAAAGTCTCTACCCTCCACACAAAACCGCGTGGCATTCAATGTGGGCTTGCTCCTCTTAAAAACCCTAATATAAAAAAATATATTAGTAATTAGGTTATGTCATCAAAATTTAAGAATAATAGGGACATGCATGATAACATGATAATGATATACGATATGATATTTCCCTCTCTCACATTGGATTTATTGCTACGATAATTTTAAGAATTGAATAGTGGCTATTGCATTTATGTGTAATGCATAGGCTTTGTTAATAATAGAAATTGATGAAAGGGTCTTTTGACGAACGAGATTTTCTCTGCGTCATGATTTGCTGTTTCGATTTTCCATGAAAACGAAATATATTATTTTTTAAAAAGAAAAAATTGCTATTTCGGATTGAACCAGTGGGTCTTTGGCTTTGTCAAATTACATGATGGTCTACGTCATTCATGATGTTAGGGACTTCTCTCTCTCTCTTTATACAAAAGTATATATATAGCAATGCATGATTTGGTATGTTTTTATTCGGGTATGGTTCGCGATTAGTGTTGATGGACCACATCTGGATTTTTGGTAAACATAGTGTTAGATGAAAATAATTGTACGTTACATACGTCATTATCGTAGGTGTTGAAAAGAAATTAAGAGATATTTGTATGAGAATTTGGCATAAGATAATGAGGATTTTTGGATTTGATAGACACAAGTCATACAACCATATCTATTCATGTGTAGCGTACATGTGTATGCATATATATATATACACTGTATATATACAAATAGTTATAAAGATGATACCAATTTGGTTTTCACGAGGCCGGAAGAAAAAGAAGAAGAAGATGCACGGGACTACTTTAATTTCTTCTCTTTTGTCAATGTTGTGCTATACCTATTTATTTATTATATATAGGTAGGTTTTTATTGATAATTTGTACAATTGTCAAATTTCATTTTGTTGGAAGTTTATGTTAGATTAGAAACTTGAGCTATCGATGCTGTTAATCGATCATTTTGGATTGAAATGGCGTAGTTGCGTTTTCAGCTCAAAGACATAATTTCGAAGAAACATGAAAAGGGTTTTTGTTACATCTAACCAAAATTTTTTGGGTCAAAATATCTATTTTCTAGAGTGGAAAAAGTTAATTCAGTCCGAAATTTTCTTTTCATCGTCGTCTTTGAATTATCATTTTAGTATAAGTTACGAATCCAACTTTCTTTTAAAGTAATACAAAATTTCGACAGCCACAAAATTGGAAGATATATACTTTATTTTATAGATTTAGTATTTTTACTTTATAATATTTACAAGTATGAAGTATCACATAACGCATTCAAGAATAAGGATAATCATAATAAGTATGGAGGTGGAATAAAAGAGGCGTAATATCCTTATAAAGACATAAATATGATTTGCTATTATTAAATGACGACTATAATAACATGGAATGCATGTGTGATGTATGGATGGTGCTTGTGATGTAGGGACGGGCCAAGCACATTTTCCAGCGTAAATAGCTATTTTTAATTTGTAGATAAAAGAAAAAAAGAGAGAAAACATAAGCATTAAAAATAAAATATATTAAGTTACTAATTAATTTTTGCCAAAAAAATAGAAAACTAAAATACTATATTGTCAATGAAGAGAAATAAAAGCACTGCAGGCGCACATGCAGTTGATACATAAGAACAAATGCAGAGTTCAGTCCATATTTATTATCAGCAAGTGACAGTGCATGCGGATCGGTATAATTTTCTTAACCAAGCCGCATTGATAACCGGATTTGACCGGTTTGGTTATGAGGTTATTGAATTTTGGGCCTCCTGATTGAATAACGGGCCTAATTTCCTGAAATGGGACCCATTAGCTAACTATTGAAGTCAACTTCTCAGATAATCGACCATCTAAGACTAGCCGCTGGCAAATTAATAATAGTTCAACAAATATACATAGCTAACTTCATTTGTCATCTAATTTGCCAATTTTTAAACCAATTACATGTAAGACTAGCCGTTGGCAAATTAATAATAGTTCGATTTTAAAAAAATATATCTTTTATTTTTAAACCAATTACATCTAAAAAACTGTGTCATGAAACGTTGTTGAACATGATCTTATGAACCACAACTTTTATCCAAACAGCGACTTAAACACTAATTTATGATTAAATAATGATTTAACGTTCAATTGTTTCAATCATTAGTTTTTGCATTGGTGTTTAGATGTGAAGAAATATTTCAAAAACTAATTTACATTTTTTAACTATGAAGCATTTTTTTCAATTTTTTTCTGTATAAAGTAAATTTGCAATCGCAAACCCAAACTCACACAATAACTTAAACGCAAACACAGATGAAAATTAAACTATAATTGGTAAGCTATTATTTCACAAGTATTTTACCAATTATGGCAAATTCAAATAAATTAAAAAATAAAAAACGATTGATCAGAGCCGTCAAATTGTAAAGCTCACATCCCTTGGATCTAGGGCTCAATAGATCTTCCCCATATATAATCTGGCATCAAAAACTCGCGCCGCTCCTCCATTGTTTTCTCTGAGCTCGCAAAAATGGTTCAACGTCTTGTTTTCCGGTCGCGCCACTCTTACGCCACCAAGTCCAACCAACACCGCATCGTCAAAACTCCTGGTACGCACTGGCGATCTAATACGTGTGATTTTTCAGTAGTGATTCGTGAAAGATTGATCAAAATCTGGGTATCTTAGATTTTCGTTGAATTCTGGGTTTCTGAAGGTGGGAAATTGACTTACCAGACGACGAAGAAGAGAGCTAGTGGACCCAAGTGCCCCGTCACTGGCAAGAGAATCCAAGGGGTAAGCTTTTTTTCTTAGTTGAATCTTACTTTTTCTATTCATTTTCAATTTAGTTGATCATTTTCGAAATCGTTTCATGTCTTTCAATGCCCTTGTCGTGTGAGTAAAAAAGTTTGTGAATTTTGTTGTTGAGTTCATGTAGTGAACAATGTTGTCGCATTTTTTGGGGGCCATCTGTGAAAAACGTATTTTGACATTGAATTCGAATTACAACGTAGACCTAGAATCTAGACAGTTTAGGGGTTAAGTTTAACAATTGTTCGTTGGAGGAGTGAAAGTGTTTGTCCGAGCTTAAAATTATAGTGAATAGCTTCATACATTTTCTCCATTGATCTAGAGAAACAAGGTTTTACATGATGACTCGCCTTATATCCATTTCAGCCATTTCTTGCCTTCACTTGATAGTCTGAACTTAAGATAGCCATCATTGGCGGAATGGATATAAGACGAGTCACCACGTAAAACCTTGTTTCTTGCTTGAACTTAAGATAGGCATCATTGAGATTTCTCTTGTGTTTGTAAAAGTTGGTAAAAGTTCAAAATGTCATTCGCTTGCAATCGGGTCAAGCCAGAAGTAGAAGTAGAACTAGCTTATTACTAGTACCTGGTATACAACGAGTTTGTAACCTGGATCCGGTCCCTGGTTCTAATCGATTAATCATGAGTTAAAGGGTGCTTAGTCTATTGAGAAGATGATTCTCATATTATACAGCATCACTGAGCCTCCTTGCATTATTAGCATTAGCATGGTTTTGTAGACTTACTTTGGATGTTTGTTTATGCAGATTCCGCATCTGAGACCTACCGAGTACAAAAGGTCGAGGTTGTCAAGGAACCGGAGGACAGTGAACCGTGCATATGGTGGTGCTCTATCTGGAGTAGCTGTTAGGGAGAGGTAAGCTTAACTGATTAAGATATAAAGATCTCTTAGATTGGCTTTCTTAGAGCATTTCAAATTTTTTTGCACCTTTCTCTGTTCCAGGATCGTCAGGGCCTTCTTGGTGGAAGAGCAGAAGATTGTGAAGAAGGTTTTGAAGCTTCAAAAGGCCAAGGAGAAGACTGTGCCAAAGAGTTAGAAGAAATCTTTGTGGAGTCTTACAATACAATTATAAGAGTGATGGGGAGGAATATCTTGTTGGGATCGATAGACATGAGTTTGATTCAGATTTTCGGCGCTAAAAAAAGAAGTTTAGTTATTTATGATTTTTGAGTTAAGTTTTGCTCTCAGTTCAGATTGATTTTACTTTCTGGAGCTGTCTCAGTTTGTTTTCATTGGTTTATTGTCGTCCCGGTCTTTGTCAATAAGTTCAGAAAAATGAAGTAATATCTGTAAAATGGCGTCGTTCACCTACCCAACCTTCTTGACTTGTTGAAATTTGACGATTACAATATATCAGATGATCGCTGCATTTCCAACGAAGTACTGACTCATTAGTGTAGAACTAAAAGTAACAAGCTTGGTCCAAAAGAAGCGTTTTTTTTTTTTTTTTTTTAATGTGAGAGACACGAAGTGGCTAATTCAGCATCGTTATAGAGATCACTTGCAAGCCTGTGGTGATCGAACCCAAACGGTGCAGATAAGATGAAACCTTCGACTTTAGCGTCACAGACCACACACCTGTGGTGTTCCTCTATGCCGTCTGCAGATTGAGTAATCTTTTGTTTACAAGAGCTGCACCAGAGTTTGTGTCGACATGGGAAGTTTGCCCAGAGAAGGATTCTCTTGTTGCACCAGAAACACATTCCTTGCTTCAAACACGTCTCATAGCTCTGCAAATATTTGCCGTCCAGGTGAAAAACAATGATATATTAAAAAAATAAAGTAAAAAATGAGCAGAGAGTGAGATTGCTTTACTTGATAAAAGTCAAACTCCCGGAGAAAGAAAACGGACGAGCTGTTTCTGATCCTTGCAAGTGTCTCCAGTACCGGGTGTTTTAGTTGATGATGATAGCTGTTAGAAGCATCCAAGGAAGGTTCTGGCTTCAAGGTTTTAGAGACATGTGCTGGTTGTATATGCTTGTTGTATGAAGCTGTCTCTTGAACCGGATGTTTTAGTAGATGGTAGTTGCTGTAAGATGCAGCCAAGGAAGGTTGGGGTTCTGGCTCTGGCTCTAAGGTTTTAGAGTCATGTGCTTGTTGTTTGAAGCTGCCACTGCATATACGATCTGGGGTTGATGAGACTTTCAGTTTGTTGGGAGAGAGAGCGTCATCGTTAAGAATTTGCTTCAACGTTTTAGAGTCATGTGCTTGTTGCATGTATGTGAGAGCTGGATTTGATGAGGCTTCCGGTTTGGGAGAGAGAGAGTCATTTTTTTTTATGATGAGCGGCTTTGGAGGTCTTCCTTGGAGCTGAGAACACTTGGAGGGTAACATCACCCAGTGGGTTGCAGGTCCAGATTTACCTACCAGGACGGATTGAACATGACAGAGTTTCGGAAAAGATTTGATGAAGTCGATGAGCTTGGGGAAACCGAGAGAGGAGTGAGCGAGTTCCATGCCAAAAATAGCGCGGAAATCGGCTTTAAGTGATGAGAGGGGATATCCGTTTTCTCTCCAGCTGTGTGATACATCTCGGAGGTACCGAGGAAGCCAGTTTACGAACTTTTTGAGCCATGGTGGCACAGGATTGCCGATGAAACTGGTTTCTTCATCATCTCCTTTTGCTGGCGTTGCACTACGCGACTGCGCAAGTTCTGTTTCTTTGCTAACTGCATTTCATGGTTGTTTATGTGAGAAGAAAAGCACAATGCTTGTAGGTCGTTTTCCTTTATGCTTTTGTCCATGTATAAGAACAAATACTTACAGCAACTGATATTTGTTGGGTTAAGGAGGAATCTAATATCTTGTGACTGTGTCAGCTCTATTGGTCTCTGTTTTCTGCACAAGATATATAAAACATGCACCATCAGATTAAGGTGATCATAAGATGGATCAATTGGGATGAGTTTGGTCAAACATATAGTTCGACTATTGCCTCACCGTAGATTTTGAATTTCTGTACTTGCTCCACATTGAAGAAGCAGCTCAACACACTCAAGATGGTTATTCTTCACTGCGAAGAATAGTGGTGTCTCTTTGATTACTGTCTTGGCGTGAACCAACTCAGGGTTGGCCGCTAGTAGAATCTGGAGGCTCAAATTCATCGGAGTTGTCATAATCTCGTTTCAGCTTAAGATGAGAAACGCAAACAAGAAAGACAAGGAAACTATACCTCAAGTGCAGATAAATTGCCATTTGAAGCAGCAAAGTGGACTGCAGATAACCCCAACTTGTTCTTTTGGGCAACTCGGGCACCGTGTACAATAAGTAGGTTCATGATTCTGGACACGTAAATGTACTATTCTCAAGTTGGGAAGTAATAATTGTGCAACGTTATTATATATGACTTCAGGTAATAGGGAGAGTACTGATACTTGGTTTGCTGCTTATGTGGCACAGATGATCCCTTCAGGCTGCACTGAAGAACAGTATTCCCTTCTGCATCTGTTTCGTTAACATCGACGTTCGTGTTTATAAGCAGTTCAAGAACAGCTTCATCTCCTGCCTACAGAATTAATGGTGGAAGATTACATCACAGCCCTCAATAATTCGCATGTGTGATTCACATAATAATGCTAAAGAAGTAAGCAAGTCTCACCTGTACAATGGAGATGAGCAGTGAGGATTGCTTATTTACAGATTCACTAAAAACTGCAGCACCAAAGAGCTGAAGGAGCCCAATCTCCCGAAGCAAAAGCATTCTTTGCGAGCTGTCACTGCGCAGTGCTTCGTGAATAACAGACTCATAGATCGTTGCTTTCGGCTTTGACACTGAATCATCATCCCGTAATGCTACAGTTGCCTCTCTGATCTTATCAGTTGCTACTATCAGCAATGCAGTCAAAGGAACAATTTCACCAGCCTTGGCATATGCATGTGCCACGACGTGCATTTCCTTTGTCTTTTCAGCAAGTAGTTTCACTACCGTCAAGTCCTATGTATAACAAAGGTTCAAATTTTCATACCAAGCCTGCAAAAGTCACTTGATTTCTTTCTGCAGCTATCTTAAATAGTTCCCTTACATTTCATAACCAAACATAGTTTCTCCAAGCAACCAAATAACGAGTGAAGGGAACTAGTGTTTGACCTTGTCACCAAGCAGAAGGATCAAGTCTCCAATCGAGTCACCACTGGGATTCCACGTCACATCAAGGCTGCCAAAAATGGAAACATACTCAATAATAACATTTATAGGTATGAAGACAAATGATACGAATTACCATAGAAGTGACCATATGCGGTGTCATTAGTAGGTAAGACGAATAAGTAAAGAAAGAAGTTTCCAGATTTTCCAGATTAAGAAAGAGTTACACAAATTCAAGGTTTGTGATACAGAGGCGATAAAGCTTTATTCCCTAAATTACCAACCTGAGCAAGAAAAAAGGTGCGAAAATTAATCAATGCTAGACTCTACCTGATGTTACAGAGAGATAGCTCCAGAGGGAGCAAAGCTCGTTCGTCCTTGCTTCTGATATCCGTACGAGCGCGTCGTTTAAGCAGCATCTCCACACACCGTGGCGAGTTAGCCTCAGCCGCCGTATGCAACGGCGAGTGGCCCGTATCGGCAGCCACATCGTTGATGTACGGAACCCAACCGATATCGCCGTTGATGACGGAGGAAGCGCAGTTGAGAGAATCGTAAGCGCAGCAAGCGTTGAGAAGCTTCAAAGCCTGGCTTCTCTCGGACTCCAAGTCATCTCCGACGAAGAGTCGTTTTGCGTGGAAAACAAACTCAGATTTGTTGTCTTTCAAGATGGAATCTACGACGGCATAGTCCTCTGAGTCTTCTGCATCGAAATAACTAACCGGAGATACTTTTCCGGCGGAATAAAGATTTGGGTGGATTTTCGGCCAGGAGTCAAAGATCTCGGTGAAATCGAAATTTAGAGATGCCTGCAAATGAGAGGAATCAAGAAATAGAAAGATTAAAATTTCTAAAGAGAAAGCTCCACGGGGAAACCACAGAAGAAGAGGTTCTATGACGAATACTTAAAGCTTTGATCATGGAGAAATTTTTCACAGAGAGTTAAAAGCAGAGCTCAATCATCTTCGCTCAAGCAAAATGAGGAGAAGAAAACATCAAACAAGCTCGAAGTTTGAGGATATCGCACCAGTTCCATATCCGAACCCTAGCTTCCTCTCTCTTACGAAATCTCCAAACGAAGAAACGCAAAATTCCTCGCGGAATCCAGAAATGGAGATACCAAATCAAGTGAAAAAAATGGAGTAAATGCTAGATTTTCTCAAGAGATTCCGATCGGAGAAAAGCAAGGGAAGAGCATTCTGACGAACTGATATTGTTCCGGTGACAGGGAGAGGAAAAGAAGAGAGAAAACGGAGAGGGAAAATGCTGCGATTGTTGCTACATTTATAGCCGTGACGTGGATATAGCAGTAGATAGAGTACCAAGGTCTGTGTGTGAAATGACATTATCACCCTCCGTTTCGTGCACAAAAGGTCAATTGTATCGCCTAAGGGAAAAGGGCAAATCTGGTAATCCAACTTTTCTACCTTTCCTCCGCAGAGTAATCCAACCAATGGAGAAGCGAGTTGTGTAAAATCACAATTTCGAAATACTTTCCAATTCCGTACTATTTTGTTTCGAATGCATAATAACCTGGTAAATAATAATTACTATTTACCAAAAAAGAAAATGTATAAGCAATTGTAATAAACCGTTTGGATTCCAAACGCAATATTCAAGCGTTTGAGTTTCAAAACATGTTGATGATGATATACCATCAGAAGGCATTATTTATATTTTAATTGATTTAGAATAATCCATGTTTTTGTAAATCTGAGCAAATCTAGAGATTTTTAACATGAAAATTCATTCAAACCCACTAAAATTTTCTCTAAAATTTAATCCATAAATAAATTCGTATGATTAAGGGAAATTAGGTGGAATAGCATTCTGCAGAGTCTTATTTAGGTCGATTAAAACCCATTTTTTTAATCGTGAGCAAAGACATCAAATCTCCTCATCAAACTTAAACCACACCAGCTCTTTTAAGCCACACCAATAAAACTTTTATAGATTCTTACAATTCTATTTTCAACACCACCATAACTTTTGCTCTGAAAGTTTTAGTTGAGCACATTATCTCTCTTTCGTTTTTTTGAATTGATTCTTTTTCTTTCAGAACCTACCCAGAAATAGCATTTCAAAACTCAAACTCAACTATCGAAAACTCAAATTCATTTACAGACATCTACATAATTTTCTACCCTCTGTTTCTACGACGAGGTCTCGTCCGTCCATCTTATTGCTCCTCTCATTTTCTACGGTGAGGCTTTACCATCCCTCATTTTCTCCGGTTCATCACTTTCCATAACACTTGCCGATTTTTTCGTCAGGTATTTGTGTCATTTGATATCTAGTTTTCTTTTGATTTTTTCTACTACTTTTGTTATGTTTATTGCTCTTGTTTTTCTTCAGTATTGTGGCCTTGTTCGCTATTTTTCAACATCTGGGTTTCTTGATTTTGTAGATCTAGGATTTTCAAATCTTTTTTAATGTAGTTAACTATTTACACCGTCTTTAGTAATCATTTACTCGTGATTCCTGCCAATTTGTTGTAGTGCAACCATAGAAAATATCGTCTATAATATCTCATAATTTAAGAATTTCAGAATGAGAAGACGTTCATCTGAGCGGATACAATTTTTTTATGAAAATATTCGTCTACTACATAACTGTATACTTTGACCAAATATTTTTTTTATGAAAAAAGTCAATTATTCCATAGAGTTATCTCAGATTTTAAATGATTTGAGCAAAAGGGCACTGTGTATAATTTTTTGAGAAAATACGAAACATAACGCTAAAAATCAGAAACTTGAATGTTTGGTTCATGGGTGTTGTGTTCGTGGCTATTTATCTGATCCACTAGAGTCCTCTTGAAATTAACATATTCATACACGTAATACTAGACGGCAACAACGTTTGAAATTTGGTAAAGTAACAATAAAGTTTACCTTGTTATTGTTCCAAAAAGCAGATAACGTTTGTGTTTTGGTAAGTTGATGTGGTCCCAACCTCGGTCAGAAAAAGCAATGTCTAGATTTAGGGAGTAAGGAGTGTAATGTCATTTCCACATATTTTTTGCTGTTGACTTGTGCTACGCACTTAATTAACTGATTTTCAATAGTATTCACTTAATTTGTTATTCCAAAAATAATATTGATGCAAATCCCCCTATGATTAAATAACACGTGATTTTTTTAAAAAAAATTAAAATCACAAAACCAATATAACACTAGCTAGATTTAAAAATGACCTTTAAAATCATATAACCAATAACATTGGATAATCCAAATCCATTAAAATACATTATCCAATAACCCCAACTAAAACTTCATCTAAGAAGAAAATATGGATCAAAACCCTCCCAAATCTCTCCAACAAGAACAGTAGATAAATCCACTAACGAATCATCCATCGACTTCTCATGTAACTTGACAACTACTCGGAACATGTTAGACACCAGAGGGTTCCTTAGAAACGGTTTCAAGGACTCTCCGAGTTCAACCATATCAGCGAGTAGAGATTTCTTGTCATTACCATCGGTCGACAATCTGAAAACAGAGTCGGAGAAGACGTAAAGACCGAGGAGATTACCATAGAGTGGCAAAAACACATCCTTGTGGTTCCCAACACCACCTACCCAGCTCTCTCTTTGTTTTCCGACATGGTCTCTAGAGAAAGAAAGCAGCTGATTGTGGAATCTACACCTCCACTCGAGTAGTTGTGCTCGGGACAAGTCTCTGTTTGCTAGTTTCTGTAGATGACAGCAGCAAAACTGCAAGATCAGAAGCTTTTCTTCATGGTGATTATCGATTTCCTTGTCGAAAACCCGTCTCACTAAATCACTACTTCCCTTTGGTGGGGATGTGTAATCTGCGGTATTGAAGACCAATTTCGAGAGATATTGCAAATACTCATCCCAGTGCCCAAAGACGGAAGATAAATGGTTGAAGCTCAGCTCCAACACTTTCTCTACTTGAGTAGGAGCTTCCATGGCAGTGGAGAAAAAACACTTCTGTACATCTGTGGCGAGTTTTGACCTGATGAGATCATCCTCGTCTTCCAAAAGTTTGATGCAAGTAAACCACATCTCCAGAATTTGGTACGCGAATACATTACAAGCGTTTTGAAATTTGCTTGGTGTAGCTTCAGAGGTTTGGTGATTTGAGACAAGAGGACCGATGAGTTGTGCTTGTTCCAGTATACCAGATGCTATAATAGCTTCTGCAGATGCATAACGAACATTCACTTGCTCGGATGATGAACTTTTCTGTTTGATCAAGTTAACAAAGTAGGAGACACAATCAATTACACAACCCCACCCTGGTCCTTCTTCTTTTTCAGATTCGTTTTTGTGGGAGAACAAACCCGTGAGATGCTTCACACAAATTGCTAGGCAACACATGAGTGTACCTCGGGTTTTAGCACGTCTTGTGCTCTCATATAAAGAAGTCAGCTTGCCCCATAGATGAAACACCGAATCATAATTCAACGAACCAACATAAATGCTTTCGAGAGGTTCCCCATTGGATGATTTTTGGAACATAAGAAGATTCCACTGGCAGAAAATCCTTAGAATGTAGTTCTCACATTTATGGTTTTTCTCCTTGTCCAAGAGCTCCAATAACATCACCTGGAGACCATTTTTCGCCCAGTTCCAAATACTGCTTGTCTCTGAGAAACTTGAATCTTCTGATTTTAGAAACTGCAACAACCACTTCAGTGTTGCAAGACGAACTTCATATGATTGATCAGAAATACAACGAAGGAGCCTTTCCTTAAGGTCCGAAAAATCTAATGCTTCAGGAACTTTCTGCTGTCGCAAATTTGCTTTCTCAGTAATCTGAAAAACTTTGGTTGCTTCATCAAATGGCTGAAATACACATCCAAAATAAGATACAGCTGCTTGTTCTCTAAGCTCAGCGATTGTAGGGTCATAATAGGGGAAGCCAAAAGAAGCGTCTGCATCCAAGCAATTTGTAGATAGATCCAAATGCAATTTGTAAATGTTCCTTAAATTTTTGCTTTCAGAGCATGTCCATTCAATATCTCGCATATGATCAAGCACTCTCAAGAATGATGTACTGAGGATCGGGCAAGAACACAACAGTGGAGAAGCCATCCATGTGCATTTTGCAAGAGCGTCGATCAATTGCTTCATAATCTGTCCCTTCTTAGACTCATCAGAAAGGTCTCTACAGTTTATCTCTAGAAGATTACCAAGTTGCAACATAATTCCGTGAAGATAATTGAAGGATCCACCTCGGGTCCTATTAGAAGGTAAAGTTGAGGCAATGCGAAGAAGAACACTTTGGAGTTTCTCATTGGAAACAAGACCTACTAAAGCACGGGATGCCAAAACACGAACACGGAGATTGCTTTGAGTGGAGCATTTCATAATAAAAGGCATGAAAACGAATGGGTCCAGGTCATCTCCAGTTTCACTTGCAATGGGTGAAGGCTTAAGCCTCGATAAAAGAATGAGAATGGGCCATAAACTCGGATGGACAAGATTTGCGAGGTTTGAATCTGATGGACCAGATATGTCAAGCAAATCAGTTGCTGCCTTTAGTTCATTGTGTATGAAAGGGTGCAACAAAGGGTACCTTCAAGAAAACCAACACAACATTAACAACTAGATTGAAATAATGCACAGTAGTCTGAGAAGGTTTTTTCAGGGGCTGATCTTATAGACATACCTGTGAAAAAATTCAAGTCCAGTCAAGGCACGCCGAGAAGATCCACGTTTTTGAACATTAAGGAATCCAATCATTCGACGGAGCAAGGCCGTGTATGCAAGTGTGGCACTGTTTCTGACCTCCCAATATGGTGATGAGAAGGATCTTATTGAAACAATCATAGCCACCGCAGAAAACCCAGAAGTGTCAGTGCCCAAGTTTGTGTCGTTGAAGGCAGCTTTGAGAACATTGAATGCATGCACCGTTGGAACAACACCTTCATCACGGATCTTTGAAATTTTTTCACTTGGATGCATATCAGAAGAATTGACCTCCACATCCATACTTTTAAAACCTTTCTGTTCCATGGGATCCATGAGAGGCTTCTCAGCAAGACCTATTAACCATCTAAGTG